TGAGACATTTCATCAATTCGCTACGATGCATCATTCTCAAACAAATACTTAAAATAATTCTAAAAATTGATTGTCTAATGTCAGATATATTTTCCTTTTCTTTTCGAAGAATGTTATATGTGTACATATATATAGAGAAATAAATATATATTACAAATATCTCCATTCATATTTGTCGATCGACGCGGTCAAGGAAACGATCTATTATGAAAAAACGAAAGACAGTTTTCGACCATGACACAAGTTTGATCTCTCAAACAGGTGTAATCTTTGAGCACAGAAACCTGATGATGTTTAACTATGTACTACAATTAGGTAATCTTTGATGAGTAGATGCATATGTTCTATTCGTATTAGTTTCCAAGGTTTGTTTACTGGATGATTTTAACCAATATCAGTGCTCCGATTGTATAGAACAACAAAGCGAGATGTCAGGATGTAAAAGAAAACAATCAGTACAAGAAAAAAAAGCGAATTACCGGTACATCTTGTTTAGGTGATTATAAAGAAATACGAAATAGTGTATAAGAATAGATACAAGCGAATTGTATTTCATCCTGTTTTAGTATCCTTTCAAATGTCAATCTTCAATTGCGTGCATAATGAATTTCAAGTTTTAAAGGATTAATATTTGCGTCGTTCGGAACAAAACTTGAAACTTTCTTGCAAACATCCTTATTGACATAAACTTCTACTTGTAAATGTTATTCATTTGCATCATTTACTTAACTTCTATTTATACGCGATATTTACAAAACAGCCCGATATAAATATAATCAACATTGCAGAAATATTCAATTTAGTTTTCTATTAACGATGACACATTTACAAACTCGTAAGGAAGGTGATGAAGGTATTTCGAATGTTGAATTTTGCACGAGATCGGATGAAACTCGTCGTAATCGTCGACTACAATCATTTGTTGATTGTTATGGTGTTGAAAAGCCGAGTTTATCCACATTTGAACAAACGAAACGATACACGAAGAAGAAATGTTCTTCAGTTACCTTTGAATGCTGTATTAACATACTTCTCAAACGAATACCTCTTTTTCGTTGCTTAAAAACTTACAATCTTCGAAAAGATCTTTTCGGTGATATCATCGCGGGAATAACCGTCGCGATTATGCACATACCACAGGGTAAAACAAACATTTAACATGAGAAAAAGTTTGAATTTCTATAATCAATAAAAGGTATGGCTTATGGAACACTTACAACTTTACCACCTGTTTATGGTAATTTAGTGGAAAACATATATGAACTGAAGATAACTTTTTTTACTTATAGGACTCTACGTTTCATTTTTTCCGGTTATTATCTACATGATTTTTGGCACATCACCACATTTATCTTTAGGTAATTCACTCGAATTCAAGTTTATCTCTAATTGCGAAGTATGTATTCTAGGAACATTCGCAATTATATCGTTGATGACTGCACAAGCTATTGACAGTGTTTCGTTCGAGCCATCGAATATAGTTACTCAAAATGGAACCATTGCAAATCTGACAGGTTCATCATCCGTTGATATCAAATTACATGCAGCCACTACTCTTGCTCTTCTTGTCGGTCTTATTCAAGTATACAAACCTCGATACATCTAGAACATGTTCTTTAATCTGCTCTCTTTCTATTTTTCAGCTATCGCTATCCTTTCTTCGACTTGGATTTCTAACTGTTTACTTAACTGAACCTTTTATCAGTGGATTCACTACCGGTGCCGCAACACATGTTTTTACAAGTCAGATTCCATCAGCTTTTGGGATTCGTTCTCCGCGTGGAATCAATGGAGCATTTAAATTGCCGCGAATATACGTAAAATTAATTCAATCAATCTTTTCGCATATCAATTGGATATCCACAGCCATTGCTGCTGTTTCTATTGTTACTTTATATATCGCGAAATATCTAAATGATCGATATAAATCAAAAATTCGAATTGTTCTTCCGTTAGAATTAGTTCTTGTACGTTCAAGAAGATATTTGTTTTATAATGAAAGAAATCATTCAGATTGTTATAGGAACAACGGTATCACATTTTCTACAATTACATTCAAAATATGCGGTCGCAGTTGTTGGACAAATTAAACGAGGTTTACCGGCGCCTTCACTTCCATCATTCGATCATACGGATAAATTACTCGTACCAGCTATTACTATAGCTGCTGTTAGCTTATCAATCTCGATATCAATGGCCAAAATGCTAAGTCGGAAACATACGTATAAAGTCAGTTCAAATCAAGTAAGTCAGAACTTCAAATGAAGAGAAACAACGAGATGATTTGATCTGATAATTAGGAATTATTAGCTTATGGAATGGCCAATACAGTATCGTCGTTCTTTCAATGCTATCCGAGTGCAGGCTCATTGAGTCGTTCAGCTGTACAAGAAGGTAGTGGAGGAAGAACGTTACTTGTTGGCGGTTTTTCTTCACTCGTTTTGGGCTGTGTACTTGTTGCGTTAACTCCTCTATTTCAATCATTACCCATGGCTTGCCTTGCTGCGATTATTATTGTGAATTTAAAAGGTTTATTCCTTCAATTAAAAGACTTCATGTTATACTTTCGAATTAGCAAACTTGAATGTGTAAGTCGTTGGCAAATAGTACAAGTAAAAAGTTTATTATTCAAATTTGTAGATATTATGGACAATCACTTTTGTAACCGTTGTTTTATTCGATGTGGATATTGGCCTGTATGTTGGATTAAGCACGTCATTTTTTATTAATACTGTTCGCACTCAAAGGTAGTTTGAAGGCGGAATGATATTTTCGTTTTCTTTTTCTTTTTCTTTCTCGTCTGCTCCTTCTATTAGACCTCGATTTTTTGTCCTTGGTCAAGTGGATAATACCGGTATTTATAAAAGTACAACAAATTTTCCATCTGTACGCTTATAGTTTATTCATTTCATTAACTATTCTCTCGGTTTCTACATGTCTAGGTTCAGCAATATCCGGGTATTAAGATTCTTCGATTTGATGAATCACTTTATGCATGTAACGCACCATTCTTCAAACGAAAATTCTACGAATTGATTGGTATGGAAACAACCGAAGAACCGATTGTATCTTGTCGTAGACCAGAAACATTCGACACGAAGACTGATGTTCTATTAAAATATATCATTCTCGAATGTTCACCATTCAATTACATTGATACTGTCGGTGCGAAATTACTCATTCAAGTGAGTAACACAAACTGACTCGACGATTTTTGCTATGTATCGCATGTTTTGATAGATTTTTAATGATTTGAAAAAACGGGGTATTCAATTATATTTAACAGAATGTCGATGTAAGTTGTAGTTTGACTGGAATCGTTTGATTTGTTGTGTTGATTTTAGATGAAGTCCGCCATACACTTGATATCATGAAATTCTATGAAAAAACAGAATTGCATACGATTTATGTGACCACTCACGATGCTGTAATGACAGCAGTTGCAGCGTTAAATCAAATCCCAACGACAAATAATTGAATTTTCGTTTTCTCTAAAACGGTTTTGCTATTCAAAAGGGGGGGGGGGGGGGGGGGAAGATCTGTAGTTAATTTTTTAAAAAAATTCTCTAATGTTTCTGTAAATCTTCATTATTAAATTCGATGTAGTAAATGGCAATAATTGTTCTCTATTGCTTCATATAAATACATAATATATTAGTCCAATAAAGAAAGAAGAAAAAAAGTATACGAAGAAGATTTCTTATTGTACAGACAACAAAAAGAAAAGCCAAAGCAAACAATTCCGTAGGTTATGATTGTTTCTCCGAAAAATTCGAAGTTGCCATTGTATCACTGTTAATCATTTGATTCAATGAGTCAATTTCAAAGAGCTTGCACTCGCGCATAGTACAGATTCGAACTGGTCAATGAAGCCAGATCTGAGGAGAGAGTAGGTCCGTATCTTCCTTGTTGTTGTGGATGAAGATATTGTTGCTGATGTCTTGTAATCGGAATAGAATCAACACTATTGGCGATATAATCATTACTTGTTCGAGTTGTCGTTGCTGATGGAATCATTGTACCGTTATGATGAATCAAAGGTTGTCGAGGTTTGACCGAAGATTTCAAAGCATCACTTGAATGTGAGTGATGACTGTGATGGCGACTAGATTTTTGATGACGATGACGACGACAACAAAAAATAGAGAAGAGAATGATACCAAGTAAACAAAGTGGAATGATAATCACGTAAAATAAATGATTATTCAGATTCGCTGAAGGTATCGTTGCTGAAAAAGGCAAAGATTTTGGGCTTTGATTTGCACAAGAATAGCAATTGATCGCTTCTTTACCTTTGCGACGATCGATGACATCAATGAAAGCTTTTTTATAATTCGTGGCTCTATCATTTTGGGTTAAACATATATATTGTCCACTTTCTCGAGCAGTTGCTTCAGGAATAATCAGTGGTTTCGAGAGAACACTATTGGGTTCTTGCCGTAATTGTTGTTGATTAAAATTTTCCAGACTTTCATATTGTTCAGAGCCAAAGACAATAGCATCAGGTCGAAATAGTTGTTGAACGTCAATTTTTCTTAGCCATTGAATTTTGGTTGAAAGATCATTGGTTTGAACACGGCAATTTAATACTACTGTTTGTCCCAAATCAACACTCGCATTTTGGGGATCATTACCAACAAATTGTAATTTCTCTACAAAGAAAAACATTTTTAAATGGAAAATCTATTTTTTAAATTCATTACCTGTAACAACAAGGATATAAGTAGCATTAATAGCGCCGAATGAATTAAATAGTTCACATGTATAATTGCCAGTATCAGACTGACGTAAGTCTTTAATAATTAATATCTGACTTCTATAAAAAAAGATAATCTATTCATCAAATTCAATGCATATTCATGGAGCTTACTGTGTAACACCGTATTCATCTTCGGATAAGATTCGCCCATTCTTCTTCCAACGTATTTCTGGTAACGGTTTACCAGAAGCTAAACATTTCAACTGTACAGTTGTACCTTCAGGTTGAATAACTTTCGTTGGTTCCGAATGACCACTACCATCCGTTCGTGAGACAAATTCTGGTGCTTCTAAAAGACACATACGAAATCATTTCAAACCAAACAAATAGACAATCTAAATACCTCCACTCGGTGATTCAATATCCCAAGGAATCAAACTTTGTGAGTCATATTCATTTGCATTATTCGATGATGTTCGATTTGCTATTATTAAATCGAATTGATTTGTATGTTTGATGCTTTAAATGAAAACTTACATTTAACATTAACACGAAATTGTACTTGTACACTGCCGAATCCATTGACAACATTGCATTTGTACAGACCGCCATCCGTCGACTGTGCTTTTGGAATTTTTAATAGAAAACGTTTGATTAATAGATTCGTTGATGACCATATAGGTTCAAGATCTTCATTATTTTTCAACCATTGAATTGATAAATCAGGGGTATTAATCACTGGACATTGTAACTCAATCGGATCGTTTTCATCGACATTTAACGTTACAAAATTGGATGCATTCGGAAGAAGAGTCGGTGGACCTAAAATGTCATTAATTTACTTCAATTTTGACCAGTCTGGATTAACCAAATTATCCATTCAATCTTTAATTTACGTGAGAACTCACAAATCTCTGTCTCTAATGATATTCTCTCCATCATCGTGTCCAAACAGTTTCAACTCTCAAAAGAATAGGGCCACTAACAATGCTAATTTTCAATGAGCTCTTTGAAGTTTTTATCAAGATGCATTATCATTGATCTTTGCGCATAACAAAAGCCAGTCGTGTTTCTTAGCTTGATAATGATCAACTTCTTTCTAATTTGTTGCAGTTTCATTAGAAAATGTTAGTCATACTTACCTCGTGCGAGAACATGCCCGATGTAAACAACAAGTAAAGGAAATATTAATTGATTCATTTGTAAATTGACTCGGATCTAGAATGAATTGAAAACAATAATCTATTGAGACATTCAATTACATTACTTTCTCAGAATACTAAATACAAGTGTTCAATTAAATAAGGAGAATTATTCTAATCAGTATTACTCTCGCTGACCAAGACGACTGAAAGTTCATTCAATCTACTCGATCATTTCAGAATGACAACTAAACAATCGATTATCAGTTATCTATGCATGACGAAGACTATGCAATAAATAGCAAAAGATTGTAATCATGTGTCTGCGCGGAGTATCTTTCCATTCCATATTTAGAGAGAGAGGGAGATAAAAAAAAACTTCTATCTAAGCAATCATCGAGTTAAAACATCTTGCGTGAAAGTTATGCATTTCGATCGAGCGGAATTGTTTATCTCGACAAACGGTCTGATGATTATTTTCTCAATTGTGAAATATTGACTTGCGAAGTGAACTCTCATATATTCAAACAAAGTAATCATAGATCGGACAGCAAACGTGTGTACAGGCGTGCACCCACTCGTCAAAAGCGTATAACCTTGAATGAATAGGCTCATTCATCATCATCTATCCGTACAATGTTCATGGTTCAGCTACATGTGTGCATGAGAAAAAAAAGATCAAGAAACAAAAGGGCATCTGTATATATTTGTTTGGATGATGTCTGTCTTCTATTCAGAATCAATGGAGGAAAAAAACACTTCTGACGCAATGGTCTATCTCAATTGAACGACAAATAAAAAGATCAAATAATATTCACACATATACCTAAACATTTCTCACTTATCATATTTTTCAATTTAACAGTTCGTTCTAAATGTCAATAAGCTGCTTCGTCTTCTTGGTTTTAGATTGTTTATGAAACGTGAGAGAGAGAGAGAAAGAAAATAGATATCGATCACAGATGTACGTAAATCAAAATCATTGATAAGAAACATTTTTATCAGCTCAGCTGTTCAAATTTATCTCCCATTGGTTGATATGAATGAAAAAGAAAGTAAAACGACAATACACTTACTTTTCTTCACGTCAACTTCTTCGTATTTTTGTCTGTTATTAAAATAAAATTAAAAAAACCGAATAGTTTAATAATTGACCGTTTGTGTTCAATCTCTTTCAATGTGTGAAATTGTCTTTTTCGTTTGTTCAAAATCGATCTATAATGATGATGATGATCATCATCATCGAGCAAGTTTATGTGAACGTCTAATGATGGAAGAGGACGAATAACAAGTGGACGTGCACAATAACGAGAATACGTAGCAGCTATCGTTATAGTGAAGGGAAAAAAAGGAGGAAAGAGAATGTACATATATCTTATACATTCAGACAGAGATGAATCGAAAGAGAGAAGAGAAGAGAAGAAAAAAAAAGAATTGTTCAGTAACATCAGCAAATCAATCAGAATAGGAAAAGAGACAGACGAGTACTAATTTACAGATAGACAGGATAAAAAGCTCTGGCTACTATCATGGGAAGTGCCTGTCAACGAAGTTGCNACGTCAACTTCTTCGTATCTTTGTTTGTTATTAAAATAAAATTAAAAAAAAAACGAATAGTTTAATAATTGACCGTTTGTGTTCAATCTCTTTCAATGTGTGAAATTGTCTTTTTCGTTTGTTCAAAATCGATCTATAATGATGATGATCATCATCATCATCGAGCAAGTTTATGTGAACGTCTAATGATGGAAGAGGACGAATAACAAGTGGACGTGCACAATAACGAGAATACGTAGCAGCTATCGTTATAGTGAAGGAAAAAAAAAGGAGGAAAGAGAATGTACATATATCTTATACATTCAGACAGAGATGAATCGAAAGAGAGAAGAGAAAAAAAAAGGAATTGTTCAGTAACATCAGCAAATCAATCAGAATAGGAAAAGAGACAGACGAGTACTAATTTACAGATAGACAGGATAAAAAGCTCTGGCTACTATCATGGGAAGTGCCTGTCAACGAAGTTGCTTGTGTTAACTATGCATAGTTGTACATGTCGGCACAATCATCTAATGAATATAATAATAACGAGGGAGCGTCGAATGAAAATGAACGCGTGTTAAAAATGAATTTTTAATTTCATTGTCTTTGCGCTTCTTTGACTCACGCACATCTACATGCATGAAACGCTCGATAGTTACTTATCGGATTCATCAAACCATCAAAAAGAAATGGGTGGTCGGCAATTATTGACAACACACACAATGAAGGACAGGAAGCGAAGATTATTTTATTATAATCATCATTCATTCATCCAAATGTAAACTACCAATGAGTGGAATGAACAGATGCGTGACAAATCAATATCTACCTATACGTGTATCTATATCAATTGCTCGATTTCAACGTATCTTACATTCAGATCGATCAAGATAAATAACATTGCTCATTCTTCGTTCGTATATTTATTTATCTGAAATTTCGCATGTTATATGACTTCATATGAACAGATAGATATTATTCTTTCCGTATTTACTTTATTTCTCTTTCTCTCTTTTTTCTTCTTTAATCGTTATTGATGATACTTAATCCTTTCCTACATCACTTTACAACGATGCAATGAAATCTGAGTCGCTTTGATGTGTTCAATCTCCTGGTGTGATCCTAATATCTTGAGTACATATTGATGCAATGTTCGTTCTATTCTGGAATTTATTTCCTTCAAGTGTTACTGTTCACCATTCATTCTTTTCGAATATGTCAAAGTCAAATGAACATTTCTGATTAATTTTTCAAGTGTTTTTCCTCTCTATGCAGACATAAGATTGATTTCGAGCGTATCAAGATATCAATTGTTAGAAAAACAAAAATATCTTTCAATGTGTGAGAAAGATAATCATTCTTCGCAGTTCAATAAGATAAACACAACTACACCCAAACAACAATAATGATGAACGGATGAACAGATGAGAACTAATTCGACAAACAATAGATGAACGAAGAGAGAATGACTAAGAAGCGTCGTGAAGGGCGCGTCATTCAATCTTTTGTTAAACAATCGAGATATAAACTTGAATTCGAATGTGAAATTCCATATGGAATAAGAATTTAATTTGAAAAAGTCAATGTATATTTTCTTTATTCAGATACGTTTGTGTACAATCAACAATTGTGAATAGAATACACTCGAAGATAAGCTTATTTTTCTATGAAATATGATCTTGTATTAGATGAGTTCTCCTATGGATGAGAAGACAAAAGAGACAAACAATTTCACGCGATTGTATCAATATGATAAGATGTTTAATGGAGAGATTTTGACTTCTATTGTAAGTTTAATAGTCAACGTTGATAATAAAAAACGAAGATACAATTGAGATTAAGAAAGAAAATCAAATCAATGCTGTTTGTAATACTTGTTGGTTCTTTACCAGGCAATTCTGGCGATAAAACAACGCGGAAACTTGCGAATACACAGTTTTCTCAGCTCATCAATAATTAACCATGACATACCGAATCCTAATGTTGGCATAACATATTTTACAGGAACAGGACCTGTGCTGAAAACTTGATTAAACCATGCTACTTGTGTAATTAGCAATTGAACACCAGCCGAGATAATCATAGCGCCAAAAACATACCAATTTCTACCTTTGCCCCAGAATGGATTGTGCTCGAAGATCGATGTATATCGTGTGCGTGTTGCAAAATAGTTAAAGAATTGAAATAAACAAACCGAACAATAGTAAACTGATTGAGCGACATATGTCATTGTTATTAATTCATCATTTGTGTATGGAGTTTTGGGATCAATGCCAAAATTCTCAAAGGTAAACATGAAGGAATAAAATGGTACACCTTTGTCAATCCAGTAATAACAGAAGCAGAAGAATCCAGTGAAGCATTCGAAATTACCAACGAACATGTAAGCATGGAAAAGCAATTTGAGATTTAATAAATGATCTTTCGAACGAATTGATGGTGCGCGGGACATGATATCGCGCTCAGGTTTTTCTGTTACCATAGCCAGTGACATAAACACATCTAAAAAATTGGATTAATAGTAAGATAGTTGCCAAGAATTTTCTATGAACGTACCATTAACCATACAGAAGACAGTGGCAAGAAATGCGGACAATGCCAACGGCATTCCAAACCATAGATTGAAAAACACAGGCCAGATCTGTGACCATGAACCTATGAAGTAATCAAATGTAAAAGAAAGAATATCGACGTACAAATGTCAACTTACCACCAGGTAGTAAGTATATAGCAACTTTCTTCAAATTGTCACTTAATAAACGACCAGTTTCGATGGCTTGAATGATTGATGCGAAATTATTATCTAGAAGAACCATATCACCTGCTTCTTTTGATACTTCAGTTCCGGATTGCATGGCAACACCCAGATGAGCACATTTCAATGCAGGCGCATCATTCGTACCATCGCCGGTTACAGCAACAATCTCAGCTCGTCGTTGAAATTCGGTCACTATACGTAATTTTTGTTCGGGCGATGTTCGTGCAAATACAAGTTCTTGATGCGATAACACCCAGTCCCACATGAAATCGTCCATATGATTGATTTCGGCACCGGCGACGACAACTGCGTATGGAATGTATTCCATTTTCTCGGTGGGTTCAATATCTGTTTCAGGTTCTTTCACTTGATTTTTACATGAAGCCCAAGCTCGTTTATACCAAGGTACCTTTTGAATTTTAGCACTTTTACCGGTGGCCGATGCTCGTCGTATCATTTCCTTAGCGTTGTTTGAAAGAGAATCGGTTCGTTTTGCTTCACCAGGTGGATGCTGTTGGATTAATCGATCATTACGATACAGATTCAATACCGGTTCATCGTTTGCATTTCTTTCTAATTTGAACGTATCAACACCATTCATATCGGCAATTTCTGGTGTTAGGATATGAACTTGTTTAGCAATTGCCTTCGCTGTTGTTGGATGATCACCAGTGACCATTGCAACACGAATCTGAGCACGACGTGCTTTCAGCACAGCATCAGGTACTTCAGGTCGAGGTGGATCGAGCAAAGAGAAAAGACCGGCAAAACAGTAGTTGTTCGATGGAAATCCACAAAGATCTTCCTCGTTGTCTGACGAATTTGATCGTTGTTTGTTTTTGTAAGCTTCGATCATTTCGTCAAATTGTTGCCGTGTGATTCTTTGTTGACACATAGCAATAACACGATTACCATTCTTGCCTAATTCTTCTTGTCGGCCAAATATAGTCTTTTTTATTTCACTATCTAACAGTGCAACTTGATCGTTGTTCTTTTTGTAAGTTGAGCATCGTTGAATGACGATATCCGGTGCACCCTTCAATGTTAATAAAACTGTTCGATTGCATTCCGGAATTGAAGGATCAGTTGATTCCAATTGATTGGCTGAGATCATGAATTTATTGGATGAGTTGAATGGTAACACTTTTAATCGAGGATTAACATCTCGAACTTTGTCAATATCCAGGAAACATCGATCGTTGCAAAGGTTATAAAGTGCTGTATCAGCAGCATCACCGACAACACGTAATTCACTTTTCATTTTTGAAATGTCTTGTCCAATCTGTGCATCTTGGACTATTTGAGTTTCAGCGTTGTTACAAAGCGCTGCACCAAGTAAGAGATCTCGGAAAGCTTCAATTTTGATTTCACTGGCATCCGATGATAGTTCTTTTCCTCTGTGTACTGGTGCGGCGGGTTGTGGTTGACCGATACTACCAGTTGATAATTTTCGTACCATTGTTGCTGCATCAACAGAGAGTCGACGAACTGTTTCAATAGCACCAGATGAAAGTCGACGAATTGTTTGAAGGATGGTTTCTTCCTTTGTTGGTTCTATTTGAGGTAGAGGAACTTTGTAGGTACTATCCACATCCCATAGGATATGTGTTACTGTCATTTTGTTTTGTGTCAATGTACCAGTTTTATCTGTAGCAATAACCGAAACAGAATTGAAAGTTTCAACAATTTGTAAACTTTTCACCAATACACGCTGTCGATACATTTGCTTAGCAACAATCGTGAGTACTAAAGCGCACGGAAAGGCATGACAAAAATTGATTTTTAACGGTATATCTACTTACCGAGAGTAACAGCTGATGGTAAACCGACGGGTAAAAAGCCAACAATCATACCAATTGAATTGACAATGTTGGCATTGTATGAAACAAATCCATAATGATCACGATTCAGCCATGATGCCCATGTTATCCACAAGATGATGATAGCTGTTATTGTAGACAAGACGACGAACAGAACGAAGCGATTGACTTCACGATGGAGACCAGTTACAGCATCACCAGAACTTCCTCGTGTTAATTTCGACATTTTACCTAAGACACTATCATCGCCTGTGGCAATGACTACAGCTTCACCTGTACCTTGCTCGACCATGGATGAATAAAAGCCAATATTTGACGATTCCATAAAAGTTGTACTAGTACAACGAACGGTTGCCGAAACGGGCTTTGATTCACCGGTCAATTCGGATGTGTTTACCTAATGGAAAAAAAAACAAAAATTTTAATTTTTAAACGCTGAAATTTTCCTGCGAAATCTACTTTGAGACCATCACAGGATATGAATCGACAATCAGCTGGTAGTTTGTCACCCATTCGAATCAAAACAATGTCTCCTGGTACGAGTTCTGTTGCGACAATTTGTTGTTCCCTTCCGTCACGTCGTACTGTGGTCAATGTTGGTAACAGTTTTGAGAATGCTGCCACGATTTTAATCGATTTCAATTGTTGATATACATTGAGAATCGAATTACATGTGATAACCAAGATGAGAACAATACCTAAGGCCAAATTGGTAATCGAGGGATTGGGTTCACCGAAAGGTTTGTAGGCTAGAAAAGCCAAAACACCAGCAAACCAAAGAATGCAATTGAATCCCATGAACAATTCTTTGAACAATAGCCAGAGATAAAATGGTTGTTTTGGCGGCGTCAATTTGTTTTCGCCATACTGAGCACGGACTTCAGGTACGAAATCATCCGATAAACCTGTTCGCGGATCAGTATGAAAACGTTTGAAAACATCTTCCAGTGGAATAATATGAACATCTTGATCAAGACGAGATTTGTCCACTGTTGCCCATAAATCGATTGCTGAATCTTGTCGTGATGGTCCCTGTCTATGAGGGGTATGACTTTTGTCATGGATGTCTTCATCAAGTTGTATACCTTGATTATCCATGATGATGTATTCGGTTCGATTTCACTTCTTGCACTTTCGAATGTATACTTATGTATGTGAGTTTATATATATATATACAGTCGTGATAGGCAGCAAAATTTCAATCTATACTCAATCAGAAAAGAAAAACAATTGTTAAAGGTAAATTTTGTGTATTTTTAACTAAGTACTCACAAAGGTTAAAAAATCCGATAGTCAGAAAGATGTTCTATGGATAAATTGCAATATATTTACATTGTGCTGCATGAAAAACGTATACCTGATTGAAAAGAAATCTTAGTAATGCTTTCTACCCATTCCCTTTCTTATGTGACTGCCCATTATTAATTGTCGTCATCATGTAAGCTCTGTTTTTCTCCTTCAATCAAAATCCTACGTAGTGGTATTTCATATTTTTTGTCTTTCATTAAATATCTTTTTTTCAATCTTGTTCATAAAACATCTATTGAAGAATATTACCTTGACAACCAAGATTTCAGAACTGTTCAAGCCTTCTAAGAAGACTTCTCATAAATGGAATTCGAACAGTTTTATCGAAAATCTTAAAAAGCGGACGGTGTTTATCGTGTGAATCAAATGAATAGAATATTTTCTTTTGTATTTCTCAGGCGGTGATCATATGATCTGAATCAATTCAGTACATAACAAGATCTCTATATAGGAATACTTGCTGTGTACTGCTTTGCACTCGTTTGTAATTATATTTTTGACATCACATGCAACTGGATGAATAAGTGGAATCGAGTGATCAGTGTTTACTTGTTTGGTTATATTTATAGACTTTATTCGCGTAGAAAAAACGAACGATCCTTTCAATGTTTGCTTTCTTTCATACTCAAACAAGTACATCCAGAAAGAAACAAAAAGTACATCATATACCCAAAACTTCATTAATACCGTTTCGCAAAGGAGATTATTGACCGAAGCTACACAATTGCTTCTCGGTATATAGATGACTTATATACTCTATTTTCATTATTTTCAAGGAGCTGATTACAAAAGCAGTAATACAAACAAACTACACATTCTCTTCGTTCGAATCATCTTCTAATCAGAAGTATTTTTCAGTTTAAGAAAATATTATCGATGTCAAAATGCCCCAATAAGACATAGAAATCACTGGTTATTCATGAAAACATTCAATTTCACAAAAGATAAACTGTAGAAGATCTCATAAATCGCAACAAGAACGAATAGTATTTATCGTGTTGATAAAGTTCATTGTAATCATAATATTGTACTTATATCTATGCGTGCAAATTTTATAGTTCTTATCGTACTTATTTCGTATTATTTATCGTAAAATTCTTCTATTTTACTTTCGAACATCATGTTCTTAATTTGTCTCTCTCCATCGATATTTCTGTACTGTGAACGAAAATATTCGTGAAGATCCAAATTTGAATTAGTTTTACTCGATGATCAGGAGTTTTATTCAGTAATTGCACGTTGGAATAAATACAATACATACATTGAAAAGAAATTCAAATAAGAATGAATCACATTTGATCAAAAACACATACTGAAAAGTAGCAACGAAAAAACAAATCAGGACAATTGTTTACTGGAACTTGGCCGGAATGATGAATTAACCAAATTCGATTAAAACCAAAACAAACAAAAAAATATAATAAATTAATCAAAACATGCGAATAGAAGAACATTTAAATATGTACGATGGAAAAATAACTATGAACTGAATCGAATTTCTACTGATACGACATGAATTACGATTATTTTTTTGCGACTCCAAAGTATATGCCAAGAATTAATGCGATAATGACAATGATTGTGATTAAGATTCCGATAAGAATAATCTTCTTACGTCGAGCTGCAGACTAAAATAAAATCAAATGAAATCTTTCCAAAAATTCATTCGAAAGAATCTACTTGATAAGTAACAGCTTGTTTCAACTGTCGATTACCAGTATCAACGTGTGCTTCAGTTTCAACGACATTGTTTTCGATATTATCTAAATCGGATCAACTTTTGCGTATTATTTACACAGACAGAAGATATTTTCGCTGACTCACCGATGATTTCACCGTGTTCATGTACAAGTTTAGCAACATCTTTAAATAATTCATTCACTTCGATGATATTCGTCTAGAAAAACATCAAATGATTGATTTATTTCTCTCGAAAGGCAAAATTCGATTTTTACTTCTAATTGTCGTAGTTGACTGTCACGTTCTTGTATAGCTCGTGCATCTGCTTCTTGTTCCATAGGTATAACAACTTGTTGTTGATAGGGCGTGTTTGTGAAAGCTACATTGTCTACGCCGTTTGAATCGTGCATACTATGTTTTCTGAATGAAGCTGAGCGAGCTCGTTCAAGACTAGCTTTTTCTTTTTGAGCACCAAGACGTTGTAATTCTTGAAAACGATTAATTAGTTTCATGTACTGTTGAGATAATGTTTTGGTTAAGTTTTCTTTATGTCTCTGAAAATGATGAATGAAATTCGTGCTGTGATTAATATATGAACAAATGTTTCGCGTACTCGATCGTCTTCATTTCTAACCGGAGTAGATTGAAGTTGCTCGAAAGCGCGATTTGTCTGCTGAACCAATGTTTTCATTTCATTTTGTAAATGAAGACTAAGAAGAAAAAAAAACAATGCATCAGTACTAAATCTTATTGAGATTGTTTTTGACTTACTAACGATCTCGCAATGGTTCAGAATCGTCTGATGTTCCAATCTTCTGAATGAGGCTTTCAAGTTCGCTGACTAGAAATTCATTCGATGAAAACAATTAGAAAGCAAACGGGTTTTGATTGAAACGTACTGTTGTTCTTGATCTTTGAAATATTAGTTGTTATCGCATTATTTATTCGTTGGAAATCACTGGCACTTGACACTAAAAGATGAACGAAATGAAGGAAAAGCATGATTTACTTAGAATTTAACTCACTCTCTGACGATTGAGTAAAGAATTCAAAAAATAAATATAAATCTACAAGTCAAAATTCTTCGTGAGAGTTGATCAAATGTACGACGATACGAAAGATAGTGTTCATCTCATTCAAGGAAAACTATAAGTATTAGAATTCTGTCCAAATACTTACATTTAATATTCTATACTATTTTCATGACAAATTCGAACTGTATGCGTATGATTTAGCTAAATGCAACCTGATAGTATTTAACATTTATTAAAAAAACTCTTCATTTTATGTTATTGTTGACTCATATCATAAAAACCTGCCTGCCCACACATCGACTGATGATTCATCTTTCGCTATAGCCCTGATCGTCTATAGATGTCACTGTTATTACTCATAAATAAAAGAGAAACGATTTTAATGTTAAAGTTCATCGAAAATTAATGATTTTTCCTTTCTAATTTCTGTTAAATATTACTTAGAAGAATTCACCAATCGCAACGAATGTCTTTCATCTCAATCAACACACAGGAGTCATTCAGTTACTCATCTAGTTATTACGTTATTGAACCCAAAGCGCCATTTGAAACGAGGGACATAAACAACTAAATGGATACTGGAGATTTAAACTTACCCGCTTATAAATACCAACTTGAACAAGTAAGTCGATCGATTCTTATCATTCTAATCTGGCTCCATCCCGTTGTTTTTAGGTCGAATTAGCATTAAAAGCAAAACCAGATGATCCCGAGTTACTCAAACTCAAGCAAGATCTTGAAGTAAGATTTGTTTTCTTCACTCAACTAACCAAAAATCACATTTTTTTTCTACTCAGGAAGTCATTCAAATAACAGCTGAATTACTTGGCTGTGATCCATCGATTTTGGATTCCGATGAAGCAGCTGCATCTTCGTCTGCCAATTATAGTGAAGCAGCATCGTCAAGTTACGCATCAGCAGCACAATCTAGCAATGCCGCTTCTTCATCATCAACTCGTACAGCTATTAAGTGGAAAACAGGTGATCGATGTTTAGCACCGTGGAATGAAGATGGAAAGTATGTGTTAACATTTTCTCACTAAGAAATCACAATCATTTCCGTAAGATAAATAAGACAAATTCCCTCGAAAACAAAACACGTGAAAGTATTTTCGTAGGGAAAATGAGAAGATGAACTATACAATAAAAAATGTCTTGGACTCTGGAGATAATATCATAAACACGTTTTGTTACTTGTGGGAAAATATTATCTGAAAAGAACATCGAGAAGTAAGTTCAAGATGAAGCAACAAGAGAGAGCGCATGATGTCTTCTCAGAAATAATAGATTCACGCAGTTTGGGTTTATTACTGATGGATAATAAGTTATTGTACGATTTGCTTTTCTATAGGTATTATGAATGTACAATTGACGATGTACTTGATGATGGGACATGCACAATTGTCTTCGATGGATTTGAATCAGCACCATTAACGGTTGTTCGAGTATGTATTGGAAATTTCCTTTGTAATGGAAGGAAACCATTGCCTTTGGTTTCGTTTAGGTTTCAAAATTAAAACCATTCGATCGAACACGGCCAGATTCTAGTGGATTTCGATCTGCTGCTAATCGAGCTAAAACAAAGTAAGAATTGTTCAGAAGAAAATTGTTTTTTTTTAACAGCATGTTTTACTTTCTAGACGTGAATTAGAACAACGTTTACGCGAACTCAAACGTAAGAAGAAAGATAAGAAACTAGCAAAATTAAAAGAAGCCAATGAAGAAAGTGAAAAAGATAAAAAGCGATGGACTGATTTCAACACAAAAGTATGTTTGAGCTCTTCAATCTATGAATTATACCGATCTCTCATTTTATAGCTTACTAGCCGAACATGGAAAGGTGTCGTTTCAAAATCAATGGTCAAAACGGATAAACGAGCTGAGCAATTGCGTGGTACAACTAACGGTTATTTAGTTTCTAGTTATAAACCAGCTCAACCACGACCATAGACTTGTTTTTTTTCTGTGTAAAATCTGCGCCAGCGATCTTCGGATTCTTGTCTTGTCATTTTTCGTTTTGCGTCTGAATGTAATCTTATATATGTGAGGAAAATAAGAGAAAACATGAATAAAACGATGTTTATCTACCATTCTAGATATCTCTTGGATTGATTTGAATTCGTGTGGAGAATAACGACGGCTGCTTCAGAAGAAAAACCATGCAAAGTACTCGTCTGTTAATCACCGCACAACGCTGTTCATCAGCATCTAGACTTAACCATTTATTGAGACGATGTCTTACCACTGCACATTCAACAACAAAAACCAATTTACATAAGTGAGATACTGATACACTTAATCTGCACGAGAGATGAGAGTGTGATATCCTGTTAGAATTGAGGAGAAGCAAATAATCTTTCATAGCATGGGATAAATTATTTACATCTTCATATTTATTTAGATCATCGTTATCTCTAGTCGATTCGTACCGTTCACCGTATTTGAATAGTCGATTATTGCCCTTGCCACAATGTAGTGTAATCACTGTTCGATATGCCTCTTCCGGTAGCTTACCATCTCATAAGAAGATAGCTCTTCCAGCGTTATCGCCAACTATGGAAACTGGTACATTGAGATCATGGTCCAAGAACGAAGGAGATAAAATCGCAGAAGGTAACTATGATTGCTCCTTAAGATAATCTTCCTTTTTGTTCATTTCCCAAACAGAAATAAGAAAATGTCTATTTTTCTAGGTGACATTTTGGCCGAAATCGAAACAGATAAAGCAACACTAGGATTCGAGTCAGGTGACGAAGGTTATCTCGCTAAAATTCTTATTCCTGCCGGTAGTAAAGACGTGCCTGTTGGAAAGGTAAGCCGAGAAATAGTTCTTTGGGTATTTTCTTCAACTGTACATATTTTAGCCATGTGCCATTATTGTTGAAAAGGAAGAGGATATCGCTGCATTTAAAGATTATAAAGATGATGGTAGTGGATCGACTGCAAAGAAACAATCATCCGAAGAACAGGCGCCTTCGCCAACAAAATCAGAGAAGAAAGATAAAGAATCAACAAGCAAAACGGAACAACAAGCGGTATCAACTCCAAAAAAAGAAAAAACGACACCAGCATCTGATAAAACAACGAAAGGCGAACGAATCGCAGTATCACCACTAGCTAAAAAATTAGCCGAAGAAAAAGGCATCAATATCCAGGTAAATGATTGAATTCTTCGCTCTATTTTTGATAACATATTCGCTTGACGTTCTCTAGTCAGTCCAAGGTAGCGGCCCTAATGGTCGAATCGTTGCGGAAGACGTCGAGAAATTTATCAAAGAAGGTGGTGCCAAAGCTAAAACAGACACTAAGAAAGCCAAAGATACACAAGCAGCTCCAAGCAAAGCATCAAAGAAAGATAAGGAAACTTCAGGACGTGCAGGTGGTTATGACGAACAAAAAGTATCCGAAATACGTGAAGTAAATCATCTGTGTTAAAATATTCGTATATCTAACACGTTTTGTAAAGGAAAATGCCCGCCGTGTAACTGAGTCAAAGACAACTATTCCACATTATTATCTAACCATTGAAGTTGAACTCGATGAAATAATCAAGTAGGTGTTTTTTCTAAACTTACATCAAGTTGCTAATCTCTCGTTTTATTGTGTAGATTACGTGAAAAACTCAATGCTATGTTAGCACCAAAATCGAAAGATGCAAAAGATAAGTCACAAGGTATTACAATCAATGACTTCATTGTGAAAGCAGCTGCACTCGCTTGTAAGAAACGACCAGAAACAAATAGTGTTTGGATGGATAAAACTATTAGACAGTAAATTTATTTCCCAGAGAAAATTTCTGTTCTCATTCAGTTTTAAATATTAGATACGATACAGTTGATATCAACGTAGCCATTGCTACTGATGCCGGTGTTCTGATGACACCTATTGTCTACAATGCTGATCAAAAGGTGTGATTCTGTAATATTGATTCTGTTTTGAAATGAAATTTATCTTTTCATTTAGGGTCTCTCCGCGATTAACAAAGAAATCTCTCAATTGAGCGAAAAAGCTAATAGTGGAAAATTGAATGATAACGAACTTGAAGTAAAATAACTCGAGTGTTTTACTATTCTGTTCTCACATTCATTTGTTTAGTTGGGAACTTTTACTATTTCGAATTTGGGAATGTATGGTGTGACAAATTTCAGCGCTATCATATACCCTCAACAGGTAAGGTTCTATTGATTGAAAAAACTTAATCTTACTAAACGTTCCTTCTTTAGTCCGCTATTTTGGCGATTGGTGGTACTGACACAAAGATTGTTCCTTCAAAAGAATCTCCAAAAGGGTATATCTACTTTGACTTGATGGTTCTGTATAAATAATCACTAACTCACATTTTTGATAGATACCGTCAATCAACTGTACTCAATGTAACATTAGCGTGCGATCATCGAGTCATTGATGGTGCTGTTGGCGCCCAATGGTTGCAAGAATTCAAACAATTTCTTGAAAGTCCAGGATCAATGATTCTATAAACAATTTTAGGCGATCAACTCTCATGTGTTGTCTTTGTTTTTCTTCCCCTTTCTATGCACGTTTTTATTTATCAACAGTTGTAGCCTAGCATCGTGATATAACAATCCTGTCACGTGCATATTCTCTACCTCCACTTATTTTTTAGTAAAAGCAACCAACAGTATACCGAATGATCTTCTTTTTTTCATCAGTAATAGCCATATCGAAAGAAATAGTCATACATTAAACATTAGTCATGAAAAGTGTCGAGTATTCTAGTACTGTAAAACATAGAATGATCGCCATTTACTAAGCATATCCATGCTTTCCAATTTTTAGATTATCTATTTTTCAAATAACAAAGAGAAAGTTTCTAATGGCTGTCAATGCTCTTTCACGCAGTGTTTATTCAAAAGTACGTCCATTGTTATCTGCTAGTGTGGATACATTGAGTGTATTATCACGCGATTATCATGAGAAAGTTATCGATCACTATGAAAATCCTCGAAATGTTGGATCATTTGATAAATCGGATACGAGTGTTGGAACCGGACTTGTTGGCGCACCAGCTTGTGGCGATGTAATGAAATTACAGGTAGACTTTTACGGAAGTTCTTCTTTGCATCGTAAGCTAATCAAGCTTTCGTGTTGTTAGATCAAGGTAGATGAAAATGGTAAAATTATCGATGCAAAATTCAAAACATTTGGTTGCGGTTCTGCTATTGCTTCATCTTCCTTAGCTACAGAATGGATTAAAGGTAAATCTATCAACGAGGCAAATACAATTAAAAATCAAGATATTGCTAAAGAATTATGTTTACCACCAGTCAAATTACATTGCTCAAGTAAGACAGCAAGCTCTCTTGTATTTCTTTTCATCTACGATTTCGTCGTTATCATATTCTAGTGCTGGCCGAAGATGCAATCAAAGCCGCAATTAATGATTATAATACGAAGAAACAGAAGAAAAGTCAGAATTAAACAAGTGATGAATGGCCTTGTTAGTCGTGTACAGTGATCTGCGTTTTGATTTTTTTGTCCTTCATTCTTACTCTAGCAGTTTACTTTTTATTTGGTTATCCAACACTTCCATTTTGACTTTTCATTACCTCTAAGATGATTTGCAAACATTTGTACATTAATTCTCAAAGATATTTTCTGTTAAATAAACCAGCGTATAACCCTCAAGATTCAAAGGAACGTTCTTTATCCCAACGGAGATTGTGTTTTGCGTACAATGTGTCTATTTTCATCGAAGAAAGATTCATTATACAACATTAAAAATGCTTTCCTCCGGCATCAAGGATCAAACCTATCCTTTTCACCAGAGGGTAAAGCAATTTCTGAATGTAAACTTATTACATTTCTTTTCATCTTTTTACATGTCGTGACTGCCAAAGATTAGTAACTTCTTATAGACGACTTTTCAGGGCGCATCATCATGCGCTTCGTGGGAAGTTCGTAATCAAGAGCGACTTGAACATTGAAGTATTAAGTTTATTCGGATAAAGAAAGAGTCAATTGTTTGACGAGATATTTCGAAATCGATCTGAAATTTGGTTTTTATTTAACTAAGGATTGGGTAAATGCATCTGACGAAAAAATACGTTTTTCAGAAAATATCTACGTATAAAAATCTGAAGGTTCAAGTTTGATGTTTGATGAAGATGAAGACGATGTCCATTGATCAGACGGTTCTTCATGTTGTATAGAATGTTGATGTTGTTCTGGTTCCCGAGGATGAACTTGTTGTGACGAGTGATAATGCGATTGTTGTTGCAATCGATGTAATGGTGCAATGCGTTCAAGGTCAATGGTTAAATACCGTTTATAATCCGATGAATTTAACAGTTCATAACATTGATCGGATAAACGATATTTTTCTCCAATATCAAGTGTGCCTAATGTTTGAATATAACGATCGTATTCGACACCAAAACGACCCAAACGTTCGTTGAGTTCATCGTCATTTGTATCATTCTGATTAGTATTATTGTTTTCATCATCCTTTAACATTGGGGCGCATTTAACCAGAAGATCAACACGTCGTCTAGTTCCGTCAACCATTTGCACACCTTGTCTAACCATGATAAGTAATCGATGTTTTTTCAATTCTTCGATAACTGAATCAAGATAAGCAGCATTGCGTTTTAATTTAGAATTAGCATAAACAGATGTTCGTGTGAATGCTACATATGGTAAAAGCAGCAATTCATGAGCAAGTTCCAATGATTTGACATAAGATGGATCAACGAACGTTTTCAAACGTTTCGATGCCGGAGATACAGAACGCGGTGGGAATGATGACGAGGATGACGTTGTTGTTGATGATGGATGCATGATCCATGATCGATCAGACATAGATGCTTGATTGATTAATGTTGATGGTCTAGAAATGGGAAAATGAAAAAAGAGAATTTCTTTTTCTTTTGCATTTTGATGCTAAATTTACTCTGAAGTTGGTGTTCCGGTACTTAATGATGGTTCAAACATGGTTTCAAATTGTTTGATACTTGTATTAACAAGATAGATAGCAGATTGAACAGTCGACACTCCAATGCTGACTCGTGCGATCGTTGTTCCATTTCTTGTTTGATCGATAATGTGCGTACAATTGTCGAAAAATGTTTTATCTGCTTGACCAAAAGTATGAAATGTTCGCCGATAGACGATTAAAGTTTCAATAGCTAATTCAATAATACGTAACGAGGCAGACGCACGTAAAACTTGTTCCCGTGCAGATAAATATCTTGCGGACATACCTGGATGACTATCTTCCAGAGATGTTGCTAAAAAAAAGACGTACTCACCATACTGTTATAATTACACACTATGAGTGAATAGAAGAACTCTCACCTTTCAATGCTAGTGCATCAAGATAATCACACATGAATTGATTCGCTTGTGGATCGTCGAAATAGAAATCGACTAAGTTCGAACAATGACAATTCAGCACAATGATCCATTGTTCAAGTGATGGGTAACGACTAGGATCGAATAACTTTGGTCGTCGGCAAAATAATCGTGCTTTACTAGTAAGAAACAACATTAACCAATCGGTATTGTTCGTATGACTATATATTTGATTCACGGTAGGCGAGTTACTGTTATTTTGATGAAAAGAATGATGATGTTGAAATTTTGTTTCTAGCATTCTTTTAATGAAATTTCCATTACTAGTTCCAATAGTAGAAAAAGGGTTTTGTTTTTGAATATGCGAATAAGTTGCATGTTCATCAAATTTATCTGATAGGCAGAGGCCTGACGACACGGCTGTGTCATCCGATCGACAGAATATATTTGAATTAAATGTATGTCGATGATCATATTGTTGACCTGTTTGCCGAATGCTGTGCACATTATTCATCGCTTGTTTCACATGTTCAACAAGTGCAACCCTTTCATAACCTACGTCGAAATGAATTAAGTAAATATTTTAGAAATTTTTCGGATGTCTCCTTCAAGGTCTTTTCTCTCTTCATGTTCCATTACTTTTTGCACTTTCTTTTCCGTTCTCTTTTACAGACGGAAAGGTCATACAGTTCTCGCAAGAGAATGTAAAACTCCTAACGAGACTTTTTTTTGACAATACTTACTTATTAAGCATCAGCTACCCTTTACTTTTCTCCGCTATTTCAGTTTATTCAGATAGAAATAACTGCAACAGAAGGCATTAATAATTATATTTGCATCTGAACATGCCTATCAGAAAAAACTTAGTTGGAATAGAATCTTTTTTCTTCTACTGGTTCACTTCGACAAAAGGAAATAAACTATTCGTCGTTAATCAATAAAAGATTATGCAATAATCTAATATCTTTAATTAAAAAAAAAAGGAAAGCGAGTTCAATGTCCTCGCTAATAAGCAAAAAATAAAACTGACAAATAACCGGCAAAGCTATCCGAATACGGTTTTAAATATAGCTGCAATTTCTTTGACCTAATTCGTATCAGATTATCTATACCTAATTAGCAAGTACAGACAAAATACAAATTTAATTTGATTTTTCCCTCAAAAAACCTCCTTCAAAGAAGAATATTACTTATTTACCTGCCCGTACAATTAACAGTACGTGAAGATTGAGTTTATGCTTAAGCTGATTGTCAGCATAGACAAACGATGTTGATGTTAGATAATGTGAGGTTATTCCAAGTAAATGAAGAAATAGACCAGTACTATCATACATGTAATAATCACTTAATGCATGAATTAATTCGTAGGTATCTGGTGATAAAACTCGACGTAAATCAAGTTGATAGGATTCATTGAGAATCATAAAGGTGGAATCAAACCATTGCTCCATGGTGCTAATATTTTCATCATCCATAGCTATTTGCTCTTCTATTTTCAGCTATTCGATTGTGTTCTCTTTACTGTTTGCTACTCGTTCTACTGACGGCAACAAGAATTCTGATTGAAGAAAAAGAATTCTCCTTCTTTGCCTTCCATTTCTTTCTTTATTTCCTGCATCAAGCCTTCTGCAAGTCGAGTGCAGAATTTTATATGTTGTTAGTCGGTCGGGAGAGAGAAACGAGCAGAATCGACTATATATATATTTATATTTATATATATATATTTGTCCTCACTAATGGAGAAGAGAAGAATGAATAAATGTGAGTGCAGCTGTCCTGTCATTGAGTGTAAGAAAGGAAAATTTTATAGAAAAATGGGACACGAAGAATAAAAGGATCTTAGAGATCTGCGTCATGAATGTCGATAGCGTTTTTGCATGTGCTTTTAATAAGGGTGACAATGTTAGATAATCTGCGACATGACATTCTTTTATCAAAATTATCTTTAACTATAAAATTAGAAATTTTTCATCCTGTCGAATTAATGAAGCAGAGTCTGCTGAGAAAACACTTTCAAGGTTGCTAACAAATACTGTCCGGTCATAGAAAAACATTAATTAACTAAATCAATATTTAGGTGCACCTTTTAGCTTCTCTTTCATAGACAATGAACTCATATTTTATTAATTACAGTACTTTTTTTAATGCCTATTAAGTAAACGAGAAAGAGGCCAAATGAAAATTTTAGTATGTTTTTTAACGGATCGACGGATTCGAAATAACGTTATGAAACGAAAATAAACCTTTGCATTTGAAAATTCATGGACGACATTTTGACCTAGATTCGACTCATCTTAAGAAAATACCACTACTTGTAATTTCTGCTCAGTCTGAGAAATTTCAGTCGTGAGTAAACTAGAGAATTCTCGTTTCTTCAATGAAAATCTTCTGCGAATTAAATATAGTCATAATTGAGCAACCTACGGAATGATTCAAATGTCACGCCATGCAATGAACAAGCTTATGACTTGATCACAGATTAAAAAGACATGGAGAGGGAAATTCGCAATTCTTGTGTATCATCTTGACTTGGGCGCGGATTCAAAGAATGCAGAAATTACACGGCAGTAGCAAACTGAAAACATGGCAACGAGTCGCAACATTCAACAATGTTCCCTCTTCATGATATAAATCAACAAACATTATTTCTAACATTATATTAATCACAGAAGGATTCTTATTGTGAGACGCATGATTTTACTAGAAATATGATCAGAATGTTTAAATGACATATTATCTTCGTAAGAACAAAAAAACCCACTTCTTTCAAAATATATGAACCAGGCTTTTCTTTCTGATGACAGTTCAAGCGAATAGTAATAATACGAGACAGCAGTTTCATGATACATTAAACTAGTAACGTTATTGATAGCCTCATCCTTTTCTTACATCTACATTGCTGATTGTCTTCGTAGATATGTACAAATTCTGATGTGTTCTTTTCTTGTCGAAAAATCAAGTCATCGTTAAACCACATACACTGTTTAGTTTCGCCAATAGCAATGCTGAGAATATTTGTATTTATTCATTTTACATTCTGATTATATACAATGATAATAAATAAATGAAGTAACGCATGAGCGTATCTTATGATCAGCAATATGCGATGCAGTCGAGCGATGCATACGTGTACAACGACGAACGTTTAGAATAAAAAGAAGAAAATTAGTATTAGAAGGTTTCGATTTGTGTACTTTGATATATATCGTCATTGTTTGTGAAATACACTGTTTCCTTGATTTATTTTGACATGATCTAACCTAACTGAAATGAATCCTTCTGTAGCTGCAAATTCACGAGGCGAAGTAAGTGGTTTTTCTTTTGAATCGTTTTCTTTGAAGTGTTATCGGCTTTTTTCGTTTGTTAATTAAAGAAGCCTGATGAAATCTCCACTGTTGATTCGATTTCAAAGTCAGATGTTGACATAGCCGATTCAATACCAACAATTATTATCGAGTCATCATCCAACGGTAATAATTCACCTGTCACACCAAGCTCTCCAACGGATAAAAAACAGACTGATGAATCTGGATTCATTTCTCCTTCTCAGACACCACAGCAAGAAGCTACATATTCAGCGTCACTCAAAACAGCGGATTCTACTACTGCGACTACAACGCAACGCAATTCTCAATTACTTGATGAACTCAAATATTTACTGAAACCAACGAACTCGCTAGCAAATCCGGATTCGCCCATACAAGCCACGGTATAGTTTTTGTCATAGGAATTAATCGAAATATTTTAAGAATTTCTCCGTTGTAGCAAGAAGCAGATGTTGCAATAAAAAGGCGAACACTGCAGTTCGACGAAGATGTTCTGAAAGAAACTGATCGATTGTTAATCGAAGGGTTAACTCCAATCGAAGCAAAATCCCTTGGCGCTGTCGAACGTCGTTCAATCGCTTCGCGTGGTGGCCATCGAGTGTCGTATATCGATGCCGTCTCGAATCGATCGCGTGCTTCTTCGGTTCAACCAACGAGTTATACTGGTTACTATGCTCAACCAACAACTATTGATCTAGTTCATGAGCCTAAATCACATCGTACTCTTTTCGATCGTTTGTCTGATCTCATGTGGATATGCTTTGCTGCCTACTCTTTTAGTATCATTTTGTTTCTTACTGATAAATGCGGAATCGATCTCATTTTTGGTTTTTCTTTACAAATGATCATTCAAACAGTAGCATTTGGCATCTACGCTTTTTATAAAGGCTATAGTTTATTCGAACCGTTTGAATATCGAACTGCAATGATCGCTCGCAGTGTTTTCATCGGTATCGGTGTATTGACTGCTTATCTTGCTTATTATTATATAACATTACCCAATCTCTCGGCTTTTCGACAAACTCAAGTCATTTTAACTGTTTTATTAAGTTTAATTATCCTCCGAGAAGGCATTACTATTCCACGTATTCTCGCTCTTGTTCTAACATCAATTGCTGTCATAGTTCTCACACGTCCAACGAAATTCGGTGAAGCTCCAACAACGGAATACAATACAAATAATTATAAGAATTCTTGGATTCCATATTCATCTTCATGGAATTACATCATTGGTATTAGCCTTGCATTGTGCACAGCCATTCTACATAGTATCGCATCCGTAATCAATAAAGTATATTTAACTACGCAACATATACATGATACTGTTGTGTGTTTTTGGTCTGCTTTATCAGCATTACTCATATCGATTGCTCTTCTATGGGTTACACATTTTATGATAAAAGATGTAAGATCGTTTCCTCACGATTGGCGTCTCTATGCTGCTTTTGGGCTAGCACTACTATCGATTTTTGCGTTTGTTGCAAATCAAAAAGCTGTCAAACGTGCATATTCGTCAACTGTTACGTTGATCTATTCGACAGATATTATCTTAGTGTTGATTCTCCAAAATCTATTCACGCAATTCAAGAGTGATGCAGTGATCATCCTAGGTATGGTTTTTTGTTGTGATCATTTCCTTGAAAATTACCTTCATCTGTTTGCTTCTTTTTGTTTAGGTTGCGTTTTAGTTTTCACATCTGCATTGATCATTTGCATGGAAATGCTTATCATGGAAAAAAGTCGAAGCACAACATTGGTGAAATTGGCTGAAGTAGCAAATACGAGTACACAGCACGTTGATTCGCCGAATCCAGCAATTTTAGACACGTCACAAAAACATATCTCAGTGTAAAGAAATATTTCCGTTGTTCTTGGCTTCATTGCTCATATTTCTTCTATTTGACAAAGAAAAACTCAAGTTCTTTCTACTTTTTTGATCCAGTAGATGTCATTAAAATAGTTGATAACAATCTATGATTTCCAATGAGAAATATTCAGTTCTACTCATTGAAAATTGTCCTTTGATAACAAACAGATATTAGAAAAACACGAAATTCACCGAGCAGATGAAAACAACAAATATCACTTAGGTTATACGGTAAATGTGGTTAAGCGACCGTATAAAATTGCCATTCAACCTTGAACCGAAAATAGCTGCATGGAAGAAAAAGAAAACAAAACATTTGCCTCGTATCATCTTCGCTTCTTAAAAATCAAACCGTTAATATTTTCTACGTTGTTTATACGGTACATATTTAGACAAAAAGAAAACATAAGTATCTCTCACTAATTTACAAAACAAATAGCGTTCAAGCTATTTTACTTCGTTTACTGGCTGATGGATCCGGCCTAGAATGATGAAAATCCATAGATTTTGAAAATCAAAAATATCCAATGTGACTTACGAACTACTACCGGTCGGATCACCTTTTCGTTTGCTTTCGATAATCTTTGATATTTGTTGCCATTCACGATCTACTTTCTGTTTTTCATCTTTCGGTCCAGCGCCACGTCGGGTTTTTCTTCCATCATTCATTTTCACACCGTATTGAAAAGCAGCCTTAGGCATTGCTTCCTTTTGACCCATATAATCCGAGTATTCTTCTGCTGTATCGAAATCCCATCGACCGACAGGACCTTTCTTCGAGCCCATATCCATTTTATCGAAATCTGGTTCATCATCCGAATCGACATTAACGTCTTCTTCAGCCATTGTTCTATTCATGAAAGAAATTAAAATCTTCTGGCATGATCTGAACAAAATCAAGATATTCTTACCCAGGATAACATTCGGCATATGAATCATCGCTAAATTTCAGTTGAAAGTCACCTTTAGCTTTCTTGTTGGAGTTCGACGACGAAGTTTTCTCATCATCCTACAAAATGGATACTAATTCAGTCAATTGATCGAAGTTAACATACATTTTTAGCACTATATTTGTTATGAACATTGCGAATAAAGTTTTTCACTGCATCAGCACTGCTACTTGTGTCTTGGGCAAGTTCATCATTATGTGAATTTCGATCGTCCTAAATAGATACGAATAAAAATCATTCCGATAACAGTTTCGACAGATTTACAAATTTCGAATCTGTGTGAAAATAATTCTTCTTGCGATTTTCGTGTTCATGTTGACTTTTTTGACGATCATTCGTTGTTGAACGTCGTTTAGTATCAGGAATATAATCACCAATGTTATCATACATGCTAATATCTTTGGCTTTATTTGTTATTGCCTTCACTGATTCATGTGATGGTTTGATACTGATTTCAGGTTCGAATCCGACAGCAAAAATTCCAGTACCTTTCTTCTTTTGTCGTTTCAAATCTCGTTTGGAATGACGTAAATACGAGAGAATTTGAGTTAATTTATTGATCACAATATCATTATTACTCATTGTAGTTGAAGTCTAAAGAGATTCAAACTTTTCTTCAAGAAATTGAATACAATCGTTGATATTCACTTCTGCATTAGGACAATCAGCTTTGGATCGTATTAATGTTGTTGGAATATCGTCCAAGACATGTGTACCTTTGTCATTTTCATCATCTTGTTGTTCATTAGGATTTTCTAAATCGATGATGTACGCCATTCGATGAGGTAAGAACAATTCATTGACACGACGCGGTGGCGGACGAAATAAGAGGCGAAAAATGTTCTTTGCCATAGGAGATTTCAAACCCAAACGATTTTCTTCTTCTTCTTCGGGTGTTAATGGTGCTGCATGAACAGGTGCTGCAGGTTCGCTTGGAGGTGGTGGCTTCTTCTTTTCAAGATGACTACCAGAACCAATTGGCGTACTAAAATCACAACCAAAGCAATTTTACTTTACACTTGAAAAATATTGTATAAGCAATGCTCGTCAATATTTACATTTTAGTTGATGGTATAACAAAAATATGATCATCATCTTTGGCTTGTGCTTGATCATTATCAAGATCTTCTTGTCCAATTTCAGCTCTTACCTAAAAGAAGATGGAAAGAACAATAACATCTGGACTTCGCATGATAAATTGAGTCATACTTTTTGTAACAAGGCATAATCTAGACCTTTGACTAAATGTGTATGTTCTAAATCTCCACCCAAAAATTTCGACTCATCAATCTGTTGTTTTCGTCGAGCTGCAGCATCAAAATTGCCTTTAACATCCGGTGCAACTGATTTATAATTGCCAGTTGATGTAGTTTGTTGGTTTGCAGTTACACTTATATCCAACTGATCATCAGCAGTACTGATTTCTCGCCGTTCACGGGCTCGATCACGATATTTCTTCGCTCGTTCTTCCTCGCGAGCTTTTTCTTCTCGAATGACTTTGGCATAGTATTGTTTCTTCTTTTTACGTTTATCACCTGCTTCACTTGAACCTTCTCTGCAAAAAAGAGAATCAAATTACTAACTATACATGGAGACAATCGCAAATGACGAACTTATGACTCGGTGTTGGTTTCTGTTGACTGGATGATGATGAACCATGGTAGCGTTGCGCTGTCGACGAACCTGGTGCTGCAGGTGTCATTAACAACTTTCGAAAGTCATCATTCGTCAATGGATGTCTAGCAAAATTGAAGAGAATCATATGAAAAACTTTGTTTTATTGCAAAAGACAAATACCCCATTCCTGATTCTACTTCATCATGTGGTCGATAATTGGCCGGAGCCATTGGATTTGAATAATGTTCATCTTAAAAATCGATTCAAATGAGTCGAATAATTGAAGTTCACTACTTACTTTCAGGCATTGTTAGATGAAAATCGATCAGCTCGATGCAATGCAATAACACAACACGATCGAGAGAAGAAAGAATCGGATCAAATCAAAATAAAGATGGACAATGAATGGATAGACAATGAAGCCAATCAGAAGAAAGCTTATAAGATGAAGTATCAATACACTCGCAGTTTTTGTATTTCTATGTGAATGTGCTTGAGAAAAGATACTTCTGTTTTTACATTACGATCAATTGTGTGATTTTTTCTGTTATTTGTACGACATCTATAGATTTAATGTCTAGCGCTGTATCTAAGTTGCTCTTTAATCCACTAATTGAAGTTGCCTGTTGCATATGACTCGAATTTTTCATTCTTATTCTTAGTTATAAATAAAACACCATACATAGTCGTATTCTCTTCAGTTATTTTGTTGAAAAGAGCAAAATACGTAGAATGACTCATTGACATTTCATTTTTATTTATTTTTCACATAGGTAAATTGATTAACACAACTGTAAAGAAATGGCCTCAGCCGCTGCGTCGTCAAACTATAATGCTTCTGCTGGTGCAGCAAGTTATGCAACTACAAATCCGTCCAATGATGACAGAGGACCAAAGTTTAACGAATATCGATCGCGGGTACGACAATGATTTAGTTATTTCACTGAAAAAAACACCAGCGATTTCTATAGGTTATGCTTGGAGATCTTCCTCAAGATTTCCTTCGCATTCAACTTGTACAAGCACAAATTTTCGATCCAATGGGGCATGGTATGAGACAACAAGGCTATGGATCCGCTCCACATCCTCAACAACTTCAACAAAATCCAAATTTCCTTGGTTATTTTACATTGACCATTGCCGAGGTATGTCCAAGCATATATCATGTTCAGTTAGAAGAAGAGATTTAATTCGTATTTTTCTTTCAGGCGAAATTGATCAAAAGTGCTGGCTTATTGGGTTTAATCAAAATGGATCCGTATGTTAGCTTTCGTATTGGCCACGTTTCATACGATACACAGACAGCCAGTGGCGGTGGAAAAAATCCTCAATGGAAAGCATCATATCGCATGTATGATATCTGTCGAATAAAGTTCATATTTGAGAAGTCATTTCTTTTATATTCTAGTAATTTATTCAAAGGAATGGACAAAATACATTTGATAGTCTATGATCAGGTAAATTTCGATGATCGTGTACGAGTTTTATTGTTTCTATTTAATGAATCATGTAGCGAAACTTTACCGAAGATAGTTTCATCGGAGAATGTGAAGTAACAATCCCACGGGAGGTCATAGAAGGTGAAACTCGGCAACAGTGGTACCAATTAATGGGCCGACAAGCAAACGCAAATGAAATTCAAGGTGATATTCTGATAATTATGAGTTTCATGGTAAGTATTTACAAAACACCAAGAGAAACATTTTTGAAAAAGCAAAATTCAAACGCTTTTTTATTAAATCTGCCATTGTTATAATAGCCGAAAACTAACCAAGATCCAAATGAGCTTCATAATGCAGTGCGTATATTCATATTGTATAATCACATCCTTCTCTATTTTCTCTTCAGATTTTTCTCATATTTCTAAATTCGTTTTATTTCTTTTGTAGCCTGTAAGATCATCCCATCCAACTACACCTGCAAATGGAGCGACTTCTACACCTGCGGGAAATGCAACTGGTTCTACTCAACCTGCTCCGCATGCGACTGAACAGTCAGCAGCACAGCATTCTCCATCAGTCACACCAAAACCACCACCACTGCCTTATTCTGAAGATGATATTCGAACGGTAAAAGAAATGTTTCCAAATGTCGATGAACATTTCATATCTGAACTACTCAAACAACATGGCGGAAACAAAGATCTTGTTGTCAACCATCTTTTACAAAACGCTGTTTAAGCATTGACCGTATTTTTTTTATTTGCAACTAAAGTCCAGCATAAATCATTATTTATGTGTATGCATGTACAAATGCTTTCTTTGTTTCTCCTTCTTCTTATTTCTCAATGCTTTTAACAAAAGACAAGACAATATTTCATTGACATATATGTATTTCTAATCGAACAAGTATGCCATGCCAATCATACTAATCCCTATTTTAGATGGACATATCTCCATGAAAAAATATACTCGATAATTAAAGATGCCGTCACTATTGTAATATTAATTGGCTTGCTTTAATGATCTTTTTATTAAAATAAAATATCTTGTAAGAAAAGTACGATGTGACTTGAATAGTATTGCTTATAATGAATGAAATCGAGACACATTAATCATCGATTTGGATAGATTGCTATTTATACGTTTGATCAAGACAATGTTTAGTAGACAAGAAATTTCGAGTAGATTGTCAAGGTGTTTCTTTGTTTCCAGATAATTTATTTTTTTAGGTATCATGAGCAGTACTTCATCCGCTTCTTCCTCATCGTCGTCAAATAGAAATCATCAAAAGACATGTGCATTTACCGACAGAAATCGCACTCGATTTGCTCCCGAAAGATCTTCATGTTCACGAGTGAATCAAAGATTTAATTCAAATTCCGTTGCTTTAAATGATCTAATGAAACTCGATCAACTCGTTGACACTTTAAAATCTTTGAAACGTCTTATATCACATTATTTCGATCAAATATCGAAACAAGGTGAATCAACATTAGCTGGCGATGTGCGACGTGTTTATCGACGTGTGCTACTTCTTTATGTAAAATACCGTCGACGACAAAACTATGAAAAGCGTCGTTTGAAACAACCGATCCATAAGTCTGACGACGAAGATCAAGTAGAAGACGGTGATGTAGATAATAAGAATTTGAGTTATTCGAATGTTGAAACAAGCGCGATACCAACATGGACAATGAAGAAAATTGTTAGTTCACAAAGTTTATCGTTCACACGCGCAGGTTTTGATGCTGATCATGATGGAATTGAAGATTTTGACGAAATAGCTCTAGCTGCAACACGTGATGTGGCAAATGTACAAAATCATTGTGTAAGATTATTACTAAGTGATCATCAAATGAAACTACCTGTTTATGGTTTACAAACACGTTGGGATAGTGAAATACCAAAACAACATAGACAGATGCAAACGCCGATAATATCAGTAGCAACATCGTCGAATCATACTCGAATTGAAGTTATTAAGAAGACGGGAACCAAACCACTTAACACATTACCTGTAACATCATCTTCTCTACCGGTTCCTACGCCTGTTGTAACGTCACCCACAACAAGTGAACAGGAACTATTTCTCGGCTCATTAGCTCGTCAACTCAACGAACAGACATGGCAACAACTTCGCTCCATATTTGACAATTTAAATTCTCAAAAATCATCATCATTGGATAATTCTCAACTATAGATCCTACAAAATAATCGCAAAGCTCTACATATGTGAATTTGAGTTCATCGAAACTGATATGATATATACCATATATAAACTAACTGTTTTTCTATATGTTGTTCAATGTAAGTTCTTTTTCCGTTTCATGTTGTTCGAAGTTCATTTCGATATTAAACATTATGGTGTGAACAACTATCACGAAAATACTTTTCAGGCTTTGAGTTCATCTCAATTGAGAAAAAGAGAAGATGTCAGTAGAAAACAATAAAATTTCACAAACGATCGATGAATAATTCTCGTATTTGACTAATTCTGTCATTCTAAAAGATTGAAATTGTTTCAACAAAAGCCAACATGATTGGTTATTCATTGTTTATACATACATATGTACAAGCAGGATTAAAGTTAAAGTCATTGGAATATTTTACTTTTCTCTTCTCGTTCTTTCTCTCTTTATTTCGATATTTTCTTTTCTATATTATGTATACACATATGTAGAAGGATTTTTTCCTTGTCATAGTCATAGACGTGCTTGAGCGTTTGAAGTAAACGGCTTCGTGACGTCAGTTTATTATGCAAAGAAAAAAAGTTAAATCACAAAAGCTTTTCTTTTTTTCAGAACAACATACAGTCAAATGATTGATCAGAACAGCATGGCTGAGGTTTGTTCTTACTTCAACAATTTATAGAAAAGATATTACAAATCGATGTCTTCTTGTTTATTATACAGACGATCGAAATTTGTTTTGAAGTTGGGCATAGCTCATCAATTCGTTCGAAACCAACAACAAATCATAATCCACCACGTACACACGACTGGAAAATCTTTGTACGTTCGGCAGAGATTCATGGCGATCTAAATTGTTTAATACAACGTTGTGTGTTTCATCTACATCCAGAATTTCCCAATCCTGTGCGAGGTAAACATTCTCTCCATTGAAGTACGCGCCTTAATCGAAAAATTTCATACAGAATTGTTTACGACACCATTTGCTGTACAAGAAAATGGTTATGCTGGCTTTTGTTTGGTAAAATTGATTTGTTTTGTTACGTTTGACAATGATATGTATTTTTGATTGTAGCCCATTGAAATTTATTTTAAAACCAAAAGAGAACCAAGGAAATTTTTGATAGAGTACGATCTTGATCTACATCAAAATGTTGATGGACAGCCTTCGCGACAAAAAGAAAGTTATCTACGAAAATATCGTTGCAGTTTTCGCGATCCGGATCCGGAATTTCGCGAAAAACTACTTGCAGCTGGCGGCGTAAGTTAATATATTGTTTTTGTGTCTATTTTCTACGCAAATACGTGGGCGAAGGTTCTTATCAAGGTTTGTTTTTTTCCCACGGACGAAAAGCCTCATGCATTGACGTCATCACTGTGTTTATCACATTTTCTTCAACACAAGAAAAAGTTTGCTTTTGTATTAAACAATCGGGAGAATGAAAAGAGAAATACATAGGTCAGCTGTTTACTATGACTCATGGAGAAAAAGTAAATTTATATCATGCCGATTTCTACCTTATGTATCCTATTTGAAAAATAGTCGTTTTGGAGAATCTCCAACATAATTATGAGTGAAAAGATTAAGAAACGTCGAAATGTTTGTCGATTAACTGTTGTTGTAAGAATTAACTTCATTAACTTAGCATCCATGTATGGTTTTTCTTTATAGAAAATAGTCGATAGTGGTCCAATTCCATCAAATCATGCTGATTCGGATGATGAACAAATCTCGTCACGTGATCACATAACTCGTCAATCACCACAACAGAAACGACCAATTTCACCCACGCCGACATTAAATATTGCGCATAAAAAACTTCGACTTGAGCAAACAACAAATTCTGTTCAGAAAAAACCAGTACAATCGCTGACAAAATCTGAAAACTCTAGTAAAACAACGGCAAATACGAAAAAACCCAAATTAGCATTATGTAAAGCATCATCTATAACAGAAGAGAAAGTATCGAAGTCTTCATCAGTAAAAGAATCGAATCAATCATCAATTGTCAATGACAAATCGAAAAGTACACACAAAAATCTCTCCGTACATTGAAATATCGTTTTGAATTCATCTAAATATTCAGATTCATCATTATCAAAGCCGCCTTCATCAATGAAATTAGTTAAATCTCATTCAATGAACGATGTGAAATCTTCTAGTCAATCCATTCCGAATTCTACTAAGAAAAAAGAACTTGTTGTTTTTTCGCCACCGAAATCTAAACCAATCAGTAATTCTCAGCCTGCAGTTAAAAAGTCAATCACGAAGAATCCACCAAAAACATCGATTAAAACCGAACAGCTATCGACATCAATCGTGAAATCCCCTTCTACTATCGTACTTAAACAAGAAACAGCCTCACAATCATCAACAAATAATATTCCTTCGAGTAATGCAAAGCCATCGACGTCACTTAACACTCTGAAAAAGATCCCGAAGAAGCCTGTCTCATCATCAACACCATCTGCAGAAAAACAATCACGTTTATCCATGCCAACTTCATCATTAAAGCCAACTTCGACTCGGGTATTTAAAAATACTTTGATAACTTCTGTCATATATAGTTTTTCTTTCCGGATTACTTAACAGGAATTGCAAAGACAAACCTCATTATCATCAAAACCTAAATCAAGTATAAAACGCGAACATTCTTTGCCAACTATTAGTACTGTCAGTAGTAAGAAACAATCAGAAAAGAGTAAGATTGTTAAAGGTAATAAATAACCATTTCATTCCGAACGATAATCACATGAATCTCTTTAATTTAGATTCTAAATTATCATGTTCAAAGCAATCTAATCTACCTCCATCGTCATTGCATTCTCACTCATTAGTATCTACTGAACCCTCAGTAGTTTTCTCAACACCGCCAGCTATTGATACATCTCAATCATCGACTGTGAAATCACCTTCTGTTCAAGTATTCCCAACTGAAGATCCACTATTACCATCTTCTATGGATATCGATACACAATTATCAGATAAATCCAGTCCACATGAACAAACTTTGACCAAAGCTACTGTTAATCAGATGTATTATTCTGATCAGTCAGAAGATCCAAATGATAGTGAAAGTTCTGAGGAGGAAAATGAAGATGAAGATGAAGACGAAGAAGATTTACCTAGTAGTCTTACTAATGATGATCTACGGTACAAGCTTATTTATATTTATAATCGATTTCAACTAAATTCAATGAATGATCTTATTATCTTTGTTCGATTTTTTAAACGACATCAATTAATTGATATATCAACATTATCAATGACGAAGAAATCTGACGAAATGTTTACTTATGACCTATTTTCTCTTAGTCCATCACATATCGGTGAATTAGCTAATGATCTTGGTTATACAAATTGAACAGTGAAAAAACTTCGCACATACGTGAAGTTTATTTCTGATTCTTTTTCTTCTTTCACTGTACGATTTTGATACTCGATCTACTTTATGAAGAAATTTGTCTTTCAGGCACGTATATAGTTCATAATTTAACAATTGTGTTTAACATTTCAAGAAAAGGACATAGAAAAAAAAATGTTTATCTTGCTTTCTTTTTTGCTCTATTTATTCTATAAAACAAACGATTAATGAATATAACTGTGCAATATTACGTCAGATTGTGATGTGAAAACTTGTCATCGATTAGCGAGAAAATCATTGACGGACGAAAAACTTCAAGGTGAAGAGTATTTCTATATGAATCCATGTAAAAATGTTTTCTATAAGAACTATTGCTTGGTAACAATTGTTTACATGTGATGTTGGAAATAAATTTCATGAAAGATGTTCGAGTGTTTGATAATTTGAGCATTTGACAAAAGAATGAATCAATGCATCATTGAGAAAATCATCATAGCAACTCTGAGATATTCATAACTGTGAAAAAAGGTATAGAAATCGATTTCATTTCTCATGTTGAACTAGTTAATTTGTGTTCTCCTTTTTTTTTAACACCTCGTAACTAACGAGAAAAGTATTTAAAAAAAAGAAGCATATGTCTTCTTTGATTATTATTATTATATTTGCATCAACCCTTTCTATTTGACTTACGTTATCAGTCATTTATTTCTAACGATTTCTTTTGCGGTATTTACTCAACAAGTATTTCTTATATCCAAGGAGTATTGACTGAAATAAAAGCAAAAAAAAACTGCAGAGAGAGAGAAACGAAAGAAATTTATGATACAACAACTTTTATATGTAGACAAAGTTTATCTGTCGTTAATAATAAACGGTTTTTTTTGTCTATTGTCTTTGAGAAAGTTTGTAATGACATTTATTTTCAAGTAGTTGCTACTTAGTTATAGAGATGAAGAAGGAAAATTTAAGTAACGATCACCGAAAAATAGTAATACGCAAAAGTATAACTATCGATGTTGACATTAGCTTCTTTAAATAGGCTTGTAAAGAAGAGAGTATTCTCTCGAATTGCAATGTGCAATCGAAAAAAAAAAAGAAATGTGAGTTTGTTTTACTCTGTTGTAGTGACGAGAAATAGTTTCATGTAAATAAAAAACATTGCAGTTACAATTTATTAGATATTTCCATTGCATGAAATGATCATGGTAAGTCGAATACGCTTTTCTTTTTTTCAGTTTCAAATGAGAAATGAATTAGTTCGTCTATAATTGTTGGAAATTCATGTGATGATACATCGTAGGAGTTTTTTTTTTTTGAAATATAGTTGAAAGAGATTTCGTGTGTTTTTTTTTTGTTCGATTATCGTTTCGTTTGATGACATTGAAGAATTCGAAATTAAAATAAACTTTCTCTTCATTTGTTATGCATGCATGTCTTTCGTATTCTCATTTAATTTTTTTCTTCTATAAATATTATTAATTTCCTAGAGAATGCCAATAAAAGATTGTTTCTTTTCTCAAAAAATAAACGTTCAATAGTTTTTATTTTACTTCTTGACAATTCTATTCTTCTAATATATGTCGATAATACAGTTTATTTATATTACTGATGAATGAAAGTCTCGTTTTTCTTTTCCTTTTATAATCATCTCAAAGTTGAAAAATCAACAAAGAGCCAAACAAGTACGCATAGTCACACACGATATGAACTTGAGAAAAAGAAAAGAAGAAAGAGAACGAAGAAAGTGAAAATCCTATTAATACTTCTTGTTCAAAAGCGTGCCACATATAATAAAATGAAACGAGAGGAGAAGAAAAAAAAAATCTTCACAATCATTTACCTATATTATCCTTAAAACAAAACTGCGCTCTCCATTCTCTGCTTCAACTTTTTCATATCCATTTTCATGTAAGTAACCGATTGAACTTATCAGATTTTGCAAGTTAATTCTAATATTTTATTATGTCATTTATATGCAAACACCTCGTAAAGCAATTCAGGTCAGTTCTAGATAACAAGATAAATAAATGACTTTTAACGCAATCGAAAATGAATTTAAGCATTTATGTGCATCGATAAAATATTTAACTGGAGGACAAATCGAGTTAAAAGTTCTTTCGTACATGTCATAGTTTACACATACATTTCAAAATTTCTGCTTTTCACTATCACTTCATTCTGAACGTGTATATTAATCAGATTGGAATATATTTCTTTTTCATCGAGTTTCTTTTATAAGATATTTAGTGAATATTCAAACATTTTGTTCTTTCATCGATTATCAACTTGAAAATTGAATTTATTTATATTAAAATATTCTTTTCGAACAATTGAGCACTTATCGCTCGCCATGACTTACAGATGTTGTTGTTGTTGTTGCTATATAGAAGTGTAACGATCATTTGTCTTGTTTAGAATTTAAATTAATCTTTTTCGCATTTTTCTTTCTCTTCCGTTTTTTTTTTCTTTTCTTACCTGAACAAAAAAAAACCAGTGAAGATAGAAAAACGACTAATGATAAGATAGACATTGTCGTCGTATATCATTTTCTCTTCTTTCCTCTTGACAACAGTCTGTCGTCACAGCACAGCATGCGCGTTCGATAGGATTGTGCTCTTAAGATGTTCTCTTCATCGGCCGTTGAGAAGAACATTTATATTTTCGCGCGAGTAATTATCAGAATAAAATATACTAACAACGTTGCTATGCAGCTGAGCCTATATGTTGTCGTCGAGAGAAATGAGACGTTTATTCGTGTATAATAGAGAAGGTCCGCGTACTTTTAGACTTAGCATGCAAATAAAATGAAAGGAAAAAAAAAGGAGAGAACAACAAGAATGTATAGTTTAATTGCTACGCAAACAAATCGCTTACAAAAGCAACGGTTACGAGAATCGAATATTCAAGTAAGAAAGACATATCTTCAATTAAGTACATGTCTGATAGCCTTTTTTTATTTCGTAAATGAATTGTATTGATTGTATTACTCAATGTTTGTGATCACTTACTATATATATATGGACGAAGGAGTTTTATAAACTTAATATGTTAATGTTACGAATTTGAAAGAAGAAGAAGAAGAAAAATTTGAGATTTGTTTGTTTTTTTTACATCATACAGCGATGTTCATCTAACGATTGATCATACTGATGTGAGCGCATTTTCTTTGCTTATAAAACAGTAATTTGGCAGCCTTATTACTAAATTTAGTATTCTTCTAGTAGATCACATTGGATAGTTCAAGATGATGTTTGACAATATGTTACAAAGAACGTTTGTATTCTAAAGTACAAACAATAGATTTATTTCTATTCAACATGTAGAAATGATACCATGATGTTATTACTATATTTAGTCTCTTGAAACCTTATAAAAGTTATGTGTTTTGCAATATCAGAAACTTTTTGTTCTTCTTCTCTAGATTTACACTTACCAATGACAATAACAACGACAAATACATCATTAAATTCAACATCACGACTACAACCCATTTCTTGTCTTAACACGCACTTTCTGGCCTCTCACCCTACATTATCATAGTTTCATCATTCTATTCCCCTTCCTTTGTTGAATTCAATTCCAAATATTCATATTGACAGAATTCTTTTGACAAAATGTTGACTGAATATGATTCCCAACAAGCTCATCATGATCACCGTCATCATCAACAGCATGATCAACGCGATTTCGATCATCAAGATCAACGAGATCAGCAACAACAACAGCCACCACGTTTAACAGGATTGGAACGTGGTCGAGCTATTCGATTGATGCGAAATGGAGACTTATATTTTCCCGGACGTTCGTTTGTTATCAATCAACGTAAATATCCTATGCTTGACGTTTTCTTGGACGACGCATCGCAAGCATTAAACGCCAATTTCGGCGCTGTTAGATGTATTTACACCCCGAAGAATGGCACTCGATTACATGATATATCCGAATTAGAAGATCATCAAACATATGTGGCTGCGGGAGCTGAAAAATTTAAAAGACTTCAGTAGGAAAAATATTTATTTTAACAAAGAGAATTGCGTATTCTGTTTTGTTTTTCAGATATTATGATATCGCAGAAGGTAAAAGACCTGCTATCAAAGATCGAACACCACCTAGAGTAAGTTGAGTACTTGATATCCTATTGAATACAATAATCTTCTTTGACGTCATCAATCCTCGTATAGTAAACTATGAAGATGAATCTTATTTGAGAAGAAGTATGAAGTTAATCTTTCATTGTTGTTTTAATCTATGCAAAGTATCAACGAGATTGCTTGAGATACGAACAAATTGAGAATTAAATTCATAAGCTATGTATTGTTGGAAAGATTCAGTGATTAAATATCGTTCTCGACAATCGAATTGTTCTTCATGTAGTCTTGGTTCTAAATACTTTTATGTATCATTTCAGCTTCCACCTGTCCGTCGGTTTGATATTGAAGGACGCGCATTGAAATTATCTCGGTCGGAAAATGTTATTATTTAGTAAGATTCATTTTCTTTGACTGATCCGATGAGAATCTCTTATTTTTAGCGTCTATCGAAATGGTGATCCGTTAACATTACCAGCAAAAATTCTTTTGGTCAAACCGACTTTACAAAATTGGGAATCAGTTTTGGATGAAATTACCCGAAAAGTCTCTCTCACCAGCACAGCCGTACTGAAGTATTGCTAGACATCTTATAGTTCTCTCTTAGAATGGTACTAAATTAATATTTGTTACTTTTTAGATTGTATACAATGAATGGAGAGTTAGTAACGTCAGCACAACAGTTGGAATATGGTGGAATGTATGTTGCGGCAGGAAAAGAACGTTTCAAACGTATCGATTATCCAGATCCAAAATCTTTTAGTCCAAATTCATCACCGAAAATGTCAAGAAAATCGTAAGTTGATTAAGATAGTTTCTTTCTCTCAAATGAGCATTTCAATGAGAAGATCAGCAAACGACATGCCATATCGTATAACTTTCTTTCACCTTCGTGTAGGTCTAATCATCAATTTTCTGGGTAAGTTCTAGTAGAATACGATGTGAAATTGACACGGCAAATATTAGTCGGTCATTCATGTCCATAGGCAAACAAAATATAGAAGAAAATCTCTTCTACTAAAAAAACAACTGTTTGATAAACATCTTTCGATTGATAAAAAGCACTTAGATATATGTAGTTCTTATTTGAATTTGAATTTGAAAAGTCAAACGACTTTGATGAAGACGAAAATGTCTCCTAAATTTTTATAGTGATTATCCGCGAATAAAATTACCTGTTCGACAAAAAAGGGTAGAAGATTATGATTATCATCCATCATCATCTAATACGCATCATACGATGCAGCAAAGGTATTATAAGGTTGAATATCTCTTTATATTCAACGATTGCATCGATGCTACTTTCTAATTTAATCAACAAATGATTGCTTTATGAAATATAAAATTTCGAACAGAAAAACCAGACTGCAGTTATATTTACTCTTTATCTTCTTAGATTGCTTATTAACATAGTTTTGTTTATTCTTCTACCTCAAAATTCTTATCAGTTTTGTCATTCGTACACACACATACTCATAAATATTCTTTCATCTAATTTAGATATACAAAATCTGATGGAACAAATACACATACAGCAACAACAGCAAATTCGCATGGTAGTAATGAATATGGTGGACAGTAAGTTCAGTTTTGATTGTTAACTTCGACTTCACTTGAGTATTTTAAGTCGACGACCTGTTCGAGAAGAAAATGACTTTTTCAATAACAAACCACATTCAATTCGACGTGGCCCAACACAAGAAACAGATCTTGACCGAGGTTTGCCGCTAACAACATGATGAGAAACTTGTGCGATCAAATCTTCTTCTAGATGATGGAGGTATATATAAAGGTCGTTTAAATCATCGAGAACGTGTACGGGAAATTGATGACACACGTGACACAAAAGTTGATCTACCTGTCGATTATCGAGAGATTGAAACCGTTGAAGTATGTCGGTTTTGAAATAATCTTTAATCAACCTATTTCTTTATCTGACTTTAGGACGAAAACTATTATGGAAACACAGAAGTAGAGGATCTCTTTTTTTGTCAATGAATATTCACAGTATATTCATTACTGTCTAGAAAAATGCTCGCCGTCAGCACCAATCGAAATCGAATCAACCCGTTGCAAATTCACGTCGACGTTCGCCACCAGTACGATCAGTAAAGGTATATAGAAAATGGACACATATCTAGTTTAGTCTACCTTCCGTTACATTAAGACACCGCCGAAGAATTATCCTCGTGAGGATAAAGACCACGATGAAGAAGATCGTAAGATCAATAAGAATAAATCTGAAATGAACAATGGTCATCAACAACGTAGCAATAATCATAGAATGAACGGTAATGGATACGAAAATGGTAATCATCGCCGTACACCTCCTCAAATTGATGATGATGATGATGATGAAGATAATAATCGAGACGAACAACAAATGACTCGCTTTCATCATCAACAAGAACAGTTTGCACCATCAAAGAAACAGGTAGGAATCTCATATATATCGAATAACTAACTTTGTCTTTTGCTCTTTGATACTAATATCAAAGTTGAATGTTTTTCGTGTGAGTAGTGTGTGTTCAACCTTACATACTTGTTTGTAGGTTAACCAAGAGGATAAGGATCATGCTGCAACGGTTATTCAATCACATGTTCGTGGCTATTTCACACGTAAACAAACTCATCACGAAAAGCCAAACGAATCTGAACAAGTAACTAATAATCAAGACGAACAAGAAAATACTAATGAACTAATCAATGATCATAACAAACAACAAGATACTAATCCTTTAACAGATGAGCAACATCATGAAGAACATAACAATGACAATGAAAAACCGCACGGAGATCGTGTTTCATCACCAATGAATGAGGTGAATGCTTTTACCTTTCAAGTCATCCTGATTATCAATAGAAAAAGAAATTCAGATATGATGGCTTTTTTGTTTTCCCTAGTCACAAAACAGTATGCTTGAATCATTAGCAACTTTAGCAGTACAACAGGCTATAGAAGAAGCTTTGTTTATAAATAATAAGCAGATAGATGAAAATGAGATAAGGGTACCTACTTTAACCTCTTTATTGAAATTAATTAAATCCATCAGCTACTCACCTTTTGTTTTGATTTTCGAATACTAAAGCTATTTCTTTTATATTTACAACTAAAACATTGTCAGTTATGTCTGAACTAATCTTAACTCATGACTTATACAAATCAACACTATAAAATCGATACTCATCCAATTTTAATTCGTTATTTTTACGCTTTTAAAACTTTTTTAAATATATTTATTTTTAACTTTGATTTCGATTTGCTTTTAGCGTCACAATGGTTACAATGATCATGACAATATCTAAAATCTTCGTCAACATATACTTCATTAAAATACTTTCGTAAAGTGTGAAGATATTATGTATATACATCGTACTCAAACCATGATGATCACTATAAAAATCAATCGATATACGTCTAATTTTAAGAAAAAAGAATGTCACTGCGTTTTATTTGTTTTCTCTTTTCAAGCTTCTTTTACTTGCTTTTGCTTATCTTTTTTTTTCTGTCACCTAGAGACAAATATTCTTTACTGTAAGCATTATCCAAATGGATTGATGTAGTGAATCATAATTCTGTCAGCTCATATGAAAATCATGGCTGCCATAGAAAAAAATGTTCGACTTTGTATATGCATCAAAGAATTTCACGTAACTACGGAGCGTCATTATTGTTTAAAGTGTAATTCAAATCTATAATTGTCAAACAGCATCTTGTTTATGCAAATAACAGAAAATTAGATAGGATTCTATGAGCAGATTTGTACGATTTTCTTTTTCTTGAACGCGAAGTACTGTATGGAAAGAATAGAACTTTACCTATATTCAAGATTTCTACATGATAATGGTGAGTGAAATGAAATACGAAAAATATATAATTTTGAGAATAGATCGTGTAGATTAGTCATTGAATCTTATCTTCTTGTATTACTAATTGTAATCTTGTTTTGTTTTGTTTTATCTTCTTTTTGCTTCGTCTTCAAATTTATGAAAGTAGAAGACAAAGCTCGCAAACACACGAGATTTTGATATCATACAACGATAATGATGAATCATTACTGCAACAGTTGTTGAGGTAACTATGACTTGAAATACGTGTTCTTTCACTAGTCGAAGGTTATTACTCCCATCGTTTTCTTTGCCTTCGTTCTCTTCAGTGAGAACTAAGAAGGAAAAAAGAAAAACAAGTAACACACTATTTTTTTGTCCTTCTCCTTAGATTGTTGTTGACTGAATAACGAAAGTATATAACTACGGCATTTTATTCGATTCTATTCTCGTGGTCGTCATTTTGAAAAAATATAAACCTACTGTCAAGTATGTACTCTACGACAATCGGAAAAAAACGATTTCACTAAGCATTAAATGGGTGCAAGTGGAAGCAGTGAAGTTCAAGTGACGTTTGATCGTCCGAATTTATTCTATTTTGCTGGTGAACAGATAGTAGGCAATGTTTCATTTCAAAATACTCAAGACAGATTAACATTAGATGCAATTTTTCTTGAATGTGTTGGCGAACTTGGATATACTACACAAGAAAAACGCCATTTTAACGATAACAATGGCCGTGCGCAAACTGAACATTATACGAAACAGCATCATATACCGTTTATACAGACTCGCATTCCTATCGCTCAACCGCAATATGGACAAGTAATACATCTTCGAAAGGAAAAATCATCCGTAGTTTTTATTATACTTTTAGCGTGATATAACTTTGTATCGTGGTCAACATTCCTGGCCCTTTCAATTCGCTTTACCACAACATCTACCTCCGTCGTTTGTTCCATCAACAAACTCTTATCCTTATGTTAAATATTCTGTGCGTATCGTTCTTGATAAACCATGGTATAAACCAAATGCTAAACAAGTTTATCTATTGACAATATTTCCACGTGTTAACATTCTTCACATACCTAATGGACAACATCCAGAAGCTTTTTCCAATCAAAATCGTAAAAAAATTCGATTACAAGGATACGTCATGCGCAGTGGCGTTGTTCCAGGTGACAAATTATCTATTCACATTGATCTTCATAATCCTAAACGATCAGAAATTAAAAAGATTGAAGTTATACTAATGCAACATCGACAAGTGGTTCGAAGTTCTCATTCAGAAATTATATTTCGTACAGATTTACCGAATTTTCAAGAGTTTAATGGAATTGAATTACAACGAACATTTGACATTCCTATACCTTCTGTATATTTATCGCCTACTTACACATATGTATCGCAAAGTCATCCGTTACCTCTTGGTGTGTCCGTTCGTTATGAGTTGATACTCGATGTAAAAGTTCGTGGATTATTTACAGACTTCAAGTTAAATGTACCGATAACTGTTGGAACAGAGCCAGTAAGTCTGGAACTGCAACAACAACAGCAGCTGAATTATCAACAGCCTGTGAACGCTCCAGTACAGATGCCCATAGCTAGTGCTCCTCTATGTGACTATGATGAACCACCACCAAGTTACGAAACCGTAGTGACTGATCATAAAATGTAATAAATCTTTTGACCTTTTTGTTTCTTTCATCTCAAACTTATGTCACCAAATAAATCTTCCTAATTTAAATAGCTAAAAGCAGGTAATAAATAATGCCAAAACAAGCGCGAAACAAATGTTTTGCCGTATATATATCGACTGTATACGTTAATGCTTGAATCCGACTGAACGTTATTTATCCGTAACACTGAGTGAGTGTCAGAGTAATATCATGCAATAAATGTTTCGTGCTACTGAGTCGTATCGGCCGACGTATAAGGTGCATAGCCATTTCGGACAAGAAGAGGTGACGTGTTCGATTGTTTCCTCCACGCTATTGCACTTTCTGCAGTTGAGGCTTCTGTTCTATTCTACACAGATTTGGTGGACTATTGTTAGCAAGCATCCTTCTAGCACTGTGAGGGCATTCCATGCTCCTACCGACGATAGACGGCCTTCTTGCATTCAGAAAAACGACACGGTGAAGTCACTGTCTTGAGGACTCGCTCTGTTAGTTTCATGTTTTTCCATTCATAACGCCGTTTCGTGTGTGTTGTTGACCTCTTACATCTTAGCTGTTATATACTGAGGTAGTTTCTTCGCCTCACAGAAACGTACTTCATCCACGAAGACTGCGGGTATTTTCATGTCTTCTTCGACTTGCATGTTGTATGACTTTAATATAGCTTGCGCTTCTCCCAATATACTTTTTTTTTCCTGTTCATCATCTTTTCAAAAAGGCTCAGCGACGACTTCAGGCCTGCTCGTATACATACCCATGGCAAAGCTGTATGACCGGATCCGTTAAAATACCCGTGAATTCCTGTAGTCTTCATAACAACACTCATAATCTAGGGAAATCTTTGTATTTTTAAGCAAATTATATACACATGAGAAACTACTAATAATCGAAGTAAATGAACACAAACAAGCCTATTAGTTCTGACTAATTCATCATATTAACTTGTCTGAAATTAGCACAACTCTAGCAACTAATACAGAACGTACTTCACCAACATAATTAGTATTAAAAGATTCTTGTAAATTGCAGGTGTAAACGTGAGATAGTATTCTATCGAGGTCGGCATGTCTATAGAAAAAACAACATTGAAAAAATGATTCATTCGTATCACAAAATGACCAATTTATCTTGATTTATTATCATCGTCGTTTCATCATTTTCTGTCATATAAAAAGCGAGTACTTCAAGCTACTTTCGCTTCCTTTGATACTTCTCTACTAGAATTAAGTTTTTTTGCTATCCGTTGCATCTTCGAATTTATTTGATCTTTATTTTTCATCTATATACATCTACTATTTCGGTTATGTTCAATTTCATAATTCTCCACTGTTTAACGTTCGTCGAAGTCTCTTAGTACGTAAATAGAAATAAGATGTATAGCGATAATCTATAAGAACACACACATGGAGTTGAATCTTGATTAACATATTTTTCAATATCGTGCAGGAACACAAAAGGAAAGTAGATTTAAGACTGAGCAAAGTAATAAGTATTCCGGTTTAGTACATGGAACTTCTATATTTATATTCATGCGCTTCTATTTTTCAGCAATGTCAGTACATTTTGCTCCAATGACAATACACATCAGTCATTCAATTCAATTACAACTGCAGCATATATTTTAGAACATTATCGGCGTCATGTTCATTGAGAATAAGAATATCAAAACCATTCCTGAATCAATCTTTTATTTGTTTGTGTCAAAAATGCATTGTAACGCGCGATGCAAACAAAGATTCAAGCAGAAAAAAGAAACAATAGACACATTTTGATTATTTCGCATTTGTCTATTTGCTTTATTGTAGATAAAGTAACAATACCTATGCATTTAAAGAATCTAGTGAAAAATTTATCGATATAGAAAGGTCGAAGGTGACTAATTATTGTACGATGGCAAAGAGGAAATATTGTTAATTATAAAGATAATAGGAGATGAGAAGAGACAGTTGGACTAAAGAAACTAATTCTCTCTCTGTCTAGCTCTTAGGGAATTTTGTAGAGAAAGATAAAAATCACAGAATGCATCCAAGTTCAGTAAACTGAGAATACATCATTCTTTTCAGTTTTTTTTTCTTATTATTATGTGACTCTCGTTTTATCATCACTGGAAGAAAGCGAGAAGGAATAGAACGGCCGAAAGAAAAACGGAGAGAGAGAGAGACAGAGAAAAAAAATGCAGACTGAATACGACAGACTCATGTGAACAAATGTCTTACTAGATGGAGTGAGCCGACAATAGAAGCATAAAGAAAAACAAGAGCAGAGAAAGACGAGAAACGAAGAACGACTACAAAATAAAAAGACGAATGAAAATAAGAAAAATATGATAGAGATAGAACACAGCAGCTGTGTATATTTTGCTACAATTTGGAGATGTATGTAATTTGTTAGTATTAGATGAAATTGACTCGATTCGTGGCAGGGGTGGAAGGATTACTAATATCAGTTAATGGATCAGAGGAAAAGAGAAAATCGGAAAATGTGTCAAGTATATTCTTAAACAAATGAGATCCTATTGGTTAGTCAATCATAATTAGTCTATTTTATGAGAAATATATTCTAGTGACGATTCTTCTTCTTCTTTCTGAATTCGATTATTTACTACTCACTTTTTCTCACTATCCGTTTGTTTTATTTTGTTACTGTCTATTCTGATTGGTAAGAACAACTTCTGTCATATTCGATACTAATGATGTATCATTATTGTCATTACATTGATTATTATTAATCAAAATATTTCTTTTTTTTTTCTTGATTAACATGATCTTTTCCAAGAGAAATGCTTTCTTTAACAGATCTCTTGTCTATATAGTAGGAAAAAACAGCGGATAAATATTGAATTACAAAATAAATTAGAAAATAATATATGTAGGTGATTTTCAAGCTCGTTTCACGGATGTGTACGTAATTATCTCTCTATTTAATTCTTTTTACTACACACATAAGTAAAGAGTTCAGTTCTCCATTAATGAAAGTTGTTTCTAAGCGTTGTTTTGAAAAATATCTCGAAGAATGTCTATGTCAAGTAGATGCATAAATAGAACGATAAGTAAATACAGAAAACTATTCTTATAAGTTAATTTTTATCGATCTCTTCTCGAAACATTCGCATACTAAGTGTTTGTTCAATTGTATAGAACTTGTTAATTAAGGTCGTTATTTAATGACAATCGTTCTCAATTTAATTGAAACAAAAAATGCATACTTGTATTACTGTATTCATAATACTGACGCTTTAATGAAATTGACAAATATCTATTGATCCTTTTTCATTGATATATATATATATATATTTTGTGCTAACTTTTTTTCTTTCTTTGCTGTGGTGCATCACCACAATTATAGAAAGATGACAACATACAACAACAATAGTAGTAACAACAAGAACGATTCGCCGCTACCGTCGTTGGTTTCGTCGTTTAATCATCGTCGTTTTGTCTCGTTCGGGCCTATGGCTTCTCCGATCGATGCTGCTGCTGCTACTACTATCGTCTTCTCGTCTTTTTCATCATTCTCAATGTTCCAGTCATATCATTATTACTGCTACTACTAGTCCTTCTATCATTCACAATTCCTGTCCGCCTCTTCTTTATTTCTCCTTCGAAAAAACCGCGTATCAATATTCTCTTTCCAAGTCAACGTAGAATCTTTATATAACTATCGATGATAGTCAATTAGATAATGTATTTTGTTCCACTTTATCGTCACTATCATTCAACAACAACTCTGAGCTTGTAAACATATCGCAAAAAATATCAAAGATTATTGTTACTATACAAAGATTATGGGTTGTAGTCAGGCGAAAATCGAACCAGAATCCTTGACACCTGACGATGCAAGAATTATTAGAGAAACATGGAAAATGGTAGGCCGAGAAGCCTATGGTGAATATGGCCAAAGGCTTATGTTAAGGTAAGTTATCTGTATAAAAGATATTTACATAGTAGTCAATTATATTCTTTTCAATTAAAATGAAATTATTATTTAAAAAATGATTTATTATTTTTTACTTTCTACATCTCTATGTATATATATATATATATACTTTATAGTTCGATGACGAAAAATAGAGAATAGAATGAGAATGAATGAATGAATGAATCAATAATTATTTCTTATTTGTTGTCACGAGTAGAAACTAGAATATTAACACATTCATACTTATTTTCTACTTTTCTTTCTTTCATTTCTTCTTTGTGTTGTTTTTTTTTCTCTGTCGATCTTGTTAGTATATGACATCTGAACATGCACATAAAAACATTTACTACGATGATCAATAGATCGAAGAATAAAAATTGATTTCTTTAGTGCATGCGACATATACTCACACACGTCAACGAAATATTCAATCAGCTTTCTATACGTTTACCGTTTCATTTTATCTAATCATGAATGGAAAAGAACCATCGATAGTTAGTTATGCCGTACACATTCTTTTCTTTTTTCCCGTAACTCTGCTTATTGTCTAACACTTGTGAATATACTATTCATCATAGTGATGGAAATAAGAATGATAACAAGCAAGTTACAATCATTATTATCGATTTCGTTCGGTTGATCAACACTTATCCCATTTTTGTCAATATCGAGCTATCCAATTCTTTTCTCTCTCTCTCTCTCTCTCTCTCTCGTTCTTTTAGCCTGCATATATATTACAAATAAATGTGCGTCATGTGCAACAGCTGAGAACTAATATCATGCAGATTAATTCACACTTCGCGCGCCATCGAACATATGTAGTTGTATCTTTTCTTTCTCATTGTGTTTCTGAAAAGCTTTTCGCCTTCATATAATAAACAATAAGAATAAGAGAAAAAAGACATATAAACACAGAAGTAAACGATTATATTCAGATTTATAATTGATTCATATTATTTGCAAATAAAATAAAGCATAATAAATCATGATTGACATTGAAAAGAAAGGTCAATCGCTTGCTGCCTGGGGTGATACAACATCAAAATGATTTATAAATTACTAGCGTACGACAGACCATTTTAAGTTAGCTCAATTAGAGATAATTTCTTTCAATAAATGAAACGAAGAAAACAAAATATTATTTTATTCATAGAATTTTCCAAAAATGTCCAGATATAAAAGCACTTTGGCAGAATCCCCGAATTATGAACGCAACCAATGCAGCTACCACATCTGGTGGTGATGAAGCAGACGCGCCTAATACGGCAAATCGATGGAAGATGGATTTACGAAATCATGGTTCCAAATTTTTCAATTCCCTAGACGATTTAATTAATGTGGTTGATAAACCGGACGAATTGTTTAAAATGTTACATGACATTGGCCTTCACCACAAAGGTTATGAAGTCAAATCAGAACATATTCAAGTATGCGAGATTCTTTTCTATCTACTCGTTATCTTAATTATAATTTCAATGTAGGCTATTGTTGACGGTCTCAATCATACGATGGAATTTGGTCTACGAGACAAGTGGACGGACGCTCGACAAAAATCCTTTGGAAGATTGATTAATATAATTGTTGCACGTACAAACAGAGCATTAACTGGTGATGAAAAATAACATGTTAGCTAGTTCTTGCTTTTTCCTCTTTCAATGTTATTGGCTTCTCCGTCCGCTTGTTACTTCTTAAACATGCGTCAAAACAAGATACCTAGCGTATAAATCACATCTTGAACACCAACAAGTTTCACGTCCGGTGAACGATTTAAATAAAAACCGAAAGAAATAATACTAGCGGCTAAATATTTACGAAGTCATTAGATATAATCATGTGCAACAAGAAATAACCTGCTGGTCAGGTAGCGAAGTCAATCTTTTGTCAAATCTTATTTATTCATTATTTCTACTTTATTTGAAATTTCTTCTTTCTGTGCATTATCTTCACAAGTCATTCTTTTGCTTTATCTCTTTTGTCGTCGTTGTCATTTTGAGTGCCTTTTGTATTCTTCGATTTCTGTTTGCTTCTTTGTATTTATTTTTAAACAAAATCATTGAAAAAAAAACATTTCTGCGAACGTAAAACAAATATACGAACAGCGTCTTCTTTTGCTAATATCAATTCTAAATAAAACTTTGTATTAACTTTTTTTTGTCATACATTTTCTTAATTAACTATTCATTTTGAATAAGATATTTCACTTCAAAAAGAATGTTCTTAATAAACACCTTTCAAAGAATGCGCAAGGGCACTTTCATGTCTCCTACATGCACTTGAGTACAACAGATCTTTCTCATAAGTGAGAACTATGATGTCAAAGAAAATTTACTGTTAAATTCAGTGAATTATAATTAAAAGGCATTATGCACGTTAGTATTGCGTTGTTCAAAACAAAATCAAGGAGCAAATATATTAACCATGAAAGAGAGTGAATAGTTAAGTGCGTAAGATATGTCACATATTACTTCTCTAACACCTATATATAAACAAATAAACTTACGATTTGCAATTGGCATCATCATGTCATTCACAATACGGTACACAAGGTTTAACACGATTGATTCGAAAGAATTGTAATGAAATTGAACAACAAATAGAGAGATTTTCGCATTGGATTTTGAATGACTTCTAAGAGGAATGATTTTCTAAACAACAGTTAGTTTCTGTTTATAAGTAACCATAGTTTTCGCCCTACATTGCATATAGAGACGACAGATGCAGAAATTGAGTGTATTCCTGTTTGTATGTTGTATTGCTTTCAGACATGCAAAGTTCTTTCTATAGATATTTTGCAATCACCATCGGGGCACATCCAGTAGTGCAAGATTAAGTAAATACTCTACGATGATGACGTCAAATTTGCTCTATTCTATGACTGAAAACAAAAACAATAAAGACTGGCTTTTTTTTCTGGATGACATATTTGCACTGGATCGACACTTTCGAATGTTGTCTTATGACGCACATAAACAAAAGAAGTTTGAAAGTTCTTAAAATTGATATAAAATGCCACATGTCAGATGAGCATCAAATGTTTATTATTTACAAGACAAAGAAAAGAGAAAAAAGAAAGAAAGAAAAAAATAGTTTAAAAACGAGCCATAGGTATAAATGGTTGCCTTAATGATGTGGTTCGATTCAATTGTCGAGGTTCGAGAAAATCGGATTCCATTGCTGTACTTCTCAACATATCTAGAACAGGTGTCTTTCTTAAACGAGAATCTAATGTTATACCAATATTGATACGAGGACTTCGTAGATGATCTGTAAGATGTTTGTTTTTATCTTCATCTGCACTTGATGTATAATTCTCATCTACATGACATTCAAATGTAACTGATTTAGAACGTTTTCGCGTCGATTTGTTTTGTACAGGTGTGATTGTGCCATGAAGACGTCGTTGTAATATACCTTTCGTAGGTTTCACTGTTTGTTCCATGAGTGGAACGGATACTGGTCGTTGAGTAGTTAATAATGGATTCGGTTGTTCGAACTGAGTGATCAAATATTGAATATTCGATGCATTACTGGTTTGTTCCTGTTGATGACGTTTTTTCAGTAAGAATGCATTGAGATATCCTAATGGTAACACTTCAGTTTGTGCTCGTGGAGAGTCTACTTCATATGAAATATCACAATCTTGATCAGTTATTGTTTGAAAACGATATAAATTTGTTGATTTCGAATCTGTAGCTGTGGAAGAATGAATTGAATTTTTAATTTTAAGATCACTCATCGATGAATAATAACGATTATTTACGCTCATTAAAGTTGATAATCGTGGTTCGCTATCATATACTGGCGTTTTCCATTGACGTTGATGTTTATTGCCAGTGCGAGTTGATACTAAATAGAAGGAGATTTAGAATAGAGAAAATGTTCTCAAATAATCAACCAGTAAACATAGTGAGTGTATCTAGTTTACGATCTGTTTCGTCATATGAACAAATAAACATTGTTTGTTCAATCGACTATGCGTCAAGAATAAGATGAGTGAATACCTGTTCTCTGTTGTTCTTTCTCTTTCGAATTCTGAACAGGTTCTTCATGAAAATTTTCAATCTTTTTTGCTGTTGCTGCTGATATCGACGTACTGTTCACGACTGTTATTGGAATGTGATGAACTGTTCGTTTCATACGATTATTTGAATTGAATTCATTTGATGATACTGAACTCCAACGACCTGAATCATGCGATGATTGAGATGAGTGACTTTGAACATCGATGTCTCCATTTGGTAAGACGACCTGTTGTTGTCTATGATTATTAACTGGATAACACGGTCTATAACCTTGTGGCACGATTGAACTGAACAAATGAGTTGTTGGAGGATCACTACTATCACCAACACCACTGTCGTTCGTATGAGTGCATGATTTTAAATGATTTATTTCTTCAATGTTTTTTCTCTTCGATAGATCATACAAGTGTAAATGAAGAAGATTTCCATCCGGATCGTATATATAATATTCGAATTTGTTTAGTGCAAATAATTTACTGGAATATTCATTGATGAAATGATCCAAATTATTTAGACGAAACTTCAAATATGCACTTTGAGCAATTGTGTACGGTTGAATTGATGGAGAATATTTAATTGAAAATTGATAAATCATCTTCATACGTGGTGTTGATGGTAAAATAAAAAGAACGAAACCTGGTTTACTTGAATCGGGCTTACGTTGAAATAAACGTGTATAAAATGTTAGCATTATATCAAAATGTTGAGTAAATATATTGAAACGAATGATTGGTTGTCGACTATGAGGAATGTGTGATACAGACCATAATGGTAAATAATACGATAGCTCATAATAATCCTGTCTCGCTATTGTCTGTTTATTTTCATCTAATAATTCAATTTTATGGTGAAAATTCCATGTATTTGTTGATTTAAAAAAATGTTTTGATTTCGGTAGAATAGTTGATGAAGTTTTGTTTTTCTTCGATGTCTGCGATGGACGAACGAGTTGTTGTTGCTTAAGTATGTCATCTGTTAGAAGCAGAACACAACTTAATGATTGTGATTGAACGGGTACTGATAGTGTTGTCGATGACGATGATGATGACGTGGATTGATTAGTAAACGAACCATAATAAGTTGTTGGTTGAATTTGACGTTCGACGAGAAAAAATGATTGTTCACTTATTGAACATGTTCGAAGAAGACTGCTTATCGCTGTTGATATCTCATCACATTCGTTGCTGCCAATTTTAAGGATAAGTTCACAAGGAGCATAACAACTATTAGTCATCTGAAATAATAAATTTTGCAACATGTTTCTCGTGATATCAATCAAACTTTGCTTCTGACAAATACTGTTTCGTTGTTTTTTTCTATCATACGAAACACAGAAGAATGAATAATAAGCGCCTTACAGCTGTCAAATTTTTGTCAGACATTCTATCCATCTCATCGAGACTTTCTCACCTTTCTAATGACAAAAATAAATATGCTGTTCATTGTTTTGCTTATCTCTTACTACTTATGTTGGTAAACAAAAAAAAACAAGACAAATAACTGAACGATTAATGTCTCTCTCTTTCTCCTCTGTACGTGTAGATGGTATCAAAAACAAAAAATGACACATGCATAGAAAGCATGATGAACATGGGCTACATATACCATCACTCTATCATTCATCTACGTTGACGTCGCGTCGTTATGTGAAGCCCTTCTGGCAATATGTATACATACATCGTCTATATTAGCAGTAGCGATAACACTTTGCTAGTTGCATTATAGACGATTGAAAAACAGAACACTCCTGACGCCAAGTATATACATACGTCTGTGGCTAGCCGATCAACAGCTACCATCAGGTTTCGTTCATTGTGTGTGTACGATGTGGTAATTATGAACAAAAGAATAGAAAGAGAGAGAGAGAGAGAGAAGGTGAGGAAGAAAGAGAGAAACGTGCAATGTATATCGCAGTAATGTTAGTTATTAGAAAAAAAAAGTCGACCAGACATTTACTGATCACTTCGCCACCCCATTACTTCATTTGATCAAATTGAACAGACAGTATGAAGAAAAAAACAGAAATATGAAATTTCTTGACGTGAAAGTATGAAAGAAACAAGAAACAAACTAATTACACTAATGCTACGATGTTCTTTAGTATATGTCATTCGGATAGAAAAAATCGAACTTTTTTTTCCTCTCGACCGCTAGTTATTTCTTACAAAGAGAATCAATGCAAGGAGTCAACAGGTTTTCATATACATATATTTCATTATAAAATGAAATACATAACGAAATGCGAAGAGTACCGAAAGTAAACTAACAAACTTCATTCGATGTTTTTTCGTGTTCGTATGCTCGACATTTACTTGCTTCTCTGTACTGTCAAATTCTGATTGAAAAGTGAAAAGAGAGGACGTAGGTGATATAGAAAAACTTTCTACTATACTAATCGTGCTTCTTTCGATTGTTTGAAGGTTCATTATTTATCTAACCTGAATTCTTTGTATAAATGAATGATTAGTGTCTCTATATCACTCACATTCGAAACATCACAAGTGAATGTGATCAGTTACTATTACAAATGACAAGCTGACAATTGAAGAATAGAAAGAGAGGTGGTAGGCAGTTGATAGAGAAGGTCAATGATCACGTCTAATTTCATCTATCTTACTTATAATTATCAATCGACTCCGGAAAAAATTTTCATTCATTGTATATATGTTAATATATATGTAAACATATCTAGTCGTTATTCATGCAGAACTTGAACGATGAATTGTTTAAAGAACAAGAGATGAACATTGGCCATTGATCCGTACAGTCCATTGAAGAACAGATCTTTAATCATTAATGATCTATGTGCGTATATATATATGTACATACAATGATCTATTTTCAGGACATTGATGATAATGATCATTGTTTGCTATTCTATAGGTGACAATCGACACCTATTTTGTTTTTTTGTACTACATTAAACTAATAAAACATCAATGAAAATAGTTTCTATAGAAAAGAAGAAAAAAAAGAAACGAACTGATCTAGCTGATTGACCTTCCTCTTTGTTCAATCGAACTTAATGTCTAATCATCTCGTGTCTACATTATGTTCTTTTCTTTTCAACTTACATTTATGGAATCTGTATGCACATGTCGTGCACACGCATATATAGTAGATCAACACACACACACATACATAGTGAATTACAAATAATGATTATACACATTTAGTCGATGCTCATATTTCCATACTTAAAAATTGTATATGGGTGATCATTATTAGAACACTTGTCGTGGTTGTTGTTATTCTTTTTTGTATTCTGATTATCTATTATCGTAATATTAATGTCTTGAGTTGATGCATACAAACGATTGGCTTGTCACGAAATTGAACACTTGACTTCATTCGGCAATGGTCATTTCGTACTGGAGAAGAGAGAAAAAAAGAATGAAATAAAGCAGGAAGGGAGAAGAAGAAGAACGAAACTCGAATTTTGTGATGTGACTGTTAATAACAAAATACGCCCCTTATTGTCAACACTACGGTCACTATATCATATAGTAAATAGATGAAAACGATCAAATAGAAAGATTGGTCAAGTACGACTATAAAATAAACAAAGACAACTGTACATGACTATCAGTAGCAAAAGATATTAAAGACTTGACCTTTTTAGTAAAAACGAGGGGAAAAAAAACAAAGCGGCAAGGTTATTTCAACACATAAAGCAAAAGACTAATCAATAAGATCAAGAGAGTCTGCATTACTTTTTTCTTCTATTTGATCTTCAATACATTGTTGAGAGAAATTTATATTACCTACTTCAAAATGAATTCTGATCCATCCAATAAAAAAATAAAGAGTTTTATGCAAAAATTTCATCTTGACAGAAAATAGCCAATACGTCGCAGTACATCTATGTGTAAGAAGAATGAGACAGACCAGACCTGATAAAGAAATAAAATGAAGTATTGACAAACTTTTTCACAGATGTTGAACTCTCGTTAAAGAAACGATTTCAAACGACAGTCACGAACAAGAGTTCTTCAAGTAACTGAACTATCTTTCTATTGAAAAGAATTGACTTTCCATATATCATTTCTCTCATTTGCTTTTACTACATTATTTCATACCTGTTCCGGTTAATTGTTATTTATAGTAAATGATCAATCATTAATCTTCATTGTTTTTTCAGGCATCATTTCTTGTCTAATGATATCAATATCTAAAGCATTCATTACATAATTATTTCGAGAAAAGCCGCAAGCAAAGTCACCTCTTTGTCGTCTTTCATTTCATCTGCCACGAATGTTCCTTTCTTTCTTTATGTAATAGCTGCGAGCATGAATATATATATATATATGTATATGTTCAAGAGAGTCACGATCGTTCACCAGCTCCATGCTCTGATTTATTTTTACAGAAGAAGAAAAAAAGAAAGAGAAGAACGGACTATTCGTACGTAGTAACGGGCGCGACGTAGGCAAGTTCATTTATTCACACGTACACAGATATATGGACAAAAAAAAACATGACTTTGTATCATAAAGTGTGAATGAAGATATGAAAGACAGAACACAATTAGTATAATTAGCAGAATATCTGATAAATATATCTACAATCGAAAAGATATATGTATAACGCATGTCGATTCAAGATAAAAATTTTATGTTTAGTAAATAGAAATAAATTATTTAACTAATAAATCATCTGAGAATTATTTATTAGACTTTCGAAAAGGAGAATATTTATTAAAATCAAAGATGATTAGTTTTCGACTGATATTCATTATCGCTTGAGCATCATATACTCATTACACAATTCTCCAAAGCTACTATCAAAAAACAATCGTAGCAAATCTAATCACTGGGAACCGACTGGTTGATTTTTTTCCTAACACAGCCTTGGTCATTCTGCTCATTGATTATAACCTATTTAAACTTATTCCTATATGAATACCTTTACAATGAATGAGAACAAAGCTGATTTGAAATGAACTCTCTATTTATCTCACTATCGTTTTTTTTCTTATTGATTTGTCGATAGTGGTGCGCGATAGTACATAACAATGATGTCGGCTTTCTTTCATATTGAACATAATATCAATAACTGAGTTTAGCATTGAATTTGATATATCAGAATATGAGAATCTATTTCATTGTTCGCTCACTTTTTTTTTCTAAGCTGAATTTTCCATGAAGATTACTTTAACATGGATAACAGTGTCAGTATTGAAGAACAAGACTTTTAGAATACACTTCGATTTCATGCATTTTTATTGAGAGTAGAATGCTATTTTAGGTATCGGTGATAATGATGTATTATAACAAAACTTGTGCATCTAATGTTTATCGACGGAAAAGAAATGCGACTTATGTAGTAGTATTATATGTCTATTCTATGTAAAGTAAAGATCATCCGGATAAATTACTAACAGATGAATTCAGAGATTTTTCATGTTTATTAATACAACCTTTTTTCATTCGAGATCTGAATTATGTAATCGAAGGCGTTCTTTGTTTTCACACTCGATTGGACACAGAAATTTTCCATACTCATCAGATGTGCGTGTCCTATTGTCAGAAGGATGACAATCGATATTGAATATGTTTTTATTTATGTTTAACGAAAATGAATTATACATAAAAGAAAGAAAAATAGAGGTCTCTTTGGTACTGTTATGTGTAGATTTTATAACGAATAATCAAATTAGAAATCAGAACCTAAACAGTTAACATGCAGAATGCGACTGATTCAGGTTTGTATTTGTCACATGAAAATAATCTATGAAGTAATTTTACTTTGAAACCATTTGTCAAAGCGATTATTGAAAACTCGTTGTTTAAGATCTTTGCCGAAATTGCGTATGCAAAAACAACCAAAAACGAATGATAAAATATGCGTGACAAAATTGATTCCCATACATACATAAAGCGCACTGGGTACGGACACGAGAGCTGGTAATGGTGATGTTGACCATGGGGTTGAACTAACAGTTGATGTTGACCAGAGGGTTGAATTAGCTGTTGATGTCGAACTTGACTGAGTAGTTGTAGTGGATGTGGTCGAAGCAGTCAGAATTGTCACTGGAGGTGGTGGTGAATATACAATAGCCTATTTGTTTGGAACGATTGTAGAAAATTTTGATTTTCATTGAGAAAGAAAAACTCACGCTATACAGTGCATAAATTAAAAATGCCGGTTGACAAATTGAAATGCAACAGAAAACCACGACTAATTTACGACTTTCCAGACGAACCTGAATGAACTTACTGAGCTCTTTTTTTTAGACAAAACATATGTTATCTCATACCATGCCGATACCGAGTGCTAGCCATAGGAAAGCAACTGGAATACCCACGGGAAGTAAAATTAAATCAACTGCTTTCAAATCATTGAAATTGTACAAGTTAAGTATTAGTGTTGAAATCTAAAAGACAAAAAGACAATCGGCATTAAGTCTTTGTTTTGATCATCTTACAGAAAACATTGTATTAATACGTGCAATGCAATCAAATATATTGTAAGTTCGAAGTGGACGACGAGCTTCAGGAAAAGCACCGAAAAGTCTGTTAATTATTAGTACAAGTTGATTAATACTATTCTCGATTTCGAGGATTTATAGATAGCAAACCGTTTGGAAAATTCGTCTCGTTGATAATCTTTGATTACTAAGAACGCCAAAGGAATAAAAAACACATTAAAAACACTTGTAAATATCAATCGCATCTTTCAGATAGAAAAAGTTCAATCAAATTAGTGTTTATTTTGCATACTGAATACATACAAGACGAATTTTTGCATCTGTACTATCGCCATCTTTATACCGAGCCACATAATGTGCTATAACGTATATTGTAAGCATAACTGCACTGATAACAAATGCGGTGATATCACTGATACGTTGATATAAAATGCCAGTTATAAGAAATAGTAGAAGAAAGACTGAAAATATAAAAATAACTCTCCGAGACAAATGTTTTTGATGAAATCACTAACGTGAATTAACAAGAATGAGTATCCCATATGCAAAATCTGAATCTGTGGTACCCAAATGTTGAGTTACATAGATTAAACGGATAATTGTTAAAGTATCTGTAGCTATGGCAGCTAGTACACCTACAATCAGGAATATGATTTCATATCGATTTATATTTACGCAACCGCGACGCTATAAAGATAAATCTTAATTAAATTACAATTGAGAGAAACTTTATCAATTAATTACAGTTCCTAGTAGACCACTCTGTTCGATTTCATTGTCATTGGACGGTCTGAATCCTCGAATCAAGCTTGTTCTTTCTGTCGCCTTGAAAGTTTCCACAATAAAGTAACAAAAAATCCTGTTTTAGATGAAATTCACTTACGTCCATCGTTTGAAAAACAACAATTTAGTTGTTGGTTGTTTCTTTTTATTTATCGAAAAGAACAGAAACGCTATCTGCCTCTATTTTATCTTTTGACACATAGGAAAATGAAGAACGAGCAAATAAAGACATGAAATTCAATGTTTCACACACATGTCAGAACAAACACAAGTCATAGGTATTTTGCGATAAGTTAGTAAAATGTGTGCACGTCTTATGAATCAACAAAGATGACACAATATCTTTCCGACATCTATGTTAGTTTGAATATTAATAAGTTCAAAGCATTTAATTAAAAATCAGGTTTTATTGAAGAACAGATCAACGAGAATTGTTTTTCATTACATTTGTTTCAAATCTCTTCCAAGAAGAATTTTCATGCAATCTGTTGGTTAAAATCTCGTTAAACTGAGTTTCAATGAATTGATGAATCATATTCAATCGAAACTACATGTGTCAATTTTTTTTAACTTGTTCTAATATGATTTATTTCATGTAAAGAAAATTTCTCGATTCAACAAGTGCAACTAGAAATTGTCTATGGCATTACATGTTCAATATTACTAGACTCAATTTTTGTTAAATATCTTGTGAAACATTATCTTTATGCCTGGAGAAAATCTATAGTTATCAGAACATCAATATTTATTTTATGATACAAAACTACAACAAAACAACTCCAATTCGTACGTTCGGATATTTTCTGTTTCTTTCTATCAAGTTTGTCAGTAAATAAACTCGAATTCACTTTCCACAATGAATCAGTTCATTATCTCTGACAGATATACTTCAACTCCCTCGCACAAATGTCACAGAGATAATTATGTTTTTCATCTTTTTGAGAACAAAATCTATGTAAATAGATTTCCATTTAGAAAATCTCTCATTTAATGATCTTCTTCAAACAACAATAAAATCGGATCTACAGAGATATTAGATTCTAGAAAAGTAATCAGATAAAAGATAAAAATATCTTCATATATGGATCTATTGTACCATATCAAATAAATCATTTCCTTATTTCAAATTCGACAGCATATTAACATCCTGTCAACAGGAAATCAATAAAAGGATATCTAGTCTGCAACTTATATTTAATTGATATGAAGTGATACGTGATATCTGTACCATCCTTATAGGCTTATATCATTGAACTTACCAACATGAAATAGGATGACGCATAATAAGTACATACATCGAAGTGAATTTGCAGGTGCTGCAGGTTCGGTTACAAGTAATACGATATATTCCCGACTACAAAAGCGAACACGCTGTAGGGTGTTACACAGGAGACGATATAAAAGCTATTCTGATACCATTTCGTAATATAAGAAAAGAATTTTCCCTGTTGTACGTCATCCAGACTTTTAATTATAGCTTGAAATTTGATTATTCCTATTTTTGTTGTTGGGATCGAATTAACTTTATTTTATTAAAGAATAGTTTCCGTCTGTGAGATATTGAGGATTAATAATTAAAAATATTTATGTGATCTGTTGTTTTGTTCTATTAACTCTTTATTGGTACATACAAACAACACAACATCAAAAGTGATTGATTAGAGTTTGAAAAATGACTTCAAAATTGTGACTCTTCATAAGTTGGTTTTTGAGTTAAATTATTGAATTTTCGTGTACTTGTACTGTGTTGTAATGGTCGATCGCCATGTTGTCTTGAGTTTTCTTGATATTTTACTGTTGACGACATTCTTTTCTTCTGACGGCGAATGAGTGAAAACAATGCATAACGAAATCGTCGTCCACTGATACAATAAATAATAAAATTTGTGCAAAAATTCAAATCTTTTAATAATTCACTTAATGTTCTGATGTATAAATAAACTTCAAAAGCTCGTCGAGTAAAGCATAAGCCAAAGGGTAAACCCCATCTTAAGATAACATTAGTGATTGTATATGGAAGGAAATAAACCATAAACATCAGTGTTACAACTAGTAACATCAACATTAATTGATTTTCATTTGTATCCAATGGTCGCTTTTGTGTTGCGATTTGATGTGATAGAATTTGATGTCGTTGAAAAACAGCTCGTTTCACGGTGTATAAAGTTATACAATTACTTGTGATAACAATTGTTAAAGGAATAAAACAACTAACGAATTCAGTGATGGTTCCATTCACTTTGTAATATCCATACCAGTTTGCCTCTGGTTGACAACGGTTCTTTTGACTTGGTGACACATCAATTGATAACAAAAGAACGCGTGCAGAGAGAACTATGCTGCATGTCGCGATTAGAAATATAAACATTCGTGCACGGCGTACTGAAACAAACTTTTTTATATGTAATGGATATACAACCACCAATGTGCGTTCAATAGTTATTAACACAATTGTCCAAACTGACAACAGAACACTCGTATCTGTGAGAAATACGAAACCTGTGCATAATGATGGCCAGTAAAATAATTTTGAAGTTTTATTCTCATACGAGAGTAATTTAAGTACAAGTACAAGAGTATCCGAAATAGCCATTGATTTCACGTAGACCGAAAATGATGAACGATTTAATTGAGAATTGGTTAAGATAACAAGAAGAATCAATGAATTACCGGCCAATGCAAAGACTGGTAATGCATGGATAGATATGAAACTTGTCACTTGAAAGAATTGTTGTGCTGATGATATATTCGATGGGGCATCATTTGGGTTACACAGAAAACGATTCATCTGTGGAATTCAAGGTAATGTGCGACTGAATGTTCTCTTGAAAATCTTTTATACTTTGTTGAATGATGTCGATTTCACGTCACACTTTGATAGAAAAAGAGCGAATAGAAAAGATTAGTTCATGTGAAATAATAAGTCAAGTGAATGAAGCAAATTATATATAGTTATCATTACCAGAATGATCATTTTCTAGAAAGAGAAAAAAAAGAGAATTGATTAGTATATATTGTTTTGAATATACACAAGTTAATCGAAAGCGTAGTAACATGTATTTGCTTGAATTTTCCCTCAAAGACAACTCATATTATGGTAATTTAGAAAAAGACTATGAAAAATTATAGTAGCTATACTATGAGAAGAGTACGAAGCACTTTGCTGGTTCGAATGCCGAAAAGTTTCTGATTGTTCCTGATTTCAACAATTAGGGCATTTTTTTATGAAATTATCACGTCTGTTCTCCTACGTATATAACAACGTTATGAAAATCTTTTCTTTTGTTTTCATTATCATCTAAAAAGAATCTGTTTTATCAAATATATTTCATTCGACAATACAAACAAAAACCTATTCTTTCACATAAAATCCGAACATGTTTACAATAATAGAACTCTCTTCTCACAGGAGACATTCAAGAGAAGATTAAACACTTAAGACATGCTAATAATAATGCTAGAAGTTTAATTACATTCAATACGCATCGCACTAAGACTGTTAATATGAATATAAAGAAGAAGTTAACATATTTCGTGACAGACTTCCAAAAGTACTTTCAAACAAAAGTGAATCATGAAGAGTTTGATTGTGTTTTGATAAATGACAACCATTGGAGATCAAATCTGACTATTCCTATCTTTTTCCTATTTCCTGATAAGACAAAAGGGAGATGAAACAAACAACGCTTTTTATCATTCTCATCGTTCAGAATTGTCAACGAGGACGAGATGCAAAACTTGTCTATCACGATAAATTGTGCTTTATTCACTCTGCAACGCACTGTTTTGAAGTTCTCTCTAACAAACAAGTATAGACGACAGATAAACTTTTCTATAAAGATAATCACCAGGGAGAAGGTTCTTCATAAGTGAAAAAGAAAATGTTTTCCTTTTCTTTTCTGTTTCATTATGAAAAAAAGAAGACCAACAGAGGAGCATCCTTTTATCGGCGAAGACCTAAAGAATTCTACGTACGTCTAGTCTATATAGTATTATTGATGCGAGAAAAGAAATAAAAAATTATCGCGAAAGTTATTTTTTTAGATTTAATCTTATTTTATATTTATATGATCTTGGGGAGTTTATGGAAATGAATGATAACAAGTACAGGTAATGAGTTAGAACATCAACGAGACGTCTTATCAATTATTTATAGTGTTTTTGAAAAGATATGATAGCAATACCGATTAGGGTGATTAATCGTTATTATTTGTACATCGGTAACAATTTGCTAGGATGTGGGAAGTTTTCTTTTTCTTATTAAATATATTTTACCACAAGAAATTTCTGTTCTTATTTCGAAATATTCTACTAGCGCTTTTTTGATTATTTACACCTAACTTTGTTTGAAATACGTGAAACTCTTGCCACTATTACTATATTCATAATTGGTATTCGGAGAATTCCTTTTCCGTTGTGCTATTTCCTACCTATAGGAAATTGCTTAGTTCACTAAGTGGTTGCTCTTTTCTCAGCAATTTCACTATATTTATTGAAATAAGATCAAAGAGAAAAATTATACATTATTCTCCGAAGTTCATCTTGTCAATGTGAAGAAGTCATATGATATCAAGGATATTGTCAGCTCTCCCTTTCACTCAAAGCAGCCATATCAGCTGTCTATAAGTCGAATGAAGCAAAATTTTAAAAAGTAATTAAGATGCAGAAACCTGTCAACACATGTTAAGAGGTCAAGGTTTTCCAGTACATACCTCGATATGCCAGAAAGTATAAAACTTAGAAAGTGTCATTTTATATCTTGGCGATATCGATAACAAGAAAAACTAATTTTCTTAATCCACGAACAGAAGAGATTCGGAAAAAAACCTAATCTTATCCATAAAATAGGTATGGTTTTCTCCTATACTACAGAATCTCATTATCCCTCACAGGATCAGTTAAATGACAGGATAAATATGACTTGCAGCTTTGGCGATCTTTATTCAAGATTTTAATCTTAATAAAGCGGATTAATTACTATGTACTCAGACATTTCTCTCAGTCATTATCGATAAAGATAGTGTGCAAAACAAGCCGCGCATAAAGTTAAGATGTTCCTTTTTGTTTTTAAAGATAAAAATTTGTTGATTGGTTGGAGCACTATTTCATTCAAGAAGAAAACCTGAAGATTAATATTTCAATGTTGAACTATTTTCTATTTAAGAGAAAATTACACTAACGAAACTGTTTTACGTTGTTTACATTTACCAACCTGAAAACTTTTCTCCTGACTTCTGCTTTCATAGCTATTCGTGAATAAAAGAAAGAGAAAATCATCAGAAATTCAAATGAAGAATGTTCACTGTCGGACAGCATAAAATATAACTTCATTTCAAAGAATATTTTTATATAAAGAACAAAGTTCTACCTTACACACCTCTTTTCCTATTGTATCGTATAATTAGTTGATTACATGCGGAAGATGAAAGAATCACGACACTGTCTGAACTATGAGAAATATTTTCTAAATTTGTCTCTAATAATGTTAAATTTGAGAAACTAATGCGAATATATACTCATCAATCGGAATTAACATTAATAATCAGTTCATCAATATACGTGACGATTTGAAAAGTTGAAAAAAAAATGCACTTACTTTAATTTCTAAATGCATTGTCAATTCTCTTATTTTCCAGTCCAAAAATGTCTATCAACTACTGGGCGAACATATTTTGAAAGCAGATCAAATTACACTCAACTCTTTTAGTGTGTCATATTTCTCGCTTCTTATTACACTAGGTAGCACTTCTTTTTCAAATCCACCCTCGATGTATACTGCTTCGCATTGAATATATACAGATTACTTCTATTCAATGTTGTTGTGCTTTTGGAAATGAATGTAATCTTTAACTTGAAGAATGTAGACATATTTTTCTAAAGATCTTTTATTTTCTTAATGAGTTTGCAGACGACTAATTGAGAAGAATATGACAAAATTTTCGTGTTCAAGTAGCGCTTCTGCCAAAAAGAATTGCTTGTTTTATGTGTTCAAATCATTTGAGAACTATCTCATGTCATTTTGAGTTCACATGCAAAATAAAACTACGTTGATGAGATTATTTTGAAAACATCATTGCTAGTCGAAAACTAAATGATTCTTTTTTCAACAAAACAATGTTACAATTTGAATTTGAGTGCTTCAAGGATAAGAATTTCGAGGTATTTATTGAGAAAGTTCAATAGTGTTCTAAACAAACATTCCTTTGACATAGTCAAGTACATGGTGATAATAATGATCGGATTGAACAACAACGTTAATTGGTTTATGAATGACAACGAGTAAATGATGACAAAAGGATTAAGAAATGATCATTATTGACACGAGAGAGAGAAAGAAATTTGGTCACATTTTCGAAACGAACATTTCAATGGATGAGAATAGAAAAGTTCTAACAAATAAGAAGATCATTATGTCTAGAGAATAAAGAAAATGAATAGATTTGATCTTCTTATACTGCTTTGTTTTTTGTGGTCATTATCATTTGTTGAAACCAAACGACGAGGTTTTTCAATTATTTCCCTTTGTAAATCTTCCTTTTATCGAACTATTTTCTTTTCCTTTTTCAGCGTCATCTCAATCACAAAACAATCTAGGAGATTTTTGTATACCTGGAACATGTATAAGTTTGAACTCCAATTGTAAACGTGTTGGTGGAAGTGCTTTTCGATGTGTTTGTAAAGAACAATATATGTCCGTGAATAAAACCCATTGCAGTAGGTTATAAGATCTCTCGTCAATAACGAGACATTTCTTTTGGCAAATTTTAGTTCGAGTGATTAATTCATCGATTGATTCAGTGTGTAAATCATGCATTGAACGTGGCGGTATTTGTTTGGATGAAGATTCAGACAATCATATGGATAGATGTTTCTGTCAGACTGATAGTGATCTATGCAATGGTATTACAACTTCTTCTTCTTTATCATCATCAACAATCATAATGGAATCTTCATCGAAAAGGTGTATAATTTGATTGATTTATGGAAGAAAGAAGTCCTTTTTTTTCATTTGAAGAAGTTCTATCAATATTCCGATGGTTCAGTTACCACCAGATCGATCCAGTAAGCATGGTGAACTTCTACTCGGTCTATATGATATAACTCAACAACGTACCATTGAAAATGGTGATTCAGTCCTAATCGGCGATCGTCTTTTCATGGAGATCAAGTATCGAACAGGTTTGATTTGAAATAAGAGTTCGTTGACAAAAAAGATTATTTACTACTCTTCAAGTTGAACATGATTCTGATCGGCATCAAATCATTGCAGAAAATTGCTCAATCGCTTCGAGTGTATCTGACAACACTGCTAAATTAGAAAAGCTTTCTTTGATAACAAACCGTTGTCCATCGTTAGATTCTCGTGTCGCAGTACGTTTTCAACGTCTGGATCCGACACATCTGAAAAGCACTGTTTTTCAAATACAAAAGTTCGAAACAACATCAGTCGTTTATTTGCGCTGTGCAATAGCAATGTGTTCTGGTCGAACGGAATATTGTCAAGAAGTAAAAACTCATTCGAGATTTTATACATCGAGGTTTTGTTTTATCTTAGCGTTTGTGTCCGGAAACACGACGAACATCTGCATTACATCAACCATCATTGCATGCACTCAATTCATCGGTGATATTACCGACTGATTCCGCACCGTTTGATTATATTGACGAAGATGGTGCAAGCGTTATTGCACTGCGACGACGACGAAGACGAAGTAGCTTTGATGAAGAGCAAACAAAGAAGAAATTAGAGAAACTTATATCTGATCTAACTTGGTCAATGGATCAACCATCATCGTCTCAAACCGATCACATCGACGCAGAGAAACCTGTTCATTATGAAATTCTTCAAATTCAACAGCAATTTACTATCGAAGCACCTCTACCTCAACCGGCACATAAATATCGAGGAGCTTATGGTAAAAAAAACCCAAAGCACATCGTTGAAGGCTCCTTTTTGTATTCTTCTGTTATATATAGATGCTTTGTATGGTCGGACCTCATTACTCACTCAAGGTGCTCTGGAACGATCGACAGTCGTTGCGACAATATCGATTATATTTATTATTGGAATTTCGATTTCATTATTCGTTGTCTATCGTGCATGTTATATTGAATATGTTCAACGAAATTATAGTTCATCATCCTTCAATGGTTTCAATAATAGTGGCGAATCGATCTATGGTGGAATGAGAAGCACTGCACAAGCATGTCGGTATGATATGGGACGTCGATCGGAACAACGTTTTGACGAGAGTTTTTTTGTAACTAATGTTGAACCATTAGGAGCTTATCGACGACAATATTAAGTCGATTTTTTATTGTTATTATTATTGTTATTTACAAAATGTCGACGTCTGAATATGATAGCCTAGATTTGTTTTTCTCTACATGTTTAGAAAGAATACGATAACAAAAAAAGGATTTATTTGCAGATTGTTGATAAGTTTTATTTGAAATAAATACATCGATTAACATCTGAATTCGGAAAAAAATCGAAGCTGAATTGCTTCACATGATGAATGAGATATGTAATATAAGATGTTTTTCTTCTCTCGATGATGTATTCCTTCGCTCGAAACCTATTTTATCAAGAAAGGTTGAAAGATAAAATGTAACGAAAGGACATATCTTATCTGCTAATGATAGTGTGGTATTTTGTTTTCGATGGTTACAAATCATTTCCAACTTTGTACCGTGAAAGCAAACTAGCAAAAAGATTGTCGTTTGGTTCGGCTTTCAACAAAATGTCGTCGGCATACGGGAAAATTGACCGACCAAAAGAATACAATTCATCTAAACTAGAATTTTTACTTCCCATTGAATCTTCCAGCAAATCAAATCAAACTGTCTCAGTTCATTGGCTTTCTGCTATTCAGTCGCAACTGTCGGATCCATTTAGATTGAAATCTTATCTTCGAACTTTATTAAATACTGAAATCGAAGCTGGAAATACTTATCCACAAAAATTTCTATTGGATGAATCACAATTCGAGAATTATTTCCTCTCCGGCGATGTTTTTATCGTGCTCAATGGCGGGAAAAGTGTTCCCAAGGATCTCGAGAACAATCTCGAAGAAAATCTGTTAGGAACCTTTTATGTCAAACCAAACTTTCCTGGTCGATGTTCACATGTAACTCCATCCTTTATTTTCCTTTGAAAAAATTCATTGATTCTCATTTAGATTTGTAACGCAGGATTTATCACAGCACCAGCGTATCGTAACCAAGGAATTGGAAAGATAATGGCTTTAGCATATCTTCAAATTGCTCCTTTACTAGGTTATAAAGCGTCGATGTTTAACCTCGTGTTTGCAAATAACATTGCAAGCATTCGACTTTGGAGATCGCTGGGATTCCAAGAGATTGGACGAGTTCCTAATGCTGGATTGCTCGTCAAGGATAAGAAGACAAACAATGAGGTTGAAGAAGAAGAATATGTCGATGCAATTATGTTCTACTATAGTTTTACTTAAAGAGTGTTTGAAATAATAATCATCGGGCAAAAAAAAAGAATGTGTCATGAAGAAAAATTCTGTCGTGTGCAACAAATTCATGTTGCTATCAAATATCTTCCGAAGAAGCCCTATAAAAAAAAGAGTTTTAATTGCATATATATACATTCGTATTTTTATGATCGTAAAAAATATTTATTTCCAGTCTCTTCTATCAGTGTTGTTTTTTCTTTCTGTTTTTCTATAATTTATTTCCAGTCAATTTCTCTCCTTCTTTACATTCAAGAATGAGATTTTGTTAGAACTAATATTTCATATAACTGTCAACTCGATCAAGAGCAACAACGAGAGACAATTTTGAATGTCGAATACTCGTGAATTTCTCATTCCGATTAATTATGATATAACACAGCCCGTTTATAAACCAGATGAAATCGTTCATAAACGACTATATCTCATCAATGGATTGAATTCAATCAAAAGATATCATCAAATGCTGAAGAATACGTCATCAGATCCCGAGTTTCAATCGAAATTCTACGCAGACAAGCTACGACATCAAGTTACAAACTGACACATTCATTTTTCCTCTTTTCTTTCTTTCTTTCTGTTTTCTGTAATGAAAAAGAATTCTCTTTTTCTTTCTTTACTCGCTTACCTTTCTTCATCTACAAGTTATAAAATAAAAAAGCACTCCGCAAACTCAAGTCTGTATCCACATTGACCGTTGCTATGTCGCATAATCCAAATCCAAACGCTGATACATCAGGTTTTAACTATCCAAGTGCTGCTGGCAAACCAACAAATTATGATCAAACTCATATTGGTATTGTTCCTACATCGAATAATTCAACAACAGAATCATCATCATCCGTTCCTATAACAACAACTCATTCAACATCCGCAACACACATCGGCCCGTCTGTAAGTGTCAATCATGGCAAACTAGGCGACGAACATGGAGGAGCTGGAACGAGAACTGATGACCGTAAAGGTGAAATTGTTAAAGGCGAAGGTGATAATGTATCGCCAACTGCCGAACACATATAGACTTTAACCTGGAACACACGTATCGTCATTGTAAAACTTACCGTTTAAATATGTTAATTCAGCGATAATAAATGATAGTTATCTAAGCTAGATTCTATATTTCGTTATTTGATATGTGCAAGTTATAGTTTATAGAATAAAAACTAGAATCCTTGAGATAAAGTTTTCAAAAGAGAGAAGGGACGGAAAATGCGTATATTATGTATACTACTACCGTGGATAATACAGGAAACAGAACTTAAATACATTGCAAGACAGAAAGACGAAACAGATAGAAAATCGATACAAATACCAAACAATAATATTCTGAAAAAAAAACGAGTATGCCATGTACAAATTCAGAGAGAAAGAAGAACTTCAAAAAATAATTTTGAAGTTAGAACATCGATAAGTTGTTTTAATTCTCACTCGGTATTTCATAAATAGAGGTAGAATAAAAAGAAATAGAAAGGAAATATCAATGACCAGATTGTACATTATGAATATGTACGTAAACTATCTTCATAAAATTTCAGTAGGAAGATTTGTGAAGCATATTTTTCATACAAGTCTTCTCCAAGTTCAAGTATCATTTCATGCTTTAAATAACCGAATATGAGAGACGTCAGAAAAGAATAAGTAAGTACTTACTGTCATTTGTGTTTCACTCACATTTTCCAAGATGTTAAGTACGCGTCGTAATTTATCTTCGCTTATCTCACGAAGACATTCGCTAAAACATGAAGATTGTCTAATATTAAGTTCTATTTCGACAGTTATTACTGACGTTTTCAATGCGTCAAAACGTTTCTGTAGTCGATTGGTTTGATGCAAAGGTACTTCCATTGTCCGATCACCCGATGACCATGGCTGAGAACCTAATCATTGAAGACAAATAGATATTTTGAAAACAAGAGTATTCATGCATGTAGTACTTTGTTGTGGGGAACGTGAATAAGCATCACCGCTATCAACTAACGTACGATCGCTATCGTTACTGCTGTTTGTTGATGCACTTGAATCCATATCGGAACTTTGAGCACTTGTTGTCGTGTCTGGCGCTAGTTTTAAGGTTGCAGTTAACATGAACAGAAAATCATTCATGTCCTTTTCCCTAGATGAAATAATTCAATGTCAAATTCTCAGAAAAAGTTCTAAACTAATTAGATACCCTTCTTTTTTCTTTTCGATTTCAGCTGAGATGGCATCCTGAGCTGTCGATTGAGACGATGATGGTTGATTATCATTATTTGCTATAGATGTTATTGAAGTTTCGATAGATGATTGAATGCGATTATCTCGTCGACGTTGGCGTGCGCTCAGATTAATACTCGAATCGCTGGATTTGATAATTTTAGCTTCGGATTGTTGCAGTTGTTGATAAGATGGAGCCAAATGACGATCAGAGGAATGAACGTCATCATCATATGATAGTTTACTATGATTAGACTCAACTGACGAAGCAGCAGAACTTGGCCGAACTAGTTGTCTTTGTGGAGCGACTACCTGGGACAGAAGAAAAGTTTCAAAATGAAGAATCAAAAGTGATATAAAGGTTTATCTACCACAGCTGGTCGAGATGCTTTCGGACTGGATGATATATCGTGTTCATCGTCAGATGAGATTTGTTGATACTGTCTTAGATGATTATGGATTTGTTGATCACGTTGTCGACGTTGTAATGTATCATTTTCGCTCAGCTTCAATAAAAACTTCAGATCCATTTGCTTGTCATTGATCGGTAATGGATTACTCTGCCGCATACGAAGACGACGACGAGCACGTGCATTGTTCGATTGATCTACATCAGCCGATGGTAATGATCCACTTGCATCAGCAGATGAAGACGAACCGGATGATGATGATGTAGTGATGTGGTTTGATGGACGATTGTGTGTTGGTGGTAATGGTGGAAATGAAGGAAGCACAGGAGGATTGTTGTTTGAGAATACATTCGGTTGAGATTTCTTCGATGATGGAGAAGAAGCTGACGAATAAGGTGTTTTAGCATCGTTTGAAGGGGATGAACGTGGCGGAGAGGATGACAGAGGCACTACTGATGGAGCAACAACTGTTACTTGAGAATTGGAATTCGCTTGATTTTGACACCTATTATATAGAAATGTGGAGTCAAGTAAAATCTAGTTCTTTCAATTTTCTGTTCAATTTTTCTAGATATATGAGATTTATACGATCAAAGTGGAGTATTTTAAAACCTACTTGACTTTGGTTTTTTCCAGAAGTTGCAAAATATGTTTTTTGATAAAAGGACTTTGCAGGATCTTCTTTGCAGTTGGACGATCGACTGGATTTTTACTAAGCATCGATTTAATAATATCCGTCAATGAATCACTATATTTCTTCGACGTTTGTGGTGTCTAAATCACAAAAAACGAGATGAACGAAAATCAAAAGCATTCATCTCAAACTTGTCCACGAATGATTTTAATCACTAATGCATTCATATCTTTCGCATTGAATGCATGTTCCAATGTTGTCATTTCGTAAACACAGCAACCAAGTGCCCAAATATCCGACTAAAAGGAATATTCAGAAAAAAAACACACTAACAAAAAGAGAATCTTCTAACCTTTTGTCCATAAGGTTGATGTGAAAATATCTCCGGACTCATGTAGTACGGTGTTCCAATAATCGTCGTTGCTAAATCATTTCCGGAATCTAATACTCTGGCTATTCCAAGGTCTCCAACTTTGACAATTTCGTTTTTTGTCAAGAATATATTTTGAGTCTTCAAATCACGATGAAGAATGCTTTTATCATGGATATACTAACGAACAAAACGGAAAAGGTTTTTCAAAGTATATCCCGAAACGTCAAGTGTATCCTACTTGCAGTGCCATACATATTTGCACAAACCATTCGATAATCTGATTTTCAGGCAAAGGTTGTTGATTAGCTTTTCTTTCTTTTAATTTTGTATATAAATCTCCGCCTTCACAATAAGCCATGACTATGTTGAGAAAACCATCATTCGATCGAAATGATTCAATATAAGCAACAATATTTGGATGTTTCAATGTGGATAACAGTTTTGCTTCACGTTCAGCACCATCAATATCATTTTGTGTGGTGTCACTCGATTGTTGACGTAGATCTAATCGTTTAAGTACGAGTTGTTTAACATTTGATTTGTTTGATGACGATGATGATGGACGTAAAGGTAATACTAACCACACTTCACCGTAGCTACCTTTACCAATTAAGTTCAGAAATTTATACTTATCATTAACATTAATTTCATTGATGTGTAATGCCGGTTCGGATCGGTTCATTTGTTTCAACATATTGAAGATTCTGATTTGGTTCAATAGAGTTTTTGGAGAATATATTAAATGAGATAAAACACGTGCATTTGTAGAGCAGAATCGAATGTATACAAACGTGAGAGAGAGAAAGAATGTGACAGGCATTGCCCGTTCAAAATGAAGTTACGTTACCTTGGTTATTGCATAGAAATGAATCATCACTGTTAACAAAGGTAAGTTCAATCTTAATTGTATAAGTGATATACTCAGTTCTTTATATGGGATTTCAAATTGAGCTATTTGTGGAAATTTATTAGAAAAAATTCAATGTAGATGTCATCAGGTATCATCATGTGCCTGGAATATATGGAATTGAATACGAGTCAATTGTTTCTTTAGTAGAGATTCATTTATTTGTTCATTAAGTCTTCATTGGTGTGATATTTTTCGAAACTCTAATGAATGCGAAATATTGATGAAAGTTTTGTTTGTATTTTATCAATTAGTTGATTGAATGTCATTGCGAATTCATAATGAACTTTTTGAATCGTTATTTATCAGTATGATAATTTCTGTTTAGAGGTGTTTTTACGCTTTATGAAAGTCAAATCCAATAATTTTTTCAAGTCGTTTGACTAGAAATGAAAGTATTTCAAATGTTTGTTGATTATTATCACTTTATAATATCTTTATTTCATCATGTGGATAGATACACCATTCTTGTACGTTCCATACTCCTCTCGTTCGTTGTATGCAGCGTATTCGAAATTTACTGATCGATAATTGAGACGTACTACTATGAGAAAACAGAACAGAATGGCAACAGCGGTCTGTTGGAAAGGATTGTTAATCCAGTACAAGTCAAAGCAAGCGTTGGTGGTGTAACGGTTAGCATGGTTGCCTTCCAAGCAGCCGACCCGGGTTCGACTCCCGGCCAACGCACCATTCTCTTTTTCTTTTTTTCTCAACAGTGAAAACTACACTTACTCCCAATTAAAATAATCTTTAAACGATTGTATATTAACATTGACTTAAGATTTTCAATCATCGCCACACTCTAGCAGATCTCACAGTTACTTGTGCACTTTTATTTTAATATTTAGTTATGTGTGGAACATATCGCATAAGAGAAATGCAAGATTTATCTTTTATAGCAATCATATTGATCTATAAAGACCTACTGCATGTTCGAGATCCACCAACTGATAATATAAATAGAAAGATTAAAAAAATTCAACTAAACAGAGTTTCATTCTAAAGAAAGAAAAAAGTAAATTTATAAAATAGGAAACACCGATCAAGCGTGCGATGCGATGGTCATGAACTGACTATTCCTTCAAAACAAAAATATGTAAGTTTCATCAGCTGTATAAATGATAATCGACGTATGACGTCCATGAACCAGATGTCACCACTATCTAATCAATCAACGAGCTTGTCGTAGTCCATCGACCTCCATTAAAAATCCAAACGAATAAGCTTCATGAAAATATTTTACAAGATAAAACTCATATAAAAATCATTGAAATTCATTTTAAAATCAGATGAATGTTCATACTCATATTTTCGGCATTAGTTCTAACTGTGGACCAATCAATATGATTGAATATTACTGCTGTCTCATTCTTATTTCTATCATTACATACAAGTTATTTTTTTTTGTTTATGCACTTCTTGCATCTTTATTTTTCGTCGTATGAACTTGCCATTTTGATTGAGTTTACTTTGTTTTATTTCAGATCTTTCTCAAGACCATAAAAACATGGCAACCACAGCTAACATCTCGAAAAAGCGCAAAGTAAACATTGTTTATTGAAGAAAATACGTGTAATCATGAAATCATTGATAATTTCAGTTTATTCGCGAAGGTGTTTTTCACGCTGAATTGAACGAATTTTTCACACGTGAATTAGCCGAAGATGGTTATTCAGGTCTTGAAATTCGTGTCACACCACAACGAACTGAAATCATTATCATGGCAACTAAGACTCAAGCTGTGCTGGGTGAAAAAGGTCGTCGTATTCGAGAATTAACATCAGTTATTCAAAAACGTTTTGGCTACGCTGAAAACTCAATTGAGTTGTTTGCACAAAAAGTTGTTTCACGTGGTTTATGTGCTATAGCTCAAGCTGAATCATTACGTTACAAACTCATGGGTGGTCTTCCAGTACGACGGTAAATACATTCCTAAAAAATCAGAAAGAATGTTTTTACAAGTTGAGATCCGTTTCATTTTGTAGTGCATGCTACGGTGTCTTGCGATTCATCATGGATTCAGGAGCTCAAGGTTGTGAAATCGTTGTTTCTGGTAAATTACGTGGACAACGTGCCAAAGCTATGAAATTTATCGATGGTTTAATGATTCACTCGGGTGATCCTGTTAACGACTATGTCCAATTTGCTGTACGACATGTTTTACTACGTCAAGGTGTACTTGGTATTAAAGTTAAAATCATGTTACCTCATGATCCAAAAGAAGGCAAAGGTGTCAAAAAACCATTACCAGATCACATTCAAATTGTTCAACCAAAAGACGAAACAGCTATTACACAACCATACTCAGAGTCAAAAGATAAAAAGATTGAACAAGTAGATACTTTTGTGTTTTTATTTTATTCAGAAGGAAATATGAACATTTGAATTATCGTTCTAGTTTCCAGCACAAATAGGTCATCCTCAACAAATGCAACAACAACAAATTCCACCTCAACAACAAGGACAATTACAGCCAGGAGCACCAGGCAATCTTGTTTTCCAATAAGATAGAAAGACTACGTTCAATGGTCACATAAAAGAAAAGAAGATATATCGAATAACATCATTATTTTTGATTGTTTGTTTTTGCTTTCAGGCATGATTGCCGTTTTAAGCAATAAATAAAGAAAACAATACAAAATGATAAAAATCAATGACAAAACTACTTTTTTGTCTTTTGAATACGAAAAATTTCAATGAAAACAGAATTTTTATGAACCATAAGACAGAATATTCGAATTTAGTATACAACGAAATTAAAATCACACCAGGAGAATACATCTGTGAATATGGATCAATCTCTAGTAGCATCTACAGCATAAGACAACACTTATAGTTTTTCCAAAATAATGATCAAGCAGTGGAATAATAGTATAAGCAATAGTTTTAATCGTGTATTCTGGTATATAAACTAATGTATTTCATATAGAAGAACAGTGACCGCGCTTTCACATAAGATATGTCAGTGAAGCGTGACAAAACACGGGCAAACTATCATTCAGTAGGATAGAAAGCGAAATGACGGCAACGATTGCGCTTGTTGGTACGCTTGATACAAAAGGTGCCGAATATGAATTTATTCGTCAACAAATCGATAATATCGGCTCATGCTCAGTTGTATTAATTGATATTGGACTTCAGTCAAATGAAAAATGCTCGTCGATAGCAGATATTTCGTCGCAAATAATATGTGAAGCTGGTGGTGGTGATTATAAAGCAATAGTAGAACACAAATTGACAAAAGCCGATGGATTTAAATTAATGACCAAAGGACTTGGACTAAAATTAAATGAACTCTACGAATCAAATCGTTTACATGGTATTCTTGGTCTTGGTGGTTCATGTGGTACATCAATCATATCTGAAGCTATACAACAATCGAAAATTTTACCTATTGGCTTACCGAAATTGATTGTATCTACTATTGCCGCTTCGAGTAACGCGCATACTGCTGTTGGCTTAACTGATGTTACTTTGATGCATTCAGTCACCGATATCGGTGGTGGAGTCAATCGTATTAATAAGCCTATCTTGGCTAATGCTGCTGCAGCTATAGCAGCTATGGCTTCTCGTTACTACGAATCGATACGGCAAGAAAAGGAAGCAGCAGTAGCCGATAATGTTCCGCCTGTGATTGCATTGACAATGTTTGGCGTTACAACACCATGTGTGATGGAAGCAAAGAAGAAATTAGAAGAACTCGGTTATGAGACTGTTGTGTTTCATGCAACGGGTATTGGTGGTCGAGCTATGGAGCGTTTAATTGAATCTGGTTCGATTAACGGCGTGTTGGATATCACAACAACAGAACTAGCTGATGAACTTGTCGGTGGAATACTCTCGGCTGGTCCAAAACGATTGGAAATAGCTGGACGAAAAAATCTCCCTCAAGTTATTTCACTTGGTGCACTTGACATGGTTAATTTTGGAGCTCGTCATACAGTACCAGAAGAATTTACAAAGACGAACCGTTTACTGTATGAACATAATAGTCAAATAACATTGATGAGAACAACAAAGGATGAATGCAGACAGTTGGGCGAGATTATCGCTAAGAAATTAAATCAACATTCAGGATCTGATGTAGTGCGTGTTTTTGTTCCTCGAGCTGGCTTTTCTTTAATATCAGGTATGCATTATTATAGTTTTGGCCATATAATCTAAGTTTGAAATTCTGTCTTTCTCTTTTGCAGTAAAAGATGGCCCTTTTTACGATAAACAAGCGGATGAATGTCTTATTGAAGCATTACATAAGCATGCAGATCCGAAAAAAGTGGAAATTATCGAGCGAGATGAAACGATCAATGAACCAACATTTGCACATGCTATGGTTCAAGCATTGCATGATCGAATGCAGTATAAACCAACTGTTAAACACCAAACAGAAATACCAGAAAAAAAGAGAATAAAACCACGAAATCGTCGTGAGTGTTTGAATCAACTTCGAGCCGTTATCGAAGAAGGTCGAGTTATCATTGGCTCCGGCGCAGGAATTGGTTTATCAGCGAAGTGTATAGAAGAAGGTGGTGCCGATCTACTAATTATATACAATTCAGGACGATATCGTATGGCTGGAAGGGGCTCCTTAGCCGGCCTTCTCTCATACAGTGATGCTAATGCTGTTGTTCTCGAAATGGCTGGTGAAGTATTACCGATTATTAAACATACCCCGGTGCTTGCCGGCGTGTGTGGTACTGATCCATTTCGACTGATGCCTCAATTACTAAAACAAATAAAAGAAGCTGGTTTTATTGGAGTACAAAATTTTCCCACGGTTGGTATCATTGATGGAATTTTTCGACAGAATCTCGAAGAGACAGGCATGGCTTATGAACAAGAAGTGGAAATGATTCGACAAGCTCATGCTATTGGTCTAGTTACCGCTCCATATGTCTTCAACGAACAAGAAGCTCGTCAAATGACAGAAGCTGGTGCTGATATTATTGTTGCTCATATGGGTGTCACAACAAAAGGTGCAATTGGTGCCAAGTCTGCCATTACATTAGATGAATGCGTTCAACGTATTCAAGCTATTCATGATGTTTCAGTTCAAATCAATCCTCAAGTTATTGTTCTTTGCCATGGTGGACCGTTAGCTGAACCTGACGATGTTCAGTATATTCTTGCACGAACTCACGGTATCAAGGGATTCTTTGGGGCGTCAAGTATGGAACGATTGCCAACAGAAATTGCCTTGGTTGAAAATACGAAACGATTTAAACAGCTACAATTTTCAAAGACAAACTAAAAGAAAAATTCTTTCATTCAATTTGACATTGGTAATAGTTATTGATTTCTACTGAATAGATAAGTATGAAATAACAAGAGTATTTTCTTTGTTAATACGAACAAAACTTGTTGTTTCTGTTTTATTCAATCCAATCGATAAATAAATCAATAAAAAAAAAGATAAAATAAAAACCAAATTGTTATTCAAATGAAACAGACGAAGAACAAGGTTATCATTAGCATTCAATGAGTTTACTTATCAATGAGTTCTGAGACTGACGTTGCACTTTGATTGAGTTTGAATTCATAGAATTTCGGATTGTTCCGTGGATTGCCTTTCGTTATGTTCATTGTTCGTTCCTTTAAATTCATAATTAATGAACAAACAGTTCCCACTGATCCTAACGATGTTGGTTTATATGATCGACAAATCGGATATGCTTGTTCCTCATTCTCAAAATCAAACAGGATCGATTGTAATGATGTTCGATTGTCCCATAATTGTGTCACTCGTGCGTAACGATCCAATGAGTTGTGATATCGGGGTTTATCTTTGATATGATCATTGTTATTTGTATATAGAAAATGATTTGTATGATATGGATGATTTCGAATGAAACGCACTTGATCGCCGGGAAATTCTACGCAACAACATTGACCTTGGTCATCGCCTACAAGAGAGAAAAATCGATTTCTTTGTATAGATTGTTTTTTGTCGTTGAGATTTACCAATAAGAACGTGTCCACCGAAACCAGGTCCATTTTGTTCGAATATATTCAACGCTTGTTCGAAATTTGTCGCTTGATCAAGTACAGCTCGTAATGAAATGTGTAGAGGTATATTCGAGGGAGTTTGGGATTGTGCTGATGGGTCAACGAAATTGATCGTAACACCAATTCCATGTGAATTCAATCCAACTTTTGCTAATACACCGGGCTCAATCATCTGTAAAATACCTTTGGATTTCACGTGATTAATACAAGCTAAAAACTCGAAATCTTCTATCCAATCCCAGTTTTCTGCTAATTGACAGGTTTGTTTATCATATAAAACAGTACATTCATTTTGTATTCCAAATGCCAAATGATTTAATAGTTCTAAACGGCAATTTAAAGCGATAATCCAAAGAGGATCTTGTTTGGATGCTACAGCTATGGAATCCAGTTCTTCGAGATATTCATTTGAATACGAGGATATTCCTCGACGATATTGTTCGCATAAATTTAAAATCGATTGTTCGTTATAGTTTGGTTGCGTGGCAAAGTGTTTTCGATAAGTTTTTATGGATTTATCTATACGATCGAATAAAATTGTTCCATGTTCATAACCGCGTTCACGTGCTGTTTGACCGTTGAATTCGATAAAAGGAAAGATTTCTTTGGGATCTATTGACATATTTGAATAGGATCGTTCGAAACAGCACTGACACGTTCGATTTGAATGGCTAGTTTTTGATACTTTTCGTATTCGTTATCTTTCGAATAGATCTGCTTTAAAATTAGGCAACCCAGTTCAATCGATTTCACCGTGGGTAATCCGTGTGATAGATGCTTGTCTAATAACTCTTCGAATGTGTTAAACTTTTCAATTGATAGTACACGTACACAATATTTCCGTCGAATGTTGAAACCCAAATCGTCGTTGTAAAATTCAACTATGTAGAATTCAAAATCAAATCTATGTATAACGTTGTGTATGGAAGAGAATGTTATTTACTGATATCTGAGGGCTTCAAATCGTGAAAATGTCCCTTATCAAGACGAATTTCAACAGTTTTTTTTCCGCAGTAAATAAGAGAAAACCACGGTTCAGAAAGATGTTTTACCAGCATAAGTCACGTGTTCGACGAAAAGGAAAAAATAGGTATATGCGGATGAAAATAATGATTGGGAGCTTTTTGTTGTTTTACTGAGTTATAAATGTGAAAAATAATAGCATATGATCCTCTAACACAAAAGAACGCTAAGAACAATGTCAAAAAGAACTCAAATAGCAAATAACATCTGAGAGGAGACGAACAAATATCCGAGAATACTAAAACTTTGTGATGATTCCTGTCTATGCAGAAGCACAGTCTCGACAGATGGCGACACTGTCCGTATCTTGATGAGTGTCAACTTAGTATCGAATTATTAATGAACATTAGTATCATTCTCCCATCAAAAGTATGAGAAATATCCTATATTTCAATTATATTTAGTGAAAAGAGTTTCATATAGGGTAGAACAAATTGAAATTCACTGTCTTAAATGCTATTATAAGGTCTAGATTCTCATATCACAAGGCAATCAATTTGTGATGGCATATTTAGTAAGATAGACAACTAAGAAGCGAATTGACAATAAAAAAAAGGTTATAATAAAACAAAAACATTTAAAACACTTGATTCAATTAGCTACAACAGCCGCAGAAGTAAAAACCCTCGATGCAGCATTCGATTAAGCACCAACAGCAGGGCCAGATCCAGAGAGCAATGCCATATGGAAAATTACAACTGCTTGTTCCAACCTGAACAGATTCGGAATCTTCCGTATTTATATTATCAAACACTTTCGGTTGTTCTATGACCAAAGCCGTGTTAATTATTTGATCACTCATTTTCAATTTCTAATATATGTATATATAACCCAACGAATCGCGTCAACTTCAGTTTGATCTATTGGATCGTTCCAGCATTGAATTATATATGTAGTGGAAAACATCATAATTTAGGTTTATATATGTACGCGTGCGGATATCTTTCTAATTGAAATTTATTCGGAAGAAAAATATTAATATGTTACTCAGTGACAAATAACTGATGTCATGTGTAAGCGTCGATTGCTCTATTTAACACAACACTGTTTTTTTTGTGGCTATCTAGAATCCACAAATCTCGTGAATAATCCGTTTACTAGATGAGTAGTATTTTTTCTTGCTCATTTGATTTTCTAATTATATCTCAAATGTGCACGAAACATTGTAAACCAAATCATATCGATATTTTTTTAGACTGTTTGATTGTGTTGGCACTATTCTCGGAATCTCGAGTAACCAATGTGGTTTTACTCTTCGTTTTATCTTATTTATTAAAAAATCGAAATGAATAGTTATAAATTTATTCGACTCGAAAATTAACTATGAACACAGCTTACATAAACTGGATAAACAATCGCAAATGTTGCTACATCCATTACCTAAACACTCACAGATCAAACAGCAACAATCGCAGTCTGGATGTGAACATGACTGGCATAAGTTACATACAGCATCCAGGCAATTGCATGCACAACAAGAGTAAAACAGACAGCAGTCACAAGCTTTCAAACAATAACACGAACTATTGCAGCAATATCTTCGAACGGGTTGTGTTCCTTCATGTCTTGCCGATGAATTTGATGCTTGTTCTGACTTTTTCATTGATGATTCCATTGAACCCCCAGGAAAAACTTTATTTTTTGAGTATAAATCTCCGTTAGTCTTCTCATGTATCTGACTTTCTTCCATAATCAGTAAATATTGTGCAATGTAAACTAAAATCCGTTAATGTTCTTCTCAACTTCAGTACATGATTGAAGAATCAGAGAAAGATTTTATAGTTTTCTCCGACCGAGATTGACGTCAACATCGAAATGATCCACAAGTGCAAGCCATTTTAACAACAGTGATCAAACAAGAGGAAAAGACAGCATCTCGCCTGTCGACATATTTCGTGCGTAGGAAAAAAAACATTTTGACTCATTTTTTCAATCGTCAATTCTATTCCACATTACATAGATATTTTCATAGTGTATAAAAATGTGTTCACAAAATACGAATGTAAGTAAGAAATATAAAAAGCATAGAGAACAATTTAAGCACAAGCGAAATTTCTGTGTGTCGTTGAGCATGATTGAAAAATGGTAAAAATGGATATCCGAAGAAATAGAAACCTGAATACCATTGATCGGGTGCTGGTAATCGCATATTATTCATGTTTGCTAGAATCATACGAAATATAACTTTAATCAACAATTTCAAAATGTCCTTACGATAATAATAAGCATTCGATCCACTCGGATAGGCATTATATTGTTGCGGATTGTATGAACCACCGCTCATAACGTTGACAGGCGTCGGATATTGATAGGCAACTCCACCAACAATAAATCGGTTGTTATTTTGCGAATTTCCAGTATAACTTCCACCTCCATTGGCTCCATAATAAGATATCACTGCTGGATCCAGTGCATACGCACCAAAATTCTTATCAAGATACTGTCGGCGACGACGACGACGACGACTTGTGCTATCAACTAGTATTAAGACAAACTTGAGGAAAATATTCGAAATTGAACTAAACAAACCTTCGGTAAGAGAACAAAGAATCGTGATGATTAAAATTACAGCAAAAAATTGCGAACAACTTGACCATCTCATGGTGAATCACGCGTGCATTCAAGGCAAAAAAAGAGAAAAAAGTAAGATCTCTTTTCTTCTCCTCTTTCGTTCTTTATAACCTTGATAGTTTGGTCCTTTGTCGTTTTTCTCTTACATCACTGTACGACTTTCTTCATTTTCTTTTTCTTTCCTGGTTACATTATTCTGTTCCATAAAAAAATACATTTTCTCGCTTCTGCGGATTTTTTTTTTCTTCTTCTTTTTCTCCTTCAAACATCTATGTTCTGTATTACACATGCATTTATTTATACAGACACTTCGATGAAATGTATGTGCCCTTTGTTGTGCATATATTGAAGGAAGTTGGCCTCGGAGTAGTAATGAATCGAAAAGAGAAATTCACGATGCCATATGACAAGTTGCATGTTCAATGGGAACAGTATGCGAGTTAGAAGTTGTGATTTATGATTATACGTATATGTACTCGTTCGTATGATTATTATTCGAGGCTTCTTTCCTTTGGATCTTGTTCACAGGACACGGAAAATGTATTTAGTATTGTGAAGTAGTTTTTGGTAAATGAAAAGTATGAGTTGACTTTCGTTTGAAGGTTTTATTTGGATAATAATAGCAATAGGTTAGAAAATAGCCATCTGTTGCCAAATTAATTCTCAGGAGAATGGAAGAACAATGATCATTAGTTCGATTCTGATGATTGTGTTCAAGTTTTGTAGAGTATTTCATTTAATTGCAATTCAAGAGAAAGGATCTGCTGATAATTCAAACAGAGTCAATATTTTTCTTGTGCGTAAGAAATTGTACGATTTGAATAGTTTTATTTTATTATGTACAAAAAGAAAATAGTGCTGTTTTGTTGACATGAATGATTTATTTGAGATTCGATGTGTTTTTATTTCGATACCGGACAAATCAAAAAAAGGGAGAATTAGTTATAAGCATATATTTCACAAAAATGGGCTTTAAACGGCAAGGAAAATCTTGTTTGCGTCCGATTACTCACTGTTTTGATTCCAAATAGTTGTATATGAATATATCGACCTATAATGGGACTTTCACACTGAAGATGTAAACATTGGGATAGAGTACTATAATCTGTCCGTGTCACAAACGAACATTGTGATGTAGTTAATTGGTCAGGATCAAGGTGAATATCACGCGTTATATAAACAACAATTCGATCAAGCTGAAATCGAGATATGTAATCATCTTGAGATAAATGTGAAACTAAATTCAAGAGTATTTTGCACATAAAATAAAGAAAAACATCTTTCGTTCTTACATGAATCAAGTTGATGGATGACAACGCCGTGTACGTGATAATTTCGATTGAGATCAATGATAATATGTGGTTCATTATTTCGACAACGTGTAGAATCAATCGTTGCACAACGACTGGGAGCAGTATAACCGTCAATCAAATAAGATAAAAATGTTTGTTGAGGAGAGTAAATTGACGCAGGGACCAGATCATTGAGTATAATTCGTTTTCGATGTGCGAGATTCTCCACTGAAGATCAAACGTGTAGAGATATTTATACATGGAAATCAAATTTCTTACCACATGGTGTTTCAGGTCGAACACGAAAATACCCAAGACAGCAAGAGCCTGCAAAATATGATAAAATTAGTTCTCGTTTTCGTATTAGGAGAATATACCATCATGTGGACATCCAAGAAGTCCAGCACGCATCGATAATCTTCCGTTCCATTCTTTAGGAAAAAATCGTACAAATCGTGCCGTGAATGGTTGATTCAGATAATGAACACGTTCAAGTGATTTATCATAATTACCGCTGAATATCTATGAAAAACCAGTAATGACTTCTCTCATTCATGTCTTTCCAATTTTACTTTGGGCTCTGTTCGTTGCACATCATTATAATAAATCCATAAACGCGTATCATTGGAAAAAGCAACTGTATACTTGGTTACCCATTGTTCACCATGATCACCACGACCTTTAGTTATCAATGCTGTAACACGTGTCGGATGGCCAATATCGATTTGTAACCAATTATCTTTCACTTTATAGAAAAACAAAACGTTCTTCAAGTTAATTTTCACGACAAAAGAATAGATTAAACCTTGTTTGTATCGTGCACACCATCCTTTATTACTCAGCAGAAAAGCATCACGTGGTTGACATGTTGCACGATAGCGAGTTGGAACTGACGATGATGCTGAAAAACGAGTATAGGGAAGGTACACCAACGGTTTATTACATTCTAAAAAAAGGTATGAGAAGAGAAAGAGACTACTTCAATATTCAATTATCAACAAATAACATTTCTTTACCTTGACATCCGACGAGTTCTAATCGAAGACTTGGACGTAAATTCCATGAAACAATATGAAAACGAATGAATCGCGCATAGAACGGTGTTTGAAAGTATTGGTATCGAACAGACACGGCATCTTGATTGCCTGTGAAGATCTTTTGATTACCTTCAGTGTCGGTTATATAATTCCATTGATAGTAATCAAGACTATGAGATATGAGAAGAGCGGTAATCCACTCTCCCGAACCTGGCCGACCTTGTGTTATGAAGCCATGAAACTTTTCAATTGAATAAATTAAATCAGAAGACATTTCTCTTCAACGAGATACTTACTTTTGTTGGGGTGCCAAGATCAATTTGAATCCATTGATGTGGTTGATTGGTTCGCGGACACCAAGCACGATCATTAACATTGGAATAGAGACGAAGAAAATTTGCTTGACATTGTTCTTTACGCTGTTCATCAACACTACTCGCTGTTATTTGCCAATCTTTTATTTCACCTGTACTTAAACCAAGTGGAACACTACAGGAAGCTAAAAGAAGAAAGATTTAAATCAAATGTTCACAAATAGAAACGCTTTTAGCTTTTCTTTGCTTTGTTATTGATTCCATATTTCTGTTATCCTTGATATGTCTCTTCTGATTACATTTCTTTCATACGATTTTCTTTTCAAACACTTGTCTTAATAGTTCGACTAGTAATTAGTTTTTTTTTGAGTATACAATGTCACATCAAATGACTTTTTTTTTTCACATAACATCGATGAATTAAATTTCACTATGAAATTTTGAAGTTGTTCTTTATCACACAAATGTCGAGATATTTCGATAGACAACAAAGAAGAGCAATCGATGTGGAAGTTTCGTCAATGATATGAGAGACACGAAAGGAAATTAACATAAGCTCGTTATTTTTTGTTTATAAGTAACACTTACCGTTGATTATCTGAATGTGAAGGCCCACCAAACAGAACAATAAAAGAACTGTGACCATGACAAAAACATATCGTAAGAAAGCAAAGATTACATCGATTTATTGAAGATTCTTTTGCAAAAATCCAATCAATATCATAAATATATCGATGAAGAATTGTCACAATGCTTCCTACGAAAGATAATCTACAATAAAAATAACACCTCGTTCACTTACTTGTGTATATTTCATGTTCTATTACCTTGTCAAGAATCAATGATGAGTGTTTGGTGAATGATGGTGTCAAAATGCTGCTGATGACTTTCGTCGTCGTTTCTCTTTCGATTCTATTGTATTTGACGTGTGTATACACTGCTACAAAGCAAAAATCAATCGCTGACAACGGTAGCAGTACTTTTTCTATGTTGTCACACAGAACGAACAGACATTAAAAAAAATCGAGAGAGAAGAAAAGGAAGACTTTGTTCGGTAAAGGTAAACGTCAAACATTTAAAAAATTCTTTCAAGTAGTTATCCTCAAAAGTCAAACCGAAGGTTTGTCTCCTGTTGGTAATCAAGAGACTCTCTATGAATTTCTGTTACTGAGAAAATATGACTGATCAAATCGTAAACAATGTGATAATAATCAAAGTGAAACTTTTCATCTGATATCTTTAACACGTTCTTTCGAGTTATTGCCATTTCCTCTTCTATGAGATCGACGGCAAGTTATGAATTACTTACGAATGTGTTATTATAACTGGTCGAGACTTCGAAAAGAAAACATCATAAATCGATTAGGAAAAATACCAATGTTCGTTTCCTATTTGTCTAAGATTGCCCAAGGAAACATCGCATGCAATTCAATCTCATGACAAAAACAACTGATTTATTGATCATTAAATGTTAAAAAAAATATCTTATCAATAAAAACGACAACCGCGTTAATTTAGTTTCTAATTAACAAGCTGGCGAAGAATTGTCTGTAATTTATAGGCTCAGAAGCATCATCTCGATAACCTTTTCTACTTGTGGTAAACGGTTTTCTCCTCTGAAAGAACGTGTATATTATTCAGCGAATACGAACTAATCGTCAGTTACTTCGGGGTTTGAAAGTCTGATTGGTAAATAGTTATTTAACATGCAAATATACATCGAACGAACAATCAAAAGATCAGAACAGACCTTTGAAATAAAGGCGAGAAAAAAAACATCTTGTCAATATTTTTTATTTCTTTTGCAGATGAGAAAGATTGAATTGCTTGAATAAATGCAATATTCATACTGTAGAATGTCAGTTTTGTGCTCATTAATAATCTAATTTACCAAATATTTCGTCTTTATCTTTTTGACTATTTTGATCCCATTACAGAAGCATCAATTTTGGTGAAATTTCCATTCACAATATTAACACGAGCTGTTCCCGAAAGAAGAACGTCTAATATTTATGTTTGAATAACAGTTTTCCTAGTCAATTATTTCTTTTCAAGTTCATCAATATTCATAAGTAAACCATTTTTTTCCATCTGAAACTTTCAAATCTATTCATATCAAGATTGCGTGTTAGACCATGATCAGGTCAATGCAATTGAGTTTGATGGTATATTACATGCTCCAAGTTCATCGGATGTTATTCAACTTTGAAAAAAGCTCACGCACATGTATACATTAGATTGACTCTCTTTAACAGATTAGATTTCTCCTGAAAATCTAGAATAATCTTATGCATATGTTAAGCATACATTCAACTAAATATTTATCATACAAGATAAATAAATGAGATATTTTGCTATTGTATCCTCATGATGGTGTACGATGACCGATATGATACAAGTTTCGCTAACAATTATCTTATTGCCAATATTGCAAGATGAACATCAGATGTTTTAGTCCTGATTTTGTTCTTTGGTAATATTTGGATTCCTTATTGATACGATAGAGGAAATATAAATGCTAATATCATTTGAAATCTATTAACCTTCTAGCAAGATAGACAGATGGTTCAAAGTATATTGCACTTCTTTTACATTAATATCAAATCAAATACAAAAACTATTCATCATTTTTCTTCTCCTCTCATTCGTTTATGTCTAAACTCATCTATTAACTATATGTTCGTATATATATAGCAATGTCCGTTAAGTTCCGATCTATAATTATACGTAGGTACCATCTTAGTATTCATCATATGGTTAGAACGACGAGTGTTCTCGATTCTATCCCCGGCGCCGTCACGAGTACAGAAGGAGCCATTGTGTGTTAAACAGCCCTATTGACATTGAGTTGAATATGAGGAAAGAAGCAAAAGGAGAGAATAGGCGGGCAGTTAGTATACAATCACACGTATTATAAAAAGCATGTTACGCTGCTGCATTGAATATTGACAGTGTCGATGTAATTCTGTTGGGAAATTAGAAAAAAGCGAATGAATAAGGGGTGATGATAGATTTATGTCTTTTTGGAGGTTTCAAGTTTACATTTGATGTTTGCCAATGTATGTATAGGAATGACAAGAAATGAATACGCCAATGAAGTCTATTTCTTTTCTTACGTATTATGTAAAATTTCGAAATTATCGGAAGCCTATCGCGTGTCTCGAGAAAGTGAGTGGTCATTGTTAATGTTTGCTATCGCCATTAACAAAGAAGAGACCTTAGTTGACAGACATTTACGGCGATAATCATCCATCTCTCTTCTCATTCTTCCCTTTTTTTTTTCACATTCATATATATGTGAATGTGTCTCGGTTACTAGAGTTCGTGTTCTGCAAGTTGTAGATCGAAGAAGAAAAAAAAATATAACTCATCATTCTTGATTATTCTATCAGCTAAGTAAGATTGGATAGGGCCTTTTTTTTCTCTTTCGCTTTTTCTCGTCTCTGCGTGGCTAGGAAAGAAAAGGAGATGCCGGTCTTTTCTCTTTTTTTCTCTTCTCTGTTACAACGTCGATCTTAATATTCGTCTCACTCTTGTGGTTTTCTCTCAACTGGAGTAGAATGAATGACTAATATTACGGCTCACATCGTAGTGATCAATATTATTGTTTGTATACTCATGCAAATAATCAAGAGTGGTAAGAAAAACAACATTGGGCTATTGATCGAGTCTTTCATTTGTTATTTTGTCTTTTGATGTCAAAGAAATGATTGACGAATTGTTAGTATAACTGATAAAGAGATAATTAGCAAGTAGGAAGCATGTTTTTGTTTTCACTTATGAAAAAATTATCACACAAGACAATTTTTGTAGCAAAGTAGGACGATGTTAATCATCGAAGCTAGATTTCGAAAGAAGTTTATATATTACAGTCGATTAAGATCTTGTCTAGACGTGGAAGATAAATGAACTATCGTTTTTGACTATTGCAGATTAGAGTATTCAAATGAATCCAATCAATCGGATTAATCTTCTATTATCCGATATTCTTCAAAATGAATCAACAACAACAACGGCGACAGCGGCGGCGGCGGCGGCTGGATCTTGTCAAGGATCTGCGACTCAAGCACGTCCATTAATAGCATTTTCCGAACATGATTACCATTCTTCATCAACATCACCTTCAGTCACAGCAGTTCCATCAATCGCGCCATTACAAACACGTCGTAATCCTTCCTTGCTAAAACACCATCGGCAACGTCAGCGTATTCTTCAATCTGATATGCAACGACAACAACAACAGCCGCCACAAGCACAACCACTTCTGAACTCGTCAACTTTAGACGACTTATTTCGCGCATTAACCCTTGAATGTGAACAATATCTAACGTCTTCATCGATATCGACTCATGATAGCAGGAATAAATCACTTATCCCATCGTCAACAATCACACAAACAAATTTTGACTCTAACGATGATGATTACGAAAATCTTCATTTGCCAAATCGAGTATCTTCCAATGGTCATTCGTCTCTGAAAACAAGTATCGAAGTAATCAGTCCCGAACAGCGACAAATTGTTTCTGTCAATGTCTCATCAAAATTATGCCCATCGTCTCTTGTTACGTCTTCTCTTACTTATCCATTACTATCGACATCATGTATAACGACCTCACATGCGCCAACAACATTTTGTCAGTCAAGTGACGACGACTCACTTGATTTATCATCGTCAAGCACAATACGTAAGCACCGTCGTCGTCGAACGCGTCGACAGCAGATCATAACTCCTATTGTTCAATCAAGTTCATCATCCGATGAACGAACGGAAGTTTGCCACGAAAAAAAAGCGACAATTTCCAAACGTTCGTGTAGTACAGATCATCGTCAACAACGTATTAAAAGCATCTACGATAATCAACCAACCTTAATACCTTCAGAAAACATTTCTACACGGCGCCCAATACGTCGACGTGATATTTCATTGCAACAGAACTCAACTAGACAGTCGAATGGTATCGCGTCACGCTATACGGAAAATCTCTGTTCACCTTTATCCGTACTATTAACCTCCAATCGTACGACCAGTGATTTCGTTGATCGTATTCAACAACAATCACAAACACGACAGTCACGACTTCAATTCATCAATCATCATCAACCGTTGACACTACTCGATCGTATGCACCATCAATTTTATCATCCATCACCGACTCGTTTCACTCACAATAATCCGAATACTTATCATAACATTCCTACTCATCGAATACCATCATATCCGGTTTATTGAAAACAAATACAGGAAACACTAAAATATCTCAGCAAAAAAATGTTGGTAATTGTTTTGACATTGCTTATTTGTCTAGATAATACAATAAATCCGAAGTGTCTATTTTCTTTTTCTCGAATATATTTAAGAATTCATCGAATATCTCTCAATAATTCAGCATATGTCTAATCTTACTGAATTATATAACGGCACAAAAGAATTTTCAAGTACTCTTCTACTTAGTTTTTATTACTAACATTGAAATTCTTATCCACGTTTGTCTACTAATTATACTTGAATATATGAGATGAAACTCCTTACATATTGAAATTTTTTTCAAGTAGAAAGCTGCGTGCTTGAAAAGCCGATATATACATCGTGTCAATTAGGTTCAGATTAACATAACAATAGATTCATTATTCTGTAATTAATTCTACTCTAGATATTTTAAATAAATCATATCTGACATTTCACAAATCCGACGAATCATTCAATGAAAGCTCACTAAAGGTAGAAAAGAAAAAAGAAGAATGACTGAAATAGGATACTTAATTCAAGGAAAAAGCATGCGATTCGATGCTAAATGTAATTTCTCTAACTTTATTGGTTAGGAAGCTCGACGGCTGTTGTCCTCAATAGTTTCCTGTATAATTTGTATGATGACATATTGCTTACTCGAAAACAGTCTTAACGTTTGGTAATGAATGCACTGATTTATGACGAACATGTCTGTACTAACGAGAAAAGAAAAAGCTTTTGACATTAAGCTGTTATACAGTGTATGTTAGCATTCGAAATATTCTAAAGTAAAGTGTATTATATTCCATTTGTTTAATTGCAGTGTTTTATGAATAAATAAATACGGATTCTAATTAATATAAGAAGTTATGTAATGATATAATCAAACGAACGTAATTATATTCGGTAGATATTGAACTATACACTGATATTTCTTTTTCTGTTTTAGTAAATCATCTTTCATTTTCTTGGTGGAATGGTCTCATTCCAGACTAAACATCTGTTCATTAGTTGTATACTTTTCCGTTCTCACTTGCCTTTAACTGATTGGTATATAAACAAATTCTATGGTTCTGTCCACACAACAGATTGCTTTCCATGTTCTTTGTATGAGCTCGATTCCAGACTGCGATGAAAATGAACAAATAATCATATTCTCAAACTACACATGAACAGACTATCGATCAGAGATACGACCATGTATTTATTCATTTGGTATATCTAATCAGTAACCATATGCATATGGATGAATGTAAATGACTGCTGTGCGTTGTCTGAAGATGCCCTTTTGACCTTTAACTTTCCGTTCTACGAAATGTGATTGAGTGGTGACTTCTGAGTATCATCAGGTCAGCGAGTTCTTCTCAGCGCATGTAGGGAATCATGATCGATGTTTTTATCTGTCGCTATCTCTTTCTCTCTCTCTCTCATGTTTCGTGGTATATATAGGAGTGAGACTATCACAAATGAACATTTTCTCGTATTCCATATTCTGAAACATATACGACTACTACACTCATCATGCACACATACATTTTTGCTTTTATCGCATTGTGCATTGCAGGTTTGAAGAATTTAAGCTCATAAATCAGTCAATACACCTCTTTCCTCTTTCAGCAAGCTATGCACAAGCACCTCCAGCTGCGACTGTCGCAGTAGTTGTTGATCCTGCAGTTAAACCTGTGGAAGTAGTTACTAATGATACAACCAGTAAGTATTGATATGAACTCAAAACTATCTTACACTTCAGTACCTTATCTTCTCTAGCAGTAGCTGCCGAACCAAAAGAAGACGATAGCAAAGGTAAGCAAGTTCTTGTTTTCATTCACTGCAGACATCGTTTATGTGTCTTGTAGAAGTTAAAGATAAGAAGAAAGATTTCGATCATGAACATAAAGATCACCACAAAGACGACGGCAAAAGCCATGATGACCACGATCACAAGGAACATCATAAACACGACAGTGAAGAACATCACGATCATGACCACAAGGTACATCATGAACATGATGCCACAATTTCCGTTGATGTTCATAACATTCTTGATTTGTTCAAACAACAATTACATCGTACTGAAAAACATCTTCTTGCCGCACTCCGAAAACACGATGGCTCATCATCATCAGGCTCAAAGGAATCTTATCGTACAGCTGAACGCAAGGCTAAAAAGGACGACAAGAAGAAGGACGACAAAAAGGACAAGAAGAAACCCAAAGGCAAAGAGGAAGATGATGATGACGATTGAACGTCATGACCAATCACAGCAATTTTAAGAACTGTTTTATTCATTTGTGTGTATTTAGTTTAGTTTAGTGTTTACATTCATTTATATATATGCATCCTCTTGGTTCCCCGTCATTGTATATTGCAATAAAAAAAAGATGACAAACTAAGGTCCGGCACGAGATTTAATATCATTTAAGTTCGCTTTCGCTTGATTTAATTCGTGTCTTAATGTTCGACATTCGTTTTCGGCTTGATTTCGTAACTAAACGAGAAAATAAATGATTAGTTAAATATAAAGTTTGTTTCTCAAGTTTACTTTAACATCCGTGGTTAGTCGTAATTTAGCTTGTTCTAGTTGATGGCGAATATCTTGAATTTCATAATTCATACGTGTGACTTGTGCGACGGAGTTCTACACAATCGAAACAAATAGATGATTTTTCGGAAATGGAAACCAATGGTCTTACTCCATTTGCAGCTTCTTTCGTATAACCCATTTGTGCTGCATATTTCGCTTCTGCTTCCATTGTTTGAACAGTTTTCTTATGCATTTGATCTAATTCATTACGTAACATGTTGATACGTTCTTCCAAAGGTGGATGTTTCTTCTTTTCATTGAAATATTTTTTCTTCCACATATCACGTGCTACAAACAAGAAGTTTGTACAACGAACTCGAAAATCAATCATGTTGTTTACCTTCTTTACGTCGCAAGGTTATCCGATTGTGAATATTTTTCAAATGTTTGATCACTTCCTCGCGAACCTTTTCCAAATCCATCCGACGATTATAAATTTCTTGATGACGAGCACGTAGGGCATTGGCTAGAAAGTAATTCAGTTAATAAATGAATCGTCGTTCGGAAAACTTTAAACGAAAGCATCTAGGATCGATTTGAATGTTTGCGATTCTACATACTTCTTATGAAGCCATTGAAACTCTTTTGAGAATGTAAGCCGTACAAAATAAAATTCCGCAGATTTTTTTTCAAAAAAAATACCATGAAAATGAGAAAACTAACAGAATCTCAGAAGTGCATGCACTCTCGAAAAAGTACTGGAAATGAAACAATTTCTGTCACGAGGTGAACGAGAGGAAAAGATTGTATATACAGTCGAATGATACTTACGATCATCATTGGTGCCTTTGAATGGATCTTTTCGTCGTTGGTCAGATAACTGTTTTTCTTTTTTTTTCTCTTCGTCTTCTTCCATTTGTCGACGACGCTTCATTTCGGCGTTACGACGTTCCGTATCAATTCTTTCAATGAACAAGAAAATACGATGATTAGATTTCGAGACGAATATCGCGATCGATTTCGTATTATATAGTGAAGATTATAAAATATATTACGTGCGAAAAGAATACACAAACACATGAAGAAGTTAAAATAATATGTGATTGATTAAAACACACACGTGATAAGAATGGACTATGTATAGCTTGATAAAGACGATATCTTTATTGACGTTCGAGGATAGAACATCAATTACTCACTCCTCGTGGATTTTTCTCTCTTCAGCACTGGTTCCAGATGTCGGTTTTGACGGAGGTGTCGTTGACGATTTCTGCGGAACCGATTGCACAATATTATGATGTGCTCGGTTATCTATCGGTCGTTGTACAGGCGGATCAGGTGTGAGCACGAGTGGCTCGATGAATTCGTCGATTTTAGCCGACGGGTTCGCTGGCTTTTCCGTTGATAATGTTGGTGTTATGATTGAATCACTACTGTTACTACCTTCACTCGATAAAGGCGAGCTAAATGAATAGGTGAAATGGATGAAAAACGAACTTGAGATGTATGTTCTGAGCCTCTACAGACCATGACAAACATCTTCATTATGTAGGAAACAATTTGCGAAAATATCTAGAATACTCATATTCTTATCACAAACACTTTCTCTCAAGTTTATGTGCACGGTAACAACATTTCATACTATTAGTCGACTTGAAAAAGTTTTCAGAACTTTCTTTTTCTGTCGACTTATAATATAATATCGATTAAATATCTATGTTTAGTTGAAATATGCAAACATTAGAGTGCATGAAACTGAACTCGATGAGATCGTTCTGTTCATCGATATAAACAAGAACTAATCCAGTGAACAAATGTGGTTAGAATCCATCTAGACAAACCTACTGCTCACAAGTTCGAAAAACGAAAAACCTACATGTCATTTCGCGTGTTTTCGTAATCATTATCGTTGCCAGTCGGTTTTGGTCGTTTGACATTGATTGTCTTCGGATTATCACTGAAACACAACATAATCGAAGTGGTTCGTATTAATGTAAATGATGGCGTTCAAGGAACGCGTTGTGAATGAACAGCCAGTGCTATTGTCTTACTGTTTGACTAATATAGATGCTGGCATTGGAAATGTTTGCCGACGAGAGTTTTGATACGTTGCTGGTTTCTTGACTGGGAGCTTTTTATTCTCATCTTCTTCTTCTTCGATTCTTTTCGGAGGATCGAATTTGTACGTACTAAGATAATCAGTGAAAAGATGAGTAAACCGTGATCAAAGAGATAGGATGCGATTGACAATCATGCAGTATAAACGTGCAATGAAAACAGAAAGGTTCACACAGAACGACATAAACAACACGGACGACTTAGTTTGTGTATCACTTTATTTTTACTCTTATATTCATTGTTGAAGAAGAATTTGCTCATCAACTAAAACAATGTGTCAATTGAACACATGCGGACACACAGATGTAAAGACTCATGCAAAACAAAAATGATGGTTCATGTCTCAAATCGTAGTCTCTTCTTAAAATCAGTAGTTGGAAGATTCTTTCAAAACTATTCACATTCAAGATAGAGATAAACAATAAGAAGAAATAACAATTCATCATTCCTATTGCTTACCGTATCAGTCGTCTCACTAACGCTAGATAAAATTCGATGCATCCTGAAAATATGTTGAGACAGGACTTATAATAGAACTGATATTTGAGAGAATGAGATATTTCGATAGATGCATCGTTGATTGAAATGTGAAGGAATGAGTGAGTGACTTACTGTCTTCTTTGTTCGGAGAGGTTTGGACGATCTTTAACGCCACGAAATGATCCTTGTGGTTTTTTCGTATCGTTTTCATCTTCATCTGATCGTGAATGTTCACCTTCGCTACGTTGAGAACGCGCACGTTTTTCTTCTGCGGCTCGACGCATCCTTTCTAACTCCGCTTGACGTCGACGAAGACGTTCTTGTTCTTCTTTTAATTTCGGTAAATTACTAAACAGAAGAACAATTTCTCAGTTAGTAAAGTCAATAAAACATAAGCACAGTAGTTTTCTGATTAAAACAAATCATCACGACTATTAGTTGTCTAGTTGGCACAACTAAAACAATTGTTTATATATTTCGTGTTTATACCTCGATGGTGTGCCGCTGACATCAGATAAACTACAAGAGGAAAGATCACTATGAATCTTCTGTTTTTACTGATGAAATCAAATGTGTATCACTGTTGATTTCAATATTGCTAATATGTTTACTTACATTGATATGGATTCTTCGGGATCTACAGAGAAGAGATGCCAAATGGAAATATTGACACATTGTCTCAATTCGAACTCACCTGAACCGAATTGTCCGTATTTCGATCGATTGTTCTTTTCTTTGGGAGGATTATTCGAGAATAATTCATGAGAGGCTGTTAATGGTGCATACTGTTTTCCGCCACGCATTGGTTTTTGATAATAATTTGGTGAAATTCGTGTTGGTGATCGATCACGATCCGCAAAGGGTAAACGCTGGTTTCCGTACTCAGGACGATTATCATCAGGATCAGACTTTGGCTCTCTGTGTCGAGAATGTTTTTCATGATCCGCACGATGTCCATCATGATTACCGCATACATCGCAAGGTGATGTCGACACTGGTGAAACACTTCTGTTCGGCGCGTGATCCTCTTGACGACCGTCAAGTAAATAAATCTAACAGGAAAAGCAGAAGCAGAACGTTCCGTCAAAAGAAATACAAAGAAAATATTTTCTCACCTCTGGTGCAAATGTCTAAAATAACAAACAGCTCAATCAATTAGTTATTCGAACGAAAGAAAGGAATTTTCGAACCTGTGGTGGCCGATAGTTCTTCACTCTTAGTTCATCTTCTTGTTTAGCTTTGACTTTTGTCAAACATCTTCCAACCGATCGAAGATAAATAAAATCACGTGGAAAATAACTTTCCTTGCCACATAGGGTTTCAATCGGTCGGCGAAGCTCACGAATCGTCATATTTGGTGAAACTCTAAAAACAACATTTTTCTCATAAACAAAACGAAGACATATGTGAATAAGTTCGCACTTACCGAACAAAGCCAGCCGATATAGCGTCATCCATTGCTTCGTTTTGTGCTAAACGTTGACCATCTTTCCAAACATTTTTCGGAACAATATAAACATGTAAATCAACAAGCTACGAATAGATGAAATTTCAAGATTATAAAACGAAGAAAGTATGATGAACAATACTTGTGATGAATCTGGACGATCAGTCGTGATAATACTGAGACGCGGATGGTCAAGTACACGAAGACTTGGCAATGAACTGAATTGTTCATTTTCACTACGTAATTGAAGCATCTTCTCCTCGCTTAGTTCCTATCTAAAACGTTGTTATGCGAATAATATTTTTTTTCTTTTCTGAATTTTTCTTTTTGTTTCTAAAAAAGAGAGAAAAAAAAAAGAAAATTGAGTTGTCGTCGTTATTGATGATGGCAGTTGAATTGTGAATGAATGCCGTACTTCTCTTCTTCCCCTCCTCTTCACAACTTCATGCATAGACACACATACAAATATATAGATTTCTTTTTTTCTCTGTTTTTTTCTTAAATTCTCTTAAGACATAACACTAAGAAACAGAACACCTTTTCTATGTCTTCTCTTGTCGGTACTTGACTATCGTGAGCGTTTATTTTTCTTTTCTTCTTTTCACCTATTTGTACAAACTCTTCCACCGATGATTTGTAGAAGAAAAAAATAGTAGAGAAAGAATTCGAGTTTTTGACAATCAAGCAGTTAGTTTTGAGCTTTGAGAGTGCTATTTATCCATTCGTGTTTTAATTTTGGTAAATATTGCAAGTAATCGAAGGAGATATCCGATCTTATCCTAATCAATCAACTAACAACTTGGTTACGGGAAAAACAACAGCAAGATTCAATTACACCTCTTCACTGAACAATCGTTTTAATTATTTTTGAAATATGAGCAGAATCAAATAATGAATTGCATTGCGGTGTAATAATATTTTGAATTTACGTGAAAGATTTGTTTTTTTTTCCAATTCTACGTTCGTCAGAAAAGACTACATAAGATCCTTTGAATCCAAAAATGAACTGATGACTGATGGAAAGCGTGGGCTAATCGACGTTATAGCATAATCTGAGAGGAAATGATTGAAGAAGTTGACGAAAATTTACATCCAAAGAACGATGTTTTATTGAATCACCTGTAAACAGATTGATCATCCTTGTCGACTGGTGAAAATCACAGCTCATCCTATGTTCAGAAGCGTTTCATTCATTTGATTGAAAATCTAGGCACATGACAACGGTTGAATTGAATGAGACTTTTAACACTTTGGAATTGCACGAGAGCGACCTCTACTTAATGAGAATTTGTTTCGTTCACATCTCTGATCCATTGATTCCTATGTCAAGACTAGAACTACAATGATCTGAAACTAACTTTCACGTTTTGTCTTTCTGAACCTAATTATTCTTTCAGATGACTTCCAGATATTTTTTTCGAACTTTTCGTCGTTTGTTTCTGCTTTCTACTACTCAAATTTCCTTCTCGTTTCGAAATCATCGTCTTTTTTGGACTTCACTGGGCACAGCAACTGCGCTCAGTACCATTCTTCCTCCAGAATCGCCATTTAAACACTTTACTAATTCATTTCTCCTTCATGCTAAAGCACTAGGAAGAGATCTCTCTGCAACAGGTAAAATAGATCTCGAGCATTCTTTGAAGAACTATTTTCTGTTCATAGAAAAGCAACTTTTTCAAGCAGCTCATGACGGTCAGTTGGAAATTCTTCAAGAGCTGGTCGAAAAAGAAAAACTCGATGTAAATCTTCGCCATCCGCTTGGTTGGACCCCACTTCTCGTTGCAGTTATCAATAATAGATTCGATTGTGTTAAATATCTTCTAACGAAAGGTGCTGATCCCAATCAATCCGATGAATTTACGAACGTTCAATCAATGGCTAAAAAAATTCATTGGCATCCCGTACAAGGTAAAGACCATTCAGAAAATTCTTCTTACAAAACAAAAATTTCAATCATTCATTCAGTTCACACAAGACGCGAAGAAGAATTTTGTGATCGTTTGTCTTCACGGGCGACCTTCAATGGTTTTACAGCACTTCACTATGCTGTATTAAATGATAATTTACCACTGATTAATCTTTTAATTGAATACGGAGCTGATCTATTGATTGAAAACGAACAAGGCCATTTGCCATCGGCTTATGCACTTCAACAACGAAAAGAACTGTTGAGTCAGCTGGAAAAGAATGTCAATTGAAAACTCGAACTGTTTTTGCTAAAAGTTCACTTTTCTTGCTTTTTTAGGCGAAGAAATTACATGAAGAAAGACTTAAAACTGAAAGACGGCGGCGACCACTAGAAATACGAATTAAGGAATACATTGTCGGACAAAATTATGCGATTTCCACCGTTTGTGCTGGTAAGACTTTCGAAATATTTGCTTTAAAAACACACCAATTTAAAATATCTTTACTCAGCTATTCGACGAAAAGAATCTGGATGGACAAGTGATGAGTCTCCATTAGTTTTTCTTTTTCTCGGTTCATCTGGTGTGGGAAAAACTGAACTAGCAAAGCAAATAGCCAAGTATCTCAACGGCGAAAAGAATCAAAGTCGATGTTTTATTCGTATTGACATGAGTGAATATCAAGAAAAACATGAAGTGGCAAAATTAATTGGCGCACCACCTGGATATGAAAGTTTGATTACTTAGGTTATAAAAAATAAATTAAAAGTTGTTTGCTATTTTTAGATTGGATATCAAGAGGGTGGACAGCTGACCGATGCCCTGCAAAAATGTCCAACAGCTGTTGTACTATTCGATGAAGTCGATAAAGCTCATCCGGATGTTTTAACAGTTATGTTACAATTATTTGATGAGGTGAGAGAAAGCATTGGAAATGAAAAGGACACTGTTTTGTTGAATAGGGACGTTTAACTGATGGAAAAGGAAAAACTATCGATGGAAAACAAGCGATATATGTAATGACATCGAATTTAGCTAGTGAAGAAATTGCGAACTATGCACAAGATTTACGACGAGAAGAAGAAAAGAAACCGCCGTTGCTCAATTCGACAGTTTCGTCAGGTAAAAAGTTTTAAAAAACATGAATCTCAGAAATGTTCACTCTAATGAATAGATGATCTTGATCCAAAGGACGACGAGATGAAAAGTCGGATCACTGTATCGAAACAATTTAAAGACAAAGTGGTTAAACCGATATTGAAAGTAAATAGGAGAAGTAAAGCAAAGGTTCTATATGGGTTTTCTTGTTTTTTTTAGAAACATTTCCGTCGCGATGAATTTCTTGGACGCATTAATGAAATGGTATACTTTTTACCATTTTCCAAGAGCGAAATCAATAAATTACTTCTTAAAGAATTAGAGTTTTGGAAACGGCGAGTAAGTCGTGTTCTTCCTGTCACTCAAATCATCTTCTTCTCGTCGCTTTCAGGCAAAAGAACAACATAATATTGATATCATTTGGGATCGTAAAGCATTGGATTGTTTAGCAGATGGTTATGACATAAACTACGGAGCTAGATCACTCAAACACGAAGTAAAACCAGAAACAAAAACCAATAAAAACGATTTCTGTTTCTTCTAGATCGAACGTTCGGTGGTTAATCAATTAGCTGCTGCTCACGAGCAAGGTTTAATTGAAAGTGGCAATCAAGTGTTACTCACAGCGCACGAAAATCTCTTTTATACACCGTTCACCGCTGGTTCAAAACACGAGCCCGTTAGTCGATCAGTTAAATTACAAAAAGTCGAAACAACAGGTGGACGAGGTTTAATCAGTGGTCTTTTCAATCCTAGTAATCCGCAAGGAGCTAACGTGACTTATACCGATATTCAACCTGAAGATCATCTTAAAACATATCAGTTTTAGCAGAAAAAGTCTGAGATTTAATTTTCTTTTCAATAAAAATGAACATATCTAACTGATCTATTGCGTTTGTTCGGAAATAAGAATATCCTGTTTACAGATGATCATTTACGAACGAAATGCCGGTCTAGCATCGAATCTTTCCTTCACATTTGATTTCGGGAACACTTTCCCGAGTTCCGATTGTCATACAATCGAATTGAATCAAACAGAAGACTATCTTCTACTCCTCGGCAATCATGAACTTCAATTTATTAATTTTGACTTGTTTCTCACACCGCCTGTCAATACGATCACAGATGAAAATTCTATTATCATTCCATGTGCATCCGAAACAACATTCGTACCATTATTTGATCACCATAATATTAACCGACCGATTGTTCGATGGAATTCTCAGAATTCCAAGCAATTTGCATTAGCCATCGACCGCCTGGTTCGATTTTATAGCATCGATTACGGACGTATACAAGAAACAAACTCAATTGTCGATACTCAACATCAGGTTAGACAAAAAAAAAAGTAGTGCGTTGGCCGGGAGTCGAACCCGGGTCGGCTGCTTGGAAGGCAACCATGCTAACCGTTACACCACCAACGCTACGAGAGACTGAGTTATATTTTTCCTGTTCTATCCTACATACAAAATACATCTAACGGCAAATTCTCCAAGACTCGCCATTTTCTTCTCTTTTTTAGCGTCCAATTTCGACAATTTCCTACAATCCAAATGATCCAAATTGTTTCCTAACAGGAGCACTAGATGGTCATGTACAAATCTGGGATATTCGACATTGCTCATGGAAAACACCAGCAAATTTAAAATTAACATTATCAACACCGTTTAGTATTCGACAAATACAATGGGCAGGAGAAAAATCCAACAGTTCTAATTATTTAGCTATTCAATGCGACCGTTGTATACGAATCTATGATATGCGTCGAACGGATACATACTTAAGCTCAATTGAACATTCTCAACGTATCATCAACATGGATTGGACAATTCAAAATCATTCATTAGTCACACTGTCCAAAGATAATTCATTGAGAATCTTTTCTACTAGCGGACAACTACTAGCCGAATCGATACCTAATGAACAATTACCGTTCTCACTGAACAAAGTAAGACTTGACCAAGAAAAATGAGAATTTGTGTTTAAAGCTTCGAGATATCTTAGGTACAAACAACAGAATATGATAGTTTATTTATTTGCTCATCACAAGATTCAATTTCTTCAACTTATGGTTTCACAAGTTGGCGTTGGGACGAAGATCATTATGTACGTCCATTAACAGATCAGATCGTGTCGACATGTCCATTGAACATCACTGATTTTCGTTTTGTAACACATTCGAGATTTTTCAATTTATATAATTTATCTTTTCCATCTCGTTCAACCGATGATTTGACAAAGCATTTTCCTATATTAACTTGGTGCCGCGATGATCGTCTACGTTTAGTCGATATGGACGCAACATTTCGACAAACCTGGCAAAACTATATTCGACTATCGAAAAAAGCTCTGTCCGATTCAACATCGATGAATTCATCACGACAACAATACCATCGAACGAATTCGACTAAATTAATCATGAGTGCGATCGAAGATGAAATAACTGATCTAGATGAAAGTGATCGAGATGAATCGACGTATCCCGAATTGTTATCACCATTACCACCTGTCAACGGCAACGAATCATCGGAAACTGGCGATGAAAGCGATATCTCATTCACGTATGAACGTAGATCACATTTCTTCTAGTTCATCATCCTTATTATTTTTAGTTCTGAACATCTGAATAAAGACGTATCAATTGCCAATGAATTTAGCGCATTACAAGCTACTTATGGCCCATATATTACCATGGAAACGAAAGATGAACAACATCGAATGTGCATTCTTCGTTGTACTTATCCTTTTGAGAGATCAGAATCATTTCGGATAAGTCTATTCCTTTCGCGTCATTATCCTATTATATCTCAATTATATGTACGTTTTAAATTCATCGAAGTTCGTCAGAATGATGAACGATGGAAAAATTTTCAAACATCGATTCAAACACTCTTGGATGAAACGTCATATCAGTGTTTTTATCATGGACAATTGTGTCTTCCGATATGTTTGCTCAAACTACAACATTTGTTCCATCTGACCTATAAAAGAGAGAAACGTGCGTCGATGATCATAACAGGAAAACCAAAATCCAAACAATGTGACCAAAGAATGGACCGGTCAGATCAAGATTCTCTAGCTAATCTCAACCATAACAATCATCGGAAAGCTTCTCATCGAATACATGACCTCCTAGCATCATCACCAATACGTCTGAATGAAATTCAATCATACAATGGTCCGCCTATACGTTCGAACCCACGGACGTGTGGTGCTCGATTTTCTGGTGGAGTACATTTAATATGTTTTGGTCGGACGTGCAACAATGTTCAACAATCACCAACATCTGCACCGCCGATTATGAGTAATTTAAATGATGGAATACTAACACGGCCATCGCCATTTCATATGCGATCGATCAGTATGACAGCATCTAAAAGTCGAGGAAATTCAGGTACAGATGATCAACCATCTAGGTAAGATAGTTTTCGTGTCTGTTATTGAGATTTTTATTCATAATTTTCAAGTTATCGATCGTCGGTAGCAACCACATTGACAAATACTATACAATCTCAATCGAATGGTTCCCTAAGTCAACGAATGCCAATGTTTTCAGCACCTATGCGTTCATCTTTAGGTTCGAGTCTCGCAAACGATCATCCACGTATTTCAACATCTCTACATCGTTCGTTCAATCATCATCTAACTCAAACCAACTCAATTGTATCGATCTACGATGTTTCAATACTATTACCAATCAGTAAAAAGCTAGCCGATGATTACAAGCTCGACTTGACAAATCTAATCGATATGTGTCAAGCGAATCAAAAAATCACAAAACAAATGGCAAAATATGAACTTTCTCACTGTTGGCGTTTACTTGCCGGTCTACTATCCATTCAGTCGACATTACCTGATGATCATATTTGGTTTCAAACTCCAATTGCTCAAGGTTTGATTAAACATTTGATCGTTCATTCTATTACTCATGGTGATATACAGTCAGCAAGTATGTTTCTTTTAACAACATTGCAAACCTCATTTATGAAACGAACCAATCAAAATGATCATCTATACGATTCGATACTCTACTCTTACGCAAGTTTGCTCCATCGTTGGAAACATTTCTACAAACGCGCACAAATCTTGCAGAGAACTGATCATAACTGTCAATCACCGACAGTAATCAACCAAGTTTCTACAAGTATCATCTGTTCTATTTGTTTACAACCCGTATTGGGTCAGCACTTTCTATGTGCGATATGTGCACATGGCGGACATCTGATTCATATGCACGATTGGTTTTCATCAACCGAAATGAAACATCGATACTGTCCAGAAAAAGATTGTACATGTCGGTGCATCATTAAACAACAAGAATTATTAACCATTAATACAGATCATATACAAAAACATCAGCATACACCAACGTTGACACCGAAACCATATTATGTCCGCAATTTGTCAACCAGTATGAATCATTTATAGGATTTTTTTCATTTTTCCGTTCATGTCTTTCAATTGTTGAACAAGAAAACATTTCTAATAAAGTCAAGAGATATTTGCATTCATTCATGCGAAGAAATGTTGAACTCAACCGTGAAAAGATTTCTATCCTTGAAAAACATGATTACTTTCAGAGACAATTGTTAAATGTGGATCATAAATGAAACCAATAGACATTAACATTCTTAAAGACAAATATTAAATATGTATATTTAGTAACAAAAGAACAAATCTCTACAAACACTCAGTAAATTGTTCAGATAAATGCAATTTTAACTGATCTTTTCAGTCATCATTTGTTCAGTCATATTCTTTCAATTGATTATATTACAATTACATCAATACCTTTTGTCAATTTCAACAATAAGAAGTACTTTAGACTTGATTGTGATCTTATTTACTTTGATTTGATTGTCGACATTAAATATTTGTTTTCATAGTAGTTATTCGAAGAGACGCTAAGGCTTGTCATTTCATATTGATTCTATCAATGCAATAGGAATCATCAAGATCTGACGCAATTCAAATTCTTTCTTCTAAATTATGTATGTACCTCAACGACCAGGTCCGTATATCTACAATGCACCACCATATGGTATTCCAACGTACGCAACTGTATCTTATCCGCCGAGTTCAATAGATATCCATTGGTATAATGCATGGCCACGCGTTCGAACAATTCTGTTAGCGATAATCATGTTAATTTGTAGTGCAGCGATAATTAGTCTTGATATTGCTAATCTGGCGATTGAAGGAAGTAAATCGAATGATACATCTAGGTTTGGCTCGGGTCCGGGTAAAGTTGGAGCTGGTATTTGGAGTGGAACTGTTGCATTCGTTGCATCTATTTGTATTTTAACCATCGGTCAGTAGAATCTCATGGAAAACTTTCATCTGAAATTTTCTTTTTCAGTATTTCTGCAAAATAAACGGCAAGCATCAACTTCTGCATTGATTGCTGTTACATTAGCATTCCTTTTAATGGTTGTTCTTGTTGGTTTGATAGGTAACACTGTGCAAACAAATCTTTATTTAACCAACGTCACTGATGCCGATAAAATACAACATAAACTTTTAATCGCAATGCTTTCTGTTGGTTCATTTGTCGTAGTACTTTGTATAATCTTTTTTCTTTTGTACAGTCGAGTATTCTTTTCTCCATCCTATCGTCAATCAATAAAATACTAAATGAACTATCTAAATCCGACTGACAATGACCTCTTTCGTGAATGTCATTGAACACGAGTAACCAATGAAAATGCTTCTAATTCGTTGTCGTCGAATGATAATCTCTACTCGACATAACTCGTGCAATTAGGATTGATAGATAGAATGTAATTGATGTTATTCTTCAACAATGGCCATGGAAAAAAATGAATATGCACTTGATTATGTTCTTCAAGCGGAATAGTAAATACTAGATGTATATTGATGTGAAATAATCGAATTTATCGTTTGGTTTTAGTAATCTTCTTCGAAAACAGTTCATACCTGGAATTATTGTCATTCCGTCGGGAAAATCTAATCTAAGTGAGATTTTTTGTTTTCAACATGTTTTGCAAAGAGTTTTATCGATGATTTTTCAGTCTGGAATGGTGTTCATTTCATTTCTCAAGGACCTTACGAAGGTGGTGTGTTCCGCTTTTCAATTGTCATCCCGAATACGTTTCCCGATGGCGATTGTCCGGTTCGTCTTCTTCTGGATATCCAATTTGATAATCACGTTTTATTTTTAGAGGGTTCTTTTCCTGTCATCGATGTTTCATCCTCAAGTTGACCCCAAAACAGGCGAATTAGACATCAAACGATACTTTCCTGTCTGGAAGTAAGTTTTTACATTCAATCTAACAACTTTTCTATCTGAGAATTTACATTCGTAGACGAAATGGGCATCATCTCTGGCAAGTTTTACGTTACATTCGACGTATCTTTCAAAAGATTGAAACAACCAATCCAATAAACATTGAAGCGGCGCATTTGTAAAATGAACCACGACAAAAATCATTGAATAAAAAGTTTTTCATTTAGATATGAACAAGATCCAGAAACTTTTCTATCAAAAGTATCGGAAAGTGTGAGTCAATCGAAGGACAACCTTTACACTTCCGATCCGTCGATCAGTGATGATCCACATGCTATATTGTACGTTGGCTCTTTTCGATGGACATTCATTTGAAAACGTTTATTTTAGATTTACTCCATGGAGTGATAAACTACAAACAGTTCGTCAACTTCTTCTCAGTGGCAAAAAGGTAAGTCTTCGTAGAACGAAAACAATTTTGATTTTTATTGAAACCAACTCTTCCATTTGATCAGAAAACATTTTCTCCTATCGATACAAATCAAAGAGAGGATAGCACTTCATGTAAGTGTCTATGCTGCATGTGCATGTTTAGAAATTTGACTCCGATTCCTATCTTTTGTATTTCATCCAATCAAATAACGCTTGTCTATGTTTGAAAACTGATAGAATAGACGATGAATGATTGCATTTTTCAACGAGTCGTCTATTTTCAGGAAGCATTCGATCAAATTCATGGTTTATCGTGGATGAAACCAGGTGTACATCAAATCTTAGCACGAGAAGATACTTTACCAAGTCATCAAAATTAATTTTCTTGTTTTTTTTTCTCGCTGTCTCGTATATTTTGTGTCAATTTTTTTTGTCTATTTATAAAAAAATCATTTGTCATTAGTCATGTTTTTAGATAAAAATGAAATCTGCATTACCATACTTTACTTGCGGAACCATCGTACGCGGTTTTGGACGTGGAAGTAAAGAACTTGGCTGTCCGACAGGTAGTGAAACCCGAAGGCAAGTGATCGATCGAAATTCCTAAGTTTACTTTCAATATTTAGCTAATTTAGATGAAGCCACAGTAGAAAAACTACCAGCATCAATCGATCAAGGTGTTTACTACGGTTGGGCACAGTTATTAACCAAAACAGAGAATGAAATCTACAAAATGGTGACAAGTATAGGAAATAATCCGTTCTATAACAACACTAAGAAGACTATCGTGAGTGTTGCAATTGTGAATCTATGCTTGAATTTCATGAATTTTGTCTTAGGAAACACACATGATGCATGAATTTTCCAATGACCTTTATGCAGAAAGGATAAAACTTGTTCTGTTAGGAAAAATACGCCCAATGAAAACATTTCCAACTAGACGTAAGATTATTTTCTAAGAAATATCTCATTATCGCATAGAGTTAGCCGTGTAGAATGATTCGATTATGTTCTATTAATAATAATCGTTTGTGTACTCCAAAAGAATTTTTTTTAATCGGAAAAAGAACTTTCTTCCGAGATCGTCCGTGTTCATTGTACTGCATGTATCTTTCTAGATGAATTGATTATGGCAATACAACAAGATATTTCTATGGCTAGTAGCAAACTCGACTCGGACTCTTGTCGACGATATTTATCTGATCAGTTTTTCCAAAAATAACGTGCAAAAGGTTTTTGTTGTTTTATATAAAAAATTTATTCATCTGCAAAGTCCAGTGTTTCATCAAAACGCGTCGGAGTTGATGCTTCACGATGATCAACGTTAAAAATCGGAGTCCGACCGAATGTAAAATTTTCTACGCGTTTATAAGCTTCAGATCTTTGCAGTGGTCCGAATATCATAAAACAAACGCCGAATAAGGATAAGATCGAGAGAACAAAGATGATAACCATCGAATTCAACGAAATATTTTCTTTAAAAGTTGACGCCGATGTCGATGAGACAGGAAGTATTGTACAATTTCCATGTGTACCATTCGTCGACATATTTGCACATAAGATTGCTAATATCGACCGATTTTCAAGATGATGATAGCTGTCGTTCTGAATATTTATCAGCATTCGGTCATTTGCTTGCTAAGACGTGTCTATATATACACATGGATGTATAAACAAACCGATTATCAAGTGAAAAAAGTACTTCGAGTAATGTCTGGATTAGGAGAATTGTTCGACTGTCGACATTGTTAGCCTTTGAAATACATGTTCATTTATTCTAGAAGAATTATCATGAAAAAAGAGGAAGAAAAACTATAAAATAAATGACAAGAAACTTTTCTAGTTTTAAATAGCCTCTCAATAAGGAAAAAAGAAGAAAAAACAAGCATATGACAAATTAGTTTCTTTTTTCCTTTTCCTCTTATACCTACCAGAAAAAAGATCCTATAGGTTTGAACTCGATGTTCATAGAAAGCATATAATAACAAGACATATTATTCTTTTGTGTGTATGTTTCATGAATTATCAACAAAGCAAAAGTGTAACAATTACATAGATTGAGAGAGAAGAAAGAATGATTGTCTGACTAAATAATGAATTGATTACAACTACCGGCATTGAGCAGATTGCCCGACCGTAGTTGTAGAAAAACAACATTGAGTGCGACATTTGTTTGCCTCATTAGGAGATCGAACGTATAGTGAGACTTGCTTCTTTTCCTTCGGCTTCTGTTTCTTTCTTCCTGGCCTCCGATGTCCGTGACAAATTCAATATTCCAATCTCTAGAGAATTAGCGAACGGAAATGTGCATGGCAGGTATTGGAAACAAATGACAATAAAGATTAGGAGACATATTATCGTATCACGTCAAAATAAGTCTCTTAATACACGAACGATACATTGTTAAGAAATCTCAATATTGACATTTTAGAAATTGACATAAACAAGTTATTTGTCTTACGACCTAAATTTGAAATGAAGAGAAATCATATACTTGCTCATTAGTTGTTTCAAGCAAGGCGGATGCTAGCGCCCTCTTTCGAGAAAATGAAATTTTTTGCATCTTTAATAATCGTTTTAAACATTGATAAGAAATCAAGATTTTTTCATATTGAATACTGAAATAGAACGATTCTCATTCCTTGTTTTACATTTTGAAATTCATTTTCGAAATATTTCTCACTGTTAATTCATGGAAATAATCCATTGAAGTTCTCGTTTGTTTATTTCTTTCCGTTTCGATATTGTCAAGCAAATCAATGAAATGACTGAATCTTCCGATGATATCATTATTCTTTCGGATGATGATGTTCAAATTGAAAGTGAGATCAAACCAAAACAAACCAAACTCATCAGTGATAAAACTGCGCCGACTCGTTCTACTAATTCAACGACGAACACGACTACCAGACGCCGTACACCAATTCTTATTCTAACTGAACCCAAATCCATCAGATATGGTATCGAACGTGGCTACAAATTAAAACGTATCCATGGAATAAAACGTTTACATGCAAATAATGAATTAATATACCTTGTAGAATATGATCTCTGTGATGATTATGAATTCGTACCATCGACTATTTTACGACAATATTGTGATGAAAATCTTCTTGTAGAATATCTTGAAAAATTAACTCATTTCACTGCATAGTCTCGAACAACAATAATGTGAATAATATTTCTTGTTTATATTGTAGATACACGAATGTCGTCAATTGTATATTCAATGCCATTTTCTGTTAATGTACCATCAACAGTCACCAGTGATATAAAACGTCATTTTACGGATTCAATTCAAGTGATCGATAATCGAACTGAAGCATCATTTCGTGGTCGACCATTGAACGGTGAACAACTGTCTATTCCAAGTGATTATGTCGGTCTTTTGACAAATTCGTCAGATATTGTCTCGTCCTTCGATAAATTAACGTATTTTAATCTGGATTGTTCAACATCGAAAAATGATTGTATAGTTCGAAGTGTTCGATGGCTTTCTTTAGCAAAAATTCTTCATGAATGAAATGGAATCTTCTTAAATTGAATCTCTTTTCTAGATTGATAAAAAATCATCATGGGTGCATACAAATATCTTCAAGAAATCTACCGCAAAAAGCAAAGTGACGTGATGCGCTTCATTTTCCGTATCCGCACATGGCATTATCGACAATTAGCTGCTATTCACCGTGCACCAAAATCAACACGACCAGAAAAAGCACGACGTGTTGGTTACAAAGCTAAAGCTGGCTATGTAAGTAGACCATTCTTTATTTTTTCATAAAAGGAAATGTTGATCGATTTATTTCACATCTAGGTTATCTACCGAGTACGTGTCCGACGTGGTTCACGTAAGAAGCCAGTACCAAAAGGTCAAGTCTACGGTAAACCAAAACATCAAGGTATCAATCAATTGAAATTCCAACGTTCATTACAATCCGTTGCTGAAGAACGTGTTGGTCGTCGTTGCCCAACATTACGTGTACTTAACTCATACTGGATTGCTCAAGATGCCACATTCAAATTCTATGAGGTTATCCTTGTAGATCCATGTCATAAAGGTTAGAAAAGAAAAAAAAAAGAGAAAAAATTTATCGATGTATGGTCTTTTTCAATTTCAGGTATTCGACGTGACGCACGTATTAATTGGATTTGTAAAGCAAATAAGAAACATCGTGAATTACGTGGTTTGACATCAGCGGGAAGAAAATCTCGTGGACTTGGTCATGGTCACCGCTATTCACTCACGACAGGCGGATCACGTCGCAAATGCTGGAAACGCCGACAACAACTCAGTCTTCGACGATATCGTTAAACAATACCGACAACAATATCAACGAGAACAAGATCATCAAAATTTGTTTTCATTTATTATCACTATTGTTGTTAAAATTTCATATAATTCGATCGAATATGAAAGAAGAAATTTGAAGAAAAAGAAATAGTCAGAAACTCCGTTTTTTGTCAATATAGGATGTCGACAAGTCATTCGTGACATACAACAGAACCGTACCGATCTGTTTTGTTCGAGTCACAGGAGAGGTGATTGTTATTTTAGTGTCTGATCGACAAATAGATCGATTAGCATCGACATTATTTCCTTCTAATCATTTTTTTTCACTCGTAATCGACGGCGACATTAATCAGCTTAACTATTTACGTCTTAATTGCGATGACGTATGTAGAGTTAGAACGTTCTTTCAAGATAATGAAGCGAAAATTTCTAACCGTGCTCTTTCTATGGTCGGTCTTGGATAGAAAATTCTCTGCTTGAATGACAAACAAAACTCAATAGCATTTCTGACGCATTGTTCAATCTGCTCGAATCGATTTGATTCATTCCAAACTATAGATTAACACGACCGTGATTAATCGAATTTATGATTAGCATAGTTAGATCTTTCGAATGTACTTGACATGCATTTTATCATGTGTTGAAGTGGAGCGATTGATTCGCAGAGGAAATGTCAGTGTATTCAAGAAGATGAATTCGAAATTCTCGGGAGGAGTCTGATTTCGTCTCTCGAGTTTGATGATTTAGACAAATTTGATTATCGATTAGCAAATTGAATGTACACAAATACGAACCTCGATTTCTTTTTCGCGAATAAATCCAAATGTTTTCTTCCGATGCAAAGAAACATTAAAATTTCACATCTGGAAATAGATTTCTGTCTTCCAAACAAAGCCAAATCGTCATATTCCAGAAAACAAACAAAGTTTTATTAATAATAATAATAATAATAAGCACATCGAACATTCTGCCTTTTTCTATTTCTTTTGCTCCCGAGCTCACCGGTTATATTTGTATAAGAATATTTTCTTTTCATTAATCGATCACTATCTATACATTTTGAGAAAAATACATAGAATTTGTAGCAAAAAATATATTAAAAAAAGAACGAAACGGAACCGAAGAAGAAAGAGAAGAACAACAACATTTGGAATGATTTTGCAAGAAAAAAAAACCGAGGATATCACAAAAACATGAACTAGAAAATACATATCGATTCAGATTAGACAGAGCGTCGTAATAAATCCGTCGGATCCATCTTTTGTGAATTGACATGTAGATCAATATGTGAGTGAATCATAATATTATCATTATCTTCTGAAGTCGACTGATGACCACGATGCCGTCGACGTGTGCCATATGCACATCGATTGATATTCCCACCTGGTTCGATGTACTCATACTGTAAAGTGAAATGACGTATGCAATGAGTTTCAAAGATTCGTTGTAATTGACGACCGAACAAATCTGTACATGTACTTAAAGATAAATCTTCATCACAAACAACATGCAACGTTGCAAAGATATCTCGAGCCGTTGCTCTAAATAGATCATTTCGTTAATGAAGAATAAGAAAACGAACAGAACAATCTTATACCTCCATACATGTACACCATGTACAGCACGTATCTGTGGAATTGTTTTCATAATCGTTTTGATTAGTTGTTTGGTATTGATACCAGCCGGAACAGCTTCGACTAGGATATTGCCTAGTGACCAGATAACAGGAATAGCTTTAATTGCGATAACAACCACCATGACTAATGTCAAAGATGGATCAATATATTTTAACCATAGATTGATTTGGTTTCCACTGTCGTCTTTGTTTGGAATAAATTTGTTTAATAAACCAGAAAATAATACTATTGAAGATTCGAGAAGAACAGCCTGAATAGAAGAAAAAAAAATCAATGAGAAGTTTTCCTTTATTGTTCTGCTAACCATGGAAAAAGAATCTCTATTAATATATATTGTCAAAAATGACAATTGAGATTAATCGACTCGTTCTCGTGAAAAACATCCGACGCACTTAGGGTTGTACTTCATCTTTTGAAGTTAATTTCTCTCCCTTCATTGGACAGAAAACCTTCACTTACCAATGAATGTAATGAAAGCGCGTGTAGTGTTGCAAAGACACGTGAGTTTTGCAAATCATCTTCGGGATCCGATTCCATTTGATTAAGTGCAAATGTCGACGACATCACTGAATCTCCACTTCGACTTCTCATGCGTGTGAATTCGACAGATACACGATCAGGCACACGTAATTGTTTCTCACTAGTATCACTAGTACGTTCTTCTCTAACTGGTTCAGTTGATGATCCCGAAACTATAAAAGAATTTTTATACGTGTCATTTAACGAGGGTAAGATTAAATCGTTTGATAATGTTCGTTTTCTTCGTTGATCATAATTAGGAGGTGGATTCGTATTTGTACTCGATTCTGTAACAACAAGTTCAGGAACGATAATAGATGGACGATTAGATGGAAGAGTTGCTTGCTCGATTAGAGGATTTTCATTGGGCTCAGCATTCGCATCGAGATTTCTCAGCGTGGTATACACACTTCGAACGAAATCATTTTTCTTTTGTTCAACGATTTCATGGCCTATGTTATGATCATGACGGTATCCACGAAACAAAAATAGGCCCAGTAGACCGATGACGCATCCGCCAGTACCAAGAAGAATCATCGCGAATGCATCTTCGATATGATTGGGATTGATTAATTTATTCACAGCATCGACAATAATTGACAAAGAAAGTGAGACAAGAAGAACCTCCTGCAGTAAGCCAGCAAGAATTTCCAGACGTGCCCAACTGAAAGTCATAAAAGAGAAAAAAAAAGCAGTAGTCATATTTTCAATCGATCAAGGAAATCATCTGTACCCGAATGTATTTTTCGTATGTAAACGTTCAGCTTTCGCATATCGCAATGCAATTAAAGAGCCGACTAATGCAATACCTTCGGCAAATGAAAAGAGCCCATCAGCAATAAGTAATTGCGATCGTACACGTAAACCGTAGATGATTTCCGCAATTGCTATGCCGACAGTCAAGACTAACATAATGACCATTCGACCGGTTTTTGATCGTATCATTCGGAAACACCAATATACGCGATGCCATGCCATCATCTAATTCGTTTTGATCTTATTAGTATTGTTATTTTTGTTTTTGTTGTTGCCACTTGCTGCCACATCAATTATGAATAGTCATCGTCTCCTATTCAGTACAGAGACTAGACAAGAGAATTGAAGAAGAAACGGATTATCATGATTGTTTTCTAGAAAATCGATGGAAGAGATATTTGTGGAGAAACAAAAAACAAGAAAATAACATTTGAGATAAATATGCGTGCGCGCTAACAGAATATTGGTATCAGGTGCTGGTTACAGCTGTCGCTTATACCATGAAAAATCGACGGAAACACGCCGAACAAAGAGTAATCAGTATCGACAGTAAGATAAATGAGAAAACTTTTCCACTTCCATATGGATATAACTTTTTCACACAAACACGTCATCTATTCTACATTAACAACAGTCAATACAGCGAGAAAATCGAAAACAAAAAGAACTTTATGCTTCCGGTTCATGGACGTCGTATCGACACTGTGGTTCTTCTTTTAGTTCTCGATCATATAATTCCTCGAAGTGAAGAAGGTTCATTTCTAAGTAGAATCATGATTAAGGTTCGAATAATAGAAATAGATTAGAAAAGGTTCTTTCATTACTTAAGCACGATTAACTATTCGATTTAGAAAATTACGCACATGATGCTCACATCTTCCTTCTTTTTCTTGATGCAGTGGACTGACGAAAGAAACAGAAAAATAGAAGCAAGAAAAAGTTTTACTCTAATGAAATCGAGATCTACTCTTCCATACGAGCACTTTAATAATCATTTTCAAAGTAAACATCATTGAATAATTATAAGGTCTATGACGTATAAAAACACGGAATGAAAACTTTTTCAAATGTGTTAAACAAATCAGGGCAAATGAAGAGTATTATATCGATCGCAACTAATATCCTTACAAACATATTTTCTAAGCAATAATTATCTCGTGATATTTCTTTGACGAAACTGTTCTCCTACGATTTAAAACAGTTAATTTGTCACAGTACGAAAATAGAATGAGAAAAAGAAAAAATAAATTTTAATATCTCACGTTTTCTCCTTGCTCGTCTGCTGTTTGGTGTCGATACTTTTGAAATGCTTCCCTTCTTCGCTCTCCTCAATTCTCCGTCGTCACTTCTAACATACTAAATGTGTTGTTGCGCCTTCGCTGCCACTCCATCTCGACGTTCTACGAGTCATTTTTGTTCTCTTTGTTAGTGCCGGCTAGATAATATATTTGAAACAACGACAAAGTCATTCATATATATATATTTATGCAAAAAAAAACGATCCGTCTCTTTTCAGTCAATGAGCTGTGTTTTCTTAAGTGACGTACCCGGAAATCGAATGACTTGTCTATCCGGCCATCGATTTATCAGTTAATCGAATCGAATGAAAACCGATGGAAGGAGTTTTCATCTTCATATTTGCCACTTTCACTTTATTCTACATCAACTCTCCTTCCTCCTCTATTCTCTCGCTTTTTCTTCTCCTTCTCCATACTTTATTAACATGAAATGCACTTAATCTGATGCACAACAACAGCAAGCGTAAAGAACAAGAAAGAAAAGCGAGAAAAATATGTCGTAGTCATCCCAGATTTTTTTCAATAACATCAAAACGCGCCTGCTTTCGAAGATAACCATCTTCATTCTGTTACAATAATAAATATTGGCAAATTAATCGTGAACAAAACGGTCTCCAATGGGACCAGAATAGAAACTAGTTTACTCGCAACATTTGTTATTGTCATACGAAAATAATTCATTAAACGAACAAAAGAAAGCAGAAGAGATATTATTTACATGTCGAATGTTATACTTTTTTTTATTAATCAAAGACTAATTTCATTGAATGTAAAGCAAAACAAACGATTCGTGTTGACTTGCTTTTTCAGAAGACAAAAAAAGCTTGTAAGATAATATATTTAGTTTCAAGTAGCGATAAGTATTCAGGTTTCTTTTCATATAATATGATTTATTATGAGCTTTTTTCCAATGCGAAAGATCTTGAAAGTGAAGAGAAGAAAAGTGTTGTGCTCAAACACAAACGGCCTTGGAAAATCATTCCTTTTCCGCGGTAATGACAAAGAAAGCAGATTCGTTAGTCACTCTTGCTAAACATTAACAGTCAACATTACCATTTGATATGCTTGTCACATAGGCATCCTTTGAGAATGGCAACGAAATCGAATCTTTCCAGATAACCTATCTTCGAGTATAAAATTCTTGAAAAAATACGACAAAAGTAATTGATTCGATAGAACAATCTTCATTTTGTTTATTTTCTCATCGAGACAAATCGCTTTCTATTTCGGGAGAACTAAATAGCTTCACTCTTATTCACTGCCGTTAATAATAAAACACTTGTTTAGTGTACGGGTATTTCTTGCACCCTTTTGGCATTTGCAAAGATAACGAAACCTACTCATTCGTCATATTTAAGCTTGAATACGTGTGAGAATGTTCATGATTTCATTAATTTATTTATATCAATTGTAATATATCTATGTGGGTTCTTTTTATGTGTATTTGCACATAGAAGAGGCGTTGATTTTATTAATTGCGTATCATTGACATTTCAAAACTGTAAGCAATATAAAAACAAGTCGGATTATGGGCAATTTTACACGTAGACAAATGCTCGGAATAAGATGTATGAGCGAGGAAAAATGATATATATTGTTGATTCGATGCAGATGCTTTAAATATACAATTTATAAATCATTTAGCATATTTCTCATAATATCAGCTGTGTGTATAATTAGACAATGCAGCATAGACATAGCGAACTAAAGTATAAACTTTCAGCAATGCAAAAAAGTCGAGAAAACTATGATTGTTCATCAATATTAAAAGATGGTTAATGTTATATTATCGAAATAACATAGTTGTTGAGTGTCAACTGTTTTGACACCAAAATGTATCGTAATGTGACGTGTGTATACCGGTACATGATAATTGACTTCTCCGTATTGATACATACTGGTGTTTTTTGTCAAGATGAAATTGTTAGTTGCTTCTAAAAGTAGTGCATTGCGCAAGAGAGAAGGAAAAAGAATTTCTTTTACTTGAATAAATCTTTGCTTGATGAACAATGGTATCCATACGATGAAAAGTCAATTCGAAATACGATTGTTCACAATTAGCGAATGCGTTAAAAGACATCAGTGCGCTGTTTTTGTCGATCAATAATTTGTAAATATGTAAATCGATAATTTGATAAACACGGCTGGGACTTGTCATTACAAATGAACAATTTCCCCAAGAAGTCGCATTTTCAATCACATCTGTTGATAAATTCATGTTGTGATGAATTGGTGTCCACATTGTAGATTTACTACCAAAGCACTATGAATAAAAGAACGGGTATTTATCATCATATAGGTGTCATTTGTGATCTTACATCGATTTCAGCATCTCCATTGATAATTAAATTTTCCGAACGATTTGGTAAGACAAACGATCCATTCGGAAATCGTGCATAGCGAAAATCATGTTCTATAACAATGGAATTTTTTCCTTCTAATTGATCATTAGTTATGTTTGCATGATAGAGATCAGCATATGTGAAATTATTTCCTTGAACTAGTTGTGCTTGAAGAAAGTTCGCTTGAACAAGAGAAGCACCGCTGAAGTCATTGTAGAGTATGATACTTCGAATGAAATGACCTCGATCGAGATTTGTTTCGATGAATGACGCGTTTTGCAGTGTTGAATTTATGAAGCGAGCGTTTACGAGATTGGCTTGATCGAAATTCGCAGATATAAACTGACAATTTATGAAAATCGCATTCGAACAAATGATTCCAGGTAGATAAAGGTCACGAAATTGACTTGGACAAGTTAATTCGATTTGATTGAAATCAGCTTCTCGTAAATTCAAACGATAATCTTTAATCAGATTTGTTTCATAGAGAAAAATAAGAACATCTTTCTTCCGTTCCGCATTCAAACGCCTTAAAACGAGCGTTGTTTTTGTTCGAATGTAACGAAGAGATTTCTCATCCAACGGATTTGTTGCAGGTAACTTGATCAAAATATCTGAGACATCTTGAATATACGTATTGTATAAGAAATCTTGGTCGTGCACATACAGATTGTCTTTCCTATACCGATGTTCTGCATTGAAAAACCTTTCCTGTTGTACGATATAGATAATCCCAAATACAATAATAATGATTGCAACACACACAGTTACGAGTAGTTTGCATTGACGTAGACAGATTTGTTGACTTTGAATTTTGTCTTCATCGAGCGAAGTTGTTGGCAGCGGTGATGAGAGCGACCAACGACGCATTATCATAATCGTCCGACTGCTATGATTTTCTGAGTTAAATGAACTAAACCATCTGTCATGCAGAAAAGCTTTGACTATGTTGATAATTCCTGATCTTTCTTGAAAAAATGTTCCTTAAATATTTTTTTGCGTTTATTGGTGTCAAAAGAAAAATAGAGAAAATCCCAGTCACACTGCTTCACTCAAATAAATATCAGGAAAACGAGCCTAAAACAACAGACATAGCTGAGACAGAATCAAATATAGAAAAAAATACGATGAAACACGGAAGATTTGATAAATATTTGCAGAAAAGAATAACTCATTACATTCATACGACACTTCTGAACATTTTTAACAATTTATCGTTTTAGAAATCACCAGTTGAAATTAATTGTTCATGTTGATTAGAACATCATATTTACGATCATATCCAAGAATATTACCAACAAAACGAACACGAGTGTCTATGGCAACACTTCGCATAGGTTTTAATGTAATTGGGATTTGAGTTGCATTGAATTGATTTCTATCATGTGGTAATAACTGAAAAACACTATCGTCGAATAACCATGTGCCTACGTCTGGTTCGCTTGCTTGGGGTTCCTTTCCTCGTGGCATGACGACACCCTGAGCAACCAAAGTCACTTGTTGATTTATTGGTAGCTGTAAACTATAAGCAGGAATATCACCGTTTTCATCGTTCCCAATTAAGTTTTGACCCACAGCTGAAATTGTAAACTTGGCACTACTACTTTGCACAACGTGAAATGTTCCGATAAGTAACATAAATGTAGTCCAACATTTCCAATACCACATATCCATTCGTATATATTTTTCTTCCTAAAAAACCAGTACTTTTCACGATCAGTTTTTGCTATGAAATCAATACTTTACACGGCTGCGTCGTATTTAACTGTTCTAATGACTCATACAAGTGATCGAGTCTGTTCTCTTCTTTCAAGTCAAAGTCCAATACCAGCAAAGTAGGTACTCTATATTCACACCCTCAGATCCGATAAAGCCGACTAGGCCGAGATAAACTGTCGATTCATATCACGCATTTATACGCACTTCGTTATCAAAACAGAAGTTCTTATCGAGCAAAATATTCGATTAATATTGCCTTTAGCAAACTTTGTGTTCGGTGCACATGTGACTTGTTAGTGAATAACTCTAGATGTTTCGATTTTCATACAAAAACCCATCCTATGTTCTTGTTTATTTCGTTATCAAGGTAAATAATTAAACATAAAACATATTTCTATACTGTTCGCACGACTAAAGATGACACAGAAACAACATACCACGGTTACATGTGAATGAAATTGAAAAGAGGTAATGGAAAAGAAGAGACGAAAACAATTGAGAATAAAAACATCAGAAAGAGGAGAAGCGGACTGTTCCATTATTTATACTGTAACGCTAAATAAAAGTGGTCTATCAGAAAAGTAGAACGAGAGAGAGAGAGATCAAAGCCGTGCTCTATACTGCTCAAGCTATGATCAAATTCTAAATATCAATAGAAGGGAAAATACGAGAAAAGTGCCTAAATACGTTTTTCACTATTGTAGACTAAGATATATCACTGTTCAGCAAAACGAAAACTACAATTGTACTGTTCGTTAGCAGTGTTCTGAAAAGTAGTTCTCGTCCTCACTTATATTCGGAGGAAATGTTCCTGTTTCATCGATCAACCGAGATGTACTTTCGTCATGTTTTGTTTTCTCTGCTGTTTCATCGCTTGAAGATGTTGTTCGAGTTATACCGCTACGTTCACCTGTGACATCACCGCCTTGAATTTGTGCAGTTATTTCTAATTGGGATGGTGAATCATTGGATGATTGCTTATGAACAGGTGCATTTGTTAAACTGTTCAGTTCGACATCTGATCGTAGATTAGTCAATGGAATTTCACTTGCACGCTGTTGTTGAGTCAATCGTTGTTGTTGAGCGTAGCGTGTTCGATCATCATCAACATCTTCATCATATTCAGCGTCTTCAGCAATAGGTGTTTGCTGTCGATATGCTTCTACATTACCGCCACCGACTGGCTGAAAGATTGATGGATTATGTAAATCTGCTCGTCGAGGATACCGACTTGATACTGAATGAAGAGTATCATCTTGCCCGTACTCTTGTAATTCGTAAACGCTATGCAATGTGGATTGATTATCGTATGGGCCAAAACGAACGGAACGTATACCAGAGACTGATGAAGCGGCATCATTGAAGGGATGGGCTCCTTCTGGACGTGTGCCATCGGGACGAACATTCTGTTTGACTGCTGCAGGACGTTGACGACGAAATTTCTTACTAATCGATGTTGGAATTACTTCTACTTGAATAATCGTTCGAGGCAACGGAAATTTCTTTGTTTCCGGTAAAAGAAGTGCCATAGCACCAAGAACTAATGATAAAATACCGTAAATCAATCGAGGCATTCGATCGTTCAAACCGGCCTTAGGAAAAAATCGTATTCAGTCATAGATATCTTCTTTTTTCATTTTACTCACAACATCGGGAGATGCCAAGGCGACACCGATCAAGCGAAATGCGTAACATATGCCAAGTGTTGTACATCTTTATATAAACGAAACGAAAACTCAAATGGCATTTGTCGCATGTTTCAATTTACCTTAAACCAGTTGGAAATATTTCGCATGTATAGAGTAAGATCACAAGAAAACCTCCACGTGACGCAAATTTACCCATAAAATAGACGACAAGCATTGCATTACGAGTATCTTCCGTATCTATAATCAAAATTTCGTCGTATTTTACTTTTCGGAATGACCAACCGAAATTCTCTTACTTATCAGAACTGTAGCTGAACCGAGTAGACAAACTTCAGCAATCAGAAAGAAACAAAATGTTGGCCAACGGCGACCCCACCTAGACGAAACAAATATGTGTGTAAAACAACATTGCCTCATTTTTATTTCATACTTATAAACCATGGGAAATGCGACAACAAATGAAGCGATTTGAATGAGATGTGTATACAAATAATTTAGAAAGAAATTATCTGTCAAATGTTGAGTTAGTTGTGGTGCATCGAGACTATATTCTGTTAATGAACTGACGAGCCTGTAAAAAGAAAAATGCACAACATCTTTAACATGATTCTATGGAAAATACAAACCATAGACCACACATAATGAGCAAGTATAAAGTTAAGATGGTTGAATGAAGAAAATCAGTAGGGTAAAACGTCGATAGAGTTGGATTATAGTTATGACCAGTTAATACTTGTGCGATACGCTGTGTACATGTTTTCTTTTTACTCGTTGTAGCTTGTAAATCTACCATATCGAAATCGGGATACTTTGAGCCCAAGGACTGGATATCCTCTAGAGAAAACAGACATGGATAGACAATTGAATTCAAATGATAACGCATACCGAGTCGAAGTAATGGTTGAAAATCACATTGAATTCCTTTCGAACGTTTTCCACGAAGGAAGTCACGTGCTTCAAGAAATCTTTCTTCGAAATTGATTCCATTGGCAACAGCGATTTTCGTTAACGAGAGAACAGCGGTGACATAATCTCTTTGAGCCGTGTACCAAAACATAGACTCTTCCGAGAACCTGGCGAAGAAAATGAATTAGAAGTCAATAATTATCTTTATGTGAAAGAAAATTGTTGATCAACAGACAAAATTCGCAGAAGTCTTTAGAGAAATCTATTGAAAATCCCGATGGTTGTGATATTCACTGTTCAGAACGTCAGTATAAGATATTGAAAGGTGAAATCTGACTTTGGAAATTAATTATATTAAAGCTTTCTGTCCTTGAAAGTGTATCTTCTTTTGTTATTTGTTGAAGATGACAAGCGAAGTAAAATTGTTAAGCTGATTTTTTTTGTGCGTGCCAGGCTAATCTCTCTGTTGAGAAAAGCTCGATATTTAGAAAATTTCCGGCCCTGAAGATTGTTGTTTCTGCTTCGTCATTACTGACTCAATACTCACAACATTCGAACTGATTAACACAAATAAAAAAGAAATAAATCTCGTCCGTTTAATAGTTCGACTTTTGAGGTGATGCTGACAGATATTACATATCATTTTATGACCTTTTTCTCCTTATCACACGTATGGATTATTTAACCACTCGAATGTTCTCTACTACTCGATAGTAAATAAAATAAAACGATATCTCACGTCATTATGTCAACTTACCAATAAAGAACTGCAGTAATAACTATCGGAGCAGAAATAACACCTTGTAAAATTTTCCAATCTTTTATTAAATATGCAAGTCCGGGAATAATTAAATCCAATAAGAAAACACCCGCAGTTAAGGTTAAACCATAAATCGCTCGCGTTTCAATTGGGAACTGAAAAAACACACAAGATTCATTTGATGATGTTTTTCAATATACACTAAAGACCCACCATTTCGATGACATAAGGTACGGTAATTACTTGTACAGCACCAATAGCAATTCCAACGAAGAGAATGAAAAACACATATGATATATAATCTTCGCTGAGAAGTTGAAATACTGACATAGCACATGCTGTCCACATTGAGCCTAGCGAGTGTACGATGAACTTGGAAAATCTATCTGAGAATTAAGTTTGTTTCCTTACCAATTAAAACCATCTTTCTTCCACTATGATCAGCGATGCAGCCAAATACTAAACCGCCGATAACTAAACCAACAAGATAAACGATATTCGGTAATTTTATTCGTATTGGATCACAAAAGGCATCGAACTAAAAGAAGAAATAACTGACAAGAACCTTATTCTTTGATCTACTTACTGAAGTAAGGACCGTTCGTCCGTATTCGGGATCATAATAATATTTTGGTGCTAGTTTTCGTACCCCTTCACTAGTAGGAAGTTGATGAACATTTCCCCTTGAGACATTCAGCGGTACTTTTGTTACATTTACACTTTTCACGTAAGTGGGAGTACAATTGAACGATTTTGGTTTCATTACTAAACAGATCTTGACATTTACAGACAAAACTACATCATTAATTCTTACAAGCAAACACAGGCATCTCTGTTAGCCATGCTGCGATAAGCGCATAACCAAAAGCCAAGAAAATATAAGCACGAAGTTGGTATAAACCAAATTTTCCTTGATAAGTACTTTTTAAAGCTTTATCTGCATCCCAGCTCTTCTTAAATGTTTTCACACTCCGCAGCGCTCGAGCCATGACCAATGCTGTTGGACTAATCGTTGTGATTGTTGGCTCTAAACAGATGGAAGAAAACATTGATTACGATTAAGAATATAGGGCGTGAGCAAGTCATTTTCAACAAACCAACAGTGTACGGCATGGTAGTATCATGATTAGTTACAGTTTCTGATGAACTTTTCGAAGTTTTCTTCATCGTACTCGAACTACTATTCAAATCTTCTTCTGTTGAAATGAATCGCTCAAGTGCAGTACCTCGATATTTATTATATGCCGTAAAATTAAACGGAATCAGATGATTTTTTATTCAGCAAACATCATAATGACATTTATCACTTTTTTTTGGTGTTTTATTTCTCGTTATGTCTCGAATTCGTATACACTTTTGTTAAAGCTATTACTAAGCAATAAAATTAACGTCAATCATCATTCTGCACATAAAACAATCCAGGCATGCACGAATACATACGCAAATCTATGCACCCTACTAACCATAATCCCAATCTGATTCGGCAAAACTGGATGTTCGTTGTGTATAGTATGGTGGATGATGATGATCATCAGGCACAGAGAATGTCACCGAAGAACTCTTTCGTCGACGCGGTTCGATAATCATTATTGATATTCAATTAATACGTAATGATTTCCATCTGTTTATTGATGGTTAGAGCAGAGAGAAGAGAGAAAAAATGAGTTCGAAGGGAAAGAAATATAGACGACGATGACGACCGAGGAGAAGAAAAAGAGCAATTCTAATCGTCTCACAGGATCGGATATCACCATTCGCCTGATTATTGTTTTTTTCAAATAGTAATTTTTCGTTCGATAATATTCAATATTTTCTTTCAAGATGTTTATATAAATCGAAATAGAGAATCGAGGTCATTAGTGCCTGTTTGCAGAGTTTTTTTTTCGTCGTTCCGATAGAGATTCAAGAGGAAAAGAAGGACAACGACAGTTATGGATATTACCTTGGGAAAGAAACACGAAGATTTATCGTTCTTCTGTTATTCGCAGAATTTTTCTTTCTTTTTCGCCTTTCCTTTTTCTTCTACATCAACATTTTCTAACCCATAGATGTTCTTCCAACGATGAAAAAGGACATATACATATTGACGAGATGAGACGAATGTCTGAGTAGCAACGACACTCAATTGACTAAAAAACAAATTATCCGAGGGCATACATGTTTCTTCGTACATAGAGAATTGGAAGGGGAAAACATGAGCGAGAGTGAAACAGAGAGATTTCATTAACTGATTATTTCTTCTCTCGAAGAACGATGAAAATAAACAGTTGCGAATAGAAATCTAGCGCGAGTAATTTCTATCGATCGAAAGAAACTCAAATAAACAGTTGTCTGTTATCGAGACTATCAACGTTGGTTAGTAATCATATCAGTATTCTTTGCTACAACAATGGATATCATCGCTAAGAATAGGATCCAGCAGCTACAGTCAGGGAAAGGATCGCATGAAAATGAGAACGAGAGAGAAAAAGAAGCGAGCCTTATAAAAACATCATTAGTATTTTACTTGAATACAATTATATTCGTAAAGAATATCAATAACATGAATCATATGCCTGGAAATGCATATTTCATGACATGACTGACGAACTAAACTAGAAATAAATAATTCTCATTCTATTATATTCGTGCAATGTCGAATGGCTTGTAAAGAAGATAGTCGTTGTCATAAAGAAACGACGTGTTTTCTTTTCTCGAGTACATATATACTCTTGTTTTGATAGGTTTTCCATGTAAAATAAGACTTATGCTCGAAGAATGACGTTAACTTGCTATTCTGTATGTTTATCGGTGATATTCGACAAGAAATGTCATAAGAAAATCGACTATATCGCGTGATAACTAATGGAACTGATGGCACCGACTACAATTATAGGTATACTTGAAGTTTCCACCAAAAATTAACTTTCGGTATAATTTCCTGCTCGTTTCCTATTTCTTCTTTGACTGTCACATCAACTCTTGTCCTATCTTTCATCACTGATGGCTTGATTTCCTTATCTACACGTCAGATTTCAGTTTTGATTTTCAAAAACAAACGAAGGCAAACTTACTTGATACTGAAGTAGTTCTAAAAACTCAATCACGTCCTATGAAAGAAAAATAACTCGAAGAATCACGCCATAGCTTCGTGACCGATGTTCGACCTTCATTGTGCGTTCGGACAACAGAAAGAAATGCGAAGAGTATGCACGCATACTTTTTGTGGTGAAGCCTCTTTTTCTTTCTCTTTCCTCCTTACTAGCTAAGCACATTCCGTTGTCCCTTATCGTCATTCTTTCCTAACATTTAAACCTTCATTTTTGTATGATACTGTTGTTGTGCATCAGCTCGTAATTATTCTTTTCCTTCTCGTTTTACATATTCATGTCCATTCATTACTTCGCATCTCTGCACAGTAGTAACCACTTATATTTTTAGCATACATATACATCTAGACAAAAATACTTTTTAAACATCTACTGGTATTCATAACAGACTAACAACATCGAATACGAAGTCTACGAACCTTGTCATAATTCACAAGCTTTTATCTAAAATTTGTCAATAGTCTTTTCATTATCTGAACTATAAGACAGTTAAAAAACGGAATGATGTAGGTTTTTCAATAGATTTATTTAAGAATAATAAGAGGAGCGAAAAAAAAAAGACAAGTTCTATCTCGAATACCACATATTTTTACAGAACAGAAAAAACCAAACATCGAAACTAATAAACATAGAGAAATGATAAAATACAAAGATAAGTTTCAAATATGCATGTATATCTTCATTTTTGGTTTTCATTTTGTAGGCCGCATTAGTATGTACGTATGTTACTATTCCGAACTTTCTTCTCTTCTTATCTGCTCATGAAAACGCGCACCATAAAGAAGAATGAGAGAGAAACATATGAAGATTATTGAACAAGAGTGAACAGAAAAGAATAATACAGCAATGATTTGATTTCACAGAAAGAAAAACGAAACGAAAATGTAGATCGATCAGCACCAAAGAAGGAAAATTCTTCTTTAACGATATCGGATTTCGAACAGTTATGAAACATCTAAAAGCAAATCCATGGATGATTGATGGAAAATGTATTTTTGAGATACTTACACGAAAATTGTAATTCAGAAAAGCGTCGTGTTAATTGGTCTTGGGTAAAACGAACGAAACCTTCATATTGCTCTGAAACATTCAAGAAAAAAACAATATAACAAAGAAATCCGTTGATTTTCCTTTTACCATTCAGCTTATTCGATAGAATTTGATCGTATTCTTCCCGTATTTTTTCTTCACGTTCCTTCAATAACCGCGCACAAATCATATTGACTTGTTTAAGTGTGAGAAGATGCTGTTGAGAATTATGTCCAGGCAAATTTACTAATGATGTTGAATCTGTCGATTGATTTGTGTTATTGTCATCATCAGGTATGTCGGACGAGGAAGATTTCAATTGATGGCGTCGTTGAAGACGGCGAACTTCTTCCTTTATACGAATTAATAACGCATCTATACAAAAAAGTAAATTTATGCAAGACGTACAGGAAGACTATGCGTATTACCGTTTGTCAAAAGTGGTTGAACATCAGGAAAAACAGATTGATTTTCTAATGATACGTCTGAGATTGGTGTTTCATTAGATGATGAAACGACTGTCATTGGAAAATAACGACGTTGACGTTTAGCGGACGACGAAGGTGATGACGTCCTTGACTCATATGAAGGAGAGTTTGCATTCGAATCTCGATCATGTTCGAATGAACGTTTTAATGCCATACATGAAGCCATTATCTGTATCTACGCACGATATTTGTGAGAATATACAAAATACGAATGTAGAATTCGATTATCTATGCCGAAAGATTGCGAGAAGTTGAAAGAGATACAATACGAATGTGTTTTTAATTGTGTAAGAAAGATAAATTTCGAAAGGAAAGAGAAACAAACTGAACAACAGAAAAAAAACATTGTGAAAAGGGCTTCAGTTTTGAACGTTATCGGCTGATAGTTTCAACCAACAGTTAATAAATCCGTATAGATGGCGTTACTGTGCATACACAAAACTACTGCGTTCAGTCGATACTGCACCAATTTTGTCATACGAAACTTCAATCAATCTAATGAATCGACATTTTGATCAATGCTGTAGAGAGATTCTGATGAAAAAATATTGTTTAATGACCTAAATGATAGTTTTATTTATATATATGTTAGATGAATGAAGACCAACAGATGTTAAACTAAATAGAACGGAAATAACAAAAAAGATGGAGCTTTTCTAACACGAATAGTCAATTTTGAGAAAAAAAAGAAATAAACAAACGGTGAGAATCGAGAAAAACCAAATGAACTAACAATAATAAAATGCACGCGCGTATAGAAGCCAAGAATTTTTCATCGGACTATAACACATATTGAAGAAGTAAAATTTAAGCGGAAGGAATGTTTTAGGAAGAATATTTGACGATATGTTAAACATTTTGATTGTTATCTTTTCAAAAGTCTCTTCGTTTTGTTTTAGAGATCATCGTGCTCTTGATCCTAAATATCAAAGAAAAAAAAAGAATAACGTTTCTGATAATATTTTTTATCGAATTAACCAACCTTGGAAGTTTGTTTTGATTTGACATTGTCTTCATCATCATCGATTGTATTTTCATCTTTTGGAGCTTCGGCTTCTTCATCAACTGGTTCTTCTTCCACTTTTTCGTCTAATGAAACGCCCATAGCGCGTCGTAACATGGATTCAATGCGATCAGCAAAGCCAGTCGAGTCTTTAAGATCATAACCTGATCGAAGTGTAGCAGCTTCTACCATAACATTAGCTAAATCAATTGCTGTCTGATCATCTTTGGAATCTTCAACACGGCGAAGTAAATCTTTGATCAATGGATGACGTGGGTTAATTTCTAATGTTTTCTTTTGATTTAAATAATAATTCATGGTTGCATCACCTCCACTCTTTTGATAAGCTTGAGCACGAGCAATTCGCTCCATGTTACCATCATAACCCCATTGAGAAGCAACGAGTGCCATTGGTGTTTGGACAAGTCGGTCGGATACTTTCGCATCGCTGATCTTATCGGTTAATTTGTCTTTCAACCATGTCAACAGTGGTTCGTACGTTTTTTCTAATTGTTTCTTTTCTTCTTCTTTCTTGGCATTCGACTTGTCTAATTCTAAGCCATCTTTCGCGACGTTTTGAAACTTCTTGCCTTCGTATTCGGGTAACGATTGCATGCAATATTGATCAACAGGATCGATTAAATAAAGAACTTCATAACCTTTCTTGAGAATACGTTCAACAAATGGTGATTTTTGTGCTTCTTCAATTGACATAGCAGCAATGAAATAGATATGTTCTTGTTTGGGTTTCATACGTTCAACATATTCAGCTAAACTGATTTGTTTGTCTTTTGATTGTGATGAGGTGTAACGAAGTAATTTGGCTAAACGTGTACGATTGGCTGAATCTTCGATAACACCTAATTTGATGTTTGTACCATATTCTTTCCAGAATGAGACATAATCTTCAGCAGAGATCTTTTTCAACATGTCCAGAGCTTTTCGTACGAGTTTCTTCTTGATAACTTTGAGTAATTTCGATTGTTGTAAAGTTTCACGGGAGACATTCAATGGTAAATCATCGCTGTCAACAACACCACGGATGAACGATAAATATTTCGGCATCATTTCTTCGAAGTTGTCTGTGATGAATACTCGACGAACGTAGAGTTTGATCGCATCGGTTTTCTTATTGTAATTCGAGAATAAGTCGAATGGAGCGGCTTTTGGTACGTAAAGAATCGATTTGAATGTGACTTCACCTTCGGCAGTAAAATGACTGTAGATCATCGGTGGTTCGGATTCTTTTGTGAATGATTTGTAGAATGCATTGTATTCGTCTTCGGTGACTTCAGCTGGTCTGAAACGCGAAAGTAGAAGTTCTTTTTGAAGTTGAGAACGGGTGAAACTTACTTTCGTTGCCAGATGGGCTTACTTTCGTTCATTAACTCCCAATCCCAAACTGTTTTGTCGACTGTTTTGGTTTTGGCTTTCTTTTCTTCTTCCTTATCATCTTCGACAGCTGCATCATCATCGGCTTTCTTGTCGGCTTCGTCTGTTTTCTTGTCGTCAGTTGTAGCTGAAAAGAGAAACTTGTAGAAAAAAAAACAGGTGAGAATGTCCAGCGGTTTTACCATCATCATCTGGGACTTCTTCCTTGACGGTTTTTGATTTCCATAAGTAGATATTAAAGTTGATAAATTGAGAATATTTGCGAATGATTTCTTCTAATGTATGAATTTCGAGATATTCTCCAGCTTCTTCTTTCAAGTGTAAGCTAAAAGAAAGGACATCATTAGTAATTGTATGAAAAATAGACTTTCGCGAAGATTATTTACCTGACTGTTGTTCCCCGGCCAAGTGTATTTCCTCGAGGATCTTTGACAACGTTGAACGATGTCGAATCTGATTCCCAAATATGTTGCTCATCAGCATTGTTTTTGGATGTGACAATAACTTTATCGGCAACAAGAAAACTTGAATAAAATCCCACGCCGAATTGGCCGATCAAATCGCTCATTGATGCTCCATCTTTCGCTTCCTTCTGTGCATCTTGAACCTTGCTCAAGAATTCCGATGTGTCTGATTTGGCTATTGTGCCAAGGAATTGAACAAGATCAGCTTTGGTCATGCCAATACCCGTATCGGTTATGTGTAACATGCGGCTTTCTTTGTCAATCTTGATACGTATAGTTAATTCTTCTTTATCGCCAAGTACGCTCTTGTCAGTAAGAGAAAGAAAACGTATTTTGTCCAAAGCATCCGATGCGTTCGAGATTAATTCACGTAAGAAGATTTCTTTGTTCTTGTACAATGAATTAATAATCAATTTCATCATACGGTTAACTTCGGTTTGAAATTGATGTTTTTCGGAAGCGTCAACTAACGTTCGAAACTCTTTCGCACTCAAACCGTCCAATTTAATAGCCTCTTCCTCTCTGAAAACAACCGAGTGATTAAAGGAAGGGTTTATTACAGTAGTCAACTTACTTTTGTACAACCTCATCATCAGTTTTCGATGCATCACTATGTTTGCCTATGTCATTATCAACTTTCGGCGGAAGTGTTGATGTTGATACAGTATCATCATCAATATCATCGGCTTTGCAAATATCTGCAGGAGAAAGGATTCAGTGTGGCGGTTATGAAATGTTATGTTTGACCTACTTGAGAAGAGAAGAACGCTTAATAAAGCGGAGAATAATATCCACTTCAACATGTACAATCGATGTGTAGATGTTCGATGAAATGACCGCGACTGATAGTGTCGTTTCGAATATATTCAACTTGATGTTCTGTTCGAATGGGACTGACTGGTTTCGTTAGCCAATCAGCAGCCGCCGTGTATCGCTGTTGCTGCGCTTGTATCTCATAAGTGTACAAAGTTTTTATTACACATAGATGTCGCGTTTTTAAGTCCTACAAAAATTAGTTTAAACAAAAAAATTTGAGATATAAATGAAAAACTTATGCTAAAAAATTCATTTCGTATGAGTATACGAAAATGTGGAGGTGCGAGTAGTCCAATGTTTAATATAGTCCCGAAACGAAGTCAGTTTTTAGATAAGGAAGTGTTTTGTTGTATATTGGATAAATATTAGGCGGGTGTAGGAATGAATTGATATCGTTCTGCGCACTTTGAACAATTTCACATGCATGTAATGGCGATAAACATTGATCAAGAAGATAAGTTTTGAACAATTTATTGCTTTATTTTTCTACAAAATCGAATAAGAAAAATAGTCAGCGAGACGATTAACATTAGACTTGTCAAGGAAATAACAATGAAGTTAAGGAGAATCGGTTTTGTCCATTTAGTTGCAGTTGTTGTTGTTAAGAATACTGTCGTCCGACTTATTCGATAAATTTTTGTTGTATTTCCAGACTTTATTTGGGTAGAATCGAAATTGAATTCAATCAAACGATTCTCACATACTAATGCTCTTAATAAATGAATTTTCGTACGAACGCGTTTAGAATTTAACCAAAGATATTTCGTCACCGATGGACAAGGACTTAAATGAGTATTGATGATTATAGTTGGTGTAAGAAATATAGCGGACAGCGTTTTCGTTGAATGTGGCTCGTCAATTTGAAACTCTTCACAAGATATATTCAGACAAATCATTGGACTTTCGAGCGGAATGAAATCATTGAAAGATAAAACGGGCTGGAAACAACTCGAGATGTGTAAATCAAATTTGAATGGTCCTGGAGAAAACATTGTTCGAACATTTAAAGATGAAAAACTTTTATACCTAAATGGTTAACCATGGTGACAAACCGATTGAATGTATCTGTTTGACCGTGATTGAATGACCAATATGAAAGATTTTTTGGATATGAATCATAATCTTCTGTGTTTTCACTTGATGTGAAATGAATCGAACAGTTTTCAAAAGATAAACGACGTATGTTTTCTAGTTTCTCTATACTCCTGATGTCAACTGATATACACAAATGAATCAGTTTGAGATTATTTATATCTTCTAATTGAATAACTATGCTGTCATTCGACGATGAGGAAGAAAACGAATACAGTGCAATCAAATCGATTAGCGTTGGAAAAGATGATGTACAGTTTTTGTAAGGCATACGGTTAGATATCGTTAGATCAATACCGTCTTTCATCGTTGTTATATGATAATCTATCGAGATGAAAAGATAAAATAATTCTCAAAAGAGACAATATACCCATAGTTGAATTTAGAGCAAAATTCACGTTAAATTGGATAAAGAATAAGATGGATTGAAATAACATGAGCGAAAATGTTTAACTACGGATTGACAACAATTAAATCATAGTCCATTGCTTCGGAACTAATTTGTACATAATCAAGTGGAAGATATACGCATGCTTATAGTCAAGTTTTCATATGAACTCCAAACAGAGAGTAACCGAGAGATATCAAAAAAAGATAATGAAGTGTCACTGACACTTTTTTCTCATTAGCAGACCTCTCTCTTCGTAACTCATTGTTCAAGATGTCGATTCCTTAGAATTTGATGTCTAGATAAAAGATAAGTTTTTCGTTTAAATGATATTCATTCAGCCAATGAAGATTGCAGCTATTCGAAGAATGATTTTAAAATTGTCTTGAACACGGTCTTGGCTGTCGAGAAACCGTTCTCATGGACCACTTTTCAAAAACTCTTCAAACAAATGGCCAAAATCAATCATATAATTTATCATCCTATCACATAAATTCTTGTGACATAAGTGAACGTATCAGTAGATTCCAGCGAATGTGCTAATTCAAAGTTTGATGTCCACTCGTTTACTATTTCTTTAGAAGAGTGCTTTTCGTTTCGAGGAATGAAGTATTTTGAATTTCCCTACCCGACGGCGGGACTGATGATAAAGATTATTAGTACAGAGATCTTTACCTCCTTTTTTCGACAAACTTGATTTTTCGATAAGCTTATATTTGTTGTAAGGAAAGAACTATGATAACATCAAATCACACAGAAGGAGGATGATAGCTATGATTGACTCATGTATGAAATAAATGCCTAGAAAGATATAATCAGAACCATTTTAAATAAGATCCGTTGAACGAAACAATATTTTGTTTATATGCTGGCTTCTGATTACGACGTTGGACTCCCGTCACGCAAAATCATTGCAAACTCAACGGTTCTTGTCATTTTGAAGTTTGCAGTCGATTGCAATACATTCTAACTTTTCTATTTATCCAAAGTAAATCAGAAATAGTCAAATTATTAATGCCTGAGTATTCGACACAGCTAGTGTTGACAAGTAATGCTCATCCTTTGGATTCGCTGACCCTTTCCTGAAAGACTTTTCCTAATACTGAACACATTCAGAGACTTCGAAAGAGAAAAAACACACTGCCATTGCTACTAGTGCTCAACTGAATCATGGCACTATGTCACACACTAGAGTGAATAGGATACAGAATTCTTTTTAGAAAGCAGACCGATTAGCCATTTGTCAGTGGATAATTCTCCAGCACGAACTATTTTGATTGAAAAATTCATCGCTGAACGGCTAGTCAGACGGCCACTCACGGCCAACCGTTGACCTTTGTCATCTATTTTTCTATTTTCACATCACGCGCATGGAAATTTTCATAAATGCTTCACTAAGTCACTCATAGACGGACGGTATATAGTAGACTACTTGAAAAGTATGAAAATTCGCCTGTGTCTTCCAGCGATAAACCGATTCTGTTCTCTCCTGTCAACGAAATGATACCTCGTCGAACATTTTCATTGAGGAATATCCATTCGTCAAATCTCTTTCAAAATTATCGGAAGCCTCGCAAGGTTATTCTAAGCGTACACTTTAGGATTAATCTAGCATTTAAACATCTAGTCGTTCGTCGATCTCCCTCCGGTCGGTCAGTCACGGCTAGTCGCTGCCATGCTGTCTCTGTTATTCATTCCGCCTTTGATTAACTTTCAAACTGAGTGATTGGGCTTTCTTTTATTGTCGCTTCGATAGTCATGATCTTCTATTCATTCGACTACCAAAAGAAACTAGATAAGAAAGTCTTATTGTATGATTTGCTTCGAAACGAACATCTTCCATAGCGCTGCATGTGTTCAGAATACTGTCTGTATAGTCCACGCGTCTGTAGTTAGTAAGATGGAATTCCACCGACGAGTATATCACTTTGCGAACTACTTCTACTAAATTTCCATGAAAGCACATGATGTATGTAGTCTACAAAGCAAAAGTGATACTAAGCTCATATCACTTTTTCGAATTTCTCTAATTAGAAACATCATTATGTACAATGCATTAGATCTTTTCGTGTAAGTCCTTGAGCTACTATCTTTGTACGCATGACGTCCATGAATAGCGCTCAGCTCACCATCTTCCACAAAACACTTCAGAACAGATAAAGAAAAATATCTCTTTTGTAAAGAGGAAGGAACAAACCCAGGCTCAGCGAATAAGAAGAAAATCACCCTCAAATTCGAATTTCCCGACGTCAGAAACTCTTCGGTCTATTCTGACAATGGATGTTAATAAGTCGTGGCTAGTTAATGAAAAATTAATAATTAATTAAGCAACACTAACCACAGATTCGAGATCCTCGATTACCCTACTGGTAATCATTTTCTAACAACTATCGATCAATTTCATTGATTTTAGAAATGTTGATTTCTGATTGGACAGGACAGACAGACAAACTTTAAGCTTTTTAGCCCAGTATTTAAACGCTGTATAACCCTTTCTTTCGGAAAAGGGAACTAAAGACATAATCTTAAATCAAGGAGTGGAATGATATATAAAACAAAAATATTTCTAATGTATTTCGATATTTTGTTTAAACAGGGTCATTTTTATACTCTGGCCGGTACGACTAGGGTTAAGCAAACGAACTTTGAACGCGGCTATAACTCCGTCTTTCAGAAAAGAGAACAATGACTAATATCTTTCTTTATCCGTCCTTTCTCGATTCGACGTTCATTTTCCTTCTTCGTTCACTTTGACTCAACAGGCAGAAACAACGAATGAAAACATGGACTGATGTTCTCTCTTTTGTATCTATCCTGTTCGTGTTCAGTCTATTCTAGACAATGGATAATCGTCCATATAAATATACATCGATTTCCTTCACGCTCATTCGTATCAACAGCAAACAAGCAATCCTGTCAAATCGCACGTAAGTTCTCATTTTTGATACCGAGTAATGTTCAAACACAATTATATCCGTATGTATGTGTATTGGCTTTCTTGGATGGGTGTGTCCCCGCCATGTTTTATCATTACTATCTCTATACAGAGTTCTACTCTGTACGCGCGCGCGCGGGTAAATCATTACTTTTTATATCAAACAAAAGAGGGACGGTAATCTTTTATTTCTTCATTGCTCTTTTACAATTTTCGATACTTTGTTTTACAGATTTTATGTGAGGATGATTCGCCGGTAATGCACGTTGACGAATGTCCAGAGCGCGTTCGAAATAGATAAGTGCTTTAGAATAGTCCTTAGTGTTGTAGTACATCGCACCGATGTTGTTGTACGAACTAGCTTGCGAAGGATGATTCGAAGGAAGAGTTTTTTCTCTAATTCCAAGTGCTTTTTCATAGAATGAAAGCGCTTTCGAATACTCTCCCATGTTGTCATACACCGCACCGATGTTGTTGTACGAAGTAGCTAGCGAAGGATGATTCGAAGGAAGAGTCTTCTCTCTAATTCCAAGTGCTTTTTCATAGAACAAAAGCGCTTCCGAATACTCTCCCATGTTCATGTATACGAGACCGATGCTACTGTACGAAGTAGCCAGCGAAGGGTGATTCGAAGGAAGAGTTTTTTCTCTAATTTCAAGTGCTTTTTCATAGTATTCTATAGCCATTTTATAAGCACCTTGACCATTTTTTAAGTAGCCAAGGCAATAATAATAGTGTGCTCTGTCATTATTATCAGACGTTTGTTCCAGTAACACGCTGTACAGTTCTTCTGCTTTATCCAACTGTCCTATTCTGAGTAACAAGTTACCCAAACGTTGCCATCCTGTACTACCGCCAAATTCACTTTCAATACGGTCCGTTAACGCACGCAGTTGTGGATCGTCATCAGCAGTCAACTGAAGTTGCACCTCATGGTAAAGGTTATTTTTGTCGCCCGTTTGTCGAATAGTACCAAGTCGAAACACGCTGTGCATGGAAAACAGGATCTCTGCTTCGTCTTTGAAGTGACTAAAGTCCCCAATCGATGCGAATGGAGTTGTAGCAATATTTGGATCGATGGTGATCACGAATAGAACACCCACCTTGTCGGGATCGCTGAGAGCGCTGTAGGTGAACTCAAGAGATTTCTCTGGTTTGATACTGGTGGATAAAAAGTTGTTAAAAGATAAAAGACCACCAAGAGTTTTTGATAACTGATCAAAATCTGTCTTACATAGTCCCTGTCCACGATAGACTACGAAAGGTTTTCGTCTGTAACTACTGACCTGTTCTTGGTGTAGTTGTTGTATTTGTTTGTGTAAATCATGGAGAAAAAATCCCATGTTAATAATGACTTCGCCATCCAAAGTGCGAAGTGCTTGATTGAGCATTTTGTAGGTAAAACACTCGCGTGTATACCACCAAATGGCGGTGTCTGGACGATAGTTATGTTCGAACTCGTCGATAACACTTTGCTCTGTGAAGTTGTCTTGAAAACGCTGACGACAATAACTGGCCAGGTCTTTGATTGCTTGTTTGTCGTGCTCCATTCCGAGGAGAATATTCTTAAATATTTGTGTGTACATAAAACTGGGTTCCAGCTGATTGAGATTGGCATTGGAACCCTCTTCTCTCACGGCGACAAAACTCATGGCGATCGAGTCTTGATTGTGTTGTTTAACACCCGTGGTCAGTGCTTCACAGATTTCTTTGATATTTGTGTGAACACCTTTTACTTTTGACCAGTTCTTTGCCCAGGTTTCATTTCTGGATTTATTGCCACAGAAGATGTAGATGGCATTCACTTGTGGAATGCCGTGAATCTCGGGAACTAAGTGTTGACCTGAGTATCCCGATGTGATGACGAAAGCCTTTTCATCACCGATGCTGTTGAGAAATTGAAGGCAAGCATCTGGTTGAGTGTATATATTGACATCATTGACAACACTTCGTAAGTGCGTCAAAGTGTTCTGACAGTCTTGGTCCTTTTCATCGATGTTTGCATCCACCCAAACTAAAAGGTAGTTTTGAACCATGCGTTGTCGTGGTTGATTACCATGATTCCTTGCCGTGAAACGTGATTTTGATTTTTGTGAGTGCATTTTAATAAATAAACTGAAATTCACAGTATTTTGTTTTTTTGTGAAAATGGAGAAATTCGCTTCTCTTTTTGTATAGACAACGAATGGCGTCGTTCTCTTCTTGAATTTTTGCGGAGACGAAAAATGTTTATATTATTGTTTGAATCTTGAGAGAAATTTTTCAAAATAAAAAAAAAGCAAGGAAGAAAAAACATCAACACAAAAATCTCTTTAAGATGCTCGAAACAGGCGAAGCAGGTAAGAAGCCATTAACGAACTTGGTTGTTATTCTTTTCAACATTTTCTTGTCGGTAGTCTTCAGGCAATACTCATTCGAGGAATTGGGTGATGTTTCTGAAAGAACCATATTTGAGCGTGGGTAGAAACAAACTGGTTTTAATTCCACAAGGAATGATTTAAAACAATGGTTGTAGTTTACTTAGATCGATCCTTTTAATTATTGTTTATGATCTTAATCGATGTATATGTAAAACACAAAACAGACTTAAATCAATAGGAACATTTCGGGTTTTATTTGAAAGTTAGATGTGCTGGAAAAATGTGTCAGATGCAAGACAATAAGAAACCACAGAGAATTATCGATATTTTTTCAATAATTCAGGAGTCAAATTTCCAACCGGTCTTATCTTCGAGCTCCAGTGAGATTCTTACGTAACCATGAGTAGTGTAGAAATCGTTAACTCGATTCGAGTATTAAACCACTTCTTCGAGTTTTCCGCTTACGAACTCGTAAGTGATTGATCGTAAATACTTGAGTGACTGATTATTAGCTATTCTGTAACTGTGCATTAAATATTAACGAACCAATTACTTATTATCAATTAGCGGACTATCACGTAATCGGCACCTGACTATTAAATACTACTTAATCATTTACTCACTACATGACTATCAATTATCAGCCAACTAATTGTAACGAATCCCGTTGACATTGAAGCTGACTATGCCGTTGCCACCTGCATCTTACCTATCACCCACACCCTCAGACTAATCAGTTAGTTAATAAAAGACAGATAGTTAATCATGTAATAATTAGCATTTAGTTAGTGGATATTTAATAGCCAATTAGTTAAGAGTTAAACACTCGAAGCTTCGAATTCTAAAATCTAGAAGTTGAAAACTCGAAATGAAAGTTTAATACTCGAATAGTCTCTTCGACTTTTACATGTATGGTTTAGTATGCATAGCAGTATGTTGAAATTTAGTGAAAGTGTAAAAGATAGAATATAAGTGAACATATTTCATAATATATTCTTATAAGAAAAGTAAAAAACGATCACTTTCTGCAGCAGCGTTCCATTGTTTGAATTGATTCGAAATATATTTCATGCAAAGTAGTTGCTGACATTTTAGTATGTTTTGTAAATTATATTCAAAGAACTGTAATATAAGATTTACCTCTCATGTTCGTGGACATTCTGTTGAAACAACACTATTTCATCATGAATTCGAAGTGCTTTAACTCAGAAAAAGTGATAGCTGTGTCATAAATATGAACTGAATGATTATTCTCAATGCCATATAGATGGTAGTTTTGAAGGACACACTTTGCTGTTGATGCATCAAAGACTTTCTAGTTGTTCCAATGAAAAATGACCAAAAATATTTCATACTAAAGTTTCGGATATAGTACAATGAAATTCATTGCTCTCTGTATTTCTCGCTTTACTCTACATGTACGGGCACATTTATCCATCCAGATACACGTGGATTAGAGCGGGAAATGCAGAAAACGATAGATTTCATTTTACTACATTGAGGATTTTAGTGTGAAAAATACTGCTGCATTGGGTTATATTTCATCGAATGAACTAGAATTTTTTCGGTTTTTCAACCACACCCTTACCTAGTTTCTTTTGATAATCGAATGAATGGAGTATAACTACCTAGGAAGCAACAATGAGAGGAAACATAATTATTCATTTTGAAAGTTACTCTTAATCGAAAGGTGAGATTTAGAAGAGTCACAGCCGGTGTCGATGACTTTTTCAAGGAATATTTTTCTATGTCTGTTCGAGCTTCGAGTATAAGTCCTGCGGATTATTAACTGCTTAAATTGAAGGGAACAATAAAATATATACGGGGGATCACATAAGGTATGAACAATTCTGATAACTTTCGTGGCAGATCGACTTAGTGCGAATGTGTTGAGCACTGGAACGATTCCTTTAGAAAACCGCTGATGAATCCGAACGATAAGCGTTACTTGTGTCAGTATTACAACTAAATGTGCATGAAAATATGTAATAAATTCAATTAAACCAGAATACATTTTTATATGTAGATCTTGCCCATCACTTGTTCGTGTTAATGAATGCATTGCTGCTGCTTGTTGTTACGTTTAAGAGAATCAGGAGTAACTGTTTTTCAAAATTTCACATGACCGCCTGGAGAAGCGGTTATTAAAAAATCTGTTTCGGTATCAGTAACATGTGTGACAACATCATGATGTATAAAGATTATCAAATTAGATTGAATTGTAGGATTTTTCTTTGATTTATTCGTTCTTGGTCATTATTACGACGGACACGTTTGAATGTTGTTAGTGATGTAGAACGACCACGATCGGATCGAGGTGTTCAGCAGTAACGATTAATGTATACGAAGTGTGACCTCTTCTTTATCTTATTGAAACGATTGGGTCATTTTCAAACAACAATGATTCATACATGCATATACAAAGAACACATCTCCGTCTCCGTCGAGAAAATCCTTTTATCGATAAAATAGAAAATCATGGCAAGAAATACATGTGATAGTGTTCGAATTGTTCTGACTCCAATCAAAATAATTCGTGATTCAACTACTGGTCAATGGTCAACACCACGAAAACGAAAAGATTCGATCCAAAATGTCAAATATAATCTACGTGTTCGAACACCATCAACGCCTGTCGTTTCTTTGTCGTCACCAGCTCTAAAGAAAGAAGCAAGTCATACACCAAGACCATCAACACGAGCATCACGCTTGATTAGCTTCGAAAAAGATAAAGACGATTACAAACCCGAAAAGGATTTTTCAAGTGAAGACGATGAAGATGACGATGATGATGACGATGACGACGATGATGACGATGACGAAAGTTCGTCAAGTGACGACGAGAAAGTGGTATCAATCGATACTAGCACGCGAAAAGTCAATCTCTTGTCCAAAGGAACACCAAGTATGAAGAAAGCCAAACCAAAATTCTTACCACGAGTATATTTTTGCTTTCATTATCTATTCCTCGCTGTTTCATTATGTATTATTCTTAGATGAATACGATGACATTATCCGATCTACAAACGGATGAAGATAGTTCAGTATCATTCGACATTTCCAATGATGTTTTCGCACAAGCTCGACGAAAGTGAATATTATTTTGCTAAGTTTCTCACACAGAACGTCTTTACTTTTCAATAGACTTTTACCAACCAATTTACCAGAAGCGCCACCATGTCGGGAACAAGAATCCAATGCGATTTCAGCATTTGTTACAAACAAACTCGACGCGCAAGCTGGAGGGTAACGATTACTCGTTGAGTTTACCTCCAAGCAAAACTGTAACACACTCTTAATAATCTCTTTTAGAGCTTTGTATATCAGCGGTGTTCCTGGTGTCGGAAAAACAGCTATTGTAAATAAAGTAGTACGCGAATTAATGTTACTCTCTACTGATTCCGATCTTCCACAATTTAAATATATATTTTTGAATGGAATGAAATTAAATAAGCCCGAAAAGGTTTACAATCAACTTCTTCAAGTAAGTGATTTCATCCGTATATCGAAATACCGAAGCAAACCTTTCCGTATGCAAAGGCTATCAACATGGATGAACTCCATCGTAAACGAAGTGCGAAAATGGCATGTAAACTTCTTTCGAAATATTTCACAGATCGGTCGAACAAAAAGAAACAACCTATTGTCCTATTACTCGATGAAGTAAAAATTCGTATTGATCCAATTGGAAATCTGAATATTGTTTTAGGTTGATTATTTATATACAAAAAATCAAACTATTCTATATAATATGTTAGAATGGCCGCAGCAACCCTATTCGAAATTGATTGTTATCGCTATCGCGAATACTTTGGACTTGCCTGAGACGATGTTTAAAAAAAAACTTCAATCGCGCTTGGTAAGTTCGATCGAAGGATAAACATCGGGACATTTCTTGGTTTAGGGTTTAAATCGTGTGATATTTCATCCTTATACATTCAAACAACTGAATGAAATTGTTCAAGCACGATTAGGTTCAGATTTATCTGCACTGTTCGACAAAGACGCGTTAGATTTGATATGTCGTAAAGTTTCATCCATATCGGGCGATGTCCGACGGGTCTTACAAATCTGTTCGCAAACGTTGGATATGGCTCAATTGGGTAAATCTTCTAATAAAGTCACACTTGAGCATGTACAAAAGACATTTGAACGGCTGTACACATCAACACGAACAATATTCATTCGGTAAGATTGTGTTTGGAATAGGGTGCGGTTAATTGCATTTTCAAATAGAAATCTAATTCCAAGTCAACGAAAAGTTCTCGAAGCAATTCAAGATGAACTATCTTATGGAAAAGGACGGGAAATAACTACCATTCAAGCGATCTACGATCGACTCGGTATGTTTGTAATTTTCTTTGTTCAACTTATCTTCCTGATTTCCTGCTTTTCAGATAAGAAAGAGTTCAGCTTTACAGATATTCGTCGTATATGTGCGCAATTATCAGCCTGTGGGTTATTGCTATTAGATAAATCATCCAACAGTGTTGCTCGACAAAGTGTTCGATTGAGCATGCCTATTCATCTACTCATATTTGCACTTAATAATAATAATTAATCAGTAGATTTGTCTTGAATTGAAAAAAAAATGTATCAATAAAAGTTAAGGTAGAAATGATCTTGAACTAACAATAAAAATTCATTTCGTATTGCGCTATGTTACTTCTTTTACTGAAACTGTTCGAATAAAGCATGTAATTATGGTGGAAGTATTTGAAACTCTACTAACTCATGTAATTTTCTCAGCACGGATAGCTAATAACAATAACCAATGAAACTATTATTTATCCTCTGCTTGAGAATCACCATCAGCAATTTCATGTATATGAGTTTACTATAGTTATGCAACGAACTTCGAACTTTTCTTATCAGTTAAGAAATCTATTCTATTTTCCATAACTTCTTGTTTGTAAAATACTAACAGAGACTTTTTATTTCTGATTTTTTTTTGTCTGATCATGGTGTTTCTTTGACCTTGTCGCCAGTAGTTATGGTACGACACATCAGTTCTCTTTCGTCGTGCACTCGATAACATTTTGTGCAAAAGCATGCACGGGTGGCGCCTCGTGACGATCATACAACGTATAAGCACATTCTCTTCTTCAAAATTCTGTTCTACGACATATTTCACGACGAAAAGACATATGGCTACAAGTAAATACTTAGAAATAATTTACTTAAAAGCATATTTTAATTGAATTCTTACAGAAACTACTAGTGATCCTGTACCACGTATTGATGATAAAGATGGATCGTATTCATCTGGTTGCACTCTTTCGTACTGGCTTGACTCAGTCGAACGACCGAAGTTCCCAAAATTAACTGACAATAAAACGTGTGATTTTCTTGTTGTGGGTGCTGGAATCGGTAAATCAAATGATTTTGTAACTTAATCGTATTTATCTATCTGATTTAGCTGGTATAACGACTGCCTATTGTATTGCGGAGCATGATCCATCGAAAAAAGTGATCTTAGTCGATGATGGTGAGATTTGCTCAGGTGAAACTGGTCGAACGACCGCTCATTTACAAATTGAATATGACGATCACTATTTTGCCATCGCTCATATGTTCGGTGATGAAATTGCTCGTCTCGTGTGTCAATCAAATCAACAAGCCGTTGATTTTATGGAGAATTTGATCAAAAAAGAAAAGATCGATTGTGAATTCGAACGTTTACCCGGTTACTTGATTCCTGTCAAGGAAAGTCATATAAAGGATGTGATTGACAAAGAATTCAAAGCCTCGTCCAAAGCTGGAATGAATGTTGAATTACTTGAAACTGATGATAAACTACCGAAATATCCAGTAGATTATCCTCGATCACACTGGCTCCGTTTTGTCAATCAAGGTCAATTTCATCCATTGAAATACTTATATGCGTTAACACAGATTTTAACAAAGAAATATCCTAATGTGGAGATTTTTACTAATACGCATGTGCTGGATATTCAGGATGATAACAAAGAAGATGGCACTGGTGAAGTCTATGTCATCACATCAGATAACAAACGAATCGATTGTAAAAAAATGGTTCTAGCTACGTAAGAATTTTTCAACTTATAAAATTTGTTCAGTCATCATGTCTACTATTCATCAGATATGTGCCGATCAATGATCGTGTGACAATGTATACAAAAATGGCGGAATATCGAACATATGCCATGGTTATTTCGTCCATTGTTAATAAATGGAATCCTTTTGATTTGTCCTTTTTGAATTCTAGGCTTTTGAAATCGATAAAGGCGTTGTCGAACGAGCTCTCTATTGGGACACAGAAGAACCTTACAATTATCATCGTTTAACATCGGATGATAAACCAAATTCATCCAAGGAACTTTTAATTGTCGGTGGCAAAGATAATCTCGTAAGAGATTTTTCTCTTCACCACACACAAGCCATGTTTTTCCTCAATAGGTTGGCCACGAATTAACATCGTATGAAGAAACCTTTACAGCATTAGAAAAACTAGCCCGAGATAAATTTCCTATAGCAGGGAAACTACGTTACCGTTGGTCGGGACAAGTTGTTGAACCTATTGATACTTTACCATTTCTTGGCCTCAATCCTGGAAACAAAAATATCTTCATTATAACAGGTGATTCAGGAACTGGTATTACCAACGGAACGATTGGTGCATTACTTTGTCGAGATCTTGTATTTGGATATGATAATCCATATAAGAAAATTTACGATCCTAGTCGACAAATGACGAAGAATCCATTTGGATATATTAAACACAATATAGAAGCCGGCGCATCACTTTTTGATTATGTGACTGGTGGTAGTTGTCCCGCAGATATTGAGGATTTAAAACCAGGAGAAGTGAGTTAAACATGCCGAGGTAGATGTCGATTGAGATCATGATTTCGTTTTAGGGTTGCATTCACCGTGAAGGTTTACAAAAGTTAGCTGTGTATAAAGATACAAATGGTACTGTATATAAATTTTCAGCAGTATGCCCGCATTTGAAAGCTCTTGTTCGGTACAATCCTCTGGAGAAAACGTTTGATTGTCCATTTCATGGTTCGCGTTTCGATCGTTTTGGCAAAGTAAAGTCTTTCGTTGTTTTTTTTGCGTCTGAAGACATTCTCTTTTAGGTGATTAACGGACCAACAAAGCACAATTTAACAGATGCTCATTGTGAAGTTATTCCAGCTGGATCCAGCACATCTAAATAAGACAGTGTGTGATCCGAAGGAAAAACGAAATCATCTACTCGAGCCTTTTATTTTAGTTGTGTATATTTTTTGTTTAAAAGATTTAATCTTGCGTATGTTGTTAGAAAGATATGAAAATAAAGTAGTATATTAACTATTCTGTTTCATTTAAGACTTCTGTAAAAACTATGGTTATGAATTGATAGACAGCAATTTCACGATCGTTTTCGTTACACTCAAGTTGATTTCTTAGAAATATGTTCGTATATTTGTACATAAAAAACAATAATAATAACAGTATTCCGAAAAATCCTATTGATCTCAATGTTTATATACAAGCAATAACAATATTAGAACTTGATCGAATCTACATTTCAGACGAAGAAAAATTCAATCTGAAAAATATCTGTATATGAACTATTAAGAAAAGGCTCGTGCACGTTCACGTAATTTCGTTATTTCACTGGAAATAATTAATGAAGGACCTAATTTGATTTTCATTGTATCACGTAGATGTTCCTGGGTCATTAATAATAAAGCTTGACCATCCATTTCACTTTCACAAAAAACTTCACGAATATTATCGTTGGTTAATCGTCCAATAAATTCTCCAACTTGAGATACTGTCCATTTACTAGGATCCATCGGTAGACCATGATCAGGTGGGAGCGATGCTTTAGGTTGATCAACATGTACTTTTTCAATATGTTGAAAGGTCTCAGCCATTACTGGTGGTGTGTCTTGTTGAGATTTCTTTCCATTCGATACTTTTGTTCCTTTCAGCGGTTTCGTCGAGCACGCTTTGGAACAAAACTTTTTCTCTTGACTATAGAATCGTTCTGAGAAATCGACTTTTTTACAGGAAATGCAACGTAATTGATCAGAGCCGAGATCACTATTGTTGTCATTGAAACTATTATTTTCTTTTTCTCTGCCATTCGAATGAGTAGAATCTTTTGAAATATCGTTGGGATCTTCACTTGGAAATGGGTGACTGCTTTCACGAATAACAAAACCGCCGATGTAATGAACGACGACATCATTGTTTTGCGTTTGATGAAAAGGTTTTATAGGAGACGGATTCAATGGAACAACGTTAGGTACTGTTGTTGGTGGAGGAACTGTCGATGAACGAGGAGAACTCGTTGTTGGTGCTGGTGTAGAAGATATTTGTAGATTTTTCAATGGAATGGTCACTTGATTTTCGACAGTTTGTGACACTGGAGGAACGAATGGGGGCGGAGGGGCACTTGTCGTCATCGTTGTTGTTGTTAATGTTGATGATGACAGAAGTGGAGGAGGGAGAATTGTCGAAGATGATGACGGTGCATACGAGTATGAAGACGCTGCTGCTGGAGTGCTTACTGTATCACTAGAGAGAATGTTTAACGTTGGCACAGTAAGCATGTTTGTTGACGATGCACTGCCGCCATTGAGCAAAGATGGATAAGAATACGATTGTTGTTGTAATAACGAAGGATTGTTAACAGGTATCGTTGTCTAGTATATATGAAAGAAGATTTTTTCTTACGATCTATTGTGAAATAAGTGATTACCGTATGACTGAGTGGTTGACTTGGAAAAATCAATGAGGTACAACCATTTGGATATGGATGCATTGTACTCAATATTGGCGTTTGTCCTGGTATGAGCAATGTTGTTGCCGGTGCCATTGTAACGTTTGGTAATGCCACTTCGGTAGCTTCGAGCGTTGAACGACTCTTGATCGGTTTGTTCGTAAATGGATCACGTTCATATAATCTAAGATACAGCCCTTTGCTCTAGAGTAGATTGTCACTTTCATCTTACCTTGGACGTCCACGTTTCTTTTTCGATGAACTAGAATTACAAAAAGAAAAAGTATGCAAGAAAGCTAAAGTTTTGTTGACTCACTTGCTAGATCGTCGATGACGATGATTAGTTTTCCGCACGATTTGTGAAAGCGAAAGAGAAACATTAGGATCTTGTGTTGTGGAACCGTCTAGCGCTAGAAAGATGAACTGAATTGAATTCAATCTTTGATTAATCGAATAACTAACTCGAAGGATCATCGATTGATGAATCATTGTCATTTGGTCCTGGTGATACGTCTCTTTCATATGCCGACGAAGTACTTCCATTAAGAATTGACGTTGGAATAATTGGATTTGGTTGCAGAAGTGATGGTTGATGTGCTGTACTATTACAATCTGAAATTATACTCCAGAAGATAATCTAAAGACATAGACGTTCATATATATATATTTACCGTTTAACAACGATGACGTAGCAGATAAATGTGTGTTGCCGGTCAATTGATGAGCTGTTGTATCATTGGGTAAAATGACTGTGAAAATGAGATATCTCTGTTTATCATTCAGTGTAAACTTGGAAGACTTTACTATGTTGGATAGGATGTGACGCATTTGTTTGAATATGAGTGACAGTCTGAGCGGGATTCGATTGTATCTATGAAGTTAATCACATTATCATGATTAGAGAATATTGAAACATTCAAGGGATTACGTGTGAAGTCGCAGATGTTAGTTGTGACTGAAGAGCATTGACAGGCGTTGAGTTCGATGCTGAAAGACGATTCAAAATTGAGCAAAGTGCTTTTTTTTTACGAAAACTTAAATAGAACATACACATCGAAGAGTCCGTAGTTGTTGAGAGTGAAGGTTGATTGGCTGATGAAACAACAGTGATGGGTGTTGCCTGAAGTACTTGACCAGCTTGATTACGAAAGGTTACAGGTTTTGAACCGTCATTCGCCACTTGAACAAGCTAAAAGAGACTTGTATTTATCGAAAAATACCAAATTAACTGCCACTTACTTGACCTTGATTACCATCGACTACTAAGTACGTGGTGAATCCCGCCGATGGAGTGCCAGTAGATGGTTTTACTAGTTGACCATCTGAATAGAACGAACAGAGATGACTCATCCTGAATATTTAATCACAATTCTCGTACTTGTTGCGATGGGTTTTGGAACAAGCGGTGCTAAAACGAGAGATATGAGTTGAGAGCAATCTATGTATGTTAATTACTCATGGAGTTGCTGAGTACGACAGACTTTTGTGCTGGTTGTGGTAATATCGTTGATGGTTTACCTATCGATGGTCGAGGCAATAGTGTCGCTGGTTTAGCTGGCGATCGACAAGCTTGTTCATTATTTTGAGAGGCTCGAGAACCCTTGAAGATACTTATTTGATTTACATTGGAATTCAATGAAACAGTAATACAAACTCGTTTAACTTGTTTGATCGGTGCGGTGGGTGCTAGTGTTTCCATGAAGTCTATCAATGCGCTGCTTTATCGAAAGTCAATGTCGGACTCTTATCTTCTACAAAATTCTACGGAAACGACTGAGATTTGTGCTACTGCATGATTATGAGAAAATCTTACCTTTTCTTGGTCTTACTTTTATTTGTGACAAAAGAGAACGAATGTGTCGTATTATTACAGAAAATTGAACTGATCGTTCAGAACAGAAAAAAAGATATGAACATATCTGTGCTATTGGTCGTTCGAATGTGTTTTATTTCAGATAACCAATTAGAAAAACGAAATTAAACACCAATCACACAGCTATTTGGAAGCGCGATGTTCTACGACCTCTATACGAATTCTAACTGATCACTTCGGTAAGAAATGTCATTCGATATAGCATGGTAGACACGTTCATCATTGTAATCGGATTTATTCGCATAAATACAAGTGAAATAATTCGTACAGAAAACTTTTCGAAACCGGGCTTTTGTCCACTTTCAAAGTTTACAGTGATTTTCGTGTGACAAAATCATTCGAAAAAGAAAATACTGCTTAGCCTTTATTGACGAATTCACTTCTACATTTCAGCATGGTTTTCTTCAAGTGATTTCAACAAAGCACCGACTAAGTAAAGACTGCCAGTGACGAGAACGGATGGTTTGGATAGTTTGCTCTCATCAATCCATGCTAGTGCTTGTGCTACACTGTGAAAACAATGCATCGATGGCATATTGGTTTGATTTTCTATGGTGGATAACCAGAGCTGTTCGAAAGCAGCAACATGTAAGGAAAGGCGGCCGATTTCATCGTTGATAGTTTTCGATGCTCGCCATTGATCTGCAATGTCGCAAAACAGCGAATAAAGATCATACGAAGAGGAAAATATTGATTACCGTTGCTGAATTTCGAACCAGTTTGATTATTACTATTGCTGGAAACGGATGATAATGATGTTGTTGGTGAACAAAAAGCAACACAATCGAATTTACATGACTAAATATAGAGATGGATAAAGGTTCACAGAAAAAGATTTATGATCTTACCATTAGAGGTTGAAGTAGTATTTCTGGGTTTCGGTCATTTGAGCAATAGAATAAAAGAATATTTCGTGTAGATGCGTCTTGCTTAGATATGGAATTCATAAACCAATTTTTACATTGTTCAATCGATTCGATTGTACTAGAAATATCGAAGAGAAGTACGGTATTTCAATGGAATTGTTCTATTTAACTTACTGTGCACCATCGAGATAATATGTTGCAGTATCCGTTTCGACAATTTCATTTCGACCTGACCAACGACACGTTGCTAAGCCCTGAAGAATTTTGGTACTCAACGATGCCTCCATAAGTTTATCATAAGATTGATCTGAATAAAATATTCCAAGAAGGCATGTTTTTTCAAATAAGTTGACTATTCGATTAACCTGCTCGGGCATTTAACCAATGAAAGGCCAATTGTATTGCTAATGCCGCATTTGTTTCTTGTACATCACCATTAAGCCCAAGATGAAATGGATAATTTGGGTAATGATTTAATGGCGGTGCTAGTGTTAATGTGCACTGAAATATTACACATTGTCAGATTTATTTCTTTTTTAATATTCTTCTCATACCTGTTTTTCTTCAGCACGTTCGATTAGAACACGCATTGCTTCTGGTAATTGCGGTGCTGTAACAGCTTGAACACCTTTTTTGAAAATCCCTGCCTTTTGCCAAGCTATTTTATCAATTGTATTGCCTAATATAGAAACATGATCCAAGCCCAATGACGTTATTCCACATACAACTGGTGTTCTACGCAACAGAAAAGAAAGATAAGATAAAACATATCCAAGAAGATTTTTGTGCATGAATACAAACTTGATAACATTTGTACAATCATGTTCGCCACCAATACCTACTTCGACAATAGCGACATCGATCTTTGAAAAGATGATTTTATCGTGTGATTGATGAACAAAGACACAAGAACTTGGTTTTCATACTTGTTCGTGAACAAAAACATAGAACATCATCGTTGTGAGGAAAGAAAAATAGAATGGCATGGGTAGCGGATCCTGAAGCAAACCATATAGGAGACGGACATGGCTTACTGCTAATCAATTCGGTTTATATTACTTCTTCCTTTGATTTTTGCACAGCATCGCGAATAGGATTATAACATTTCCAAAAATAATGCACAAATTTCTCTTTCGATAACAATTCTCCATCAAGTCGAATCCGTTCACGAACTTCGATCAGATGTGGCGAACTAAGCAATTTTCTGCCTTTTCAAACAATCGATATTCTAAACAACTGTTTCTACCTATAAAATCCCGTCCTATATCCATACTGTCGTAAAATCGATTCGGTAAATGCACACGTGGAGCCTTTTCCTTTCGTACCAGCTACGTGAATTACATTCAATCGATCGATTTGATCTAACTACAATCAAAACAGAGATAATTGCCAACGAAAATTTTTATCCGCGGTATGAACAATATCGTGAATAGGAACAAAATTGTATTTGTTCATACTTACAATACCGTTACCTCGGTGTATAGTTCGTTCAATCACCTGAATGTTTAAACATGACAGATAACGAAGAACATCAGTCATCGATTTTCCAGCACGTTTGTTTGCTGCGATTACAGATTGGTTAGTTTGGAGAGAATTTAACGTTGAGATTGCCTCCTAAAGAACAAAACCGATGAAAAACAAATGAATGACGATGATTTATTTTCGTTCGCAAACTTCATATTGAGATAGAATTGTTTTGTTAACAGTCGCCAGTTTTCGAATATGAAAAGCTGTGAAAAAACGACATGAAATTAGATGAAATTTAAAAGATGAAAAAAATTTCATCTAAAAATATAAATGGTTGGTTTCGATTAGAAAGTTATCATGCAGTCAGTTCACTAAAACACCTCGCACGATATTAATCAGTTAGAACATGATTCATTTCATCAACGATTAGTTGTAAACAATTAAGCAGGACAGCACACCTGTGTCATGTTTAATCATAAACTTACTTTTATTGAATTAGATAGCAAAATGACTGCAGAAAGATAATGTAACAAAAAAAACTTGCCCTTGAAATATGGCCTATAACTTGCGGGAGTAGCGAGTATTCGGGAAGTATATGAAAATATTAATATAAGTTATGTGAATAAGCCACTCGCGTTTTACTTTTTTCGAAAACGAACCATTAACGATAGGTCAGATTTTCTTTCATGGATACTTACTCCATCTAGAACGAATCGAATCTATTCAAATAAACGAAAAGAATCTGTCAGATATGTAATTTACAATCTTTTCATTTTCAATGAGTTTGAAAATGGTTTAAATGACTCTTTCCTTGCACGTCGCAGTATATAATTCTTTAAACATCGGTTGAATTCCTATCCACATCATTTCGACATTATTTACCATTACGTTTCCGACGTCCGGAAATATCAAAATGGATGTTCAATCGGAAGTTATATCAATTAAATACAGAGAGAGATGATATATGCTTCATTAATAGTCTGTATGTGATCCTTTGGAAACAGAATCTAGAACGGTTGTCTGTCAAACTTGATCTAATTATCGATGACATGACAGTGAATGTCTCTATTTAACACTTTTTTGTGATAGTACTCATTATACAGGTATGTGTGATGTTTATCGAATAGAATGATTCGAAATAAGGTCATTAGAACGTTCATTCATCTTCTTTTTTGAGCAAATTGATATATTCGGCTTTAAAATGGACTTGAATAGCTTATAAAAGTTCTTGAGATATTTGCTTACACTTGAATAACTAAAAGCGATCGTTTATCATTTGTCGAATAGAATGTGTCCTTCGCACGTATTTTCCTTCGATTTCTCTAGTGAATATACAAGTGTTTTATTTACATATGGTAATCTCTGTCAAAGAAGCATGACCTATAGAATCTATACACACACATTCTTTTTTGTTCTTCTTATGTCAAACAACAACATACAAATCTTTTTCTTATCAATGATTACTTAATCCAATTCGAGGACATTTGTGTTTAGGTAGATGATAAGAGAAGAATTCCAGTTGTTATTGTGGCTACTCAGAAATGAAATTTCGATTTATAAAGAGAAGTTATCGGTGATTAGTTATCAATTTAGTTTACATAAGAAAGATATCGCGTCGTTCTGTCAAATAATTATTCAAGTTTGCCTTTTATTCAAAACAAAAACTGTTAACATCACTGTTTTCGCACGCGGGTCAAGTCAAGAAGACAAAACAGATACGAATCTTCATGTTCTTAGATATGCGGATTGATTTACATTTTCATCGTCCCAACCGTTATCTTTAATCATATGTACAAGTTCAATAATATACTTTCCTTCTTTATATTTCTGACTGGATTCAAATGCATGCTCCTAAAGTAAACAAAACAGAACATTTTCATATCCGAGAAGATCATTCGATTTACATATTTCCAACCAAGAAGAGTTTTACAACATTCACAATAAATATCAGCTACTTCATGTAGGCCAGTTAGAAGAACTCGTTCTTCAGCCGCACTTGTATTTACATTAACACTAGCAAGAAAAGAGAAAGAAATGTTTTTCATTAATCCATCGATATAAGTCAGTGATGACATACACAGAATTGAAGAGATATGCTCGACCTTGACTTCCTTGAAAGGACTAAAATCATCAATAATAAGGAATTCCAAAAAGAGAATGATATTTGATTGCAAGAATTACTTTGGATATCAATTCATCATGATTAGCCAGTTGAGCACGACAATGCAGACATGAATATGTTCGATGAGTTTTGGCCGGTAGATACAACTGGAATAATTTACCGAGTGCTTTGGAACGGCCACGATGGCTAGTTTTAACCATCTTTTGACGGATCTAAAAATATCGTTAGAACATCTGAAGAGGAAAGTCATTAGGGAAACTAATGATTGGCATCGACAGTGTCAAGGAGGAAGAAGCAGGACTGGATCTATTCACTTATGAACATCATCAAAGAGAATGAACCGAGTGACGGACACCACGTGTGTGTTGTCTTATTAACTAATTTCTTCCTTATTTTCCGCCTTGATTCTTATTACCTTCTAATACATCTTCTACCGTAACAGGAAATCTCGATAAAGAAGATATGTATATGCAAAAAATGTACTTCGCCAAGGTCAATATATCGCCTAATATTACATTATATCGGCATTCATTTCTTTCTAACAAGCATAGATCCATGTACGGACAAATATAATAACTATTCGCTCATGGAAGATAACATCAAAAAGTTGAAAACGAGATGCAATCACTTATTTGCTCGTCGACCCCTCTTCAACGTCTCTCATCACACTTCACCTCTACCTATAATAAACAACTTGAATGTTGATGACCATATACACACATGTTATAACTGTATCGATTCAGTCGATCATTGAAATTGTTTCGAAGTAAAAGAAAAGTGACAGAAGAAAAGAAATCACTAAGCGTATCCAATTCAAGCTCTTTTTTTCCTCCTATTCCCTACCAAACACCACTATTGATCTGTATTTATATTTCTTGCGCAATCGAACAAATACGGATGTATGTTCATCAATATAGTGCACGCAAAAGTTATTAGATATATATATATATATATATATATATTTGTTATGCCCCTTTATATTGTTCCAAGCTTTCTCTAATCCGATGATGATGAGTGCCTTGCATAACTCTGGTGTAAGGAATGTGAAAAAAAGAACCTTCTGATCATAATTTTGATTACATACATAATAAAAACGAATGAAAACGACTTCATCTAGTAATATCAATATTTCCAAACTAATCGCCTAGACATATACATTTGTAAACACAGCGAAGGACGGTATCTTTTCGCCGATATGATGATCGATTAAAAAAGAACATACACGACATTTACTTAATGTTTTGAATCGATCATGAAAAGAGGATTTGATCGAGTAGTGTAATGCAGAGGGCGAAATAATCATTGACGCGTCTGAGATATCTATCTTTGTCTTGATGCATATCATTAACATAAATACATATACTAACTTACGGTAGAAAGAAATGTCCAACAGGTTGCCACCACGATGGTTTGATAATAAAATGACTATAGAAGCAACAAACAATGCCTGAATGTCAAAGAAAGCTTTGTTGAACTGTCGTAATTGCCAGTAAACTTTTCTAGAAGTAAAAGAAAGATTAACTTTGAATTACGAATTTAAATCAAGGATTTGTTAATCTTAAACAAAGTAAAAAAGAGTTCTACTTGAACAAAAAGTCAAATATTTGCGTCAATTGTTTTGCATGAATGTACACATATGTGTATGTCGAAGAGTTGATTACGTAAGAGATCTAAGCATGCATCGATATTATGGTTCAACTGACATTTAGTTGACGGTTGAAGTGGCTCTGTATTCTTTTTCTCGTACATCCCCTTAGGAGACAAATTGACCGCAAACAATCTATAGACAGATTGATAGGAGAACGAAGATGAGACGATCATCAAGGATGAATACTAACCTTGATGTTGTCACAATACAACGCTAATTTTGTTCTCTTTCATTTACTACAAGTTTTTCTTTTTTTTCTTCTACTGCTATGTAACGAGCTAATTCTTTCCTAGAGAACAAAGACGGACATTTCTTTTTCTTTCTCCTGAAGAATATCTCGCATGTTCCATTTCCGCTTCTCGTCATAGGACATAACGAACGATGATTTACATCACATTAGTCTTTGTCGTTGTGAACTACCTAATTAAAAACGGAATTTAGTTGAAGAAAGTAAATGATCTCTATGTATGCAGAAAAAAGTGATTCATAATGAATGAATCAACAACACAGAACCATTTGCTCGGACTATCGACGAGTTCTGCTCGTGCGCTTCCTCTAGGCTATTCTTTGTTTTAATTATTCTTTCACAGTAGCAGAAAGATGAAGAACTTTGGGTGACTATGTGTGCACACCAACAAACGCGAGTAATAATGATTAGAGAAAAGATGACGACGTCAGGAATATAGTCGTAGTGACAACGCGCAAGTAAAAGGCAGAATAGGATTGACACTGTTCCCGTGTGTATATGTGTATATATGTGTTTGTCTGCCTCTCTCTCTCTCTCCGCTCTCTCATTCTACTTCTTTTCTCATTCTCTGACTCTTTCTCTGTACTTCTACGCTCATTTTTTACCTCCTCAAACAACTTTTTTTCATGCGTGTGACACACGACGGAAGAAGAATACATAGAGAAACTGATATAAAGTGGTCTATTATCATTATTTCTACTACTTCAGTTCGATGCTTCAGTTTATAATATATATTAATAACGAAGTTATTTGCAGGTCATAGAAATCAATGGAACTGTCATCTGTCTTGAGTTCGTTTTTTGCTAATCAAGGACGACAGAAGTCTTCTACGAGAGTCTTCAACATTTGTTCAATAAACGCGATCGAAACTTGAAAAAAGAATTGTATAACCTTGTATTGGTTGCTTGCTGTTGCCTCATTCATTTTTTAAGTGTTATACTTTTGTTGAATCGGTGATGAAATGAGTACACCTTCGAAAACGAAAGACAGAGTAAGAAAAATGCTCGAAAACGCTTGACCTTGCTGAAATTCATTTACGGACAATTACCAGATCAGATACAGATATGGAACGAAGGAAAGAGAGAGAGAGAGAGAGCGAAAGAAGAGAAAGTATTAAGCTCTGATAAGATGTTAATCAATATGCATGTTGCTCGATCCTTATTTAAGAATATGAAAAAAGAATAACAATGAACAAAATGTACTTGCTGTACAAAGTCGCGAATTATCGTTCGACACGTTGAAAATTATGCTGATATTAGGCGCCGGATCAATTTAATAAGGAAACGAGAAATAATTAGAAAGAAATCTGTGTTCAGTCTTCTGTATTTTTATATTCTTATTTGTCGTCAGTATTGTTGTTGTTGCCTTTATTGCATCTATCGATGAGAGGAGAAATCTTGTCGACTATTTGTATTTCTATTTCTATGCTTAGAAAACGATGGGTAAGCAGAAGAAGAGGAAGAAGAAGAAGAAGATCGTTTGAGCATCTGAAACGCAAAAAAATAATATCCTTCGTCCGACGTTTGTCAGGCAAAAAATTACGCTAATACATTGCTCACGTCTCGAAAAAAACTGGTCGTTACGTGTAGGTCTCAATCAGCTGCTGTTGTTTTCCTGCGTCGTTCTTTTTTTTTCTTTTTTTCTTTCTCTCGCTCTCCTTTTCATTCTCTTTCTATCCCTTATGTTTTATATCTCGAACCATCCTACTCATGTGATGATGCTCACGCGCATTCATATCCCTTGTTGTTGCGTCGTTTCATGCAATGATAATAATAGCATGCTCAAAAAATCCGGCAGAAAGCATGAAGAAAAAAACCTAAAGAATGAAAGACAGATGAAGAAATTCATCTGTCAGTAGCATGGACACACATTCGCACTGGATGATTGGAGAGTCTGTGTGAACGCTTGTGTAGCAAATACCATTTTGTGTTCTGATCAGAAATGAACGGAATCGCTGCGAGAGAAATATATATATATATATATATACATATTCACTGTGTCACAAATCACTATAATTAAACAGGCATGCATAAAAGCAAATGATGGTGATGATGATGGAGAATGGTCATCTTATAGCCACTTGAGACGCTTCAATGTATTGAGAATTACTCAAGCGACAACAGACCAATTTTGAACAATCTACACTTATTCATACAAATTCAATGATTCTCAATCTAATTCTCGCCCTTTTGTATAAATCTAACATAAACATCGATCATTTGTGTATATATGATCATAGACGACATGCTTTTGTCGATCAGAATACTATTTGTTCACATTGAAACTGAACATTGAACAAGTATTATGATGGGACGATGATCATATATGTAGTCTCCATATGCACAAGCGCGGTTGGGTTCATTTTACATCATTCTATCCAACACCTTTTGTCTTTTGTTGACTTTCGTATATGCATATACAGAAATACAATAAGTAATTACACGACGCGACAAAATGATGCAATTGACAGCAATCCAGTCTTTTGTGTGCACATATGTATTCGTATGTATTTCACACCGAAGTGATTTCTGTAAAGAAGTAGATTAAAAAAATGCAAATTTATTTGTACGATTTCTCTTTTTATGTCGTGTTCATGACAAAGACAAGTGACAATGAGACAGGTTGATTAGATTCAGTATGAAATTTACCCGTCAATTGAATGCAAATGCAAGAAGAAAGAGAAAAAGTTTTTTTCTACTAAGTCTGCTTGACAAATAATGTAAATGTTAACGGACAAGATATCCTTGAACAAATAAACTTTCGTTTTTCATTACAAAGAACAAAGCAAGGCGAGCATTGATGCGGAAAGAGAAATTCTTTGATCCAGTTTTTCACATATCAATTGTTATTTATCATCAATTAGAATTTCGTGAAATATTCGAAGTAAACTAATTCATTTTTTAGCATAAATAACGACCAAGTGATATGCACGCATCATCCTTCACTAGAACATCTAAATTTAGACTACAAAGAAGCATTAATTATCTTTTTTGACAATGATACTGTTGTTCTTCGTACTATTTTTAGTATTCGCAATGGTTATAGCATATGATAAGGATGTTTGCCAGAGATACGAGCGAAACTTCAATAGAATGATGTTTGCTATCTTTTGCGACTGAAATAGACTTGTGACAACTGTTGCAATTGGAATGAGTAGAATAGGTTTTTGTTCGGTCGATTTCAAATATGAGAAAAATGGAGAGAATTGTTTGTTTTTGTTCATTAGATTTTATTATTACCTATGTTCACTAGTTGTTATAATATGGAAGATAATATGTAAATCTATTGCACAAGTCTTTTTTTGTTTATTCACGTTTATCAAATTGAAGGCATCAAGACTGGATCGAGTTTTTTTCTTGTTTCAGTAGTGTTGGCTTTTGCATCCGTATTTAATGCGTCTATTGAATGTTTGGAATCATGGATAGGTGGTAGAGTAGGTACGGATGATAATCCTGATCGACTGGAGGGCAGACGTTGAGATAAATTAGGCGTTGGAGGATGAAAATGTTCCATCGCATGTGGTTTCAATTGATGAGAAACTATTGTTGTTTTATAGAAATCAGCCATGTATCTCGTGCGAGGTGAATAGGAAATGGGAGTGTAATGAACAAAGGTCGATTGTTGAAATGAGGATCTGAGAGTATGTTTTGCTTTCGTCGGATTTTTCTGGAAAAAAGAAACGAAATAGGTTATGTTAGGTACCACTGAAACCAGTGAAGTTTGTTACTCACATAGCTTTTATATTTGGGTCTATCGGAGAGAAATGTTGGTTGGTATTGTTCTATATGGCTTCGATTATTTGAGTCGTAGAAGTAAACCGATCGATTTAGTACTGGCGTTTTATACCATGATGCAGGCGTATTTGATTGATGTAAAATACGTGGATAATCTCTCAGTCGTACTCGTTGAATTTGATCATGAATTAGCTGAGATTTCAGTTGTTCAATTAACGGTTCTCTGCTGACTGATTTATTCTCACTGTTATAATCGTCGTCGTTGTCTGTCGGCAAAGCAGCAATCATTAATTCTGGTGTTGTTCGACAGAGTTTCTTGGATATACTTGTCATTTCACCATTCGAAAATGCTTGATTAGTCCAATCACTAGAATAGAAACTGCAAGTAGAAACAAAGAGTTACTCGTTTTTCTGTGCTGCTCAAAACCTTTTTTTTTATTTCAGTACATTCGATGTTAAGATGCAAATTTCAAAGAGTCGAGACAGTTGTGTTTCATTTTCAAAAAAGTTTCTTTTTTCTTTTGTTATTATGTAAGAGAAACTTGATATACGAAGCAACTTACATTGCCAAACTTGCCAATCGTTGTTGCTCATTATCCTCCAGGCACATTCTCTTCGTTTAGAAGCAATCGAGTGTTATTTCAATACGTAAATACTGAACTCTGTTTCTCATCAACATTGCAAAAGAGAACCTTGTTTTTCTTGTCAAAAAAAATTCAAAATGTAAAAAAAAAAGATTTCTTTTTCCTTTCTTTCTTTTTAATCATAAGAACAAAACAACAAAGTATTATTCTCGACTAATCTATTGTTCAGATGATTATGAAAAGCGCAAGGTATGAATAAAGTATAAACATCAACGAGGGCATTTTCATTGAAATTTCGTTACATAATGATGTTTGACAGCAAGTATTGCTGATAGCAGAACCTCCTTTAAATGTAAATCCACAACGTTTATTTCCACATGAACGGCGAACACTCGATGCAAAAACACCTTTCTGCAAAGAAAAAACATTCAATTGCTGCAAAAGTAAATATTTAATTTGTATCTTTACCCAACAGTTGTATTCACATTGTACTAACGGAATAGCTTGACCGGATTGAAATGGATCTCGGCACAGATCACCGTCACATTTGTAACATGTGATATTTCGAACTGGTTCTAGTTAAGAAAGGTAAAGTTCTTCGCAAGTTTTCTTCATCGAATGGTTTTACCTTCTTTTTCGCGATCTTCTTTCTTTCGGTCTTTGTCTCGTTCACGTTCCTGTTTATCGAGTAATGATTCATGCTCCCGTCGATGTCCACCACGGTCACGATGATGTTTCGATGCCGAATCTATTCACAATTTCACTCTATACTAAATCGACATTTCTGTTTGACCTTACCCAAATCAATGGCAGTTAAAATAAGAATACCTGCGAGAAATATCGACGTCCAATACATGATGTCTGTCTAACGAAATCGAAATGATTGCATTCTTTTATCGTCTACATTGAATAGAATGTGCTTTTTTTTCTTAGAGGAATCTTATTTCAACTTGAAAACAACAAACAAGCAATTATATGACAGCTGTGAGAAACATTAGATATCAAGAGATTGCATACCTAATTGCAGGAAATGAAATAAGCTGTTTAATACAAATCAGATAAATCGATTTCGTCCGAAGAATTTTCTATTGGATCAAGAGATTTGCTGTGTTCTTTTATCAATCATAACATTCTTTTATTTAGTTTTCTAATCGTGAAGTGTCTTTAATCCGGCTATCAAATGCTAATCATAATCATAAGATTCCCATTTCTTTCCTCAGATACGCAAACAAACGAGAGAAAAAATAAGGCAAACAGAATACATATGTATACATATATATATATATAAATAAAACCGATATTCAATTGACTGTTACAAACTTTTCCAATATACAAAAACAAAACATGTTTGTTTTATCTTGTTGTTGATGTATGATATAGAATTGATTGACTGACAATAGGTTTAAGTAGGACATAGGCATCCGACGCGTATGTTTGAGAACTAGATGATTGAATGAACATTTGATTGAGAAGTTTTTGTTTCAATTTGCTGTCACATCGGATTGAACTATCAGTTCCGTTCGCTGGAATTGTTGACACTTGTTTCATGTATTTCGCGAATAAATTGGGAATTCCAACAAGCATATTGGAAAAATCTTTCTGTTGCTTCTCGTATATTGCTAACAGTTCAATGTCAATTGAAAATGAGGTTAAACTTTTGCAGCCCATTAGGAATAATTCAGCTGTTTTACGATAATATTCGATAATACGTGCACATAGTATCGCCAAAGAATCAATTGCTTCATCCGCTAATGTCTACAACAAGAGAGAATTTTCATTGAAATGATAATTAGTTCAGTAAGTTTTACTTTCTGATCTAATTCCGTATCCATCCAATCCCATTCTTTGATAAATTCATTAGCCGACTCGTAGACTTCAAGGAGTTTTTCGACTGAAACTGTCGAACGTAATTGTGTTTGATAGGCTGTGAATTTTTGTGAAAGAATATCTAAACTTGGAATTTGGTGACCGTCATTATCATCAGCGATGTTTAGTGAATTCAATTTCGATTCCGTTTCAGCAAGTTCATCATCCTCATCATCGATTTTGAAGTAATTGCTAATTTGTTCGAGAACTTTCTCGTTGCCAGATTTCATTGTTTGTAGAACCATCGCTGATCGGTTGGATAGCAATTCTAATGCTTCGAAATGGGCAAGACCTATCCGAGAAAAAAGTATAGATTTCGAATTGTTTTGGATGAATAGTCATTTTTACCTTGATGTTTTTCGAATAGTTGCAAGAATGTTACCACTTCTTTCTTCGCTCCAGTTGTTGGTGTGTCTTTGTCATTTTTCACCTCACGAATGATCTAAAACAACGCGTATGTAGATGAAATCTTCTTGGAGCTTTTCAGCAGAAATATACTTCAGATAATGTGGGTTGCTTTTGCTTGCCTAATAAACGACGTGCACCTCGCAATTCAGGATCAGCTTCATTAATAACCTATGAAAAACATGAGAGAAGTTCCATGTCGAAGGAATTCTCTCTAATTGAAGTACGTACATCAAACGTTTTCTTTCCGACAGTTTCGAGAACATCGAGACTACCAGATACCACTTTCATGCCCTGAAGAATGAGAAAGATCGTGAACAGATGAGATTTTTTAGTTGAAAGGTACATACAGTTGTTGTTAGTTTATCCAAACTTAATGCATTAAGCCAGCCATCCTGGTTTGTTACTGCGTCAACCTTTTCCGTTTGCGAATTTAATACTTCTGGCTCTAAAGATAACATTCATTTCGATCTATTCTTTTCTTATATCTGAATTCTTCCATACCATCCTCACTGTCCGATGTTTCGCCTTTTATTTCAAAAGCCATTCGATTCATTTCAGCTAATTGTTGAGGATCAGGTGCACCGAGATTAGCTTCGACTGATTCAATAACGGCGTTAAAGCCTTCACCTAAATTATTAAATACAAATAGAATATGAAAAGAAACACGATACAAACATAAGAATACTTACTAACTGTACTTGTCAATGTTGTGACACTCTGTTTAGCTGTCGATAAAAATGATCCAAAATTGTTCCATGGATTATGCCAAGTTGGCTAAAACAAAGATCACGATTTCGACAAATCGAATGAATCTAGATGAGAATTACTGTTCGTGTTGGAGATTGAGCAGCAAGACGATCTAGTACACGATGGGCATCTTTGGCATTGTGTTTATTTGGAGAAGTCATGGTTGCTGCTGCTGCTATTGATGATGATTCTTCATCTCGTCGTTCTGTCGGACGAGAAGTTCGAATATTTGTTTTCAATTCTTCTTTATTGGAAGTGGTTTCCATTGTTTTTTTTCGATATTTTTTTCGTTGTAAACGTTGTTGATTCGATGAGTCCGATTGATCGTCTTCATCAGAACCGATTTGAGATAAACTACCGCCTGTTTTCGAAGGTGTTGATGATCGAGATGACGTTGAATCTTGTTGAGACGGATTATTCGTCTTCATGGACGTTTCAATCGGCGGTTCATCGTCAATGTTCCAATCACCCCAGCCATCCGTTACTGTTGGTACTGTGGAAGCTATTGATTGCACTTTACTATCATCAGGAGTTATCAAAGCTGGTTTGGGTTGTGGGGGTGTAGCCGACCGTTGAGATGGCGGAGGAGTTGCAGGTTTTGTTATAGAAGGTGTAGTTGGTTCACCTTCATCTGCACTCTCGAATTCATCATCGCTAACGTTTTGTTTCGAAGATGAAGTTGACATTGATAGGTTTTGAATGAATGTGATCAAAACGTGTACTTGGTGAAAAAATGTCCTTTCGATATTGATTCAAATGCTGACACGTATACAGACACAAATAATATGAAATAATATTTATGATAAATGAATCATGTTTTTCTCAATCACGAGATTTCAAGCTTTTTCAACCTATGAAAAATCATGTAATTGACCTCGACACTATTTTCTTTGTATTACATTGGATAATAAGTGACATCTTTCGACAGTCAGTATGAACTCTTTCAAATACACATTCGTTATATGGCTCATTGAACAATGTATTGTTAAGACATTGTTTCTCGAATGACTGTTTTCTGTAGATCAAACGTCTCGCTAAACAGACGACAAATATTTCCATTCATAATCAAAATAAGATAAACAGGTGCATGGATAAACATTTGCTATAGCATATCACAGTGTATATATACATTACTAGGCGATGTACAACTAGTCTAAAAAATATTTCATCACAATCATCGCAAGTGCTTATAGAAGAATGAAAAGGTGAAATGTATTAGTAGGTTGTTTATTTAACACAAAGACTGCACGATAAATGCTTGTCAATGACAATCTAAAGCACATCTACGCAACTGTGATGTATATTTTCAGTCGATGGTTGCATCCACAGATTTCTAATTATTCTATTCATTGAATGATCTGTTTCACGTCCTCGCAATTGAATTCGATGAAAACTTGAAAAAGTAGTTTCGATGTTTAAAAACGACATCTATTCGGTGAGTTATCATTGGCGTTTATCATGATCAAGTGCATATATAGATGCATTTGAATTCTCTCTGATGGTATTCAAACATAGTTAACCAGACATTCGATCCGACGCTCATTCCATGTCATATTGAATGACATGAATCTTTCCAATGTAAAATCGGCCAAGAATGGCCTTCTTTCTGTTTGTTTCAATCAAGACGCCAGTAAGGATTACAATTTCTTTCTTATCTTTTATGTATTTACACTTAACGAATCTATTCAGATTGTTTTGCTTGTGGTCTTGAAAACGGTTTTCGAATATATAATACAGATCCACTTCATCAAACACAACGACAAGGTTCGTACAACGATCGGTGTGTTCGTTTGAATAACTTTGAGTTTATAGATTTTATTGATGGAGGAATTGGACAAGTGGAAATGTTATTTCGTTGCAACTATGTGGCGCTCGTTGGTGGTGGTAAATCACCGAAGTATTCTCCATCGAAAGGTAAAGAAGCGTAACACACAACGATGATGATAAATCAAAATTCGATTGATTTCATGATGATTTCTATACGAAAAAATCTACACATTGATCTCTGAGTTGTGTTGTTTGTTTTCGAAAGATGAAAAGCAAAAGCAAATCTTCGTTTTCAGTCATGATTTGGGATGATGCGAAAAAGCGCGTCGTTATCGAATTAGAATTTTCAACAGAAGTCAAAGGTGTTCGTTTACGTCGAGACAGGTATACACACCAAGATTAACTTTGCTGGTAATTCGAACGTAATTTCGTTTAGAATTATTGTCGTACTTGAAACAATGATCAAGGTTTATACATTTACACAAAATCCACAACAATTACATGTCTTCGAAACATGTACTAACACACGTGGTAGGAACGAACTTGTTTGAATGGATTTTCTGAACATTTTCTCGTTTGAAGGGCTATGTGTTGTTTGTCCATCCGGTTCGAAGTCATTCATTGCTTACCCTAGTCGAACAATTGGGCAAGTTTGCTTAGTCGACTTAGGCGCAACAGAAAAGCCCCTTGCAGAAATTCATGCACATGAAGCGTCTATCATGTGTATGTAAATAGAATTGTTAGGATCGTTGTCATCGTCTGCTTTCTATAGTTCTTGCTATGAATATGGGTGGTACCCGATTAGCGACTGCGTCGGAAAAAGTATTTTCTAGGAGTTTCAACTATTCGTTTAAGTTTACGAATGATATTTCTAGGGAACGCTGATAAGAATATTCGACACTGAAACAAATCAATTACTTAACGAATTGCGCCGCGGTGCTCATCATGCCACAATCTATTGGTAATATACGTTGGATTAGGTGTTCTCATTTCATGCTTCTGTTTAGTATAAATTTTAATCAAGATTCAACACTTTTATGCGTTTCAAGCGATCATTCAACAGTACATATTTTTTATATTGAAGAATCACAGAAAAACAAGCCGCGTTCAATAGGGTTTGTTCTTTACATAGTTTTTCGTAATATTGCCCATCTTTGTTTTTTAGTGCCGTTGCATTCCTACCAAAATATTTTAATTCCCAATGGAGTTCTTGCAAGTTTCATCTACCTGAAAATACTATAAGTATCTGTGCATTCGGGCCAAATTCGGATACGAATAAAACAGTGATAGGTATATCTCATTGTTTGAGTTCGATCTTGAATGACTTATCTTTGTTAAGCTCTTTGCTCGGATGGTTCATATTCGCGTTTTCTAATCACACCGAAAGGGGAATGTATACAAGATCAATGTCGACAATTTCTCGAAGTCGGTGAAGACGGTTCAAATTTAATTGGTGCTACATCGAACTGAATGAGAAATAACAAGTGCAATAAAAACTATTTATTGATTTGTGTTTCTGCTTTATCTTCCTTTGTCTTTTTCTTTTTCGCCAAATATGTATAGAAAACAAAAAACTAAACAAACAAACGATCTAAAGCGATTGATTCGATGATAATTGATATTTTGTTCGAAGCCAGATGTTAATGAATTTTATTCTTTCGTTTCTTTTTCAAGATGAATACATTAACGAGATGTTTGTCTCTACTGGTAAAACAAAGACCGATTTTTCACCTCCAACCACAAATGTTCGTTAGAACGATCCCGTAAGTCAGCTATGATTGTTCTCTGAAGAACTTCTTCGATCTTTTCTGTCGTTAGAAAACTAGTTCAAGAGAATCTGCAACATGATAAAGAAGTTCAACAATTGTATAATAAAGTCAATCATCTCGCGAATGACAAAGATCGTCATCGATTATTTGCGGTTATCCAAATCGGTAACGATCAGCGGAAAGTAACAACTGAAGATATCATTTGTAAAGTTGACGAATTTCAACCGACGATCGGTGATCGAATCCGTTTCGAAAAAGTAATTGTGAATTCGAAGAAATTCAATTAAAGTCTTTGAACGTACATTCCAGGTTCTTCTTGTTGGCAGTTCAGATTTTACCGTCATAGGACGACCGATTCTCAGTCCACATTTTGTGCGTGTCGAAGGAATGGTTATTGAAAAAACTTTATCACAAACTCAAATGCATCATTGGTATGCACCAAAGAAGAAGAAAGTTGGACAAAGAAATTACCGTAATGATTTCACTACTTCTTGAATAAAGTCTATAGATTTGCCTTTTCGAATAGTTTGGCGAGATCCATTGACCATGATACGAATTACAAACATTGAAATACTTGGACCAATTCCAGGAACAAATTAATCAAACTGAGGATTTTTGTTTTCATTTTGTTAGAACAGTTTTCTTTTTCATTACGATGATGAATATAGAATCGTTGTCGGGTTTTGTTAAATGACGAATACGTTTCATACTTTACATATTAAAGACAAAGCGTTCACAGCATGTTAATGATTGACACAAGTTTCTTTATTGACCTACGGAGAATATATGGTCAACAATTAACGAACTATGCGATTCTCTTTTCAGGCCATTAAACACGATCGTTATCTGACGGAAATATCAGCCTATTGATGAGCGAATCTCTCCAAGCTGATCTGTTCGAAAGAAATCTTTCTTTTTATGGGTATTTCTCATCGTGTTTTTTGTTTGAAAATTCGTTCAAATAGTTTTCCAAGTAAACAATATGTGCGAGCAGTACAATGCAAACAACAAAAAATCAAACTGCACGATAAAAACTTCTTGAAATACGAACATACACGTGCACACATACAAAATAAACTACTCTGACGAAAGAAGATAAACGAAGTGTTTATCATAAAATAAATAAAACGATCAAGATTCGATAGATCAAAATGGAAGAAAGGAAAAGGACAAGAACAAAAGTGCTGATTTAAATAGATTTTTGGCATGATATGATAACATAAATGCCAACCGGGATTGTGGATACAAAGTTGTCGAACTTGGCCGTCGTTAGTCTTCGAAAAAGAAAGACTTACATTTGTTAATTGTCATTGAGGGTTTTGTTTCGGATAAATTCCAGAAAGAAACAATCACTGTTTGATATGACTATCTGAGGGCAAGAATAAGTTCGACATTGAGAAAAACAAACAAAAACAGAAAAAACGAAACGTCTTTCATCACAATTTGGTTGTGTCAATAGGATTGCTCGTTGTTGACCCCGAACGTTGACGTTGTCGACCGTCATTATTTAACAATGGCATTTCAGGTTGTTCTATGACAATTGAAGGCAATTGTTGACTGTGCGGACTGGATGCGTCATTGCTTGCATTGACCAATGGACGCTCTTCGTCTGGACTGAGAAAATTCAAACTCAATTTACGAATTCTAAAAGGAAGTTTTGAGAATTGAATTGTGATAAAATAGGAAAGACAAACCTTTTCTTTATAGCCGAACTACGTGATGATTTGTCACTATTCGTTTTGCGTTCAGATGCTGCTGATGGCTCTTTATCTTTTGTTTTCGAAATTGATTTCCATAGAAACGTTTTTCCAACTTCTTCGGAAAAGTTAATTACACCCGTTGATGTATTAATCTGGAAGAAAAACCATAAAACAAATTCTACCAACAATCTTCTCTTACTTTCACATTCTCTGTTGGGACTTTCATGACTTTGCCATCACCGACAGGTATACGAATTTCGCCATTATCGAATGTTATTGTTCCTGGCGCCTAAACAATGGATAGAACAAGTAACGGCAGATGATTAAAGAGACTAGTAATTTCCGTCGATGTCGTATTCATATTTCTGATCAATAGGACCCGATTATTCAAAGATGACGAATAAGGAAGTTCGCACGACAAAGAAATGCGTGAATACAATTGATCCGAACGAATACCCATCGAACTTTGTGTAAATTTTTCTCAATTGTAACTAACCTTATTTTCATCGTCATTATTTTCTTCAATACCGCTATTTTTTCTTTCTTCAATTTCTTTCTTGACAACTTCAGGCATGACATCATCGAGATATCCTAATTCACGTTGGGTAAATATATAATCCATGACTTTCCGTGCACCAACTAACGCTAAGACCATAATTGGAAACAGAATTGAAATCTTTTTGATTGATTTTATAATCCATAGTAAGGCTAAACAACTTAGCTGAATAAATGTAAACATGTGCACACGACGCGTTCGAACATGACGAAGATAAACATAGTCCGGTTGATATTTCTCCGGCATGAAAATCAATAGAATACGTGATATCAATTGAATCTCTTTCATCGATGATATGCCCATATATAAAAAGACTCCGTAGAGAACAGGCATCGGAATATGACCGAGATATTTAGTTAGAAACACAGATAAACCGATGAAGAGAAAGACGATAAAGCCTGTAACACGTTGTTCTCGAACACCGAGAAACTTAGCTTTTTCTCCGGGCGCGGCAGTTTCTGATTCAAGTTTAAGCGCAATAACATGATTTATTGATAAGACAGTTGCAGCAACAAACCATGGAAGACCAAGGACAGAATTGATTGCAATACAAATTGACACAATTAATAAATCCAAATGATAGCCACATCCTTTCTAGAAAAACAATTCAAATTCGTCATTCAATCGCGTTTTCAATATATCTCTCAATTTACTTTGAGTTTATTTTCTTTTCGGTTGATGATCACAGCTGTTATTTGTTGATCCATAAAGATAAGAATCGTGGCTAATAATGCAGGTAATAAAGCAGCGAGCCATAGGGTAACATGATTTTTGCCGAATGGATTTATCACCCAACCACGACCTAATTTCGTTGTTTCAAATTTCTGAGGTACGAGTAATTTCGGTGTGTCAAGACCAATCATATAATCAATGAAAACATTGATAAATATAGCTAAAACTACACCGAAATCGCTCACTTTCGAGCGAATCTAGACAGAAGAAGACTTTAATGAAAGTTGTTTTTCGAAGAAAGTTAATACGAACACTCATGGGTAAAAATCGACTGAATTTGAAATTCTTCAATACATATGCAAGAACAAATGTTGAGACAAAGAGAATAGTTGAAAAAAGAAATACATCAGGGATATAAGGCTTGTTTATTATAGTTGAGCATTCTTTTCCGAGAAATTTGTACGCTTGTTTTGCAAAACAATCCTACAAAATAAGAGATGTCATTTCTATCACATAGAAAATCATATTGATTACATTTATCGTTGCAGATGAATTGAATACTTGTGTTCCATTGACAAGCAAACAAGAACAATTTGGTGGTAAGGCATCCACTGTATTTAATCGTAAAGGTCTTTGTTTATTGATTTCAATCATTTTATCAAATGCTTCGTAAATGAAGATGATGCCGATCAGAGCGGCAAAACTCTCCTCTAAATATGCAAATTGAACAATAGTAACATCTTCTGTTTTGCAAAGAAAATAAGATTGAAACTTCCGGTGAAGGAGTATATTCATGTCGGTTTTGATCTGTTAAGTTAATTTGATCTTTGATTATACTCATGATCCGAAAAGGGAAAACGATCAATTGTCAAGAGAATTCCTTGTAAAACTAATTTAGAAATGATGATTATGAGCAAATTTGATTATCTTTAATCCTATTTGATATGTTGAGAAGATGATTTAATCGGAAGAAGAACAGGATATTTAGATTAGAAAAGAAAACTCACCCGTGAATCTTGTTATATATTTTACCAGATAACTCGCATCTGTAACAACCATGATTAACAGGATCGATGCCGTCCATAAGCCAATCCAACAACGAAAATTCATATAATCATGGCCATGAGATCTAAAAATAAAGATTATAATTAAAACCTGGTAAGTAATAACAGGGTTATCATAATCATACTGGCAAAAATGATTGACGATGGTTTCGAAAACAAGAACAGGACCAGTACTACCCAAGATTGTTAATGGCTGACCAGCAAATAAGTGATACAAACAACCACAAATGGCACCCGATAGGAGACTTTCAATTGCAGCCTAGAAAAACATGAATCTACAGCTGAGTATTTCGCTTCGATTGACTGTTACATACCATATTATTATCAGTTGCCTTACTTAACAGACCACCAAATGTAATAATCGGTGATAAACATGCAAAATAGAGAAATATGATTGCCGCAATCGATTGAAATGATATGGCGTCGGTGAAATCTGAGAGAAAGAACGGTGCTTTACGTTTAATATCAGTGATAAGGCCTCCGCAGAATCTAACTCATAAAATGAATGAATAGATGATAGTGTACGATTTAATATTCATTCGGCTTCTAACCTTCCTGTTCGTATCAAGGCTGGATCTAATTCATGTTCATGGTGTTCCATTTCGACCATTTGTGTGACACCATTTATCTTGGTTCGATCAAGTCGATCTTCCTAAACATGAGTATTTTGATCTTCTGAGGAATAAGGATTAGAAATTCGTACTTTATTTGGTACACTCTTCGGTGGTTCAATACGTGTTTTAGGATCCCATTCTCCAGGTGGTAAAACAGTGACATGATCAAGAAAATCATCAATACCTAGTAGTAGAAATGGAATTCATAAGAGGATTTCTTCTTATAGGAAACGATGCTGTTCTCAATCTCAATAGTGGTGTGTTCATTTCGACTAGTTTTGAACTACAGCACCTTTTTTGATTTAGTCACCTGCAAGCAGATCATCTCGATTTCGTGCTCGATAGGCAACATCGTGAAAAATCTAAACATGAAAACAAGAAATCAGAATTTGAATGTCTTCCGTTAGAAACCTACTTCATCAGCCATTAATGTTGCGATCGAACGGCCAACTTCATGATACCGTAAATGTTCATTACATGGTCCGAGTAAAATGAACAGAAAACGTGTTGGCAATGGAACTTCAATGAGATCGGGGAGTGTCACTCCTTTCCATAAACGAACGAATGCATAGATCGGTGTTTGGAGAAAATCCACAGCACCAACTAAGACATTTGTCGCTTCAGCGTTTGGCGGAACTTTTTTCATAAAATGTAAATTGATCTACGATTACCATGAGAAGCATTCATAGATAAATAGAATCTAGGAGTTATTGGCTTTCTCACCTTCGCACGAGATTCCGCAGTTAACAGACTAGCAGCTCCTTCTTCCGTCTCGATGAGACGTGGTTTCGATTGTTCTCCGGCGCCGACTAAAGCACAAGAATTATTCTTAGACATTTCGACAAGATTTTTTGACTTCATGCATCGGATTCCTTTTCTTTCGTTCTTTATTTTTCGTGCGTGTACCTACCGCGTGAAAGAAGCTCACGAGTGAAGGAGATAGTACGTAGTGTAGCTTTCCTACCACGGTAAAATCGTGTGAGGGCTGAAAATGACATAGGCTCGTACACACAATGCACAAAACACATGAATAATTGCAAACTACTAGAAAGATACCTGAGAGAAATTTGTCTGTAGTTATATCACCTGCTAATATGTTAAAAGAGTTTTCAAGTTCAATCTCAAATTGTTCTTTTTCTAGTCGAGATATTTTGTTGTCTCCTACCTTTGATATTATGCGATGAAGTTTGATGTGCACTCGCTGTTAAGGCTGAATTGCTTGCTGTTGCGGTAGTTGCCGGCGCCATTTGATCGACGCTTGTGATGGTGACATCTTTCTGCGAGCGATTCCGTGAAAATTCTGCTAATGAACGCGTAAATGGTAAAGGTTTTTTCATTTCTTGTGAATGTAAATGTCGATGAAATTCTTTTTCATGCTAAATTAACTCGCAATCTCTTTTCAGAAAAATAAACAAAGGAACAACAAACCTGATGCACATGCTTCAAAAGAAGAGCATTACGCACAACAGCGCGTTTTTCGGCTATTAATAAATTATTTGCGATCATATCATCCAGAATCATATCTAAACAAAATTCAATTTTTGACAGGAGATTCATTTCGTTGCTTTGCAATTCTTACCAACAATAGTCGGTAACTGTTCAGCGTGCATATCAAGTATGATACTTCCTTTCGAGATGAAATTTCGTAGTTCAAGTAGTGAATGTAATGATAAAGTGGCAACGTGTGGTTTACTCCATCGGCCACCACTTTCAACATCTTCTTCAAATTTCACCCATCTTGGAAGAGAAACGAATTCGATTTATGGAATAGTTCAGGATTGCGAAAATCATCTACCTGGCTGTTTCTTTCCATCCTTGATCGACTGACTCGCCAGCTTCGTTGATTTTTTCTCCATCGGTGACCAGTTCGTTCAGTTCAATGAATAAATCATGTGGTTTGTGTTCTTCGTCATCATCATCTTGATCTTCATCGCCAAGAAGAAATTGAACGCGAGCACTAGGATTTTCTTTCAAGCAAAAACGAAACAATAGAATCGAACGAATACGTTCCTTTGTCGCATACCGATCAGTGTTGAGTCAGCTGTTTCATTGGATGGAATTCCTCGAAACGACAATTCAGAAGCCTCCATTGCAGGACGTAATCGACGATGACGTCTTCTACGTCGTTGTTCACTTGGATTGTACGTTGCCAGATTTGGCTGATGATATACTGATTTATGTCGATCTAATCAAATTAAAATATGTATGTAAATAAGATAGACAAGACTGAATAAATGTGTCGAGATATTTACCATCGTCAGTTATTATGGGTCGAGCTTCATTCCTTCGAAAATCAGATATTGGAATGTTAGATGTCGACGCCGGATCTGAAGTAATTTGATCTGGATTGATTGGCAATGGCGAATAAGGTGGGAGTCCGCCGAGCGGATCAGACATGATGTCGTTCTTTCTGCTATCTTATTTTCTAGATAAACAAAATTTGGATAGATAATCAACAACGAGGGAAAACACAATAGACAGAGAAGAAAACTATATACAAATAATGATTTTCCTACGGATGTATTAATCATCAAGGAAGATTGATCTTACTTAATAAACTCGTTTGGCCAACTGGAAAGGCAGTTTCATTCATATAGAAAAAAGCTTTATCTAGACGTCAAAAAGACTTCTTTTAGTCTCGGAAAGAGAATAGCAAGAAAAAAAAAGAGATGCGTTGCCTTGGAAAGGTCATTGAGCGACCTTACTGAGATAATATGCAAGCAGTTGCACGCGCACATATATATTCAATAGGGTATAACTCTCAAGATGTCGATAAGAAATACAAAAAGAAAACGAAATATTACTGGCAATGTATATAAATAGAACGAACGCACTTACTAGTGAAATATGTACACAAATTGGATCTTTTACATTTGTTTGACTTGTAACTAACGAAGAACGAAAATAGTTCGATTCGTTTTCTCATTCGCAGATGCTTTATCGAGTTTTAACAAACACGAATGAATGTTATATAAACTATAGATTACATGAAGCCTGTACGTATTCATATACAATAAGTATGTTTGATCGCCTTCAAAGTCTTCATCTAATTTCTATTTGCACGTGTAAAGACACATACATGTCAAATAACATGTGCATACTGTATATACAAAAGTCCAACGCGTCGATTAGCACTGGATGACCGCGACTGCTGCTTATCAAAGAAAAATAGCTTGAAAGAAAAGTTTATCTTGAATCAAAATTCGAACGAGAAGACTAACTCGATAAACTTCTATGGCGATATGCAAAAAAAAATCGAATATGACACGATGTGCAAGAAATACGTTATACTATCTTTTGGCATGTCTGTGCGATTAGTTTCTTTCGCCAATCATCATCATCTCTCATTTTTTTGCTATTTCTTCTCTTTCTTTTTCTCTACGCCAGTCTCATCATCTTGCATTTTTGTAGTGTGTGAGGAAAAAAACCGATGACATCATCTATATCTAGCAAGAAAAAACCAGCTTGCTTTGCATTCTCTCTGTTTTCCTCGTCTGGTTTCTACCCGCTGTCTTTCTTTCTCTCTCGCACGCATTCTTTCTTTCTCGACAAGTTGCTGCTCCATTAATAATAACGTTAGCTCGAAGAATACTCGATAAAAAAAAGAGAGACGAGAATATTTCATAGAACTCATTGCCGTAGAAATATAATCACATAGCTCACACTTTTTTTTTACATAGAATGTTATTTTTGTTGATGAAAGATATGAAATCTTTCATAGAGCATTGTTCTTTGTAAATTTTTTATGAAAACAATATCGGCTGCCTTTGTATCACACAAGAACGGAAAAGCTGTTCTATCAGATAGATTCTCTTTTCATCAAACGCAAGTTTTCTCTGCATAAAACAAGAAACACATGTTTTAGTTCTGCTCAATTGAAAGCACGAATCAGAGAGGCTTACAAATGCCTCTTGTTGATGAACTGGAAGAGAGTAAATTAAATTCTTACGCTCGGTTGTCAATTTCAATTAGACAAAGTACTTCGATGACTTATTATTATTCACCGATTATAAACATACTACCCCTATCCTACATTTTACCTTCCAAATATAACTAGCACGAAGTTATCGCCGCCTAGATCGAAATGATGGATTCAATTTGCGAAGTACCATATGACGTTCGAATTTTTCGCATTTAAACTCTGTTACTGCTTTGCAACATTCATCCCATAGCATATATGCAAGGTCAGGCATATAGTGCACTTACTGTAAACTTTTTTTCTCCTCTCGGTTTGTGTCTCGTCGTCAGGAAAAAAGAAAAAAAAAATTGAATATACATATTGTTATTGTAAGTCGCAAGCATTGAGTCAAACAATATAATAATTATCAGATGTTTATTGTCTCAGGTTTGCCGCTTTGTTCTCTTGAAATGATTATCTATTAGAGATGAATCGGATTTGGAGAAGAGAGATGAGAAATTACCGAAAAGATTTCGATATTAATGAAGTTATAACACAACATGAGAATCTAAGTTTATTTTGTCAAAATACGGCTCTGTTTTTTTTTCCTCCTTTCTCTCCGATTATGTTTGTTATTTGGAGCTTAGACGGGAGAGAAAGAGACCGACTACTAACTCTGAATGCTGCTGTGAATATTCTCATTGAAAGGGAATCAAATATTTTTCTACTCGTTTCTATTCATTCGTTAAGTATATTACGAGATTCTTGTTGAGAGAGAGAATTGTACGGACATTTTCTACCCTTATTAGATTTCTTTCCATTAAACGCCGGAAGAGAAATGCATGACGAAGTTACCTTGATCTAAATGTCATAGATTTTGTTGTTTTCATCGATTATCATCTAGTCGACACCTATCTTGGAATGAGAAATGTTCAAAATATTTTCTTTTCAAGAAACCAATATCACGAAGGGAAAATGATCGATTGTGCAATCTACTTATTTCTTGTTTTGTCTTAACGGCTCGGCTCATTTTTATCGGATATTAGATTTTACATAGAAGTAGGTATGAATAATTAAAGGGAAACAAGTGTATATTTAGAGTAATGAATAACTTGAATGAAAAGAGAAAAACTAGATAAAATGCACTTGTTTATGATATACTCTTTTTTGCAAAAAATATAAGGATTTCTTCATGGAAGAAAGCTATTAATCAACGAGATTGATATGAAGTGAAATGTGTAAACAGATTGTCTGCTTCCATGAAAAACCAGAAGAATAGAAGAATGTTCTTGTGTATGTCTTGCAGACTATGTATTTGACTAATGATGTACTTCCGTCAAATTGTCAAACCGGAACACTAAGTTTTCGAGAGTTATTTCCAATTATATTTAAGCTCAATATTATTTATCGAACGAATTCATTTTACAAATGAATGCAAGGTTGTGACAATAACGGAAAATATGCTGAATGCTGTTCGAAAATTGTATATGTGGAAGAATTCCCTTTGATTATTGTTGATCGAAATTACGATGAATGAGACTTGATACTTAACTTGACAATGTGTTTATTTCATCCTAAGTATCTCTTGAAGTCTCTTTCTCTTATGATTATTCTTTTCAACTAGATCTGATAGTTTAGAAGTGGTTATTTGCAGACAAGTCAAGTGTCTAGCAGATCAACAAGCTCGAAACTGCAAATCTGTCAGGATTAAGTCAACAACACATTTATGATACTTAAGGAAAAGCTTCGACCATCCGAATAGGTGACGTGTTATCCGACACCAAATAATACTTCGTTGGACCAACCAAATTAGAAACATATAAATCAACAACATGTTCGTCAACTCAGAATGTAGCCCATAATTGATCTATTATCACGTTTTCTACGATAAACATAATATTGGTTTTTTGCCGGTGGCGAGAGTAATCTTTGCTTTTCTTTTGACATGAAATGATTCACAGTGTGATCTATTCGATTCAAATTTCTCGTCAGTATAGTCCTATCTGATTTCTCATTAATCTAACTATGACCTTAGGAGAAGATGAATTTTGAAAGCTGCCTTTGCTTTATATTTCTGACAAAGAAATTTTGATCTGTATTGATTATTATCAGAAGAAAAAATAAATGCTTGGATAAATTTGAGAGGAAGATTGGTTCTAATCGTCGTCAAGATTCATTTTTTGTCGACGAACAAGTTCGCGATAGATTCCGTTTTCGATCGTCATTAATTCTTCATGTGTGCCTTGTTCGATCAAGTGACCTTTGTGTATCACAAAGATTTGATCACAGTGTTCGATTGAGCTTAAGCGATGCGCGGAGATCAAAACAGTTCGTAGTTCTTGATTATCTTTGTTATAAAACAATGTGTCTTGGATCTATTCGAAAAGTAAATGTTGAAGTTCAGTTTTTTGGAGAGGGAACAATAGGTTTTACCAATCGTTCGTTGACGGGGTCTAGTGCAGATGTAGCTTCGTCTAACAGAAGTATCGTCGGCTTGCGAACAATCGCACGAGCAATGGAAACGCGTTGTTTTTGCCCACCTGATAAATGCCCGCCGCGTTGTCCACATCGAGTCTGATAACCATTAGTTAATGCAGTAATGAACATGTGTGCATTGGCATCACTTGCAGCTTGAATAATTTTGTCTTCGTCAGTACTATCCAGTGCGTAGATGATGTTTTCTCGAATTGTTCGATTGAATAGAACAGGCTCTTGACCGACCATTGCTATCTTTTGATGGAGATATTGATGATCGTATTCTTGAATTTCTCGACCATCAATCAAGATTTTTCCTTCAGTTGGATCGTAGAAACGCTCTAGCAAATTGATGCATGTTGATTTGCCTATTACAAATGAGGTTTGATCACATTTAAAGATCTATCAGTCGTTTCTACCTGATCCGGATGGTCCGACAAAAGCACAGGATTGACCAGCTTTGATCTTAAACGATATATTCTGAAGAAAAAGAAGATTTTCTTCTATTTCAATTCGTCAAACACGAAATTTTCTACTTGAATAGCAATTTCATCCGGTCGTGCTGGATAGACCAAGGAAACATTTTGAAATTCGATATCACCTCGTAAATTTTCTGGTTGTAATGTTCCATTGGGTTTTTGAACCGGTTGCCGATCCACAAATTCAAAAACAGATTGACTCGATCCAGCAGCTGTCATTAACGATGAATAAATCTGAGAAATATCCTATTCGAAATAGAAACATAAGTGAAGAACCCTCCGACAAATCTTCTCGTATGCTTACACTTAAAATTCCACCAAGTGTCAATTGATAGATGATAAACGCTAGAAGATCCGGTCCAGTTATGTAATTATCACGTACAAGCTTAGCACCATATGCAAGCATAACGATACTCATACATAGCTGAGCCAACTAAAGTGAACAATAGCAACAAATGTTCTTCTATTCAGTTGAATGACTTACATCGACAAACCATCGTTGTGCTGCAGTTAGAACAGCTTGTACGACTGCAATTTCATACGACTGTTGAAGAATTTGTTCGAATTTCTTTAATTCTTCATTTTCATTTCCGAAACTCCGCACTGTTCGGATGGTTTGAATGGTTTCATCAGCAATATCCGATGCATCTGCTGTTAAACTTTGAACTTTCTCAGATATGCGTCGATGAATTTTTCCACAAAGTTTTGCAACAACCAAGATCAACGGTGCACCGATAATGCACGCGATCGTTAAATGAATACTTAATTTAATCATCATTATAACCGTACCGACTAGACACGAAAAGACATATGTGAACAAGTTGACAGAAAATCTTGATTCTTCTTACGAAATCGAACTAATGCGCCGGCACAACATGCGATATTATTCGCCACAGTTGAACTCATCACTTGTGTATCATGATTGAGACGAGAGACTAATTTTCCACTTTCATTTGTATCAAAAAAGCCGATTTCTTGCCGTAGATACGCTCCAAATAGTTTTGCTTTTATACGCGCGCTTAGCCGAGATACACACAGAGCAAACACGCCCATTTTAAATCCTCCGAGAAACCCTCTACAAATCAAATCCAATAAACATCATCGTCTTCAATTTTTCTCCATACCCAGCGAAATTAACAACTATAAACATAATTAGATTATATTTAAATTCTGGCCATGTTTCTTTAAATGATACACTTGATAGAAGTCGTCCGGTGTACAAAGGAACAAACACATCAGCTAGAAACGAAAAAATTGTTTGGTGGATTGATTTGTAGAATACAAAACGTACCTAAAGAAGCTGCGAAGAGAAACATTGTTCCGACAGCGACTATTTTGGAATCTTCTAAACTGCAGCGAAAGAGACGCTTGAGAACTTGAAGTTCGTCGTTTCGTTGTACTGAAGACGCTAGAAAGTAACAAATCCAAATTGAATTACAAGTTTTAATAGGAGACATGTTAAGTTTATTTTCGTCATGCACATGCAAACTAATCTATAAACACTTACATTATCATAAATGTTAGTTTTAATTAGACTCAAGCTGTAAAATACAAAAATTTCGATTAGTAATCGATTGATTGTCTTCGAAACAGATCAACTAGTCCAACTCACCTTCATTTATTTTTGAACTAAACATTTCGATCCAAGCGTATTGTAAAAAACTCAAATCATCTCTTTCAATTCGTCGAATCCACAAGTACGCAATCAATGGCATCGATACTTGTTGAATGATGAATAATATCGTCCACGGATCAGATGAAAATTTGAGATAAGATATAACAAATGCTTGCTCAATCGCAGCAATGACCACAAAGAGATTTTTAAATGGATTCCAAAAGGATTTTTTCGTGTCCGAATCAACCTTCGCGTCGTAAGTATCGTAGATAACTCGATAGAAAAACGCGATGATCATTGCACACGCTCGAATTGATGTCAAGAGAATGAGTGCATAGTTCGAAAAACTCGCATAAAAGTCGAGTAGAATAGTCACTAAAGCTCCAAATGTAATAAAATAGACGTGACGAGAAATTTCCATCTAAAATATAGCAAGATTTTATTAAAAGGAGAAGAAATGAGATAAATTAGGAATTATTCAGACGTAAATACATGCTATTTTGCATCGCATTCAGTGCATTTCGTTCGACTGGTTTGCCGACTGCGAAAAGCCAAACATCAAATGCGATGCCAATGAGGGAAACGAGATTTTTGACAAAAATTAATATGAGATACAGATATCCATTAGATAATGGATTGCCATTGAATGAGAATAACACAAAAATTAAAAAGATCACAAGTAAAAGACAAAATAGTCGATGGCGTTGAATACGTTGAATGGATTCTTCAACAATAATACACGCTGCACGAAGATTCTCACGTGTCTCTTCGTCCAACGATTTCTGAATTTGGTTATCACCCGGTTTTTGATTGGAAGTTTTCTTCTCAACTTCGAATAAAGCATAGACTGCTAAATGATCGGAATAATAAAGACCAGTGGGGCTATTTGGAACCTTATGCAATGTTGGATATGCTTCGATGCACTTCACACTATCTAAAATATCCTTTCAGATGGGAAACAATTGAACTAGATAAACAAAAACGAACCATTTCGTGCTTTGTAAAGAATATAATCAATTCTTTGACCTTCACCTTGGTACGGATGGGGCTTAACATACGGGTTATCAGGTAAATCACATGTTTTTCCATTAATTCCAACAGTCGGGTCAAAAACGTCCTAGATGAACCAATCGATGTCATTTACAGTATCATCATTGTTTCCTTTCTCGACTTACCTTATTAATACGTTGAAGAAAAGAATCATTTAACTGAAGAATACCTTGAATAAGTTTAAAACCTAAATCATCACTAGTTAAGTTTAAGTCTCCAAGCAGAATGGTCATATCAGTTGTATCAGCTGCTGATGTACTTTCGATAAATTGAATTAATTCATATGCTTGACATATTCGGTGTCCTAAATAGATATCTTTCGGTATTACGTGATGATAATTCGCATGTAAATGTGTATTGTACACATTCACGACATATCCATTGACAAGAATCTTGCATAGACCAATCAATTTTCCACAAAACCAATCACCATGTTGAATTTTATGTGGGAAACCTAAAGAAACTACCATCAGCACGATTCTCTTACGACGAAAAGCATCTAACACACACACACACACACTCTCTCTCTCTTCAGATCAAATCTCACAAACGAATGGATTACGCATCGCTTTTTTACACACCATTCAAAGTATACCGATGTTCGAAAACACCTATGATTGGATGTTTCGAAAAAATACAACAACCAGAACCAATAAGGCCGCTCAAAAAGTAGTAACTATGCGGATAAATACTCTTTAATTGATTGCATAAGTATTTATAATCACTTTTACTCCAAACCTAAATACAACCAAATCGATTGAAATTGAAATAATTTCAAAAATTCTTTTACCTCTTGTAATCCAATAATATCATAATCAACATCAAGATTTGTTAGATGTTCAACTAAAGCTTGAATGCGTTGATCAATCAATTTGGCAATGAAATGGACACCCCAAATATTCAATGTTAAAACCCGTAGTTGCATCGTATAGGTGTAGTCTAGAATACAAATGTATGGTGATGTGTGTTTGCTATTTCTTATTGTTCTGCTTGGTTAATTTTGCACCTGCTGATTCTTTTCGACTCTCGCGAGTTTGAATTTATTGAAATAAAAAAGAAAGACAAAAGAAAAAGCAGTAAACATTAAGAAAAATGCTAACAGAATGTTTTAGTTTCAATTGGAATTGGTTGTAGGTTTGTCTCCACTTCCCTTTTCCGTTTTCTTTTCAGTGACTGTCGCAGTCGAAGTGATATTCTCGCCTTTTTCAGCATCTGAATTTTGTATTTTATTCATAATTAAATTATGCAATGCGATGATCGAACGAATCAATGATGAAAGATACACCAGTAACATTTCATCGTTAGTTTTAACATAAATCGATTTAATTAAATCTTGATGGGTTACATCTGGTAATAAATTAAACATATCCTGGATATGAGATAGAATTTGATGATTTAATGGCAGTTTATTTGCTAAGAGTTTGTCCAAATAAGCACGAACATCGTATAGACTTTTGGTTAGACCTTTGAGACCCATTAATTGATTTGTTATACGTTGTGAAAGCGTGCCAACGGTTGCATTACGAATGTCACTATACGTGTGGATGTTTTCAGGTGAAAAATGAAATGAAAGATGAATTCGACCTACCGGAGAAGATGTTCAACACCGACTTCTTCAGCTTCCTCGGCACCGATTTCCGACGGTAAATGTTCGAAGGTTTTTGATGCTGGAGTTCCATCCTGGAAGCAAATAACACAATACAAATCAAGGTAAACTTCTTCTTAATAGTCTTACATCGTGTATTTCCTCCACAGCAATGTAAGCTTCAGTGGGTAGACCTAAGTCTTTTGGTTTAGCATCGATTATAACTAAAACCGAATCGGGATGATATCCTCGAATCAGTTCATTGATTGAAATATCATTTCGATGTAATTTTGGACCCGTGTGATACCATCCAACAATACGTTCTCGAGCTAAGAAGAACATTTCATGTTATCAATGAAATATTCGTAAAACGATGCTTACCGTTGACTTTTCTAAACATTGTATACATATTTTCTAAATATTCATGATCAAGAAACCAAACATCTTTTTCTTTTTCTTCTTCATCGAATGGTACTAAAACAAACACGAGATGTGAAATTAGTATGGAATCAGAAGAACTTACGTGCAAAACTGTTGGAAACATCCAGAATTTTATTCTTGAGGGAGCCAAGTAAGACTCCGAGGACTCGTTGAGAATTACCGATTTTACCCATACGATTGAAATGATCAACAACACTTAAAAGTACTAGTGGGTGAACCACAACTTTTTCAATTTTACTCAACGGTGACATCGATAGTTGTGGATTTTTCTCATTTGACACATTATTTTCGTTGGAGACGGAATTCTCCTCAGTTGTCTTTGTGGATGGGGGTGACATGATTAGATCTAGAAAGAAATACTGTTGTTTATAATTTGCACTCGCGTTCGCTTAGAAACAAATGATCCAGATGGCAGAGAAAATATTGACTAAAAACAAACATTTCCTATTGGTTCACGCGTATAACCAATAAGAAATCGTCTCTTTGTTTGAACATTTCAGATATTCTTTTGCAAAATCAACCAGAAGTATCATGTCTATGTCATCTAAAGCAGCAGATATTTTTCTTGAAACCGGCAGTGCCTTCAAACGTATTGCTGAGTTAACCATGGAATTAGTCGATCCAAATGCTTCGAATCGTTTGTCTGGTTCATCGACAGGAACATCACAGAAGATCGCAATTGATTCTTCAGAATTACGACGACTTCGCGATGCACTTCAACGCTTTTCATCAGATCTTGACGCTGTTTCGCAACGAGTTAATACAAATCGAGAAGCAGCCACAGCACCACAAGAAGTTGAAAGATTAATGAGTTTGAATTCAATCGAAAACAACCCCGAAGAAGAACCAATCAAATCTGAAGAACCATCTGAACCTATGGATAATCAAACAGCTGTACCAATGACTGCTTGATATTTCTACTCTGTTTATATCTGTGTTTCTTTTTTGTTACTAACAAAGCAAATGTTCGGAATTGATCATTGTACATGTAAATTATACTAGAAGAAAAACAGTCGATTCTTGTATAAATAAGATTGTTTATCAAGCTCTAATAAAAGATATCAGAATTCTTTTTCTTCCAGAAATAAACAGATCCATTGTGATGAAAGTAATGAACTTCTTGTTTTAGAATGGACAGTTCACGTTCATCATTACCAAATGTTGATCGAGCGAATTCAACATTATTTAAACGTTATCTCGATGAACAGCATAAATCAGTAGACAAATCGAGTCCGTATCAAACAATTTCACGTCCCATAAATTCGACTATACAAATCACTCACACACATCGACAGCAGCAAGAGACATACACAACAAAACTAACTGATGCGAATACCAATCTTCAGCAGATTGTAATCAAACGCAAGTATTCGAATAGCCGAAAACCTTCTGCGGATTCGTCGAGGCAGCGGACATCACACACGAGTCGGTTTATGAAGCGATTTCAACGACAACATAAAACGGGAGAAACTACCACAAATGTACAAAAACGTGGTGAGTTAAAGAAAAGAGAAAAGAGCTAAATATCAAGCAATCCTATGATTGATTTGCTCAGATGGGCGACTTCTCTTCGAATTTCCTGAATCACTCACGTCGAATCGAATCGATCATAGTCAAATTTGTACATGTCGTGCTGTGTCAGATAAGAGACCAGGTCATCATCACGATCATAATTGTCCTTTAAAACGAACTCAATTGCCACGACTTTCGTTAAACGAACTTTTTCATACACCATCTGACCAACGACAAGTTCCATCACCAACGAAACTTATGTTACCATCCGCAACTACCGATTCTTTGCGGCAAAGTAAAATTGGTCTGGGTATGCACTATGAAAAATGACATTTCGTTATTTAGTATCGATTTCCAATCGAGTGAATCCATCCGAACCCAATTCTTCTGCTGAACCTTTAATGATCACTAATAATGCTGAAAGCGAAAGTTTTCACTTTGCTAATCCATCGATTTCGATATCCGATGAACAGTGGCCGTTGATTAGCGATCTTTTGCAAGAACTATCGACTGAAATGACTGATAAACCAAATGTTGATATCCTTTTAGAAATCGAGGAGTCCCTTGCTCAACGTATTTATGATTGTATTGTTGAACAAGAAGATAATGACAATGAAAATGACACTCAATCGTATTCAACATTAACTAACGATTCATCTGCGCTCTCAGCACCAGCACCAGTCAATAATCCAAATAATTTACCTTCATCACCTATAAATACGATAACTACACGTGAACCAATAGATAATAAGGATAAATGTAGGATACCAATGAATGTATGATGATCTTTCGTAAAGCATTCTTCTAGATTTTCAACCGATTCGTGAACAACCATCTTCATCATTCCAGAGATTACTCGATCAAAGTATTCGTTGTTGTCCAACCAAAATTTGCTTGATTTCGTTCTTGATTTAGATCGACATTCCACACCATTCAATCCCATAACAAATCAAATTTCGACTGGTCTCTCGTCTCATTCATAATCGTAGATTTATTCTCTTGTCTTTTCTTAGATACTCGATCTCCCTTCGCTCAATCTCTATTCGAGCCAGTGAATCTCTTGCGAACAGTTGCATCTAGTGACGCTGAAGATTTTAATTTTTTTCGTCCATCATTTACATTTGAAAACCCATCGACTTCTCAAACAAATCTCGTTTCCACTCAACAATCAGCTCATTCTCATTCGGTATCATTTCCCAATCATCTTCTTCCGCCACGACCAACTCCTCTTGATACTACGACTCTCTCAGCATTCAAACCCATTGAACCAGCGAATATTCGGCCAACGACTTCATTCGCGTTGAAGAGACCACAGATGATCAGTAGTACAACAGTGATGGATTGGTTCGGGCAAAGTTAAGATCGATGGAGAACATCTCGACTTCTTTCCTAGATTGATTTTTCGATATTTGTTTTGTTCTCTTGGTTATTGGTGATTGATTTTGTGAAATCCCAATAAACAATGAATAAATTTCTGATCAGAATTAGTCAATAATATTTAACTTCAAAATTCTTTTTTTTTATTAATCCCTCGTTATGACCTATTTATCTTCAAAAAAGAAGATAAAACAACGAATAGAATTGAATGAAAACAAAAAACAAAACAAAGAAAATCAATGTCTACATGCGCATCTATCTTCGACGATTGAAGATAAAAACTAACGGATAACATCATGTAGCATTCAACAATAACAAAAAACCGTTCAATATACGAAAAACAAATTTGAGAAGTTCATTTTTTTTAATTATTCGGCTGCTGCAGGCGTTGCACGTTTTGTTTGGTAGGCAACTTTCAATTGTGTACCTTTGAGTGTTAATGATGGGCCAAGTTTAATCGCAGCAGCTGCAGAATTATCATCAGGAAATGTGACAAATGCGAAACCTGGGCGGACGCCTTTGTTAGTAGCTTTAGCTGGAAATACTTCAATTTTGTTGGCTTTTGGGAAAAGTTTCTTCACATCGTCTTCAACGACATTTTCGGGAAATTGGCCGACGTAGATTGCATTTGTTGAAAGTTGTTTTTCTAGATATGAAGAGAAGAAAAGATCGTTGAGAAAGCGCTCTGTTTGCAATTCACTCACCTGATTTGTGTTTTTCTTTTTTTTGTGGTTTTTCATTCGCTGGTGTTGCTTTTTTATTGGTATTATCAGGTTTGTTTTGTTTTTGTTCGGGTTTTTTGTTTGATTCATTGTTGTTATTTTTTTGTGGTTTACCAGTTTGAGCAAATGCATAGGAAACATTGACTTTCTCTCCACCGATTTGTGAATGAGCGCTAAATGCTTCCGTAGCATCAGTTTCGTTGGCAAATGTCACAAAAGCAAATCTAGAATGTTAACAAAGTAAAGTTTTACAATAGAGAGACTCTTTCATGACGGATACGTACTGAATAGTTTTCTGATTTGGACCGACTTTGCGCTTTTGCATTTTAACTGTTGTCGATTTAGGATAAAGCGATTTCAAATCGGATACAGAAACGCTTTCTTTGATGGAATTGATAAACAATTGTGTTTTGTTCAATGGTTTATCAGCAGCTGGTGTAGATTGTTTGTTGTTTTGCGCGGGTTTTGGTTGAGGTGTTGGTTTGTTGTTTTGTGCTGGTTTTGTTTCGGTTTTAGCTGGAGTCGATGATGGCTTTTGTTTTAAAGCAGATTTGAGTGGTTTAGCTGGAGGTTTAGATTCCTCTTCATCGTCATCGTCATCCTATGGTGAGATTGAAGTTGTAGAAATTCGATTTACATGCGGAAAAGGAAGCAAAGGACTCACATCATCTTCGTCATCGCTGTCAGCCGATGGTTTATTCTACAAAGGAATAGGTTTATTGAGGAGAAAGTAGAGATTAGCACTAACTTGTTTCGAAGCGGGTGCTGATTTTTTCGCAGGTTTTTGATCTTCATCATCATCGTCATCGTCGTCATCTTCATCGTCATCATCATCTTCGTCGTCGTCATCATCATCATCGTCATCATCTTCACCAAAATCGAGCTGGAAAAGCGAAATTCATCCCACTATTTTAACATTATGGAGTTCTTACTTCTTCATCATCGCTATCGTCATCATCGTCATCTTCATCATCATCGTCTTCAGTTGGTTTTCCTTTGCCTTTAATTCCATTTTTGGCACTGATTGCAGATTCATTTTTAGGTTTCTTCGCTTGTGGACCTACGATAGAGTGAGTTTTATGTGTTTTGGTTCAGTTTAAAAGACAATAACAAACCTGATTTGTCGGCGCCATCAACTGATCGCTTTTGAACTTCGTTTGGTTTAGATTTATTCGCGACGGCTTGATCAGCATCTTTGGTCTTTTTCTGAGCTGAAGTATTCATGACAGTTGGTTTAGTCAATTCTGGTTTGCCCTTATTTTTATTCTGATTGACTGCTGGTGTTGCTTTTTTAGTTGGATTTTCATCTTCTTCATCTTCGTCGTCATCATCATCATCATCGTCGTCGTCGTCGTCGTCGTCATCATCATCATCGTCATCATCATCATCTTCATCGTCATCTTCGTCATCATCATCATCTTCTTCGTCTTCAGCTCCTTTCGCTGCGGCTTTGTTCTTTAATATATACAGTCAATTTATGCATAGTTTATGTAAAGGTATTTCGAAACTTACTCCTTTGCCACCTGCTACCATTTTTGCAACAGTTTTTTTAATACTTTTTTCATCTTCTTCATCTGATTCATCTTCTTCATCATCATCGTCTTCATCATCATCTTCACCTTCACCTTCGAAATCCATCTAAAACAAATCAAATATCATTCATTATTCGCGCTTTGTTCTCTAGTTACCGATTCATCATCATCTTCTTCGTCGTCATCATCAGAAGCAGCTGGTTTTTTAGCTTTGGCGTTGGCACCGTTAGCAGCTCCGTCACCTTTGAGTTTTTTAGCTTTGGGACCTAGAAAACATTAAGACATGTCATTCCAATGAAATTTCACGTGCAAAACAAAACAAACCTGATTTGTCATTGCCATCCGATGATCGCTTTTGTGGTTCAGCACGTTTGTTTTGAAATCCGACTTTGAGCTGTGTATTCTTGAATGTAGCACCTTGTTTCACAGCTGCAGCTGCTGAAGCATCATCAGGGAAAGCAAGGAAAGCATGTCTGTGCATAGATAAAGATTGTTAGAGATTTGGAAAACAATAGGAAAATATGACTAACCCCGGTCGGGTCCCTGCAGCTGGTGTGATTTCTATCTTTGATGCTTTTGGAAAAATTTTTTTCAAATCATTTTCTTGAACATCGGCTGGTAATTGTCCAACGTAAATACTATCGGTCATCATTTCACGCTCTAAATTACACAAGTACACGTCAACCGTTCTCAGGACTAAAAAAATCTTACTGGTATCAAAGGATCTACTTCCACCACGACCACGATCTTGACCACCACGGAAAGGTTTACCTCCTCCGCGGCTACCACCTCGGCTGTCACCGCGGTTTCCGAATCCTCCACTACCACCTCGGCTGCCACCTCGGCTGCCACCGCGGCTTCCGAATCCTCCACTACCGCCTCGACTGCCACCGCGACCTGAAAGATTTAAAAAAGTTATACTCTGTATACCAGTAGTTCATATTTTACCTCTTCCACGATCGCCACCGCGTCCTCCTCTGAAGCCACCACGACCTCGATTACCGCCGCCGCCTCGTGAATTATTTCCAAAACCCATAATTAAACAATTAATGAATAAAGATGACGATTAATCTATAAGAGAGACAGAGAGAAAACAAAACATCCATTCAATTTTCAAATTCATCAAACAGTTTTACATAGTATTCAATCAGGCATGAGTTTTGAGTTCACTGATTGTAATCAGTACTCAGACTGCATTGATCAATAGATTTCTCTCTCGGCATGATCAGAATTCCAAACTTAAAACTGGCGAAAAGATTATTCCGATTGCCGAAGGAAGATTTTTCCTAATGAGGGTAACAAATTCACAGGGAGGAAAAACAACAATACAGAGCACAGCTTGCTTCCATCGATTGAAAAAATACGCACGAATAGCGTACAAATATCGTGAAGTTAACTTAAGTCCAATAAACAGAATAGTAGATCTCGGTAAAATACGACTGACCAGTAAAAATCTGCGAAACCTTCACAGTTCGTTCGATCGTTCAAAGGTTACACAAGTCTTCAAACAAATTCGCTTCTAATTTTATTTCAATGATCAATTTGAAAAGTTTTCAATTCTTCAAAGCTTACTGTAGTAAAGAAATTATAAACAACATTTAGATGTCGCTAGCAGCTTACTTCACATTTACATATAAATACGAAAATTCATCATCACATTGTATTCTCCATCACAACGTCTGTTCGAGTTATCAAACATTGTTTTCCAAGTTTCGTTTGAAGGAGATCCTTGATGATCTCAGTCATCATCACTTCTTTCTCGTCCACGGAGTCATTGGCAATGAAACCAATAACGAATTGAATTTTTTTACTTGAATCGTCCGAACCTTTTCTTTCTTCTGGTATTCCTTTGAATGTCAAACCTTCGTCCATAGTTTCATTTGTTTCTGTTGATTTTCCATTATCCGCTGCTGAATTCTGATAATAATAATCCGTTTTCGATAAAGACAACGAACGCGTCTGATCTTCATCATCTTCGAAAACTGGATTATCCGAATACTTCTCGTTCAAGAACAATTTTCGCGTATAAACTCGTTGATACTTTTCAGCAAGTACAGACACCAACATCGACACGACAGATATACCGAAAATCGCACACAATGATGCCAATGCACGCCCTAACGGTGTCACTGGAGACAGATCCCCATACCTATGTGAACAATTCCGAAGTTCACGTATTTATCCAACTATCACATCTTACCCAACAGCTGTTATTGTCATGATTCCATAGTAAGTTGCCTTTGGGATCGAATCGAACATGTCCTGATTCATGGCATTTTCTGTAAAGTAAAAAGCGGCACCAAATAGGAATCCGCTGAGTGAGAGAAAGGTGAGAATGATAATAAAATCGGGCAATGATTCTTTTAATGTACTCGCAAGTATACGCAATGATTTGCTACTTTTGAAAACACGGTAAAGTTTGAATATGCGAATAAAACGTATCATACGAAGCAGGCGTAAAACAAGATAAACATTCGAATCAGTTTTATAATGAAGTCGAACAAGAATAATGATTAAACGAATATAGAACGGAACTAAACAAATCGAAGAATAGTTCAATAGTTATAGGAAAAGAAATCTTTTGGATAGATAATCACCAATCGCTAGGATATCGATCCAATTAAGAATGGATTTCAGAAATTGCAAGTACGATGGACAGGACACCAGACGAAGAAGAAACTCCAGTGTAAAAAAACCAATGCAAATCGCTTGAATTATATAAAATGGAGAAGTAAATATATGTTGACATTGATAACCTTTTAATGTTCCATTCGTATTCACCGAAAATCCTATGAATCAATGTAATTGAAACGAAAACTCAAAGAGTATTCATTTACCATCCGCTTCATATTGACATTGATCAGTTGTTGTACGATGATAAACGGGTAATGTTTCAACGGCTAGACCTACGGCTGATAAAAGAATGAAAAATAAAGAAATAATATTGATAATCTTGGCTAAAAACGAATATTGCGGGTATTCTAATGTCGTCCAAAGAAAACGACGGAGACGATTTTTCGGTAAATGAATGATTTGTGCTTCTTCTAAATTTTCAGCTTGTTGAACTTGCTCGAGCGCTTGTGGGCCCAGATCGAAGAAAATTATTTCCTCCAAAAACGTATCTAACGGAACATTTTCGGGTCGACGAAGACGTCCGTGTGATTGATAATAGTACAAAATCGCTTCGAAACATAACCGATGTCGATCAAAAAAGTATTCATCCTGGCGTTTATGGTAGAATAATGCTCGACGACGATGATCACCAAGCAACGTCTGTGGATAGTGTTGAAGTGTCGAATCTAGTGTTTCAAATCGCAGTCCACTGATGTTGAGGACAACACGAGAATCGTCTTTACTCTCATCCCGACTTTGCGCATGCGATAATTGAGAAAAGAATGTGCGACGAAGATCAATGATACTTTGAGTATGTCCTAATCTTTAATAGTAAGACAGAAAAGTAAAAATACAATTGTCAAAGTGAATTTTATCGATACCCGACAGTTGATCGACCTGTCCATTTGGGTTTCTTATAGATATTTTGATTATTTGACATTTAGAATAAATGATTTCATTAATATTATCTAATCAGAAGCAAACAAAAATCCTTTCAACGCATTCGAAGGAGTGAAACAAGTGTCAATACCAATCGCTTCTCATTTAAAGTTTATATTACTTTGAAATGGAATCGAATAATAACCTATTAACAAGCGTTTTTGTCTTCAATGACATTTCACTTGTAAAGGTTTCAAGCACGAAAATAGAATAGAATATCTATCGTATATTCGATCTACCTTGAGTACGAAGAACGGGATCATCGTAAACGAGTTTACTCAATTCATCCTTTGAAAGTACAAATTCACTTCTATTGTTTCTACGTCGCAGAATTAAATTTCTTTTCTTCTTCGAATTATGCTCATAGATTTTCAACAAAGATTACAGAGAGATAACACGAATAGTTTATTTCCATAAAACATTTCTGAATATTACACATCGATGATCTGACTAGATTAATTATCTTTATCATTGTCTGTTTCTGAATCGTTATCTGTGTCTTCATCAGATACATAACCAATAATAAACCGCACTTTTCCCGACAAATGATCATTGCTTTCTTTTTCTTCTAATTCATTAGACAAATCTTCATTATTGTCACATTTGCTGTTGCCTTTGATTTGACTTTCTAAACATTCTCCAGTACGATTTGTCGGTAGTGGTGGGTCAGAAAATAGAATTTTGTCGGTATAATCTTCTGTAAGAAAACGCTTGCGTGTAAACACTCGTTGATATCGGTCGACAAGAACTGAAACAAGCATCGAGACAATTGCCATGCCGTAGATAGCACCAAAACATGCTAAACCTCGGCCAAGTGGAGTTACAGGAGTTAAATCACCATATCTAAGGAAAACAGCGAATTTTCATGTTAAAAAAAATAGAACATTCTTATTAAATCTTTTAACCTTTGTAAAGATTCTTAAGACCTATGAAAGATCTGTTTTTTTTTCATGTGTATTTACCCGACTGCTGTTAAAGTAATGATTCCGAAATAAATTGCTTTTGGTATTGAATCATATACAACTTCATTGACATCATTTTCAGCAAAGTAGATCGCTGCACCGAACAGAAAACCACTGATGGTTAAAAATGAGAGTAGAATAAGAAAATCAGGTATTGATTCTTTCAATGTACACATAAGCACACGTAAAGATTTCACATGTTGAAACATTCGATAAAGTTTAAAGATACGCATGAAACGAAATATACGTAAGAGACTGATGAAAAAATAAGTTTGAGGCGAAATTTCCCGATGAAAACCGAGAAGATTGATTGTCAACGTAATGTAGAAAGGAACTAAACAACTCAAGATTGAATAGAATTTATTACAACATAGTGTTTACCAATAGCAAGAAAGTCGATCCAATTGAGCGCCGATCGAATAAATTCAATACAGGATGGACAAGATATCACCCGTAGACAGAATTCGATTGTAAAAAATATTATACAAATCGATTGAATGATAAAGAATGGCGATTCAAAATTGGCTGGACAGAGATGAGGAGTCGATGTGTTGTTACTTGCAATTAACAAACCTGAAATAAATCCAATTACTAGCAAGTTGTGAAGTCTGTAAATTTCTCTTTCAATACCATCTCCTTCTTGTTCGCATCGATTGTTATATGCAAGTCGGTATTTCGGCAAAGTTTCGACGGCCAGTTCGACTGCAGATATTAAAATGAATAGAATTGAAACGATATTGATAATCTTTGCTGTCATGGAATATTGCGGATATTCTAAATTTGCCCACAAATGACGAAAGAAACGGTTCGTTGGCAAGTGAACTTTTCTAGCTAGTTGTAAATCTTCATCTTTCCGAACTTGTTGGAGTGCATCGGCACCTAGATCGAAATAATTGATTTCTTCTAAAAATATATCCAATGGAACATTTTCCGGTCGACGAAGACGTCCGTATGATTGATAATAGTACAGAATCGCTTCGAAACATAATCGATGCCGATCGAAGAAATATTCGTTCTGGATTTTATCGTAGAACAGCGCTCGACGACGGTGATCACCAAGCAATGTTTGCGGATAGCGATCAAGTGTTGTTTTCAATGTTTCGAAACGAAGACCAGCGACATTGATTACAACACGAGAATTGACTTGACCATCAGATTTTCTTCGTGTTTTGAAATATAGTTGATCATCATCTCGACGTTGACGTAAATCGATTATACTTTGAAGATGTTCGAGTCTGAAGTAATAAAACAAGTTAAAAACGTCAAAAAGATCTTAGATTGACTATATACTCTGTTGCTGTTTGACCACTCCATTTCGGATTTTTGTAAATTGTTCGAATACTGAATGAGACAAAATGAATAGTATGATTTTCAAGAGAAAAGCAATTCTCTACCTGAATTTTGTCATGTTATCGTGTAAAGATCATTCATCATCATAGAAAAGGGAAAGAGAAGTAAAATGAAGGATATGCATCTCCAATCGACCGTGTCATTCAATTGAAATTTTTCCCATGGGAATTAAAATGAGCTGTAATGGAAAGATATATGAACCAATCAAATCGAAGAAGAAATTCTTCTTTCTTTTTTCGAATATTTCAGTTTAAAGTACAACCTATTACTTTTGAATTAAAGAATACAAGCATATTTATTATCGTTAAAATAGTCTATGAGTTCAACCTTTGTCATTTTGATCAGAGACAATGGAAAGTTCATTAAAGTTGTGCTCAATCACAATAATCTCTCGATATCATAAATTCCATCGTACGCAATTCATGTTTTTCTTGATTGAACATCACATGTTTATTTCAACATCATGATTTTCAAAAGGTATTCTATGGCATGAAATGACCAAAAACACGCTTCATTATAGAGCACATTGTACAAGACATTTGCTTCCTAATCAGCATTTATTCTGCACTTGGACCTTTGAACTAAACGAACAGTAATTACTGTGTTAAAGAAGAAAAAGAATAAGTGGCGTTTATCATTGATTGATGGAAAGCATTCCACCAATGACAAATTTCTCTTTTTTTCTTTACATGACATTTCTTTTATTATAGGTTTTTCGTCGATAGTAACTATGTATACAGAAGACGATATTGAAATTTTTCTTAAAAAACTTCATGAATATCAAAATCAAGCATCACTCAGTAAGAAGCATCGTTTGTTTTCTAATCTGAATTCGTTTGTTGATTTAGCTGATGAAAAACAATCGTTTATATCGACCATTGACAAAAATACGTTAAAAGATCTCGTTCAACAAGATTCAGTTTATCGGCATAAAGCTATTCGACTTATCGCTGAAATTTGTAAAGAAGGTTTGTTGAAATCATTGTGACGACTCCAATGGTCAGCTTTTCTATTCTCGTAGAATCCGTCCGTAAGGAATGTGTGCAATTAGATTTCGTCTCTCCGCTCAAGTCTTGTTTACAATCGAATAATCTTCAAGAAAAAGTCGAATCATGCCGTGCGATCGGAAACATGTGTTATGAAAATGGTGAAATCGATCATTTTGCTCAAATGAATTCCATTCTCTTTCTTTCGCTTCAGCTGATGGTTGTGAATTGGTATTAAACACAATTGGCGTCGGTATTCTATTCGACATATGTCGATATGCTTGCCAAAGACCTGATAATGCACAACTGCGGATGATAATCTTAGGTGCATTACATAATATCATTAATTCGAATGGTAAATAAAAATAAAAATTAGTTGGATCGAATTGATTTTTTACTTTGTTTTTGAAGAGAAAGTCGCAGAAGTGATATTCAAGGAAGATTTATTCAAAATTTTTCTTCTGTTTATGCCATATTTATCGGAACCGAGAGTTTTACTGTTTTTGTTTTCAATTTGTTCGAATTTGACCGAATACGATACAAGTATGAACGAAAAGAAGGGTTTCGAATTGATTTATTGTTCATCTTCAGATTGTCAACAGCTGCTCGCCAGTCATTTGTTAGCTGAAATTGGAAATCATATAACCGAATCGGACATCTATGAAAATCGGACAGTGATTTTACCTTATCTACTTGAAGCTTGTGAAGAAGGTTAATATCTGAAACATTTTTTGGCTACAAACTAATCGAGATTTCCTAGATGGTGTCAAAGAAGAACTATGCTCATCACTATTTTATTACAAACTAATCAGTTTATGTGAAAAATACGATGGGAAAGATGAAGAATTCCTTCGTGAAACATGTTACATTCTTGTTGTTCTTATTACAACCGGTTTGTGTGCTCTGTTCATTTGCTACAAAGCACCGTTTATGATCATTTAGATAAATCTATCGATCAGTTATTAAGTTCTAAGCAACATGACCTACTCGAATATGGAATTTCTTGGTTAGAAAAGACAAATCTACAATTGACGATGACCGGTGCATTGATCATAACAAACTTAACGCGGAACGATCAATCAGCGATTAGTCTCTTAGCGGATCAACGCAAACCTCATGTAAAGTTAGTTGAACAGTTAAAGAGGTTTTCAGACCAACTAGAAAACAAACTGGAATTAATGACTGATGAACAAGCGAAAGCTGCGCATGGAATCTTAGGCGCGTTAAGAAATCTCGCTGTACCAGGTAAATAATCATCTAGAAACTCGATGCGTCATTCCAACGGAGATTTTTCAGTTGCCAACCGACCGTTATTAGTCGAAAGTCAGGTTTTGGATCATGTCACCCCATATATATTTACAAAGAATTTCAACGGTGAAATTGCTTATAAAGGTAAAATATATAATTGATTAATTAATGAAATAGATGGTTTTGTTCAGCAACCGGTGTGATTCGTTTTCTTCTTCGTGATGCAAAAGAATCTTCGAAGTTAATAATTATCAAAGATGCTAATCTACAACAAATCGTTGCTAATAGTAATTCAATGCATCCCGGTGCACAGTGTAAAGATTTCTTTTCGATTCAAAAGCACGCGACGTGAAACATAGTGTTCTTTTAGTTGAATCTCGTCGTGTATTATTTCTTTTACCCGTGGCTTTGAAAACAAATGAAGTGATCGAATCTTTAGCACGAAACAATGCATTTCCATTGATCACCTCGACATTGGCTTCGTGTGAAGTCCAAGCAAATCGTGGAATAATTCAAAATGAAGCACTGATTGCACTGAATATCATCATGATGTTAGCAAACCGTATGTAAAATCAATGAGAAAAGTCAGATGTATGATTTAGTCGTTATAGAATCGATTTGTGAGAAACTTCAAGAAGCGAATTTTCATGACAATTTTAAAGAATTCTTGAAACAAGATATTCAACATGCCGAAGTGGTTAATAACATTCTTCAATTGATCCATTTGATCAAAAGACAAAGTAATTAATCGAATATTCAATTCAAATGAAACAATTTCGAACTTTTCTAGAAAATTTTCTCACAAACGAACAACTACACGAATATAAACCGCTATTAGAAGATCTTCGTTCGAAACAAAACTGTGCTGGAAAGGGACTGGTCGATCGGACATTGGAAATTCTTACAAATGAACTGGAATAGTTGTTTTATTTTTTGAGAAAAAAAAACAGTTGATTATTCATTTTAACTCAGATAAAACTACAGATTATAACCAATCAACATCACAGCTAAGTCGACCATGTCTCGCGACAAATATCTTTTCGAATAGCTGTTATAAAGTTTCTTGTTTGAAAACAAAAGCCTGAATTCAATTTTACATTCGTCACCGAAACCTATTACCAGTTCGCTCATTTCCATGAGAGACTGTCTCAAAACTTCTGTGTACAAAAGTACACATTGTCACTCCTTTGGTTTCAAGGCCGTTTCATTTAAGGTGAAAATAAATCTCGAAGTCTATTTTCAATAGGTACAGTAAACATTTTGGAACGTTGTCACTGTCCATATTTGGAATTGGAAAGATTTCGTGCGCATATCATGAGTAAATGTACGTGAAAAGCAGGTTAAAAATAGTTCTGACGTCACCAAATTTTCGATTGAAGTCAACACCGCGATGATTGTTCTTTGGGATAGGAGAGCGAAATACCTGAAGTTGATAGTCAATGGAGCAGAAGTATTTCTTTTTCAGCAGCTCTATTTATCACACCTAGTAAACAAATGGATACGAAGTGTGTCAAATATGTCCATGATATAGAACAAACGAAAAGTTAGAGATAAAAGCAGAACATCGTTTTGTTTTTATACAGATCATTTCCTCGAACATTTGCAATTTGTTTATCCTAGTGAAACCATGTCGGAATATTTAAACAAACTTTTTTAATATTTGATTGTCATTCTGACAGAAATCGAAATTATGAGAATTACTTCGAATGTCAATTGGACGAAATCGAAAGAGAAGCTGACAGACGACTGTGTATATATAAATAAATGCTTTTTCATGCTTCTTCTTCTGAATAAAGTACGTCCGTCTAAAAGAGAAATCCAAATTATAATCGAGTGAGTACGTTTTTTTATTTTGATTCGGAATTTTCATAAAATAATGAAGTGTTCGCTAATAATTAACAAAAGTATAACAATCAGTGAAGTAGATAAGCAAGTCGCACGGTTCGACGGCAGGAAAGCTTTGATATTATCGTAGTTTTTTTCTAATTTTTCTTCTATTTCTTTGAAGATTTCTAATCGACTGCAATTCGATCCTCGACATATGATGTCAGTTTCAATTATTTCGAATGTTCGCTTATTGATATAATAATTTCCACGAAGATATATTTGAGGTGTACGTATAGGCGTTGCTAAACAGTATAATTCATAACAGTACTGCGTTCCGGAGATATTTTCGATGAGTTGATCGACAATGCAAACATCTTCACATTGTTTCACTTCACACACTTTTGGATCAACTTGATACTGCGTTCGACTACATATTGGTTCCGGCGGACAATGTTGACATGAACTTGTCTGTTGACCTGATTTTCGTCGAAGATTTTCGTTCAACCAACTCAACGGTAAATTTAAAGATAAACCATTGCTTGGTAGTTCTTTTAACAGATCAGGTCGATTGCATCCATCAGTTTGACATGCATATTCTATCACATTAGCTTGTGACAACCATTGATCAATCGATGCATTGTAACTAATAATTTCTTTCACGGATATAAAATATGGATCGGATTGGTAATAGTTTGTTTCATTGCGTGGCATATGTCGTATTTCGAATTGAACTGAATTGACAAGATTTTCTCGAACGAGAACACAAAAGGAAGTTTTGGCATCGACTTCAATCATCTTCTCACAAGTGCACGTCTCGTCCACACAATCCAAACATTCATAACAACGAAGTGCTTGATTTACTTGACTTAAACAGAAACATACCAGTAAAATAGCATAAATTCCTCGAAAAATGTGACCGGGCATTGTTTCTCAGTAGTATTATGTAAAAATAAGAAAATAACAGAATGCGAAGAAAAGTCGCAGAACAACAAAGTGATAACATTGATTGATAAGAAAGGTAGAGAACTGTTGAAATTGATAACAAAACACTCAAATGGATTAATTCAATGAGAAAAGAAACACAGGTCATTTGCGTTATTAAAAAACTTTCAAATACTGGGTTCCTTGGGTACGATATTCCATATCGGAATATGAAAGGAAAAAAGTTCCGAAATATTTCAATTAAAAATGTCTGGATGGTACTTTCTGTACCGCATAATATGTATAAAACGAAAACATCTCTTGCTTTCACCACAGGAGATCCGATCGAACGAAAAACAGTGTTTTTCTATTGATGTTATAATAGCTTTTTATGGTCTTCTTGCTTTATGCACTGAAATAGAGTTATAAACTTCTAAAATTTATCGACATCGCCATCGCCATCATCACAGTTGATTTAAACTATCATGAATGCGAGACATGTTTATGAGATTTTTGATTTCTTACCGGGATAAATCAATTTTTTTGACAGGTACAAGCAATGCAGAGCACTCAGTCAAATGATAAATTCGTTGGTAGAACATCACGCTCACGAACAGTGACCAAACCATTATCCGCGATTGAAACACGTCGTTTAGAATATGTTTTTCAGTAAAGAGAATCTCGAAATCATTTCTTTCTCTACCCATAATTTATTTCTTCAGGAACGCACCTTCCAAACGCGCTACCAGCTGGAACCCTGCGCAAAGCGATGGGTAAGTCTTAATTTTAATTCCGAATCTTTTATGGTGCTCTTCCTCAGCGATGTGATTAATATCAAAAATTTGCTCCGTCTGAATTCCGTTCAATCTCAAAATCGTCATGGAAGTGAGAATTTCGTGGGCGATGATCGTATTGTGATTAATGTTTGTGGTGATCGATACGAAACTCATCGAACAACATTAGAATTGTTTCCTGATACGTTACTAGGAAGTTCACGGCGACGAAAGTACTACGATCAAAAGCGGAAAGAATACTTTTTCGACCGGCATCGTGGATGTTTTCAAGCAATACTTTATTATTATCAATCAAATGGCCGGCTGAGACGACCAGATTTCATTCCGCTGGATATATTTCTTGAAGAAATAACGTTTTTTCAACTGGGACCAGAAGCGCTAAAACAAATACGAAAAGATGAAAATATCAAAGAAGTGAAAAAAATTCGTTTGCCCAAAAATCGTCTGCGAAGATCGATATGGATAACAATGGAATATCCTGATTACTCATTCTTGGCCAAAGTCGTCAACATTATCTCATTAAGCATGGTGCTTATCTCAACCATCACTTTAGCAATCGAATCTTTGCCTCAATACTCCGATTTGGATGATTTCGATTGCGAAAAACTATCGTATTCGACTACAACGGAGCCTTCAACAAACACAACAACACTGGGAACAACGCCAGAACTGCTGTATGTTTGCCAGTGGTACTATTCTTCACCGTTTTTCATTGTTCAAGTTATTTGTGTAGGATATTTCACAATAGAATTACTTATCCGAACGTTATGCACACCATCGATACTCGACTTTGTTAAAGATGTTATGAATTGGATTGATCTTTTAGCAGTTATTCCGTTTTATATCTCATTAGGAATTCGTTTATCAGGTCGAGATGATGAAATCAATTCGAACACGTACGTCGGTCTTCGACTGCTACGTGTACTTCGTCTGGCACGTGTTTTTAAGTTTTTTCGAGTGTTTAAAAGTATCAAATCTTTGCGCGCATTGGCAACGACAGTCCGAGAATCATTACTGGACTTTTTAATCATGATTATTATTTTAACGTTACTTGGCTTTCTGTTTGGTGCAGCTGCATATTATGCTGAAAACGATACGAATGCAGTGGCGTTTGATTCGATTCTCAAGGGAACTTATTGGGGAATTATTTCCATCACTAGTGTCGGGTAAAGATTTCAATATCTGTCGAAATCTATTTGGAATATTCTTTCGTTTAGGTACGGTGATATAGCACCAATAACACCAATTGGACGAGTTATTGCTTGTTTCTGTGCGTTATTTGGTGCGGCAACAATTGGCATGTTGGTGTCAGTCCTGGTCGATCGCTATCAACGTGTTTATGTACGAAAACTATACAGTCAAGAAGAAGAAATTGATTTCAGTGACTATATGGATAATGAAAACAATGATCTGGAGTCAAAAGACCATCATTATACGTCAGGACTTCGTCGAAATTCAAAAATTGAGGATCCCGATGCACGTGCGCAAGAGAGCGCAAAGAATGCAAGTAGTGCTTTACCAAGTCCTCAAACATCGAATTCGTCATTGGAAGACGAGAACAATATGCAAGATGATAATACCGGTCGAATTCAATTCATTATTCGTTATGTTGAAAATGAAGATAAACAAAAATCACCTTGTGAGTCAATGGACGAAACTGAATTGGGAACAACAGCTAAACAAACGAATGTTGACAAAGAAGATTTCAAATCATTAGGAGAGGAAGAAATTAGTCGAAGGGTGACTTTCAGTGGTTGTTAGACTCATAGAATATAAAAATGCTTCTCCTTTCATGATAAACATTCGAAATTTGCAAATTTTCTTCCAATAAGAAATAAAATGTAAATAAACGTTATATTTTCATACACAACTAACAAATCCGACTAGTAGATATACTGCATAACGTCTGTTTCTTTTATTATTACACAAATAAATCACAGCGAGAAAATCTACAAAAGAATTTACAGCACGCGAAAAAGACATCTATTTGCATACAGTTAAAAGAATAAGGAAGATTATCACCATGTCGAGAAGAACTCATCATCAACGAAGTCTAGAAGAAATAGAAAATCTTCAAAATATACTCGAAAACAAAATCACCTGCTGCATTAAAATCTGCATCAATTGGTTTCTCAACCACTTGTAGAAGTTCGTTTCCTGTCACTGACAATGGTGGTGTAACTGTGATCGCTGTAGGTGGAAATTTATTATTCGACAAATTCGTTGGTTGAACAGGAGGTTTAAAAGTCGGTTTAGGCTTTGAAGCAACTGTCTCTTGGAATTTCGTTTTCGATGGCGACGAAGCTTTTAATTTGATATGATTAAATGCTGAATTTGATGATGATTTGAAATTCGTGTTCATTTTCTTCAATGGTGGTTGGTCGCTTTCATCATGATCGAATTGCGAAAATAAATGAAATGTTTCGTTATTACTCTTCGACGAATCTTCGTACGCAGAAATCTCATTTTCAATCGAACTCAGTAGGCATTTGGTCGGTTTATCTTGCTGACTGGATGGCATACTAAACATATCTGATAGCGGATCTTGTATAGCGATGATATTTTGTAAATGAATATTAACATAATGATGTCGATGACGTGTTGATGTGAACACAGCGACCTGAAAAGAAGTTTGACTTATTGTTTACGAACTTGAAAAAGAAAATGTTTACATTTCTTAGAACAAGAGTATGACCAACACGAATATTGAAACTATCGAGTTTTTCGTCATCGCCAATAAATGTTGCTCGGATGTGACCTAAAATGAGAGTTGAAATCGAGTAGAGCAGGAACGAAATTAGATACCAGATTTGTCTAATAGAATCGTGTTTTCTTGCCGATCGTAGTGTGTCACAGCTGCACACATCAATGGAATGCGTTTTTTAATCCCTAGACGAGCCTAAATTTCGAAGAGAAACCATTAAAAGCAAAACAAAACTAGAGGGTGAATAGATTACTTTAATAAGAGCTGTTTGAATACTGATCGGTTCACAAGCGAAGGAATCTTGTAGTTGTTGAAGAGCGATTGCATAGGATGGATAATTGATGATGTTCAAACTAAAAAGCTACAAAAGGATGAAAGAGAATGAACTATGGTACTACTGATTGAATAACTCACATCTGATGATGTTTTAGGACGTTTAAAACTCGTATTCTCTTCATTGGTAAGAACTGCATCTCGAGCAGTTTTATCGTCTTTTAACCGTCGTAAATCTTCACTAGTTTGCTATTGGAATCACAAAAGAAATACATTTAGAAATATAAAAACTCGATTATTTATCTTACTAATACAGGTAAAAGACCAACCGGACCTGGTATACTGGATGTCTTAACAGTTGATAATGCTAGTTTCGATTTATTACCATTATCATCTGAATTATCTTCCCTCTGAGTTGATGATTTGCTCAATGAAAGACTCATATTTTGAACTTGTGTAACACACGCTGCTCGAGGAGGTTGAGACACACATGTTTCTTTCGAAATGATTGTTATTTGGCTTTTCGTATTGATCTGTTCGATTGGATTTTCATTGGCAAGTAACTCTTCGATTTCATCGCAATCTATGCTTTGATTTCCATCATTCGTTGACATTTTTTCTATCTACAAAACACAAGGAAGACTTTAGTTAATATTCTAACAAAAAACACACACACACAAAAAGAAAAGACCGATATGTTAAATACTCGTCAACATCCAACGAGTATTGAGAATCGTTTGATCGGTCTTTGAACTCATCCAACATCCAGTAACGGTTGTAAACAAATGAACGAGAAGATTTGTACTAGCACATACAAAGATAATTATTAACAATGGAAAATATTGGTTGATTTCGCTTTCAACTAATAAGCCACGGTAAGCACTGATCGATTGAAACACCAAATATGCCAAATAAAACGGTTGAATGATCGACAACAAGTAAAATATTGTTATAAACAAACAGTTGTTATAAATGGACTAAAAACAAGCACATAATGCAAATTTTCAACGATTCATTTCATAGAATTTCATCGAGATTTTTCTTTTCAACTGAGCATTCTGTACAAAGACAGTAGACAATCGATAAACGTTTCTTCACTTTGTAATCATTCACTACACTGTCTTGTGTCTGAATAGCTTACCATCAATATTCCAACTGTACACCAGATGAAGACGAATGGTATGCCAATTGAAAGAATAATAATATGATGTAAAGCAAAATCAGCTTCATTACGTATACTCAAAATAAATGACGAGATCTTGAGGAAAAAAAGAGACTTTTCTTATGAAGAAAACAATATGATTTCATTTCACTTACCGCTAACATCAAACTAAGACTAAGTAATGAATAAAATATTCTTGTTTGATTTGTTCTTTAGAAAACTACGTGTAATAGTTATGAAAAATGGAAAAATCTCTTTCATACGGTTGAACTTTCTTCTCGAAACGATTCGTTCGTACCAACAAATATGTCCAGAAAATAAATGTGATAACAAATACGAATATTCCGGTCAATTGACTCTAAATTTTAACCGATTCAAAGCAAAACAAAACGAATATTCTTCGTCTTACAGTTGTTATTAAGAAATCATGTCGAGAATTCATTTGACAAAATCGATATCGAATCAAATAATGAATTGTTTTATAACTCGCCAGGAGAAGAAGACTACAAATGGTTGTGATTCCATCACCAATATCTAATTAAACAAAATTGAGAAACGTTCGCATTCAAGGAAGACGATTTACTTGCGTAGATCATTGTTGAGACGAAAAACAAGATGAGAAAAGCTAAAAAACAAACAAACGAATGTCTATGTAACCGACAAGAATGCACAACGAACATGAATGTACGATGAAAAGCAGATGAAACGTGAAATCATCATGATCAGTTCTGATTGCAAAGATATTCGGAAGTAAAATTATACTCAAAAGTATAATCGCAAGAATTAAGTAAATCTGTCGTTGAATAGGTAAAGATCTTTCCGAATTCACAACAACAGATTGGGGCATCATGGAAGATAAACGGTTATTTTCAAATGTAACGGTTGTGTTTACCATTTTGTTAATTGTTTAAATGAAAGCTAGACAGACATATTCTTTTCTGTTCTATACATTTCTCTCATTCTTGTCTGTTTGTCCTCCTTCACGATTGAAATTTCGAATTCATTTGTTTGTCTGGCTAAAATCAGGATTAATAATATTATCATCGTATCCTTCAATGTATTTGATTGATGACAGATTTTATTAATAAAGTAAAAACGACAAGTTCTGGTTTCCTCTTGCAACTGTGAGCGGAAAAACACTCTATCCAAAGTAAATGAAACAGATCTCCCATGGAATCGCGCTCGAGTTCCAAAAGAAAATGTTTTATTTAGTCAACCGACGTATCAATAAAGAGATTTCGTTCGAATGAAAAAGAAAAATGAAAACAGTTAATGAAAAGAAAAGACATTTATCATCGGACTGTCAGTTCTATTTTTTTGTTGTTGTTCAAACGCCGTCATTTGCCGTTTCACTTCGTTGTCAAATGACACGTTATCACCCGAGATCATTTGTCATTTTTCTTTACCATTTTTTATTATCAATTCTCGCCATGTTCAATTTTCTCCGTATACCATACGATCACGTCATGTTTCGCTGCTATTTTCTATCACACACTACTTTTTTCCTTTAATCCAAGAAGAGAAAGAGAAAAAAAAGCTTAATTCCGTGTCTATTCTTATGTTTGCTTGAACGAGAGATTTCAAACAATCTTTGATCTTTCCCTTTCTCTTCTTCAATGGAAAGTCGCACCATTAACCTGTAGAGTATAGAATGCATACCATTTTGCTGATGCCAGAATATTCAATCAGGATCTGTTTATTGTCTCGAGTGTCTGAGCTTTGAAATGATTCTTTTTTTCTTCGTGAAAATATTGCTGAAGGAAAGATTTGACTAGTAAGTGAGTAGATTATCTACCTCTATAAATACCTAGATGCTATACAAGTATGAATAGATTAAAAAATCTCGTAGAGAGACATGTTAAACGCTCATCTAACACATTTCCGTTAGTTTTAGATCAATATTAACTTAAAACCTACGCCATTTGATGAAAAAGTGAAGCTAAAATGTCTACAATCACTAGTAGTGCTATCGCTACTGCGCAAGCCAAACGATTTAGTGCTCGCTCACAAGTTAACATGCGTAAGCGCGGTGGAAGTCATGCGATTAATTTCGGCGGTGGAAGAACTAGTTTGTACAAACAAATCTACCACAATGGTGCTAAAAATGGAGTAAATCAACAGAGTTTGTCTGTCTATTCTAGTGGTTCGTGTGTTTTTCTCGCTTAGGAAATCAATATCAATGAACAATTTGTCCATGCATGTGAAAATGGTGATTATAACACTGTGAATCGCATTCTCGAAGAAAATTTAAAATTTAATATTGACGTCACTGATCAATTAGGACGTACATCGATGCGATTAGCGATAGAAAATGAACATCTCGAAGTAGGAAAAGAATTCTTTGCTTTTATCTCTATTTGTTGGTTCTCTTCGTCATCTAGGTTGTTACTCTTCTCCTTGCGCATTGTGATGGCCAGAAAATGCGTGAAGCTTTGCTATTAGCAATCTATCTTGGTCATACACAAATAGCCGAAGCTTGTTTACGTCATCCAAAGTTCAAAAACTTAAACGAGAAAAAAATTTTCAAAGATGGAGCTTTTTGGCAAACACCATCATCCGATGATGCACAATTTGCACCGGATATAACACCGTTAATCTTGGCTTCACAATATAACCGAACTGAAATTGGTAAAGTCTTTCGTAATTTTCTCTGAAAACACTTCTTTGTTGTGGATGATTTCAGTTCAATTATTGTTACGTGATGGTGATCGAATAACCAAACCTCATGATTATCATTGTAAATGTCAAGAATGTTTGAATAAGTTTGAATTTGATTCGCTACGTCATGCTCAATCACGTTTGAATGCCTATCGTGGTTTAGCTAGTGAAAGTTATATTAGTTTAGCATCCATCGATCCTATTCTAACGGCATTTGAACTCGGCCATGAATTGAGAGATTTGTCTGGAAAAGAGAAATATTTTAAAGTAGAAAATGTTGAAATATTTTTTTAAAATCTTATTGTAAACTGTGTTTAGAATGAATATATCAGTTTAGCTGATCATTTGAGTGCTTATGCTGTGAAATTATTGGATAAAGTTCGTGGTCACAAAGAACTGGATTGTGTCTTGGGAAAGACAGGCAAAGAAACCGAAGAAAAATATGTTTTACTCGCACGGCTGTACCTTGCGATTAAATATGAAGAAAAACCAGTAGGAATCGCACACACAAATCGAATTTCTATTCTCAAAAACGCCTTTACTTGTTTTCTAGTTCGTCGCTCATTCGAATTGTCAACAGAAACTAGTGGAAATTTGGCACGGTGATATTCGTAACATCTTCAAATTAAATCCTTTAATCATCTTTTTATTGATTCTGGGTTACATATTTGCCTTGCCATTTGTTTGTATATGTTACATATTGACATCATCAACCCAACGAACCATCAAAGTAGGATGAAGAATGTCTTGTTCTGAAAGGTCAACTTCGCGTGATTTAGTTGCAAAAATTTCTCAAACAACCGTGCATCAAATTTCTGGGTCATACAATTTCTTACGGAATATTTATTATCTTGATTATCCTGTCTAGTTTATTATTCGCCAACGAGTTTCAGAAGACAATGAAAAGATTGAGTGTGAATTATCCTGATCTTGTCAATTCCTTCGTTAAATCGAAAAACAATTGTGCAATATACAATTCTTCAGCATGCGATTATTTCCCTCAAAGTAACGATTTCTATTTTCGACATAATAGTCCAACGTGGATTGATATTACGATAACAATCTTCATCGTTGGTAAGATTGAAACTTGTATAAACAGGAGATTAGAGGGCGATTCGGATATTTTTTCAGGTTTTCTTTGGCACGAAATTAAACAATGTTATACAGATGGGTTCAAGGATTATCTTCTTTCATGGAATAATATTGTGGATTCGTGCATGAATATCCTTTACTTATCGTCATTCGCGCTGAAATATTATGTTTTTTACGAGGTAAGAATGAACATCTGTTAGTACATCGCATGATGCGTCTAAACCGACTGAACAAGATCGTGTCGTTCTCGAAATAACATAGAGCGAAAGTTGTGAAAAAGAGAATGTTCATACGATTGAAATTGAGATCTTTTCTCAAATTTCTGTTAAAGTTGAAAGTTTGTCAAAATTCGCATATATTTAGGTGACAAATGCTATAAGTATACTGAGCAGTAATGGATTTGGCTTACGAATTGAAGGTGTTTATAATTTGACACAAGAAAATCAAAATGATATCTACCGAACATTGTATTGGTTGAATGCAGGTAGATGAGAATGCGTTCGAAAGACATTGGATGTTATTTTGAATCATTTTAGATCGTTTCTTTTGGATTCCATTTGATCCTGTGAATGTTGGTGAAGGATTATTTGCTATTGCAAATATTTTTAGTTTTTCACGTATTTGTTTTCTTCTGCCGGCATTTCAACATCTCGGACCTTTACAGATTTCACTCGGTCGAATGATGTCGGTGTGTATCGACCGGAAAAACGACTTTTGTAAAGTCTTATCGAATTTTATCTTTAGGATATTGGAAAGTTCATTATCATTTTTCTTATTATCTTCTCCGGATTCATGTTTGGCTTGAATAATTTGTTTTGGTATTATAGCAAAGATGTACGAGGCAATGTCGAAGTTGAAATGCATGTTTATGGAACTGATGATCCTCCGCTGCCTGCGGAAACATATTTTGGAACGTAGGTAACGAAGTTTTCATAAAAAAGAAGAGCTTTTCTTGATTTTTAGTATGGGTGCGACATTTAAAACCGTGTTTTGGTCATTATTCGGTCTCTCAGAAAAGAACGGTGTCAAACTAGGAAATTACCAAAATCGTTTTACAGAATTGATAGGTTACTTAATCTATGGAGCATTTAACATTGCCAGCGTGATTGTCCTACTGAATATGCTTATTGCCATGATGTCGAAATCATATGAAACAATTGAAGAACATGCAGATGTGGAATGGAAATTCGCGCGAAGCAAACTTTATATGGAGTACATCAAAGAAGGTAAGAAAGAAAATCTTACTCGACATACATAAACAAAATCGTCTGAGTCTGACAAACTGCGTTGGCCTGTAGCAAGTGCTTAAGAAAGCTCCGAGTTCATGTTCACTTCTGCTCGAAATAATCGTATGGAGTTCTTCTCTTTTCTTTATAGGCGGAACGTTACCTGTACCATTTAACATCATTCCAACGCCAGAAAATATTGTACAACTCTACCAACGAATATGTAATTACAAAAAGAAATCTCCGCCTAGTTCTCCAGATCATAATGGTTCACTGGAGGGTGGTAACAATATACCCATTGCAGCTAACGGTCCGAGGGGGAATGCAAATCGTAATGCACCGATTGCGACTATATCAAATGGTCAAACATCGACTGTAATGACTAATAACGTTGTCGGACGTCGAAAATCGTTTGATCTTAATCAAACATTAACTTATCGTAAAGTCATGGAACGTGTCATCAAGCGTTTTCTTTTACACAAACAACGGGAAGAACAAGATGAAATTCGTGAAGGTGATTTCGAAGAACTCAAACAAGACATTCAAATGTTACGCTTCGAAATGATGAATCGTTTGGACGAAACACGCGATGACCTAGCTAAAAACAGTCTTCTTCTCAATGAAGGCGTTCTTGTTGTCGGTGAATTATTATCATCCATCACACGAGATACGAATCCATTAATTCGAGAAAATTTTCATTTGTTCAAAACGAACTTTCATACAACTTTACACAAAATTCGATCAATTGATAGTAGCATGGAATCAACAGATACTACGGCGACAACAACAACATCATCAATGCCAAACATTACAAGTGCTGTGCAAGCAGAAAGAACTCTCCCAACTTCAAGTTCGGCACCGAGTTTACCTATGAGTGTTCCCAACGAATCCAGCCTTAATCCAATACAAATGATGAAGCAACTAAGTGCAACACATATAACATTATCAAATATAGCTGAAGTCGATGAAAGTCTAAATGAAGAGCAAGTAAAAGTTGAAGAGGAAGAAGAAGTCGAAGCAAGACATATGTCGATTCAAACGTCGCCAGATAATGATGGAACGTTCTTCAGACTTTAAATTTTTCAACTTTTCGTGTGTATTGTAAAGGTGCTGCGAGCTTTTCATATTTCTTATTGCTTGAAATTTTCATTTATTTTCAAAAATAAATCAACGCAAGTATTTCAAACACAAGTGCTTAACCGAATATTCTCGTCTATTAAATCCAGCAATGAACCCATAAAACATTTCTTCTTCATGACAGTCAGGTTTCAGATAACAAAACTCATGTCCAAAACATTTTCCTCGATCTCACACAAACCTACAGCGTATCTTAACAGTACCATTTTCGTGTAATTAAGCAGTTTTTCGGTCAGTCAAAAGTGATTCTGATTTAATCAGTTTAAAAGAATCAATCAGAAATAGATTGAAACAATTTTCTATAATGTCGATGATTACATTTCACACTCATTTCTGTCCGCCATGATTAGACCTTGGTAACTAATTCTGCACATGTCTGAACGCATCGTAATGAACATCTACTTTAATTATTAAATATTCATGATTGCAAAACATATTTTCCTTTCGTTCATCTTTTGACACGTACTTCATTCAGACGAGCAATTCGAAAGGTACAGAGCTTTAGAAGATTAATCATTCGATAAAACGATAGAAAGAAAGGACATAGTGAACTTAGTTGTACATATTCATATCAATATGACTGAGCAATTGTTCTCCAATGAAAAATTTCAAATTTTCAACAAAAATTTTCGTTTTCAACGATGGTTTTACTCATTCATTGGCATCAGCACGGTTTTTGTTATTCTATTTCTGACCTACAGTCAAATTCGGGATATGAAGAACGATAATTACGATTTTGCTTTTTGTCTTCTTTTAATTATTCATTCAAGTATAATCAAAACTTCTCTTTCAACTACTAAATATTCTTTATTTTTTCAGTATGTGCCTTGTTTTCAATCATCTCAACAGCGATTTTCTGTCGTAAACTGTTATCGAACGATGAATGCAAATGAATTCTGTCATTGATTTTTAGGCATCACGACTGCTATGTTAACTACAATGACGATCATTTTACTCTCGGGTTACACTGGTGTACATTTTTATATTCGATTTTTCTTATTTCCTAACAATTCCAAAACGGATTTTTATCTCATCGCAGTATGATTTGTCGATTTGATTTCGTGAATGACGAATGTTTGTGATTTTCAGATTCGGTTAGGATTTGTTCTGTTTCTCTTGATTTTATTGGTGCCATGGACTAATACAATGGTTCACACACATCGAATGAATAATCCGTAAGGTCATAGGAATTAGTTGTTGACAAATATTCTATTTCTTCATCTGTTTTAGATTCAAAGAGGAAATTATATATCCGAGATCGACAACATTTTCATGGTTCCTATATCTTGATTTTCTTCTTATAGTAAACCATATGTGCTTTGAAATGTTCAATATGAATTTATCTTCATATTTTTGTTTAGATTTCTTTGTTCATCCTGAATGTTCGTAGTCGATCGGAATTGAATCGCAATCAGTTGATTTTCACTGGTGTTGGTCTAGCTTTAGCTTTAATTTGGTTAGGTTTAGGAGTACTGATGGTAGAACTAAACCAAATAAGCATACCTCATTTGATTGTTATCAATTCTAGGCTAATAGCAAGATTCGCCATCGATTTTTCTTTCATATTTTATCAATTTCACAAATCAGTTACATCATTTACACAACCTATAAAGTAAATGAGTATTTGGGATTAGAAATGAAACTATCCTTGGTTTGTTTTCAAGGCTCTGATGGAATATGCTGTTCAACCAAAATTGGATCATAACACGTTATTTTCATTACTTCTATTGATTTTTCTAAGGTATTCGTAAAGCGACTCTTGAGTAGAAACATTTTCCACCCACATTCTTACATCATTCGATCGTGTTTTTAACCTGAAAAGAAAAAAATCCTCTTCTCGACTGAATTTCAGAGAAAAATGCATCTTTTACCCCTATTTCGATTATTTTCAGCTCAACTTCAGACTTGAAACTTAAATCGGTAACAACTTTTCCTCCTAAGGTCAGCAAGTCGGCTAAAAACCGATCAAATGATGTCAAAAATGCGCGAGAAACTTTTTACATGACTACTTCATCATATGCCTTCTATTTAGTGGCACAAATCTTATTATTCATATAATCACAATGATAATTAGTTTTGTTCTCATGGATAAAATCTAAACAAATAAATATCTTGTTTTGCTTTGAAGATGAAAAGTTAATTAAAAAATCTTTTGATTTTGTCTATCAATCTCATTTTGTTTGTCTATATGCATGACAAACGCATCATCGAAATCCTTTTTGTTGGACGCGTGATTCTATCTATGCTAATTGAAGGAAGTCGTCATGATGCAGAAGATGATGATCATCTTGATGTCATCGTTTTCTTTCTTCTGTGTAGATTTATTCGTTGTTGTTGTTGTTCTTGCCATTATTATTCGTCTGTTGTTCACTCGACTAGTGAATTATCATAGTAACTCGTTTGATTCTTTGAATGACATTCGAATATGTTTCATATGGATATAATTATAGATATGTGTATGATCAAATTTCCAAAGGAAACCCAAAGCGTTCATATAATTTTGATCAGACAAAGAAAGAGAAAGAGAGACAAGCAAGAGAAAACGACATTCCGTGATTTGCTGATTTCTGATCATTTGTTCTCTTATTCGCAAGGATTATTTTCCTTTTTCTTCCCTCTTAATCTATTCTTTAATACAAATGACGAGTTTGGTTAGAAGAATTACGTTGACAAAACGATATCTATGAACGACGAGGAGTGTTGTTCGAATTGATTCTGTCAAAATTGCCTGTACATATGTGAGATCGAGTCCGGAGAGAAAGACAACGTCTTAACCTTGTGTCTTTCTCTTTTTTTTCCGAGAGTTCTGATGTTAAACAGACGCAATCTGTCGACTTCCTTTGCATATAGGTGTGCATATTTGTTCCCTAATCGATCGTCATCTGAAATTTTGTTTTGAGTCGCTTGTTCTTCTTCTTTTTTTCCTTCTTCTTACTCACTTTCTATTATTAAAGAACTATGCATTTAAATAACGGATTCATCTAAAGACGTCAACGACTTCGTCTGTCACATATTTCAACGGAACAAATAAAATCTACTTGGAAGTACATTGTCAATTCGCCCATTTTTTTCCATACTTTAATTTTGACGTGTATATATAGGTCTGCAGTTGACATTTCTTTTCTCTATTTTTTATGTCGTCTTTCGATATTCTTTTTTCCTCTGTCAATGAATCCATAAATACTAAATCATAGTTTTGAACAGCAAGAATAATTGCAATGTGCTTTTGGGTGGTGGCTAGATATGGAATAGAACAAAGACAAACGATTCAATAGAACCATTATATCGATAAACACGTTGAACGATGTTGCGCGACGGTCAAAAGAAAAAGAGAGAAAGAAAGCGATGGCATATCGGCTTCAACTTTTGACAAGATTGCTGCTCTCACCGGAAACCCATCTATCGATCACAGAAAAATGAGAGCATAAGCAATGGCAAGAACTTGGCAAACAAGCAAACACTTATCATCATCATCATCATTATCGATTTTCCTTTTCTTACTCGTTTAGTTCTTTTTTTGTTTTCTATCTCTCATATAGACGCATTCAGGTTCAAAATCTATTTCGACATTGTCGCGATTGTTTTATGGCATATTGATCGTATATCTTTTCTGCCGTCATATGGTTGTAAAACTAGATTACATTCAACCTTCGTCCTTACGCGAAATATAGTGCGAGAAAATAGCGTTTTCTAAATGGATCAATAGAATTTCAGTTTTTTCCCTTCAATTAATCGTGATAGACTATGAACTATCCGTTTCCTGTCTACTTTTCTCTTAATTTTGTTCAATTTTGACGAAGCATATCTCAGGTTGTAGTGTTTAGTTCAACGATGTTCCGCTCTCTAGATTATCGCCCCTCAAAATATGATTTTTGAATGACGTGTCTACAAAAGAACAATAGTAATAATAAGACGCGACAAAGCTCTGTAATACGATACTACTGGATCGTATTAATGATGTCACTTTTTGATTTCATACATCTCATTCTTGTTTTCTATTTCAGTTAAGATAACAACTAGCACCATCGATTAAATATGCCAACTCTAACGATTGATTCTCTAAGAGAATTCTGGTATAAATGGCGTTCATCACGCGCTCTTATTCTTTTTATAGTCTTCGTTGCTCTTTTTCTTGATAATATGCTTTTAACTACTGTCGGTAAGTTCCTTCTCTGTTTTCTGTCGACGTTTTATTGATATCGGTATGTTTTGTTGGAAATAGTACCTATCATTCCCGATTATCTCTACCATTTGGATAACCCCAAAGCTACATTCGAGGATACCTACAAGTTTTTGGCGAAAAACTGTTCGAGACCAGAAATTTTTCGCCATCGGAATTATCTCAATCAACATACGGATCAGCTTCAAGATATTCTTCGTTCTTATTGTAACTGGACGGTTGCTTGGGCTATGAATCGGACAGAAATTGAAAATGATCAGCGGACAACTGTTTTAGAAAACGTATGTACGAGATGACAAAAATGAAGTTTTATTCTTTGTCCTTTTAAAGGAAAATCGATGGGTGGGTCTTATGTTTGCGTCAAAAGCTTTCGTTCAGTTAATGACAAATCCATTCATTGGACCATTAACAAATCGGTAAGACAAATGCTAATTAATAACAAAAAAAATTACGATGATCTGAAATTTCTTCGATAGAATTGGTTATACTATTCCGATGTTTTCCGGATTTGTTATTATGTTTATATCAACAATGAGTACGAATTTAGTTATTTTGTTTACATAGGCATTAGAAGAAACATTGTATCTTCATTTTGTTGTCTTTAGCTTTCGTATTCAGTAAAAGTTTCGGTCTGTTATTCTTTGCTCGCGCGATACAAGGCATTGGTTCTGCTTGCTCGAGTGTATCAGGTTGGTTTCTAAGAAGGGGAAAACTATAGATAAGAAAGTTTGTTTTCATTCACATTGTATCAGGTCTTGGAATGTTAGCTGATCGATATCCCAATGATGAAGAACGTGGTAAAGCAATGGGTACGGCTTTAGGTGGACTGGCACTTGGTGTATTAGGTAACACTTGTTTAAAGATTTGAAAATATCCTAACTTTTCTCCGATGTGTATAGTTGGTCCACCATTTGGAGGTTTTATGTATCAGTATGTAGGCAAGGCATCTCCATTCTTAGTCTTAGCAGCATTAGGATTATTTGATGGACGTATGTTTTATCTTGTTGCTTATTATGAATTTCAACAGTGCGCATACATTTTTGATTGAATAGTATTACAATTATCAGTATTACAACCTGGTGTAGCTGGTGAACCAGTAGAAGGTGCCTCTTTGAAAACATTGATCAAAGATCCATATATACTTGTTGCTGCCGGTAACAAAGAATTGAGATGTGAACTCGAATTTATGCTTATGATTTGAATAGGTGCAATATCCTTCGGTAATGTTGGCATAGCAATGATGGAACCTTCATTACCTATTTGGATGATGACAACAATGCGAGCGAGTGAATTCCAGCAAGGTAAATTATTTTACTCTAGATATTTCTTTTCTATATTTTGAAGATGATTTGACATTTTAGGAGCAGCATTTTTGCCCGCTTCGATCTCCTATCTAATTGGCACAAATCTATTTGGTCCAATGGCACATAAAATGGGAAGGTTATAGAAAACATTCGTCATTCGAAGCATTCTTTTCACTCTTCATATCTATCCTATAGGTGGCTATGCTGCATGATTGGCATGATCCTTGTATCAGTTGCTTTAATTTGTGTACCGATGGCAACAAGCATATATGGGTTAATTATTCCCAATGGTATTCTTGGTTTTGCTATTGGAATGGTGGATTCATCAATGATGCCAACAATGGGTTATTTAGTTGATATTCGTCATGCATCGGTTTATGGAAGCGTTTATGCTATTGCCGATGTTGCATTCTGTCTCGGTTTTGCCATAGGTATGCTCAGTTGACTTGATCGACGATGTAGAATGATGGTTTTGTTTTTAGGTCCTGCGATGAGTGGTTTTATTGTGCACGCATTCGGCTTTAGCGGTATGCTCCATATCATTGCATTTATTTGTCTTTGCTATGCACCGTTGATGTTTTTTCTGCGAAATCCACCGGCAAAAGACGAGAATGTGGTAAAAACAGTGTTTTCTATTTTAATCAAGCCAGAGTTTTTCTTCAATTTTCTTTCCTTTTCATTTAGTCATTGATTATGAATGAAAATCATAGTTCATTTTCATACACGCGTAGCAAGTCATTGGACAATGATAGTGGCTATTAACATATGTATGAAACACTCGGAAACCATCAATAATAAACTTAATCAGTTTAGAAAAAAAATCAAATAGAAGTATTTTCTTTTTTTCTTATCCATTTTCTTCGCAGAGAATAATAAATAAGAACCAAGATTACGATATTCAACAGACAAGTTCCAATAACCAACATCCCACCTTCATTTCAATTCGGATATTATTTTTCTAATCGATAATGATTTTATTATTAAGTATCTAGGTGAAAACTATTATATCAATAGAATATAAAAAAGACACATGAATATAAACAATGGAATAGTAGTATAAAAAAAAGAACAAGACGAAGGAACGTATTAAGATCATTGAAAAAGCGTATAAACGATCAGACATAAAAATATCAGAACTAATGACGGAAAATGATTGATTGATTGATTGAATGGTCGAATATATGAGCCAGGTCGTAATTCAGTCCAAGCACTTGCTTGACGTTTACTTTCATCCATAACGATCAAAGTGTATTTACCAAAATCGTTTGGTTCAACATTTTTTATAATCAATCGACTTCCATATCGACTGTCGATCGAATCGGCTGCGACATTCGTGTCAATGCGATATTTTGCACCACTTGAAATTGCACGACGAACATTCGTATTTCCTTGAGAGAATTCCCATTTTAATACACTCATTGGATATGCTTCAGCTAAACATGTAATTTCAGCGTCGGCATTGATGTTTGGTACCTGTTCGACAATGATCTGATCGCAGATGACAGTCGGATCAAAATCGACGAAGATATTCACATAATTCTCTGCTGATTGTTTCTGTCCAGTTTGTTGTTCAGCAACACATTTGTACAAACCTCGATCATCTCGACTAACACTATCAATCGTATAAACTCCACTATATGATGTTGGGTACTCCTGTCCTTGTCGAATCCACATGAGTAATGGCGGTGGATTTCCTTGTGCTCGACATTCGAGCGTAACTGGATCACCCGCCCGGACTTGTACGTCAGCAGTTATGTAAGTTATCGACGGTGGCACGAGTACATTGATAATTTGTTCAAGACGTACTTGAGCTTCTGTGTTGGCTAATTCACAACGCACGACACCTGAATCAGATTCTTGTACAGGACGGAAAACAATTTCATAAACTTCTTCGGATTCTTTTCGTGCACTGACACGACCACTTAATGTATCACGAACGGAACCACCATATGCCAATATACGAAAATCGCGATCTTGACCTGGAAGAAAATGAAAGTCAACGAAGATTAATTGGAAAAATTCAACTTACTGAATCGTCGAATGCTCCATAAGACTTGTGTTGGATATTGTGCAAATGGATCGACATTGATTAGAAAACAACGAATTTTCAATCCTTCACCCACGTTTGGATTCGGCGGATCTGCTTCAATTTTTTGAATTTGCACTGAACTTTGCTGACAAACATATAATTTGATGAAAATACTCCAGATCAGTAATCGACAGATAAACTTCATCTAGAAATGAAACCCACATTAAAATTCTGTTCATGTTTTGTTTCTCCCAATGTTAACACACACGCACATAAAAACATCAAATCGTGGAATGAATGAATGAATGAATTCGAATGTTTTAAGAAGAAGAAAAAGAAGAAGAAGAAGAGATTAAGCATTGTTTAACAAACGCGCATAAACATAGAGCGAGAAGAAAATAGACGACGTAGAGGATTGAATTACAGATTAATTTTATTGGCTTCAGGCAAATAACTTTCCCAAATTTCTAAAATTTTCTCCTGTTGTTCTAAGAATTGTTTCAAATACATATCGAATGCCTTCTTGAAATCATCAATACGTGTTTGTTCGAACACCTCGATTTCCTGTTTAATTGAGTTGGTAATTCGTTCGAAATCATCTTTTCCACGAATCACCTTTCCCTCCCATTCATTGATTTCCATTTCCACTTGAGGTAGTTTATCCGCACCTTTCGGTGTTTGTTCTAATTTGGTTTTCGTTTCACGTTTCTTGCGTAACGTATCTTCAGCTTGCAACCATTGCTGATGGATTTTGATACGTTCTTGAAAGGCTAGTTGCACCATTTCTAATAATGAGATATACTCCTTAATCAATTCACTAATCACAGTATATTCTTTGAGCGAATGGTCATTTATTGTTTGTTCGAGTTTTTCTTCCACATTGGCTAGTTCGATTAAAGCACTTGAGAGTAATGTATGTTCTTCAATGGTAGCTAGATGATTTAAAGATGTTGAGAGAGCTTTCAATGCCTGTCCAGCTTCTTTTCTTTGATTAAATAGAAGATTCAATTGATTAAACAGATTCTTCAAATGCGTATGCAAATCAACAATGAACGAATGCTTTTCTTCGAACCATTGATCTTGTTCGCTTGTCTTGGTTGTTAGTTTTGTCACTTGATTTGTTATGTTCGATAGTGCACGAAGAACACCGGCACCGCTGAGTGCTTGCGTATTATTTGCTTTAGGTAAATCACCAGGCATTTCAATGAACTCGCGAAAATCGGGATCTTGAACCAATGTTTTATGACGTGCAAGGCGGTTTAAGTATCGTTCGAGTTGAGAACGACGACGATCAATGAAGTCCGACGGAATCGCTTCTTCTTTGGAAATTTTCACTTTAGCCATGGATAATGAGTCTTTTTCGGGTGGGGCTGGTAAGATCACGCCCATTTGAAGATGTTTATGAATGAGCTTGTTATGTAAACCGAGAAAATCGCTAAATCGCCGATTGACTGAAAAGTCCGTTTTCTTAAACATAGCTAATGACGTTTTGGTTGTTATACGATAGGTCATATAAGATGACATTCCCTAGAAATAGTCACTTTCAAATTCATTCGATTGATTTGAAAGGGGATTTACATACTTCTCCGACTTTTGTCGGGTCACTAACGATAATTTCAATGTTAGGATCTTCGACATGTTTTACTTGAGATTTTGTAGTGACTGCAGATGTTGTTGAGATTGGACTCTCCAATGAGTTTGCCGTACTAATCGCTGGATCACTTGGAAATGTTTGATGTTCCTGCTCAGTTAAAGTCGATGGCTGTGGTTCAAGGACAGCAATTGGCGTAACCGGTGAGATTTGCAACGATGCTTCATTCGATGAACTCAGTACATTTGTTGCCGGCGGGTTTTTCTTTTCGACTGTTTCACCAAATGGATTTTCCTCATCTTCATCTTCGCTCAATGGCACATCATCGGTGGCTGGTAATCTTGCAGATTTATACATTTGATCATCATCTTTATTGTCATCATCGTCGTCATCACCGAAATCTGGTGGTGAATTGCGATGTTCAAGATCTTTGGACATGACGATAATCTACAAAGAATTTGAGACAATCACGAGATTTAATGTTAGTTGCTTTCCTGGATAGAAATTTGTTTTTCTCTTTTTGGCTGTTGTTCTATATGATATGCATATGTAAAAAGAAAATGAAGGAAAAAGAAAATGTTCTCTGTAACAATCATTTGAACTAGTAAAGAAGACAAATGTCAAGCGAATGAAGAGAAAAAACGAGCAAACACACACACACACACAGAAGGATTTGTATATCGCGTTGCCAGATGAAATTTCCTATAGCCGCCATGCTTGCTGTCTATTACAGGGAGAGAGAAAAAAAATAAAGAGAGATTTGTAATAACATGCAAAAAATATCTTCTGATTAAACAGCAGATTTTCACACGGCAAGAAGAAATCAATGACGATCAGTGAAAAAGAAATCCGTTTTCGATTGTCATCATTATGCATAGACAGACAGATATATGTTTCTAATCACCATGGATTTTTTTGTCTTTGGAAACGCTCGCATTGCTACAAAGAACGTTTGGAGTTTTAAAAAAGAGGCAGAGAGAGAGAGAGAAAGAAAAACGAAACGAAAGAACAACAGAAGAAAGACAATGACGACAGTAAAGTGACCATCAAATAATCAAAAAGAAGAAGGAATAGAGAAGATCGTCTGATAGTAGCATCGAAGTAAAAGCGACGATAATTGTCTCCGAGAAAATACGAGAACGGTGGTGAATGGTTTCGTTTTCTTTTTGTAGATTTACTGATTCGTCGTCGATGCGCTACTGTTCACATTAAGCGGCGATGAAGTCGTAGTCGAAGATACAGAGGCACCAGCTAAAGACACGATTTACACAAATGGTTTCTGTTTTTCTCCTAGAAATAATCCAATTTACCATTGTTTGATAGGAGAACTTGTGGGTTCGAGTTTACTGATCGGCCTTGATCACGAACGATTGGATCTTTGAAAAGAAAGAAATAAGATTGATGATCAATTGACTTTTAAATAAAATTACAGAAATATGCATGATCCATTGCTTCTTTCGCTGTAAGACGATCGTTATGATCATAACGTAAGAGTTTATCTAAGAAATCTAAAGCTTCTTGACTAACAAGATGCTGATTTTCGGAATGAATGAATCGCTCCCAGCGTTTCCGTGAATGTCTAAACATCAATATTCATTCATCATTTTCTTTGAAAATGTGTTTATCTTTACCGTCCGAGAATTTCGTTAAAACGGGGATCAAGTTCGATTTGATACTTTTCGAGATATTCATAGAGTTCATCAGTTCCAAGTACTTTAGCAATACGTACAAGCTAGAGAGAACAAATGAAAATTCGATGAAAAAGATGTAGTTCCACTCACTTGATCATAATTATCATGACCATGAAAGAATGGTTCCTTACGGAAAATCATACTGGCTAACATGCAACCTAAACTCCACATATCCAATGAATAATCATAATATTGATAGTCAACAAGTAGTTCAGGTCCTTTGAAGTAACGCGATGCGACACGGACATTATATTCTTGATTTGGATGGTAAAACTCCGCTAAACCCCAATCGATTAATCGTAACTAAAATGCATTTTGATCAATTTTCAAACAAAAACAGATTTCCACTTACCTTTCGAGTCTCATGATCAATCATTACATTGTGCGGCTAAAGATTTCATTCGAAAAAAAAGATAATCAGTCAATTATTTTTTTAGAGAAACTCTTTACCTTCACATCCCGATGCATTATTCCCATACTATGACTATAATCGAGTGCCTATTCACAAAACATAGATTCATTATAAAGAAGGAAAACAGCTTTTCATCTCGAAACGTCCAGCAATGCAACCCTATTGATATTTCTCATCTATAAATAACTTTCGAATGAATTTTTTGATTACAGATAATTAGCATCTATATTTAACCTCGGATATACTTCAAGGAATAACTGTAATTAAATGAAAATAAAATGTTAAGAGTTATCCGAAAAACAAGGAAAGACAAATATTCATCAACATACTTTAAGTAACTCGTACATATAATATCGTATGTCATAATCGGAAAGTGTTGGATAAAGTTGCTAAAGACGAAAACATAAACATGCCAGATCTCGTTCGAAAAGATGATTTCGTACTTTGAAATCAGTATTATTCACATATTCGAAGATTAGAGCAGGCGTTCTCGACTATTGAAAAAGAGAAAAATATCGAAAGAATTGTTAATAATCAAAACTTACAACAGGATCTTTAACTATATCAAGTAATGTGATTATATTTGGTCCGCCACGTAAATTTTGTAAAATCTTTATTTCACGTTTTATCTTTTTCTTTTTTACTGGCTAAAAATGTATAGTAATACATAGAAAAACTATTCCAATCAATGCTTTAATGAATTACTTTGAGAATTTTGATAACAACTTTCTCATTGTTAACGATATTGATTCCTTCAAATACTTCACTGTATTTACCTCGACCGAGCTTACGAACGATTTGATAATCATCTTGATTACTACAATGAGAATAGATATGAATGCAAGATCTCTCGCAAATTTGATTCTACTTACCCCCATTCAACAACATGCAGCTCGTAGTCGTAGTATTCGCTAGAAAAAAAAAGATCAAAGTTTCATTTTGCAAATATGTTCAGCTGTTTCGTTTAGTACCGTGGTCGATGCGTATTGCAATCGGCATAGACGCGAGCTCGACTCGGTTGCGCCATCAAAAGTCGACTAGTGACAATGGCCAACCAGAGCAATGGAAGAAAAAAGGAACAATGGATCTATAATCACAAATTGAAGAAATTAACCATTCCAAACAGCAAGCCGATCATCGAGCGAGTTAGATCAGTTCAACAATAAAGAAAGGAGAGAATTATTAGAGGTTACCGTTATCAAGCAATGTGAACAAGACGATTGTGATTAAACGTCATGTCGCATACAGATCAATTCATGCTTAAAAGAAATAGAAAAGTCAGACATTGTCTACGGAGGAGAACAGCAATGAGATTGGAAAAGGACGTGCTTGGTTGATTTTTTAATTGCATAGCCTCTACGAAAAATGGAAGGAACTTACTCTTATAGAGGAAGACACTTTTAATAGATCGAAGGTCTAACCTTAACAACAAATAAATGATTGACAATTTATGTAAGCATGTACATTTAGAAATCGAGTAGATCTTTCGAATAACTTCTCATCGAATTCATGATTGATGTGTCGATCGTATTGCTTGGCTAGGTGACTTTTGAGTAGATAGATTTATGTTTCGATTCAATTATAACTGACCCTTGTTAACCATTATTGTCGAAACTCCATCCTCTTTTTCCGTATTGATTTAGAGATGAAAAGTACTTTCGTGAGAATCGTCCTGGATAACTATTCCAATAACTTTTTCTATCGATATTATCTGATTTTAATCGATTAATATTTCGAGAATATACGCTTCAATTCGTGTAGGTGTCGCTAGTTACACATCGCTTTAATTTATCCGCTACCTATCAGAAAGCGCCAGTAAATCATTGCATCATTGAAAATTCTCATCACCGTGACCGATTTTCGATAATTAATGTCTATAAAATATGTGATCTGGTCATTAGTCTATGAAAATAGTAATTCACATGCATCTAGTGGAATCTATTTTCATGTTGATCCTTCTACTACACATGACCAAAACAAGTGAGCTCCTGTCTGCATACTATTATTGTGTCGTTATCGTATTTCTATTAGATAAACTGAGCATCTTGCAGTATGTCACCGAACTCTTGAGAAAAATGCTGAAAAATCCCGCGAAGGGTCAATTAAAGAAGAAATACAAAAAGGAAATCATATTTGACTTCGATGAAATCTATGGAAGGTCGTTAAATACTTGGATGTCTCAAGTAGAACGAACAAAGACATCTATTGATAACTAATAAGCAAAAGAACGTTCCTTTTTAATGGCATAATTTTCATTAGATGCATACAATCATACAAGTCAAATCATCCTACACATTATATGGCACTATGTTCCCAAGTCTTCATATCATTATGATTCATACCTACTCCAGAAGACATATTTATTTTCGATTAAAAGTCTCAATGATGCCATCGTGATTCGTTAATAAATTCCTCTTTCGGATGGAAGAGATCTTTCTTTCTTTTTGTCAATATAAAAGCTTATTCATTCATCTCAGCATGAATCATGTTCTCGATAGATCAATCATTGTTTTTCTTTTGAATTACCTACTATTGATCTGTTTTACATACGAAATGAAAGGTCAACTCGAATATATACAGAACAAAGAGGTACCATGGTAAAACATGGATATAGCAAATCATTTCAACAAACGTTCTGATTGGTGCATTTCGGATTTGCCAAACAGTAAACATATCGTATGATAACATTGACTGTCTATTTCGTCGTTGTATTTTTTCTTTGTATGTTGATGAATAACGTCTCTTGTCCGATTAGAATATAAATAAGTCACAAAAATAGGAAATCTCCGATCATTTTCTAGATATGTAGTTCGGTGTTGTTCGACAAATCACTTTCTACTCACTTCTCTCTGACTTTGGACTTCTACTTCTTGACTGTGGACGGTTTTCGACGTAGACGAGATCAATTCTCTCTCGTTCTCTTATTCGGAAATTCTTTTCTAAAACGACAATTGACACGTGACTTTGAAAAAGAAAACACTACAAAATGCAATTAATTGAACAAGCTCAATCATTGCTAAATTTTGATGGTCAAACAACCTTTGACGTGGGTATTCTTGATGCAGTCATCAGTACGATGCATCATGGACAGGGCGATGCTGTACGTAGATGAATGTCTTTCGATATTTACATTCTATGTCATGTGTTTTAAGCAAAAACAAGCGAGCGAAGTATTGAATGTCCTACGTGACCATCCCGACGCCTGGACAAAAGTTGATTGTATTCTGGAATGTTCAAAATGTAAAGAAACGAAATATTATGCTTTGCAAATTCTCGAAAGAGCAATTCAAACACGATGGAAAGTTTTACCTAAAGAGCAATGCGAAGGTGAGAGTAGAGTTTTATCAAAATCCCGTTCGTTATTCGCATTTCTTTGCAGCTATTAAACAATTTATCGTCGGCATGATCATATCTTATTCGCAAAATCCCGCGTTGATGGAAACCGAAAAGGTTTATTTAAATAAATTGAATGTTGTTCTTGTTCAAGTATGAAAGAGATATTTTGTTGGTTTCGACTTTTTCGAAAATGGATGATTTAGATCTTGAAACATGAGTGGCCGAAGAAGTGGCCGAATTTCATCAGCGACATCGTTGAAGCAAGTAAAACCAGCGAATCGATGTGTCAAAATAATTTGGAGATTCTGAAACTTCTCAGGTAAGAAAATATGAATGGTGGAATTTGAATCGAATGTCCGTTTCAGTGAGGAAGTTTTCGACTTTTCATCGGGTCAAATGACTCAGGCAAAAGCAAAACATCTGAAAGATACAATGTGTAGCGAATTTACGAAAATCTTTCAACTTTGCGAATATGTTGTGGTAAATAATTATCTATGGACGAAAACCATTCGATCGATTTATAAAACTGCGCTGTTTTAGGAGAAATCTCGTCATCCACCATTACTTTTGGTCACATTGGAAACATTATTACGATTCCTTAGCTGGATTCCGCTTGGTTATATCTTTGAAACCAATATGGTCAATACACTCATCGACATATTTCTCACTGTTCCAATGTTTCGCAATGTAACACTTCGTTGTTTAACTGAAATTGGTATGTCTGTTGAAAAGATCGACATTTTCTAATGAGTTTTCGTCTTTAGCGAGTATTCAAGTTTCTCAATACGAAGATAAGTTTATCGAATTCTTCCATCGAACTATGGTTCAATTGAAAACAGTAAATTGAGAGTAAACATTACTTAAATCAACTTCTTTTTCTTCTATTTGACAGATACTGCCATTGACAATCGATTTAAAAACTGTTTATCGTACAGCGAAAGATGAGGATCAAAATTTCATTCAAAATTTAGCTTTGTTCCTCTCGAGCTTTCTTAAAGAGCACGGCTTATTAATTGAACGTTCAAATGATTATAAACAAACGTTAATCGAAGCACTCCAATATCTTGTTTTAATATCCGAAGTCGAAGAAATCGAAATCTTCAAAATTTGTTTGGAATATTGGAATATCTTAAGTGCTGAACTCTACCGAGACGTTCCATTTCAACGTACGGCGTCGTCATATCTTGGCAGAAGTGGTGATAACACTCGTCAACAATTCTATGCTGTTATTCTTTCGAAAGTAAGAGAAACTGCAATGAGCTTTTGAGAAGAACTTCACTTGTTTCGGGTAAGCAGGTTCGACGAATAATGATATCGCGTATGGCTCGTCCAGAAGAAGTTTTAGTTGTTGAAAACGAACGTGGCGAAGTTGTACGAGAATTTATGAAAGATACCGATGCGATTAATCTCTACAAAAACATGCGTGAAACATTGGGTAAACAAATTTCTCGAATAGCAACAAAAAAACGATTGTTTTGTTCTTTTTCCCAATGTAGTTTATTTAACACATTTGGACTATGTCGATACTGAATCGATTATGACGGAAAAATTAGCAAATCAAGTCAATGGAACAGAATGGTCATGGAAAAATTTAAATACAGTAAGTTATGATCGTGAAATACGAGAAATACGAAGATTTATCTTGAACTTTCTAGCTTTGTTGGGCGATCGGTTCGATTTCAGGTTCTATGGTCGAAGATGACGAAAAACGTTTTCTCGTCACTGTTATCAAAGTAAATCTTGTTTTTTCGTCGAGTAAAACTCTTCATTGTTCGATTTCATTAGGAGTTACTTGGTCTGTGTGAACAAAAACGTGGAAAGGATAACAAGGCTATTATTGCTTCGAATATCATGTACGTTGTCGGACAATATCCACGTTTTCTCCGTGCACATTGGAAATTTCTCAAAACAGTCGTCAATAAGCTATTCGAATTCATGCATGGTCAGTTTTCCTTTGCAACAGACTGTCTTGTATTCTTCTTTTTTTTGTTAAATAGAAACGCACGAAGGTGTACAAGATATGGCATGCGATACATTCATCAAAATCGCTCAGAAATGTCGTCGACACTTTGTCGTCACTCAACTAGGCGAATCCCAACCATTTGTTGATGAAATTCTACAGAATATTAATGGAATTATTTGCCATTTGGAACCACATCAAGTTCATACGTTCTACGAAGCTGTGGGAAATATGATTGCTGCATGTAGTGACATAGTTCAACAGACAAAATTCATCGAAAGATATATGCAGTTACCTAATGGCACATGGAATTCTATAATTAACGAAGCAAAACGATCGGTGGATTCTTTGAAAGATCCGGAAACTGTGAGCAGTATACTAAACGTTCTCAAAATCAACATTCGAGCATCGAAAGCCTTGGGCGCTCCCTACGTCCATCAACTAATCAAAGTTTATCAAGATATGTTACATGTCTATAAAGTCACATCAGAAAATATCAATCAGGCTATACACATCAATGGTTCGATAGTAGTTAAACAACGTTTAATCAAATCGATGATGACAATAAAAGAAGATACATTGATTTTAATCGGAAATTATTTTTCCAAATTGACAAGCTCTCAGCAAATTCGCGAGCAGTTTTTAAATCCGCTGTTTCCATTTGTTTTAACTGACTATCGTGATTGTCATCCAGACGCACGAGAAGCTGAAGTTTTGAACATGTTGGCAACCTTAATAGCGAAAGCTGAACTCACTATAGCAAATCGTATACCGGAAATATTCGATTTAACATTCGAACATACACTTCATATGATTGACAAAAATTTCGAAGATTATCCCGATCATCGGAAGAATTTCTACGTTTTTCTGCAATCAGTAATAAATTCTTGTTTTCCTGGTAAGTCAACTTTCATTGAATTTCTCGCAGAAAACGTCGCTTCTCATTTTGTAGCACTGTTGGCATTGAGTCCTACTCAATTCAAACTCGTCTATGATTCGATTATGTGGGCATTGAAACATACAATGAGAACTATTTCAGAATTGGGCTTGGAAATTCTTCAAATAATGTTAAGAAAGTTTCTGACTTGTGATCCACAAGCTGCACAAACGTTCTATCAAGTTTACTATCTGGAAACCATGCAACACATTTTTGCTGTTGTCTCTGAACGATCACATACGTCAGGTAAAGATTGAATTTGTTGAAAAGAATAGAGTAATGTATCGTTTTGTTTAAAGGTTTAACCGCGCATTCGCAAATTTTAGCGAATCTGTTTTTAATTGCTGAACAAGCTTTGATTAAAGTTCCATTAGCACCGGAAATTCAAGATCCAGCACAAAACTTACTTTACGTTCAACAATTCATGGCAAATTTATTGAAAACAGCTTTCCCACATTTACAAGACGAGCAAATCAAAGTCATTATCGAAGGTTTTGTTACATTGGATCAAGATATAGCTGGTTTCAAAGAACATCTACGTGATTTTCTCGTACAAATACGCGAGGCAACTGGTAGTGACACTGCCGACTTGTATTTAGAAGATCGTGAACAAGCATTAAAACGTGCAGCAGAGGAAAAACGTCACATACAAATGAGTGTTCCCGGTAAGTTTCCCAAATAAAAAAAAACTCGAGCAAACCAACTCATTCTATTATCTTTAGGTATTCTTAATCCTCACGAAATACCTGAGGATATGCAAGATTAGTTTTCATAACCAATCGAATTTACAATACATATGTGTATGTCGGCTCTCTCAGGAAGATGATCTTTATGAGCTTATATTTCTATCTGCGTACAGTTGAACAGTTCAAGAGAGATTTTTAAAAAGAGAGTCCATTCACGTATTTATTATGTACATATCTTATGCATATTATGATCATTTCATTTCATTGCTGTTGTAAATCTTTAGTTGAAAGCCAAGAAAATCTTTTCCCCCCGTTGATTATTTACTTTAAAGATGAAAAAAAATACTTTTGTGTATTGTATTGTCCATTTTGTTCTTCGTGTTCATTTCAACAAAATATTTAAGCGTTCGACGCGTGCATTGGATCTTTTGATTTGAAGAGCATTTCTTTTCTCTTGTTAAAATGATTGTCGTTCTTGTCAATTTATTTATTCTATGAAGAAAATCCAACTGATTGAAAAGACGAATTTTTCACATGTTCATTTCTATGCGACGCATTTTCTCTGACTATTCTGACGTTAACCTAAAAAGTCTTCGGCTGTCAATAGTATGTAATCAACATAAAATATTTGATGAAAGAGAACACGGAAGAAAATAGACGAGGAAAGAGAAAAAAAGGTGTCTTTGTTTGCCCGATTGTCTCTATTCTTACATTTGTGATATTAACAATCAAAAATAATGGAACAATACAATGGCAATGACAGTTTCGATACAGATCTGGACGATGAACAAGCAGGTATTTGTTTGAATTCGCTTTCGTGTCACTTTTCCATAAGGAAACAGTTAGTCGATCTTAGTTGGTGTATTTTTCTCTTTCTAAATGAAATTGAAAGATGGTAACCCTTAACTTTTCATCTGCAGGAGTCGAAAGTTATATGTGACTAAGTGGAGCGCAAAGAATACATTAAGCAGATGTTCTATGTGAGAAATGAAACTGATTCATTGAATATTTTTCTTACTACTAGTCGGCAAAGTCAGTCCTCGATGTATTTGAATATCAATTCCTCATTTTCATCGAAACTTTCATCGTTTTCTTGTGTAAAATTCTCCTAGCGAAACTCAAAAGCGTATTTGAGATCGTCGCTGTGTATCATTAGACAAGCGTAGTAGAAGCAATGTTCTCTCTACAAACACTCTTGAGAGAAAAAAAAGTGTTTTTGTTTTGCATGAGAAGATAATGTTTTCTTACTCTTCCACATCATCAACTCAGGTTTGATGTTTAACAGAGAATGAATTGAAAGGAAAATATGGCAAATTACACTTTACTTTGTCTAATTGTTTTCATCGAATAATAAGTATGGAGAGTATCGTACTTTTATCGTCTATTTTTTGGACGAAAAAGAAAAATTTATTGATGTCCTGTAGAACAGCTCGAGATATTCATCGTACCTCGATTGACATTCGATGAAAAATTAACTGCACACCGAGCTAATCGATTGAATCAAACCTTTGGTCAAACAAACATACCGCTCCAATCACATGATGACTTAAGAAACGAAACTCTTGTTCCATTACGGTGTCAAATTCCAGCTGAAAATGGTCAGACTATATTCATCGCTTGTTTTTCATATAAATCATTTCTTATTCATTTAGCAAGAGTTCATATCTATGAAAATAGCTGTAAAACACTCGACATAACCATCGACTGGCAAATCCGAGGTTTTCTTCCTTATGACACAATCAATATCGCTGACCGATCGTTCTCTTTCAATGATTTCCGCGCATTTGCAACAGCACTTCAGTCGAATTTAGAAAGTTTAACCTTACATGCGGTTAATCTGACCTCGTCATCACTTTGCGTTCTTTGCCAAGGATTAATTAAATGTGTTCGATTGAACCTATTAGATCTTTCGGATAACAAATTAGGTAAACGAGGATTCGATGCATTGGTGGCAACATTGAATGAACTCCCGTTGTTACGTTATTTATCATTGGCGAACTGTGAAATTCAAGATTCGTATGGATACAAAATCGGTGATATATGTCGACATCCCAGTTTAGTGGAAGTCAATCTCACTGGAAACAAATTTGAAGAGAATGCTTGTATTTTCATTGGCAACGCATTAAGTACAGAAATTCGATGAACTGTACTGTTTTATTCATAAGATTTTATGATTCTAGCGGAAAACCAAAGTTTAACATATTTAAATTTAAGTTGGAATATGATACGAAGTTATGCATCCATTGCCCTGTTTCGTGGAATTGAAGTGAGGACCGATTTTGTTTGTTTTCTAATTAGCTTCATGTTTTTCTTCTCGATGAAAAGGTCAACGAATGTTTAACAGAGTTGGATATATCATGGAGTGGATTGAGTTATGATGGAAGTGTTGCACTTCGCCGAGTGTTATGTGTCAACAAGGTTTTACAACGTTTGAACATAAGTAATTGTAATATTGAATGGATTAGCGCAAAGTTAATCAGTGAAGGGTTGAGGAAAAACTCGACATTACAACATCTAAATGTAATTTCCGAGAAAAATTTCTTTAAGACAAAGTAAAAACTATTTATTTCATAGTTGGCATATAATCCGATAACAACCCATGGTGCACAATATATAATTGAAGCATTGGATACTAATACAGGTGGAATTAATATGCTCGATCTCTCGGTTAGGCGAAAGACTTGCTCTTGATGATTTTTCAGGAAGTTTTTCTTCGTAGGGTATAACTATTTATACGTCGACTGTTCGTTTAGCTGAAAAAATTGCACGCGAAAGGGATTTCGTATTGAGATATGACTGTGAAATACCCGTTCATGATATGCTCGGTCGACAATCAGGTATATAAGAAGTTTTTTTTGTCATTAATCCTTCAGCAAACGTCACACGTTGATTCATATTCTGTTTCAGCAACCAAAGATGATTCAATACGTCGAGTAATTCAACATATTGAAGATAGAAATTGGCGTATATTGGAATACTTTCGAATGTTGAACAAGTCGAATAAACAAGAAATCGACAGCAAAGCTATTACACTTGACATTGCCGTAAGAAATATTCTCTTCTTAATTGTTGGTTTTGTGTATAATTATTTATGCGAATTAGAAATCGGGCGCGAAACTGGAAAATGATGAAATCGAAAGTCTTCATCAACGTTTGACGCAACGATCTGGAGAATCATTGACTTACAAGTATGAAGAAAGAGAGAATTTTTACGAGAAAAGATGTTTTTGTTTCAGAAATTTGAATTCGATTGTGATGGACCAACGATTACGTGATCGATCATTGAAAGCTCGACAGGAGAAACACGCGAAAGATATGGAAAAGCGCAATCAGAAGATTCTCGAAACTGTCAGTCATCATTTTCCGGGTATTGAAGTGATAAGCAAGCATCAAAAACGTCAAGAAGCAATCGAACAATTGGCTAGACCAAGAGTAATCGGTGCTAAAAAATAATATTGAAAACATTCTTTCAAAAAGAATTCCATTTTTTCTACGATTGATTTCAATGTAACAAGCAAATAAATCAGTAAAGAATCCAATGCTTCTTACCAATACTTTCTCTGCTGAATAGCGACCTCTAATTGCAAGAAAATATATATGTTCTGTTCAAACGCAATAACGAATCCTTGATCACAAGCATGAATCTTTCTTTCCTCTTCTCGACCCTGCCTTTCAATCATGTCATATGATTCTCGATACTGATAAGACTAACATAAATGTAAAACGAAAGTTTTAACAATAGAAATTGATTCATATTGAACCCGTTGTTTTTCTCTTCATGTTCCCAAGCATCTTCGTTTCTTTTGCGTGTTTTAGAATTGAGTAGTTTTTTTCTTAGCATGCTGAAAGCAATCTACTTTAACTGACATAATTTGATTGTTCCAATTATTCATAGTCCGTAGTCAGCAAAATTCTCTTGTAGATTCTATAGTAATTGAAGTTCTATCAACTCAACACGATATTCTTGTAGAATGAGTAAAGATGAAAATGAATATCTAAGTTTCTAGTTACTTAGATAAAACCCAATAGATTCATTTTCCTCTCTTTCAATAGTGCTACGGTTATCGTTTCTTTTCCTGTTCTTCAGGCCTATGTTTATATGATAGTAAAACGAAAAAGAATAGTCTCTAAATGTTTAGAGATAGTGTGTAGTCATTCGTCGTCAAATATTTTCGATTTATCTCTAGATTAAGATGGCTTTTACGCCGTATCAACTATTTTTAGCGGCTCTTATGCTAATTACTGGAAGTATCAATACTTTATCAACGAAATGGGCTGATCGGTAAAACGAGATTAATTTGCTTTGTTTTGCCTGATGAAGTATTGTATCTTGTTTTTCTAGACAAACGTCTCACTTTTGTGATGGATCTGGTGAAAATGTTACATACGAACATCCATTTTTTCAAGTAAACTCGATCTCGGATCTTTTCGTAAAATCCCTTCCGTGTTTTTAGGGTGTTGGAATGTTCTTGGGCGAATTCTTATGTCTATTAGTCTTTAAATTTATCTGGTATTCAACGGCTCAGTATCGCATCGAACGTATGACGTACAAAGGCGATGCATCATCTCGAATTGTTCGTTATTGGCCGATAAAGATTCAGAAAGACGTGCGTCTTGTCGACGGTGAACAAACATTCAATCCGTTGATATTCTGGGTTGCATCACTTTGCGATATGACATCAACGTGTTTATCTTACATCGCATTGAATTATACCAGCGCGAGTTCATTTCAAATGCTACGTGGATCTGTTATGGTATTTACTGCGTTGCTCAGGTATGAAAAGAACACAGATTGAGTGATTTCTTTTACTGTTGAAATTCTAGTGTGATATTTCTTCGAAAGAAATTAACGTGGAAACATTGGCTTGGAATTCTTGCAGTTGTAGCTGGCCTTGCAGTTGTTGGTGTATCAGATATACTTTTTTCACAACATCCCGAAGGGAGCCACACAAACACCGAGAAAATTGCAGGTGATGTCCTCATCTTAGTCGGAATGTTATTCACAAGTTGTCAAGTAGGACATCAAACATGATTTTCAGTCGTGTTGACTATCGAACTCTTTGTTTAGGTTGTGTATGAAGAACGGTTCATTGGAAAATACAATATTCCACCTTTACAAGCAGTTGGCTGGGAAGGAATATTCGGCTTTTCTACGCTTGGATTGTTGCTTATACCGGTAGATATGATTCGAGTTGAACATTCTTGATTTAATTCTTGTTGATTAGTTCTATTTCATTATTGTGCCTACATCAAATTCTGGTCCGGCGCATCGACTTGAAGATATTCCGTCAGCACTTTGTCAAATGCGAGGAAATTGGATTATTATTCTTGCAACAATTGGTAAGCAGTTTTCATGAGAATTCATTTCGATGGAATTTCTGTTTAAGGAAATGTCTTATCCATCGCCTTTTTCAATTTTGCCGGTATTTCTGTCACAAAAGAATTATCCTCAACGACACGTATGGTACTTGACAGCGGTCGAACATTAATTATTTGGGTTGTGTCATTAGCATTACAATGGCAAGCGTTTTATCCTTTGCAAATATTAGGTAAAATATTTTACTCCGAAAAAGAGAAAAAACTCGCACTTTCACTTATTTATTTAGGCTTTGTACTTCTGGTTATCGGTATGGGTATTTATAATGGCGTTTGGGAACATCTCATTCGACGCTTTCTCAGTCGCCCACCGATATCAAATGAGCGATCTCAATTATTACCTAGTCATGATGATGTATCAGTTTATCAATCAACATCAACAACGAATCCGTCAAGTACATTCGCTGAAACAGTTAATACATAAACATGTCTTCGTTGTCCTTCTTCTGTATAACACGATTGTAATATTTAACATAAGCAAAACATTTGATTTATTTTTATTTTTTTGTTATTCTCGAATCGATTCAGTTTCTATAGAAAGAAAAAATAAAATTTTCAAAAAGGCATTGATCATCAACGAACATCTGGTGAAAATTCGCTTAACCCACAATGCACTTTTATTTTACATGAAAATAAAACCGGGATTAGTGAGAATCAAAGATAAAGAACACAGCCAACTGACATATTGTATATATAATGTAGATTATTTTCGATCCTATTTTTCCTCCATCATCATGAATCGAATAGTATCGTTGATTTCTATTCTCGTATCTTTATCGATATGGAATACGTGCACGGAGAGCGCTTATGTTCAAGATAAGTTAGTCCGTTTAGAACCATTGACTGAGCAACATCTCGATTATCTTCGTTCTCTTGAAGATAATGGTTCGTTGGATTTCTGGACAGAAATTACTGGATCCGATCGACCAATCGATGTTCATATTCCAGCAAATGAATATGATCGATATGTCTCGGAATTTAAACAATATTCGTTGCCATTTCATGTTCTTGTCGACAATTTACAAGAATCGATTGACAATGAACAACGGGAACTTTTACAAGACCGTTTAATGAGACAAATTCAAGGCCGATGGGCAGGACAACCAAGAGCCAATATTGTTGGCACATATGCGAGATACAATGATATGGTGGCTTTTCTTCAAGAGAAAGCTACTGCTGATCCAACACATGTTGAAGTGTTCGATATTGGAAGAACATTCGAAAATCGAATTATTCAAGGTATTACGCTTAAATTCAATCCTTCGGCTACACGAAATATTTGGATCGATTGTGGTATTCATGCTCGAGGTAAAGAAGGTTAAAATGAATGTTCGGAGAAGTAAAACGAGTGATAAAAATGTTTAGAATGGATCACACCAGCTACATGTATTTGGTTAATTGATCAATTCATTGCTGAATACAATAATAATGATGCAACAACTCGAGATTTACTTAATAACTGGAATGTTTATATTGCTCCATCACTTAATCCTGATGGTAATTTAAAAAAATAAAATTTCGAGATAAATTTATTTTCTCAATTATTTTTAAGGTTATGAATATTCTCACACAACCGTATGTCTCACTACTGAAGCACTTATTTTCGAAATCGATTTTCTTGTAGAGCCGTTTATGGCGTAAAAATCGTAGTAAACGATCCTCATCTACCTGTTATGGTGTTGATCTCAATCGTAATTATCCATGGAAGTGGATGACTGGTATAAAGAAACACTGGAAAATATTTTTTTTAATTAATAACCTTGTATTTTCTCATAGGCGGTGCAAGCAGCAGCCCATGCAGTGAAACATATGCTGGTAATTATCAAGAGAAATCATGTTCACCATAGAACATAACATTTTTTGCGTGTCTTTACTCATGCAGGCCCATCAGCTGGTAGTGAAATCGAAACAGTTGGCGTCGTCAATTTTCTTCAATCGAAAATTAACACCTGGGACATGTATATGTCTTTTCATTCGTACGGTCAATGGTGGTTGTGAGTATAAACAAACGATGTTTGAAGTTTCACTTAATTAATTTTTATTTTTAGTACTCCCGTAAGTCGGATTTATCGATAAGTTTATGTTGCACAAACTTCTGATTTAGTATGGTTACACTACCAATCTTCCAGACAAAGCGCCAGCCAATTACGCTACATTAGAAGCAGCAGCTAAAGTTGGTGCTGCTACCATTCAAACATTTAATCAAAGAAAATATGCCGTTGGCTCTGTTTCACGATTATTATGTACGTCATTGAATAGAACGAACGTGAATTGATCGAAAAATGGTTTGATTTTGTTCTAGATATTGCCAGTGGTAGTACTGTAGATTGGGCGTATGATTCTTTGAATATTCCTTATTCATACACAATCGAACTTCCACCCACACAAGGTAAATTTCTCGCTTGTTTTCAAAGTCGTTGATTTGATTTTTGATCTTAGGTGATTCGGCTGGTTTTGTTTTACCGGTTAGTCTTGCTCCTGGTGTTTGTCAAGAGACTTACGCTGGCATGAAAACTTTCTTAGTTCAAGTTAAGAAAAATCTTGCGAGTTCGTCAAGTGGTTAAAAAATAAGTTCGCTTTTTTTTTTCTTTGTCGTTATCTTAATTTGAAACACTTCAACTTTTACTCCTGTCATCAAAATAAATCTGCAATATACGTACATATAAAATGCATGAGACAAAATTAACCACAAGAAAAACAACGTCCATTAACTGTTTTATTCATAATCTTGTCAAATTAATTCAAGTAGTACCTCTTCAGTGTCTACATACACACACAAATCTAATCAAATTGATCTTGTAGTTCTATTTTTCTCTTCGTCTCTCGCTCCTACGAAATAATCTATCATAAGGATTCAAATTCCGGTCGCTGTCTTTCTTTTCTTCTTAATGTCTATATATAAACGTCATCGTCATATGAATTTGTTCAGGTTAATGTCACGTTCATTCATTGAATATATCCGTCGAGATCTAATTGTTTTCCAATCGCATCTTATTTCTTCATTTATTGCTTATTCGTTCATCTTCCGATTCTTTTCCTATTGAAGAAGTTCTGATAAGTAATCTTCATCGTCATAACAGAAGATCTGCAGAGTAAAACACGAGCGAGACGAGAAAACATCGAAAAAATGTCCTCGAGCTTTTTAGATATATATGAGAATAAGAAAGAAAAATATGGAAGCAACAAAGAAAGAAAGAAGGAATTGTTCAGAACGATTTTCCCGCATCTCAATACAACGAGTCTATTACAATAAAGCTTTCACACCGTGCGACAAGCAGACATATATATATATATATATATATATATACATTCGCTGAACCCCCTTATGCGTCGATTCGCATTATTATAGCGGAAATGAAAAATGCACAAGATGGGTGACAGAGAGAAAAGGAAGATGGTACTTTGTGACAAAGTAGAGTAGCAATTGGCGGCTTTAAGAGGCTAACATAAATGTCTAAGCGATCCCTTGTGACGGTCGATTTTTTGTTCAAGAATAGCTCTTTGATATAAGATTGATATGTGATCAGGAAAGAATCTAAATGCGAAACTCTATAGGTGCTAATTCGTTTTCCTATCAAGAAATCATTAAATAATGAGTTCGACATATATCCATATATTATCAGAAATAGATTATTGAGTTGAGAACGACGAGAAAGAAACGAGGAGAAGAAGAAGAAGATGATGATGATGATGATGAAGAAAAAGAAAGAAAAGACATAAGAGAGAAAAAAGTCAGTAGAAGACAGGAAAAAATCTAACGGAGAAACAGTTTGTCAACAAGTCCTGTCGTTCCCCTTGCTTTCATTAATTGAGGCGACATAGTGCGATGTGTTCCTCTTGTTTTATTCAAGAAGTTGTTACCCGAACGAATTGACATTCTTTTCATTTTCATAATTGATCATTAAAACTGTAAGAACGGATTAGATTCTTTGACTTTTTCGCTTTCAACTTGTAATATTTTTCGTTTTTCTAGTCCTTCTTTCTGTTTTGTCTGTGTTCTTGTTGATATAATGGAAAACATCTTGAATTCGATTGATCAAATTCGGTTCTCTTGATAAACAACTCGACATGCAAGTCTTTCCATCGTTTCATCATTCTCTTCTCAACTGTTGTCATCTATGGAAATTCATTTTTCTCATTCTTCGAACGACACGGTAAGATTCATCTTGTTTTTCTTGTTTATGCTCTCAAATAACAAATGAGATTTCAGTTTAATACAATGTCAAATGAATACAACTGTTAATATATCATCGTTGTCTTCAATCAATGTAAGTAGAAACAAAATAATGCAGTACAAGACAGAATGGATGATTGGATTTGATTCAATTAGATATTTCCATCAATAATTCTTCGCCCTCAAGATAATTTACCTTTAACTGAACAAGTTATATACGATTTGCGGAATAATATGAGAAAAGCCAGTGAAGTCAATGACTTCGACGATGGAGACTATAGTGAAGATGACGATGTCGACTTTGAAGAAGAAAATCATCAACCTCTTTCATTACTTCCATCATCATCATCATTGCCAACAATATCTACAACATTGCGTACGACGATGTTCAATTCCCAAATCACCAAAACTCGAACAACAACTGCGACCACATTAGTTAAGATTACTACTAATCATCGCGTTGCAGTCATGGAAAGTAAATCATCCGATAATAAACTTACAACACCTTCATCTGCAACTTGTCATTGCCCGCTATTTATATATTTCTTATTTTCGTTTAGTTTCTTGTATAGATTCGATTAGTGAAACATTTCTTTTTCTTTATTTTAAAAAATTTACAAATCTATCTGACAATGAAGAGAAAAAACAATTTTCTTCATAATAAACAGCTACTTTTCGGTTTCGATCGATCTTCCAAATAGTTCCAAACCAACTAAAACAGGTAAAAGAAACGATTGTTAATAGAAAACTTATTTACTCTTCGTTTGCAGAAAACTTTGTTTGTTCATCAATACGTAAAAAATAGAAAAGAAATAGGTTTTTCTTTCTTTTCAAAGGAAATCGAACATAAAAGAACACGTCCTTGATCGAGAATAAAAATGTCCTGACTTACAGCACAAAATTGTTTGAGTAAGGTTTTTTCCGACTGGTGAGTTAGACATTGAGTTGTTTGATAAATTTCTACTGTCTAGTGGAGGAAACTCACGTGCTAAGAAATCGAAAAGATGAGTTTCGCCTTACTTTGATAGCATCAAAGATATTTTCAATAGAGATTTGTTGTTGAAGTTGATCATCAAACGGTGAGTTTAATGAAAATTCTGGTTCGATGGTTACTTTTATTCTGGATAGGTGATCGTAAATTGGATTAGATCTTTGAAAACTTGCTGGATAGTTTATAACATCTGTTTGTGATTGTTTCTAGAAAAATTAGATAACGATTAGAACCGGCGATTTTCTAGTTCATTCTTACATGTTTCTTATTCGAATTTGTAATCATTTGATGAATAATTAATCGAAGGGAATCATTTCCTTTTAAGAGTAATTCCTGTCGTTGTTCAAGTTCGATTAATTTCTCTTGATAATCCACGATTTGTGAAGTAAGTTTGTCTCTGGCAGTAGCACTAAATACTTTCCATTGTTCAACTAATTCCGACATTTTTTGACGTTCTTTATCAAGTAGAAAACATAATTCTCTTAATTCATCCTGACTTGCAGTTAAAGATGAGGAAGTTTGTCTCATCGCGTTCTCTTCGTCAATTGATAGCTAAAAGAAAGAAACTCTCAAAGAACAAATTTTCTTCAATGTCTGATTATACTTCTTCCATACGAAATCAATCGCTCAAGTTCAAATCTAAAATAATCCAATTAATCATTAAGTCAACAAGTCGAATAGAATTGTTCAACAATGTACTTATGTTGAAGAAGTAAATGTCTATACTAGTATATATGCACTCGAAGATCAAGTGTTCTAATTAAGTTGTATTCTATATTCAAGTAGTGTTAAATATGAAGAAAATCATCAACGATTTTCTTGTCTAATTCTAATGTTTGTAAATAGCTAAATATACTTAATAATTATACTTGAACACGTGTTGAAAAAGAAAGACGTACGTGATTGGCAGAACTGATTCGAGATAAAAGTTCTACAGATTGTCAGTTGTTCTATCAAATAGATAATTATAATGGAATTTGTAATTATCAGATGTTTGACAAGCTGAGTAAATTCTTGACGAAGGACAAATATGTTTGATTAAGCGAATCATTTTAATCATAACAAGAAAAAAACGAACTTTTTACTTTGTGGAGAAGCAAAAAGCACCGAATCAATCAATGAGTATGAAAATCGAATACGATAGGAAAAATAAAGGAAGATCAGGTTGACCGAGCAAAGCTGAGTATATGCCTCGAAGACATCCATATATATTCTGCGATAGCCTAGTCTTGTGCATCTTTTCAATGCTACTAATCATATGTGACAAATTACATTGATAAGCAAATGTTAACGGAATCTGATTATTAATAGATGATGACTGACTTACTCAATATTACAAGCAAAAAAGAATGTCTCTCAAATATTTCTTTGATTCCACTAACAAAACAAACTCGAAGTGTTAGATGCCTTTTCATAATTTATCTTCCTACTGAACTCGAGAACAAACTAATCGCATAGAAATTTAATCAGTCAATATTTGCTCATTAAAATGATCTCAGAAGCTTTTATACATTTGATCAATCGACGGCCTTGTGTTTCATGTGATCATTTAAGCCTTCCAACTAAAATTGTTCATACTCATTAAAGCTTTGCTTTTTTTCATGTCTAATTCAGCTTTTTCTCTTTCAAAGAGCATTAGAATACAAAATCTCAGAAAACAAAATAAAAGACAAGTTTTCTCGTACAAATCGGACCGATAAAACAGCGCCATCTTTTTTACGATTGAGGTTATACGTGTCGATCAACTATAATTATGCGACATATTACATATGACATACGGGGAACTTGTCCCTCTCATCTCCAACTATTCATGATAGTTTTGCTATGTATTAAATAAATGTTTTGAATGTGAGGGAAGCATTAGAAGATAGATAATCGTGTGATTTAGACGAAAAAATACAGTAAATGACACGAGTGTTCTGTCCATTTATGAATGCGACGCGACCAACAGCAGGACTCAATTGCTTTTACTAACTAAGAGAGATTTAGCTATGCTCTTCATCGATCAAAGTTTTAATAAGAAATTTCATTTATTAAAAAATATTCGAAATAATAAGAACATGACTGCTTCCCAAAAAATATTGAAGAAACTCGTGAAAATTACTGAAAAGCACAATATAGTTACAACGTAAATAAAATATTCTCTTATTGAAGAGTTTTGTAGAAAAATGCTAATCATTTTTTATTAAAAAATAGTTCGTATTTCGTAAGATTACAATTGTATAAATTTTAATTATTAGACGATAATAACCAAATATGTACAGTATAAAATGTATATGTATGTGTAGAAGTGCACTTGTTTATTAAATCGTTGAGAAGCATCATTGAATTGAACGATCAAATTGTTAATAAAATAAAGAGAGACTGAGAACAAAGACACTATTGAGTAAGGTAACAGTTTCCTCGACGCTATGCCAGCATAAAACATGATCTATAATGTAAAACTTCTTTACAAACGATTTCATTTCTTTATTTGCTTAAACGTTTTTTATGTTATGAAATTAGTAGATCGAAAGATTTCGAATGGAATGGATCTTGACCTATGGTCAAGCACTGAGTTTTCGACATACCTTCTCTCCATACAATATTGTACAACTTTTCGATCATCGGGAGGAAAAATTCGTCGAAATTTTCAGCATAAGAAAAAAGTTTATCACAAAATCACACGTGTTCATACTATGAAGAATGTTTTCTCTTTATTCATTTATTAAGACAATAAGAGCGCCTAATTCTTTTCCATTTAAAACACGGATACTTAGGTCAACGTATTTTAGCTATATTCTCTTTCTCGTAGAGATGAGTCTTAGACACATAAATTGTTTGTTTGCTTGCTTGCTTGTGTGTCCGCAGGGTCAAAAAAACATCGAAAATCGATTTTTCTGAGAAGATATTTTCAGATGCACTTCATTGCGGAGACTTCGAATCTGATGCTCGCTCTTCGAATTTTTTTAGACAAGGGACCACATTTTTACGAAAAAAAAATTTTTTCTCTCAAAATTGACCAAAGGGCTTTTTGGGTCGAGGAACTCGATTCTGATGTTAGTTTTTTGAGAACTACAAACAAAAATTTTGAAACAAAGGGTACCCATTCTCGGAAAAAATATGTATAACCATATGATATCGGATATAGTCAAGTGTATAAGTATGGTAAATGAAATATTCTCGTCATTCTCTGGTGACCTAATAGTTAATTATTGATCTCCATAAATGAACTCTGAAGTAACGTAGCTGTTGTTCATATACACGCAATAATGTATTAAAACTATGACATCTGAAATCAATATTTCTACGACAAAGAGCTGAGCGAGTCCAACGACGAGCGTTACTTGTTGTTATCAGCGGAATCAAATCGTGGAAAATAATTCTAGTAAGAGAGAATATGAATGCGCATGAATTAAGCAATAAAATAGATTTTCAGCCAAATTATATGAGCGATATGCATTTCAGCAATAGAAAACCTATGCTGAAGAACTAATTAGAACAATGTAGTTCCATTCGTTTCATAATATAATGCAGAAAGCACAGAGTAAAATCCCATGGAACGATATAACATATACCACGCATTACATAAAATACTATCCTCCACAGCCAAATAATAAATCAGCTACTATTTTTGTTCTTCGTTGTAAATGCTCGCATATGTATGACATGGTTATTGTATTTTAAGAAACTAATCGGCAGTTATCTGTTAACAGAACTACAGGTGTTTTAAAGTAAGATATTACAGCGTTCTTGTAGCTTTGATGATTGTCTTTAAAGCCATCTGTTTGAGCATATTGAAAAGCGGCTTAGCTTTTTCAATAGGCTAAACGCCTTGTTTCCGAAGAGAATCGATAACGTTTGTTTTTTTCGAAGGTTTTCCACGTTTTCTTATTTACTAAAATGCCATGGGGTAATTAATTCATCAAAATGAATTCACAACAAATTGTTAGAGCACCTCAGTGAGGGAGTTGGCATTCTATTTATGTAAAAAGATGCTGCTGAGTGTTCTAACTCACTCTTCAACACAAAAAAACAGATATATATTTTAGGAGTGACAATTTAACTTAACTTTAAGTGTTCAAGTTAACGTCACCCTTGCGGTAAACCATAGCTCAATTTTATATTTTGTGGCTTCAAAAAGAAATAAAAGATCATGTGACTGGTTTTTCAAGTTGACAAATGATCATTTTTTCTTGTTTCTTTTATCTATCATCGAATAAGACTCGGGAAGAATGAAACGAACACACTGAGAGATGCTGCATAAAACTCTCAGCAAACTATATCGTAAAACTTTCCACAGTCATGTGTTTTTTTTACCGAAACACGTCAAATGGTGCAAATCGATCAGTGAAAACTGACTGGTTAGCATTTAGCGTTCTTGAAAACAAAATTTACATAATCAAAATAAATCTCTGATGTAAGCTGTATAGTTTTTTTAACTTCCACTATACTTTTTAGCTAAAAAAATTAATTTAGAGGTGTCAATTTCTTTTCAAGAAAATCGAATCGGCTTGCAAAAGCATAAAAGATTTCCGACTTTTAATTCTTGAAACTTCTATTTTAAATGTCAAAACAGAATTCAATGAGCATGCGTATTCTAACGTCATCTTTCTGCGCACGCCAACAATTCGTAACTGTTGAAATGATTACACGTCAGTTGTTTTCGTCAAAAGCATATATAAATACATCACCACCATGAGTTAGTATTCATAACGAACAAAGTCAAACATTTTTCATCGTCTCCAGTCTCTACAGTACGGTCTGCTACACGATTGAAACACAACATGCATACATTTTCCACATTACCCGTCGAACTTGTTTATCGAATTATGGATCATCAAAATGCGCAAACGCTATTTGGTTCAATGCAAAATATTTCCCGGCGGCTCAATCAGATTCTGAGCACCTATGAGCGGTATCGAGTAAGTTTACTTTGCACCTTAACACTCTTGTCGGATGTGCTACACATAAGCCTAATGATATTCGACGCCGTAAATTTCCTCATAGGAAGAGGTAAAGTAATTTCATAATCCACAAATAATTTGATTGAATAAGAAAATAACAGTGCAAAGTCATACGAAATCAAGCATTCCTCCACTCTCTCGCCTTTCCGCTATATATCTTAAACTATTCGATACAAAAGCGCATCAACTATAACTTTTGATGAAACTTCACAAATGAAGCAAACTGACCTCCACAATTTCTGGACCTATGCCTATATTAATTCTAACCATCAACCACACCGAATCCAACTCCCACATATCCCAAGAGTAGTATTTCAATTTCATTGAAGGGCGCCCTCAAAAGAGATATCTCGCTACAATCAATAACTATTGATAGTTATATCTTACTCTTTCCACTCGATTAGCTCGCAGTAATCTCGTGTCTATATTGCCAACACAGCACCGCTTCTCTCAACACATTGTTTCCTGCGCAACAATTACCATCATCATCCACACCTAACAATACAGATCTACATCCAACTGCTCCCTAAAAATCTTCCCCAAACATGACTATTTCACATCACACATATACAATCACAACTCTCATCAAAGATTCTCTTTGCTATTTGACCTTTTCATATTATAATGCTTTCATGTAGACACTCACCACACTAAACCTGTCCGCCAACAGAATCGGTGATGAAGGGGCACAACACATTGCGGATGCGTTGCGAACAAACACGGTAATATTGATCTCATTTCACGGAAGTTGACGCACTCAGTCTCTCTCACACCTACAGACACTCACCACACTAAACCTATACGGTAACGAAATTTACTGTGAAGGAGCACAACACATTGCGGACACGTTGCGAACGAACACGGTAATATTGATCTCATTTCACGGAAGGTAACGTACTCAGTTTCTCTCACACCTACAGACACTCACCACACTAATTCTCAGTTGGAACAGAATCGGTGCTGAAGGGGCACAACACATTGCGGATGCGTTGCGAACAAACACGGTAATATTGATCTCATTCCACGGAAGGTGACGTACTCAGTTTCTCTCACACCTACAGACACTCACCACCCTCGATCTCTGCAGTAACGGAATCGATGCTGAAGGGGCACAACACATTGCAGATGCGTTGCGAACGAACACGGTAATATTGATCTCATTTCACGGAAGGTGAAGCATTCAGTCTCTTGCACACCTACAGACACTCACCACCCTCCATCTCCGCGGTAACGGAATCGATGCTGAAGGGGCACAACACATTGCGGATGCGTTGCGAACAAACACGGTAATATTGATCTCATTTCACGGAAGGTAACGTACTCAGTTTCTCTCACACCTACAGACACTCACCACACTCGATCTCGGCGGTAACCTGATGGGTGCTGCAGGAGCACAACACATTGCGGAGACGTTGCGAACGAACACGGTAATATTGATCTCATTTCACGGAAGGGGAAGCACTCAGCCTCTCTCACACCTACAGACACTCACCACACTCGATCTCAGCAATAACGGAATTGGTGATGAAGGAGCACAACACATTGCAGATGCGTTGAGAACGAACACGGTAGTATTGATCTGATTTCACGGAGGGCAAAGTACTCAGTCTATCTCACACCTACAGACACTCACCACTCTAGGTCTCAATGGGAACGGAAGCGGTCGTGAAATAGCTGAAAATATTGCGGACGCGTTGCTTAGGAATGCAGTAAGCCTAATGCTGTGTTGAAGGGAATTCGAAATATTTGATTTACGTTTCTCTTAGAGCGTCAAGATGGTGTAGATCGTGCGATGAATGGAATGGGAGAAGCGAGTGTGAGTCTGGTGAGTCTTTTCGTAGAAAGAGTTTTGTTCGAGGGAGAAGTTGGTCGATATCATTTGGTGTGTGATTTGGGTGACGTTGAGAGGCAGTTAGTGAATAGAAAATGAATTGTGTTGTGAGAAGTGGATGTGACGTGAATGAGAATCTTTTTGTTGTGAAAAAATATATGTGGAATAGGTGGAAGTGAATGCTTTAGCTATGAAGGTGTAACAGAGCAGTGTTTGATGGAAGAGGTGATATGGCAAGATACGCTTATGAGAGGTTCTCATGGATTGGAATTTGTTTCTGAAAGTGCGTGATTGACAAGACAACATTGCTGTAGACTGCTCGAGTATATTTGAGATATAGCAGAATTGAATCGACAGGAGTGCAGCACGTATACATTTTGCGTGTCATTTCTCGTAAAGGCAGGGTGATCAGACTATGATACTTTGAACGGGAGTGATGTTTCATTAGTATTTAGCTGTTTTATGTTTGATTCCAAAGCGTAAATATATTGAGAGCTTGATAATGAAGTTTTATGTTTGTTTGTAGTTTGTTTTTGGAGAGGATAGTATGTATGCATTATCTATGAATTCTGTAGTGCATTGGAAAGAAACAATGTATTATATAATGAATGTTTCGTTAACTGAAATTACAACTGTTGACCCAGATTTGACAACATTGTTGAAAATTTCACTAGATGATTAGTTTAGCAGAGAGCTACTACTACTTTGTTTCGACATACTCACCAGATATCGATCGTAAGTGTTGAGAATCTTGTTGAATCGCTGGCAGACATTTTGCATTGAACAAAATAATGTTTTTTTACTCTCGTGATCCAAAATACGATAAAAAATTTCGACTGGTAAATTGAGGAAGCAGGACATAGCTTTCACTTTGCGTTCTTCAAAATGACTTTAAAATGTTCGGTGTTGGTGTTTGAATACATAGTTGGATATGTCTTTGTTTTTTGTTTTGTGATTATCAGTAGTTGATGGCGAAATTACTTTTTACTTCCTCGCTAGTTTAAGATAATGCAAATGAAGCGAAACATGACATACCCGAAAGCGAATGTTAATTTTATTGCGAATAGAAGGAGGTTTAGTATGCATAGCAGTATGTTGAAATCTAGTGAAAGTGTAAAAGATAAAATATAAGTGAACATATTTCATAATATATTCTTATAAGAAAAGTAAGAAACAATCCCTTTTTGTACCAGCATTAAATTTTTTGAATTGATTCGAAATATATTTCATGCAAAGTAGTTGTTGACATTTTAGTATGTTTTGTAAATTATATCCAAAGAACTGTAATATAAGATTTACCTTTCGTGTTCGTGGACATTCTGTTGAAACAACACTATTTCATCATGAATGCGAAGTGCTTTAACTCAGAAAAAGTGATGACTGTATCATAAATATGAACTCAACGATTATTCTCAATGCCATATAGATGGTAGTTTTGAGGGGCACACTTTATTGTTGATACATCAAGGAATTTCTAGTTGTTCCAACGAAATATGATCAAATATACTCACATTAAAGTTTCCAATATAGTTGAGTGAAATTCATTGCTCTCTGTATTTCTCGTTTTACTCTTCGTATATGGGTACATTTATCCATCCGCATACACGTGGACTCGAGCGAGAAATACAGAAAGCGATAAATTTCATTTTATTACACTGGGGATTTTAGTGTGAAAGTATTTTCTCGCTATTTGGTCATGTTTCATCGAACGAATTAGAATTGTTTTTAGTTATTGCGACAACAGTGAATGGTAAAAATGGATCTAGTCCCACGATTCTCGTCTGAAAAAGTCGTGTTTGGAGTCAACAGAAAGACAAAAGAAAATCCTTCTATCCCATGCAATTTTTTTTGAATTTCAACTCCATAATTAAATATTAAAACTTTCAACGCTCTAGAAAAAACTCTAGACTACTTTTCGTATTCCGACACTAAAATAGAGAAACAAAAAAGCTTACATGAAATTGTAAAAAAAAACATTTCTCTGTCGCCTCGTGTCATTCTAACCTGAATACAATAAAAATCGTTATACGAAAACTATTTTTGGAAATATTCGTTTTCTGCACTAGAATATGTTTGTCTTTTTTTCCGAGTATTTCGATCAGATGAAACTTTGGTAGTATTTAGGTTAGGTTTGTTTCTATACACAAAAAATTTAAGGTCAAGAAGTTTACACGAAGCCGGACGCAACTTTTGAAGGGAGAAGTTCTTGAACGCCATGCTTTCGCAATAGCTAAATAGTTCAATAGTTGAATAAACTTTCAAGTTTGACACTATAACTGTTTAGTGTCTGATAGATGGTGCTAGAATGCGAGAAAAGATTTCAACCCCTCCAATCCATTGTCTACGAATCTGCGTACTCATAACTGAGCCAATAGATAAACTGCGTCGCTAGCGTCTCCTACCGACATGGTATATGTATCAACAAACATGGCTAAGAATTCTATTGGTTTGCGCTTCGTTCAAATCGAATAAATTTTACAATGATAAAAATTGAGATAATATTTGTTTTCTTTCTCACCTTTCATTCTGATTAAGATATGTAAAATAATCTCAATTAAATCAATCGTTACTAAACAAACAAAGAAAAAGAATGAAGTTTCCGGATTTATCTATGGTACGATTAGAAACAAAGAAGATTTGTTTTTCGTAAATATAATTTTCAATTACTTCTTAGTCGAATCCAATTCGCCTTCGAGACCTTATTCGACAAATACGTTCAGCAAAAACAGCGGCTGAAGAACGTGCGGTTGTACAAAAAGAATGTGCTTACATACGCGATGCATTTCGTGATGAAGATAACACCTGGCGATGTCGAAATGTCGCTAAACTACTCTACGTCTCCTTGCTCGGTTATCCAGCACATTTCGGACAGGTGAAGATTCCTTGAATTAAGAACATTTTCATGTAAAATCGAACTTTCCTTTAGCTGGAGTGCTTGAAATTAATCGCATCAGCGCGATTTACAGATAAACGTATTGGTTATCTAGGAGCAATGCTATTACTCGATGAACGTCAAGATATTCATGTACTCATTACAAATTCACTAAAAAAGTAAGTTTACCTAAGAAGATGTTTGAAGGTACAAAGCATATCGTCAAATTGTTTTAGTGATCTGAACCATTCAAATCAATATATTGCAGGTTTAGCACTATGTGCATTAGGTTCAATTTGTTCACCAGAAATGAGTCGTGATCTTGGCGGTGAGGTTGAAAAGTTAATGAAATCNGGTACAAAGCATATCGTCAAATTGTTTTAGTGATCTGAACCATTCAAATCAATATATTGCAGGTTTAGCACTATGTGCATTAGGTTCAATTTGTTCACCAGAAATGAGTCGTGATCTCGGCGGCGAGGTTGAAAAGTTAATGAAATCTTCGAATCCGTTTTTAAAGAAAAAAGTAGGAAAGACGCCTTGGCCGATCGATTAGAAAATCATTCTTCTAGGCTGTTCTATGTGCTGTTCGGATCATTCGGAAAGTTCCTGAACAATTTGATGTTTTTCAGAATTCTATTCGAAGTTTACTTAGTGAAAAGAATCATGGTAGATTTCTACTGATTTCAATAAGAAATTCCGAACCTAACTTTATTTTGCTTCAGGTGTGCTGCTAACGGCGACTGCTCTTATTATTGAAATGTGTCAACAAAATAGTCACGCACTGCAAATCTTTCGAAAAGTCTGTTCAAACGAAATGTTTCGTCATTCATTTCGAATTACTTATTAATTTCAGTTAGTACCAAATCTTGTACGAATTCTCAAAAACTTAATCATGTCAGGTTACAGTCCTGAACATGACGTATCTGGCATAAGTGATCCGTTTTTACAAGTAAACACAATCGCCGTAGAAAAGAGAAAAATTAAAAATCATTCTTTTCGTTTCTGTTTAGGTGCAGCTTTTACGTCTAATGCGAATATTAGGTCGTAATGATCTGGAAGCGAGTGAAACGATGAATGATATCTTAGCACAGGTGTCGACAAATACAGAAAACAGCAAAAATGTCGGCAATGCAATTCTTTATGAAACGGTATTAACCATTATGGATATTAAATCGGAATCTGGTTTGCGAGTATGTTGCTAAGAAAATACTTGTCAATCATTTCTTTGTGTTTGTCTTAAAAGGTGTTAGCCGTAAACATCCTGGGAAGATTTCTACTCAATAATGATAAAAATATTCGTTATGTGGCGCTGAATACACTTTTACGTGTTGTTCATGCCGATCATAATGCTGTTCAACGACATCGAGCAACGATTGTCGAATGTTTGAAAGATGCTGATGTTTCAATCAAAAGGTAATCCATGTCGATTAAAAAATCATTTGATTTCGATTGAAAGTTTTATTTTAGACGTGCAATGGAATTATGTTTCGCATTAATTAACTCGAATAATATACGAACAATGATCAATGAAATGATCACATTCCTTGCTACATGTGAGCCCGAATTTCGAGCCGACTGTACATCGAACATGTTCTTAGCTATGGAGCGGTAAAGAACATTGAAAAACATTCGTGTGCAATTCATGTATTTTTCCCCATAGATTTTCACCATCAAAACGATGGCACGTAGATCAAATGATACGTGTACTTACAACGGTATGTGTGTTCTTTGAAAAGTCCAAGAATAAAGGAAGATAGTTTTTGTTGATTTAGGCTGGAAATAGCGTTCGGGATGATATTGTATCTAGTTTAATTAGCATTATATCATCAACTTCTGAATTACATGGTTATACAGCACAGCAATTATATAAAATTATTCGAAATGATATAACTCAACAACCGCTCGTTCAAGTAGCATCGTGGACTTTAGGTAATTGAAATCAGCGATCGAAGTTCGATGTAAACGCATTTCCTTCTAGGTGAATTTGGTGATTTATTTGTTAGCGGACAATATCAACATCCGGATGATAATGAACATGTTCAAGCATCTGAAGATGAAATTGTCGGTGTATTAGAGAAGATTTTAAACTGGTCGATAAGTACCGTTGTGACACGTGAATATGCGATAAACGCATTAATGAAATTGAGTACTCGATTTCCAAGCTGTTCAGAGTATGTTTCAAAGTTGTTACGAAAAAGATCGAATCTTAAATACTCATTCTTTCCTTTTTCAAGTCGAATTCAATCAGTCATGACTGTTTACGCGTGCAATATGAATTTAGAATTACAAACACGTGCTGTGGAATACACATCACTTTTTACTAAGCATAATCCGATTAGGTAAAAGATTTAACTCTCTGATTATTACGTACATATAGATGTGATCTACTTTTTGTTACTAGACCTAGTATTGTCGAACGTATGCCAGTGCTTGTCAGCAATGCAGCATCGAATACAGCTAACGAGGAAACATCTTACGAACAAGAAGAATCGCCTTCATTCAACGGACAGAATCATTCCGCCCAAGCAACAAATCCATCTGAACATGTGGTAAACTGGAAGTATTTGTCCGATTTTTAAAGTCTGTTAATATTTATTTCAGAATGATCTATTTAAAATGCTTGATGAAACTCCTCAAACGAATGGTAGAAATGATTCGAATGCTCATTCAAATATCTTAGATTTATTGAATTCTGGTTCACCACAAGTATCCTCGTCATCCAATCCACTCGAAGATATTCTCTTCGGAGATGACTCATCCAAAAATGAATCAATGAACGGTATTCATCCGTCAAATTGACTGTTTTTCAACAAATCTTCCTTATTTGTCTTCAGGTTCGAATTCCACTATTCCATCCATGAAAGTCATTGATAAAAACGGCCTTTTGATCGTATTTCAATTTGAAAAACAAGACAGTGTCCTGGTAATACATTTACATGCAACTAATTCAACATCGATACCATTGAAAAATTTTACTTTCAAAGCAGCTGTACCAAAAGTAATTGTAAACTCGCACATACATCGATTCTTATTCATTTTCTTTCGTAGACATTCAATCTGGAATTATTACCACCAAATAGTACAACTATTCCGGCAAATAATTCCGGCGATGTTCGACAAATAATCAAAATTTCCAATCCCAACAAAGATAAACTTCGTATGCGTATTAAGTTGAGTTATTCATCTAATGATTTTCAAGTGAATGATGAAGCAGAATTAAACACATTTCCTGAACAGTGTTATACTTGAATCTTTTTTCTCTCTCTCACACACACACACACACACTCTCTGCGTTTCGTCTGTTCAGTTCAATCTCTACACATATTTATTATCATTCATATATGCATGTTTTCTCATTGTCATTTATTCACACCATTTTGTTCGTAGAAATAACTTCATTTTTTTGTTCACCTCTTTTTCTATCAATGTCAAAACAAACACACAGAACATGCCTAGTTGAAAAACAACTTTACATTCCATGTTCATTTGAAAAAGCAAAACATACGGTTCACGAAAGTATTCTCATATACTATAGGGGCATCTTGATTGGCTGTTTTTTCTTTCTTGTCGCACTCAACTATGTCGTTTTCCTCTATCTTTCTTTCTGTATTGTGCTCATCTACATATGTTTCAAGTGATTGTGTGAAAGCAATGATGATCAATCGTTTTATTCGTTATTACAAAATAAAATTTTAACATTTAGACTAAGATTAAAATCAGTTGAGCATTCGATCCTATCAGTTCGCTTTTCACCCGAAACGAACACAAGAAGAGTCATCTACACTTCTATGCAATTTGAGAGAAAAAAAAGAAAATTCTGGTAATGATTGGTCTCTGAGCAACGAAACATACTTCGATTTTCGATTCAACACTAAGTGCATACAATCGTTTAAACATACAAAATCACGTAATCTATTCTTCTTTTATTCTCATCATTCTAGAGGACAAACTACAATCATAGTCATCATCCATCTTATAGCTTTTTGTGTTTCTTTTATTCTCGTTCGTTTTCTCCTTTTCTTTTTCTTCCTTTCCTCCATTCTTTTTTTCTTCCTTCATTTGACGCTACGAGATGTTTCTCGAACACTCTGGAATCCCATCGTATACCATTTTTTTCTTCTCTCTTTTCTCCTTCTCTCTTCTTCTTCCTTGCACCAGCCATTGTTGCTCATATATAGTAGACTGCCCGTGCGCATACTACAAGCATATCCAACAACACATATTGACTGTTAACCGCATTCTTTTTATTCTAATTTAACTTTCAGATTTCCACGTAACACTTTTACTTCATTTTTTTCTTCGATTACTTCAAAACTACTTTTCATAAACAATGGCCGACACTCGCAAAGCAATTGGTATTGATTTAGGTACAACTTATTCTGTAAGTTGAAAGCAAAAGTTATTTCGAAAAAGTTTATTGTCATTGTTTTCCTTTTCGAATGTAGTGCGTTGGTATCTTCCAACATGGTAAAGTTGAAATTATTGCTAATGACCAAGGAAATCGCACAACACCATCCTATGTCGCTTTCACTGATAGCGAGCGTTTGATTGGTGACGCAGCCAAAAAGCAAGTAGCAATGAACCCAAATAATACTGTTTTCGATGCAAAACGTCTCATTGGTCGTAAATATGATGATACAACAGTACAATCGGATATGAAACATTGGCCGTTCAAAGTTGTTAACGAAGGTGGAAAACCAAAAATCCAAGTCGAATATAAAAATGAAACTAAACTGTTTACCCCCGAAGAAATCTCTTCAATGGTTTTAACAAAAATGAAAGAAATTGCTGAAGCCTACCTTGGTAAGAAGGTCTCTGAAGCTGTTGTCACTGTCCCAGCTTACTTCAACGATTCTCAACGTCAAGCAACAAAAGATGCTGGTGTCATTGCCGGCCTTAACGTTCTACGTATTATCAACGAACCAACAGCTGCTGCCATTGCTTATGGTTTAGATAAGAAAGTCTCCGCTGAACGAAATGTTTTAATTTTCGATTTGGGCGGTGGCACTTTTGATGTCTCCATCTTAACGATTGAAGAAGGTATCTTCGAAGTAAAATCAACAGCCGGTGACACACATTTAGGTGGTGAAGATTTCGATAATCGAATGGTTTCACACTTTGTTCAAGAATTCAAACGTAAACATGGCAAAGACTTACAAGACAACAAACGTGGTCTCCGCCGATTACGTACAGCTTGTGAACGGGCTAAACGTACCCTATCATCATCGTCACAAGCCTCGATTGAAATCGATTCCTTACACGAAGGTGTTGATTTCTATTCAACAATTACACGTGCTCGTTTCGAAGAACTCTGTGCTGATCTTTTCCGTTCAACACTTGAACCTGTCGAAAAAGCTTTGCGCGATGCTAAAATGGATAAAGCACAAATCCATGAAATCGTTCTTGTCGGAGGCTCAACACGTATTCCTAAAGTACAAAAACTCTTACAAGACTTATTCAATGGCAAAGAACTGAACAAATCTATCAATCCAGATGAAGCCGTTGCCTATGGTGCTGCTGTTCAAGCTGCTATTTTAACAGGCGACAAATCTGAAGACGTTAAAGATTTGCTTTTACTCGATGTTGCCCCACTCTCATTGGGTATCGAAACTGCTGGTGGTGTGATGACAGCATTGATTAAACGTAACACAACAATTCCAACAAAACAAACTCAAACATTTACAACTTACTCAGATAATCAACCAGGTGTATTGATTCAAGTTTACGAAGGTGAACGTGCAATGACCAAAGACAATCACTTATTAGGTAAATTCGAATTATCCGGAATTCCACCTGCACCACGGGGTGTTCCACAAATCGAAGTTACATTCGATATTGATGCCAACGGTATCTTGAATGTTTCTGCTATGGATAAGAGCTCTGGCAAAGAAAATAAAATCACAATTACAAATGATAAAGGACGTTTATCGAAAGACGAAATCGAACGTATGGTTTCTGATGCTGAAAAATACAAGAAAGAAGACGAATCGCAACGTGATCGTATTTCAGCTAAGAATTCGTTGGAATCTTATTGCTTCAACATGAAAACAACAATCAATGACGAAAAATTAGCCGATAAAATCGATGCTGATGATAAGAAGAAGATCACTGATGCTATTGAAGAAGCATTGAAATGGATGGAAACCAATCAAGTAAGATGACAAATTTGCTTGCTTTTCTTTTCATTCTGAACTTGTTCTTTTTAGCTTGCGGAAAAAGACGAATTCGAACACAAATTAAAAGAAGTTGAAAAAATCTGCTCGCCAGTCATGACTAAACTCTATGGTGGTGCTGGTGGCGCAGGTGGTATGCCTAGTGGCTTTCCAGGAGCTGCCGGTGGACCACAACCAGGTGCTGGTGGCAGCGCTGGTCCAACCATCGAAGTATGAATACGAAATTGAAAGAAAATAATATTATTCAAATCATTTTTCTCTTTGTTTTAGGAAGTCGATTAAAAATCGAGTTTTCTCTTCAATTTCTTTTTTCGTTTTTTTTTCTTTTATATTGTCAGCGTGTCGTGTACTTGTGTGTGTTTATAAAAAAAAAGAAAGAAAATTGTGTGATGATGTGGACTTTCTCATTAAAAAGAAAAATAAAATTCAAGTCAACAAATATCGATTGACACTCAAAACGAAAACCTGTTATCTCTTTTCTTTCAAACAAATGCCACACCATAATAGTTATGGTCAGGATTATTGAAACATTTATATGAACAAAGGAGGACCCGTTGTGGAATAGTTGCAATTGTCGTTTGTTGGGAATGAGCACCTTTGAATGTTTGTTGGACATCGATAAACTCAACACATTCTAACCAAGTATTTAAAAAATAATTATGACAAAATTGACATTCAGTGCATTGTACTAAAATGTCTTTTGCTTTAGAATTCTTTTGTAAGTGCGCACGAGGAATGGCTTGAGAACCACCGTTTGTGTTACATAATTCTCCCATTGCTCGACGCGCACAGATTTCTTTCAATGTCAAAATTTCATTTTCTTGAACCGAATGAATCGGCACACGTTCTAACAGTGGATTGTGTTCGCTGTGAAATTCATGAAGTTGTAACGTATAAAATTTACTCGGAAAGATACGAAGACGGTTACATGCGATATCCAAATGTTTCAACGATGTTTTCAGATTAGTTATACTTTCCGGTATTTCCAGGAGATCATTACGATGTACGATTAATGTTTGCAAATTGATCAAATAGCCGATTTCGAGTGGAAGTCGAGTTAATGAGTTGAATCCAAGATGGAGTTCAACCAAATGTGTACAGAGACCGATTTCACGTGGAAGTTCAAGTAATTGATTGTGTTCGATTGTGAAGATTTCGAGATTAATCAAACAACCAATATCTGCTGGTAATTGTGTAATCGAATTGTTATTCAAATTCAAAATACGTAAATTGGATAATTTCGAAAAAACTAACGAAGACGAAAGATTGCCAAGATGATTGTTGAATGCGAGTAGTTTTGTCAGACGTGGTAATGAACCGAGAATTAATGGCAAGTCTTCGAAATGATTGTTACCTAAATAGACGAAAAAAGATATTTATCAAACCAACGTAAAAGATCTAAACTTTAATTGTGAATATCTATGTACGCAGTAAAAAGATCTATTTGTCAAAGGATAAAAGAGAAACATGATTGTAAAAGGTCAATATGTGAACACATTCAATCTTGCTTTTCAAAGGTTTTGCTTAAGACTTCCATAGAATTTCTTACTTAAATTGCAAACTTCTATGAATTTCAAATGTCCAACTTCATCGGGTAGAGATTTCAATTGGTTTCCATGCAGATCAAGTTCACGTAAAGTATTCCATTTGGAAAGATGTTTTATCGATGGTGGAAGAAATTGTAACTGTTTTTGAGTATAATGAAAAGCTTTTATACGTGATTTCAATGCACATGCTATCGCTTGATCGACTGCATTTGCATCCGATGTTTCACGTGGTGTTAATTTCGATTGACCTGTTCGTGTGGAATAACTTCTTGTTCGACGAATGATTAGACCTTGACACTGTTCATCATCTTCGAAATCATCGGAACTATTTTCCTGCAATAACGACATCGTGTTGTTGTTGTTGTTATTATTGTAACTATTTGCGTTTCTTTCTTCCAATCAACCTGAATTGTTGGAATGGCAAACAATACTGTTTCTTTTTTTACTCTTCTGTTTCAATCCGACTACATCTTGGTGAAGAAAGAAAAAGGCTCGACATTCAACCGACTGACTTATAAAAGAGAAAGGAAATCGGTGATATTCAAATTCAATTTATTCATTCTAAAATAAACCGTGATGTGTTGGTATCATTTCTATCTATCGAAAATTTACAGCAAAATGTCACGAAAGTCATGAAAAAAAAAACGAAGAGCGGAAAAAAACATATGAGCTAGGTTATATCGGAGAAGCAAAGAACAGCGAGTATGTACATATTTAGAAAAGGTTTCAGGAGAAGAATCAAAGGAAAACAAACGAACAAATGTTGAAATACTGTTCATTAATCTTCGCGAAGATTAACTTCGATTTCATCGTCATCTGTGCCTTCAAACGTACTACGTTGACTTAGAAATGGCGAACGATGTCTCAGTGCCAATGCATCGGCATCGTCATCTTCGTCATCCATACTGCCAGTCAACAAACGAAATAAACCTCGAGGTAAACGTACGGTGTTTCTGATTGTCTGCCGTCGATATCGTTGTTGTTGTTCTTCATTATCTCGGCTTGCTAATTGTAAAACATCATTGTCAATATCGTACAACTGAAAAACAACGCAACCAACACATTTATCAAAACCACTATCTGAGCATGAACAATGCCAGGATTGTCCATTTGAAAACGATCGATGGCAGATATCACAATTGAAACCTGGTGTGGAATAAACAGTTCCATTTTTACGCTTACGTTTTGTTCGATCAGCATCGACCAATTTATGTCCCGCTGGACAATGAAATATAGATGAAGTTTCTTGTATGGTCGGCGAATTTTGTAATTGAATATCGATCATTTTAGGATAAAGCACAGAGTATAATGTTGATACGAGATCATCGTACTTTCCGGATGCTTTTTTATACGGTTCGAGAGATTTCTTATTAACATAAGTTGTACCGAGCATAGGTACTTCATCACAATGTGCTCGAGCAAGATGATTAACGAGTTGCTGAGAATTATATTTTGTTGACTCATTCTATTTCAAATCAAAAACAAGATCGAATGTATTTTCAAATTCTTTGAGATTTATGATGAGTACCTTTTCTTGACAAGCATTGTGTGGACATGTGAAGATGATATTCGAACAGCGTTCAAGATGATGTTCATATTCACTTGGAACAATTCGTTCTGAACATGAACATTTGATTGTTAATTGTTCAAGCATTGCTTTATGTTTTGATGATGGCTGAAATGAATAATTCACTTCACGACATAATGGGCAACCATTTTCATATCGATTTGGATTGGCATCTTTCGCACAAAATACTCGATGACAGCATGATGTGACATGTGGATCTTCAGCAATGACTAATCAACAAAGGAATTTTTCATAATATCCGAAAAACAAAAAGACAATTTCATCTTACCCATGCATATGGGACACATTAAATCATGTGCATCAATAGGATCATCTTGTGTTGATGTTGTCGTCTTCTCAAGATGCATTTTCCTTAATCTAAATACACGATGTCGAACTACATGAAATACGTACAAGGTTATGAATTAACATGTCTGCCCGGACTCTGTTCTTCTCACGTGAGACAAACATTTACTGTTACATCGAGAGAATGTGTCTGGGTTTTTCCTTTTCTACTTCTCTCGTTGGCGAACCCCAGCAACAGTCATCGCGAAGCTATCAGCTGTCTAAAATAAACATGTGATCGATTGGAGGGGATGTTTACCATTTCTGCAGTATCTCGACAGACTACAGGTGTCGCAGTCGTACTATCGACAAAGATACTCTAATGTCAAATGAAACAAAACAATTCGAATAGATCACATTCTAGATATCGAATCATTTGTTTTCACTCTACGATTAGTAATAAATGGCATTCAAACAAATCAATAATAGAATCAATCCGTTGATATTGTCTTATCCAGCTTTCTAACAAGTTGATTTATATATGCGCAACTTTGAATATGTGATGCTGTTGGATTCTTATTAGAAAGAACAAGATATACTTGTGAAAATTTCAGCTGCTTTAAAAAGAATATTATTAATTTTTTTGTTACACATGAAAAAAGAACAAAATGAATTTTCCTACAATATTCAATTGTACATAACCAAAGCAGCAGTGTCAAACTCGAATCTTGAATTCAAGTTTCGAATTGTACATGTGTGGTTCTCTCTAGATAATAAACATTAGTGTGATAAAGTGTAGTAATCTCATACTCTTTCAATATAATTCTTTAGCGCAGTGAGACATACCGTATAACATTAATACCATTATCGATGTCTTGAAATTGTGTTTTGAATGCTACCCAGTTGCAAAACAAACCTGAAAAATTGATGTTTTCTGCATGAAAACCAAACAAATACAGAATAGCGGATATGTAGATTCTAAGGAGGGAAAAGTATTCATTTCAGATTATTTTTCAATATTGCTTCAATTTATCTTTATTTCTACTTGGAAAGATATGAAGGAAAATGTGAAGAAGTAATGAGGTACAGTTGGATTTCTTTCTTTCTTGAGGGACATTCTGAACCATGTATTTATAATACTTGAATGAATAATTTTCTTCAAATTTTTCTTAGACAATGGTCGCAAGCGACGAAAGAACCACGCCTTCTATCGAACGGAATACAGCGAAATCAAAAATTGTCAGTATAGTTTATGATATAACTCAATGTCAACACCATATATTTATTTAGCGAGTATTTCTTAGGATCGTGTAATAAATAAGAAATAACTTAATTTTTCATCGAAACTGAATTTGGCGTTTGTGTTTATACAAAATGACATTGACTATTTAAAATTCGAATAGGGTAAAATATATCTAAAATTCAATACTCCTTATATTATCATTATATTTCAAGGCAAATATGCGTCTTCAGGGTGAGACAGCAAAAACACTAAAGATCCAATGTAGAGCTTATTACTCCTTTGTTTGTTTGTTTTATATTTTCAACCGTACATCGATCGCTGTACAGAACGCGCCATTTGTGTTGGAGAAAAACGCTAAGCTACCGTAGTATTCTTATTTGGTATGTACAGGCTCATTCTATTCGTCTACTTATGTAGAACTTTTTGAAAAATTAGATCACAACGTTTGACTCTCAATTCTAAGATAGGAATGAGTAGATGTGATTGTATATAGTACAAATATTACGATATATCTGTGTGAAAAGATTACATTTCTTCGATTTTTAAGATTATTTCGTTAAATGTATGTTTTGGAAAAAATTAAAAGTATAAAAGTATTTCAAAAGATATCATCGAGTTTCAAAAGAAGCTAAAGACGAAAGCGATAACCATTAAAAATATGCTGCATGTTGTTTTGATACCAAGATTTCCATCAGCGTGCTCTTGATGCTCATGTGCGGATTTACTTCGAATCATGTCAATTTCTTGTTCAGGAGTTAAAGCAGATTTATTTGAATGTTCATTTTGACCTCGAGGAGCGACAATTACATCAGAAGCAGTTGGTTTTGTCTCAATTGGAATAGCAACTGTTGAATTGAGACGTGCATTGGGTACTAGTAGAGAAGTAACGTTCATTTCTTGACAAATTGGATGAGTGCCAACTGGTGGACAAACGTCAGCAACTGATGCTAAAGATTGGCGGGGTACAATTCGATGTAAATTGCATGTTCGAGCCAATAATTGACTGGTTGAATTTCCTTCTTCACGAATTTCAGTGAAATCAGCTGGGGTAAATGTTTTAAAATCAGATTGATTTGCTGAAACTGGTTCGAGAAAAGCGATGGAATAACCGCGACCGACTGGAAACTCTTGACAATGTTGTTTGCCGGGTACTCGACCTGAAAGATATTTTTAGAATTGATTTCGAGAAATGCTCCATTTTCTTACCAGCATTTGTGATGTTTATTTGTCGTAATGTTGCCGGCCCTTTTAAAATACAGTCAACTTGATAGAAGACATGAAAGATCGATTCGCTTCCCTCGTTCATGATTTTAGCCATGGCTTTGCCATAGACGACGATGGATGACTTTTCTACTTTCGTAGCGAAATCATTCGTATCCGGAAGACATTGTCGATCAGTTGTCAACAATTGACCAAAAGAAAGCGATACAATCGCGCAGAGAAATACGCTGACGTGAGCGAACATCTTTACTTCGATAAAGAAAAAGTCAATAGAAATGTAATGTTTACAAGAAACTTCACAAGTATTTATATCAAGTTACAAGTGTCGAACGAATTGTATATACGTCCGGTATTGTTTGAACCACACTGACTATGATCAGAAAAGAAAATCCAGTCGTCGTTCTTTCTCTGACGAGACAGATGATTATTTGATGAGTCATGACAGGATCAGATAGAATTCGAAGAAAATACAATTTATTGTGCTATGACTATGTTCAGTCTAAAAACTAATGACGGCGAGAGATAGATTTACATATTCACAACAAATGTTCTTTTATAGAATTTAATTATAAACAAAAATACTCTTTTTTGTTGGACATAATTGATTAAGGTGAAATGTATAAAAAAGGGAGAACCAACAAACAAAGGCCTCATTACATCGATTTCGTTGTGAAATGTTATTCATGTGTATTGTTCAGCATCATCGTCAACGAACCCGTTGCTTTTCGAATGTGATCGATGTGTTGAATTATGATTGCTGGTGGATTTACGCACTGATGGTTGCTCTTGGCGATCGGAATCAGCGTCATGATTTCTATTGTGATGACGTTTCGAGCTAGTCTTTCTTGATATTCCATCGGATTCATCGTTTTCATCAGTATGGTTACTTAATCTCGAACTTGACTTTTGTCGTTCTGATGATTCGCGAGATAGGTGACCATTTGAATGCCTTTGATTTGACGTAGAACGTTTTTTAGTTGATTTGGATTTTTCATCATTGTCATTTTCATTGTCACTCGTAATTGTTGTTAATTTTTCTACTGGATATTGTGGAGTTGGACTTGTTATTGCCCATTGAGCAACTAACGGTTGTGGTCGTGGTGTACCCACAGGTGGTCCTTTATGTTGAGGAATATCCTCACGACGGGAAGCTGCTGATGGAGCTACTGGTGGAAGATTATCACCTTGGGAACGTTGTCGACCGGGTCCGATAACTTTCTTCTTCTTTCCAGGTAATGGTCGATTTTCTGTTTGACTATCTGGAGAATTTACTCGTTCATCATCATCATGATTCGCGGGAACAGGTGATTCTTTTCTTTGTGATAGGAGATCAGTACTGTGTCGTCTAGGACGATCATGATCATCGATGTTGTCGTCGGAATTGGATATTCGATTGTGAGAAATAGATCGTGGTGCTGGTTTAGGTGGGATTTGAGTATTTTCGTCAGTAAGATTTGATTTCGATGATTTATGGCTTGATTTATCTTTCGATGGTTTTTCTGAAGAATTCTTCTAGAAGAAGGAAATAAAACAGTTTGCTTGTTTTCCTAATTAAAAATAAAATAAATTACTTCTGCATTTTTGACGGCTTGATTAATAGGAACAAAGCCATTCTTGATTGTATCCTCTTCATTTTCCGCTTCTTCTTCTCCTCCTTCCTTTTCTCGTCTACAAAGCAAAACATTGAGGTTCCGATTCAAATCAAAATCGATATTTTTACTCTTCGCGTAATTTTTTTATTCGTTCCATTCGTTCATGCTTTTCCTTCTGCTCCTTTTCTTTACGTTTTTGAACATCAGCTTCCACACGTCTATGTATCGTATCATAGCTTTCATATATAGTCTTAATTAGCCAGTCAAAACCATGTCGGATAGTTTCGTCCATCTTCGGATTTTTGCCATTGCGACTTAATGCTGTTGCTGTGCACAATTCCTAAAAAATCTTTCCCACATCAATATGCCATTGTCTTTAATCGTTTTCTTACCACTCGACATAATGTTTGGTTTTCATTAACAAGACGTTCGATCTTTAAATCTTCAAGAATTGCAGCTTTATTCAAAGCTTCTGCTTTATCTTGCTTATTGGCTAGACTAAACAAGTGAAAACAATCTTGATAAAACATGATTGTTCTCCATGAAGATCGTTTCCTACATGAGAATTGGTTTGCCTTTCACTTTTTCTTCTTGTAAAAGTCTTTTTAAAACTTCACGATTTTCAGGAAGACGTTCTTCTTCACTTGAATCAAGCACGTAAACAAAACCGTAAGCATCGTCATAATAATGTCGCCAAGCTTCGCGAAAAGTTTGTGCACCACCAAGATCAATCAGTTTGATCTTTTCGTTCTTATGTGTAATTTCCGTTTGAGAAAAACCAACGGTTGGTGTTACAGAATCAACTGGTGCTAAACATTTCAACGAAAATTTCAAACTTCTTTTAAAAAATTTCCTGGAAATATCTTTACATTTTTCTAATACTCGTGTTGTAGTAGTTTTTCCTAAATGAAAAACAATATCGTATAGTAAAAGCATGACAATCAACGCGATATAACCTACCAGCGTTATCTAGTCCGAGAACTGCTATTGTAATTGTTCTAAAATAGAGAATAAATTAGAATTCGCTGTTTATAGTTTATCGATTGATCTTTACTTGTTACTATTTGGTGTGGCTTTACATGGTGTCCCACCCATAGTTATTTGATTTATGAATTACTTGGAAAAAGTTGTATGTGAAACAGAAATCGAAATTTATTATCCTTCTCGAAATCCTGCCAAGGAAGTAGACAGATTGAGGAGAAGAAAGTAATAAATGATCAATAGCGCAAAAGAATACTTTTCTTTTTATTTTATCGTGGAAAAGAACGATGTAGAATAAATCATTACTGAGAGTGCGTCATACTTTGGTGAATAAGTACGTGTTTTTTTGTTCTATTTTATGACGACATGAATATCGCTTGTTGCCAGGTATTGAACACTTAACAGATAACATGTCGCTGTTATAAAATAGAGAAAGATGTCGCTAATGTCGAGCTGCGGAAATACAAAGTTTTATTGAGGTGCATTAATTAAGAAAATGAATGGGGTACAAAGTCTACTATGAAAAATGAAGGATATTAAATAAAACGAGATGAAAAAGAAAAGGAAATGAGAACTGATTGGCTCTATTTTTATCCGTTTGATCATCGGAATAAAGTGATTTTTGTGGAAAGTTCGATGAACTGAGATTTCGTGATGAATGATCAGCAAACAGTAATGATAATGCTTCGAGCTGAAGTGGATCATGTTCATTGAATAACGGAATGCTTGGCGTTTTCTTCGTTTCTAGTATGACAGACAGACAGTGAAATCTTTTTCTAAATGATCGAAAATTCAACATACCCGATTGACAATGAACGGAAACTACTGCTGGGCATTTGTTTATCAGCGCTGCTTCGGTATCATTCGTTTCCATGAACGGATATGTTCGGGAGAGACCACATGTTTTTGCTAATAAATCATCGATTTGAATACTATAGGGTATATCTTCCAAATCAACAGGTCGATAGGTTCCCTGGAAGAACGGTTCAAGGAAAACGAGATATTCTCGATTAGCATCCAAATTTTGATGGGCACGACGACCGAGAAGTGAACCTAAAGGAACAAGTCTTGCTGACAATCAAAACAAACAAACGTGATGAACAGACCCGCTTGAACGATTTGTATAACTTGTTGAGTTGGTTCACCTTTCAGAATACATTGAACGAGAAATGAAACATTGAATACATTGTGAATATTGGTATAAAAATGTTTATTCAATGAAATACCAAGAACAATTAATGGTGATTGCTGAACTTTTGCATCTAAGGAAATTTCGTCCGTTGTAGAATATCCGTGACATTGATAAACCGTGAGAAGAGAGATGCAACATATAAAAATATGCAAGCAATGATTAATCATATCTGTGAACAGTAAGAATGAATGCTTTAGTTCAAGAGAGTGAACAGTTCTTATTCCAGATCAGATTCCTTCGTTTTTTTTGTTCGAATATCAGGTATCAGCCGACGTGATTGTGAATCGAATAGAACTTGTGGCTTCGTAAGATGACGAATTTATTCATCATCCCCTATTGTCTGGCAGATTTCATCCTCAATGACGTAATTCCAATTTCGAGATTATCATAACAAGAAACGGTTTGTATTTCCTTGTACACTTGGGTGGATAGATGTCAGTCATCGTCAATTGAGAAGATTCAGAATAATTACGAATAATTAATTTTATAGAATTGACAATGAAGAACTTATTATCGAAAATCGAATCGAGCGATTTTTCTCAGGAAGGCAATGAGACAAGTTAATTTCATGTATCCAATCAAACAAACTAAGTCATATAACAACAATAATGGTAACTAATAGATATTCCTCTCTTTCTTCTTTCTCTTTCTTTTACTAGTACATTATTTGATAGTTCGAATATAGACCATCATGTATCAACGAACAAAAGTGACTAGAGTAGTTGGCATAGAGATGCACGATTATGTGGATTTTCGAATGGGTGAAAACATTCGCACTTCGAGTGCGGCTAAGAAATGAGACGAGGAGCTTTTGTGTCAGTTTTATATATTCATAATGTTTGTTTTTCAGAAATACCTTTACTCAAGTAATTTTATCTTCACTAATCAACAAATAAAATGGCTCTACGCGTACCAAAAGCTCCCGGTTTTGCTTCCATGATGAAGGAAGGTTCAAAATATATGCACGGTAAGTTGCCTGTCTAATTGTCAACTTAACCAACTCGAATATTTGCATTCCTAGGTCTCGATGAAGCTGTCTACCGTAACATTGGCGCTTGCAAAGAATTAAGTGAGACAACAACATCAAGTTTTGGTCCCAATGGTTTAAATAAAATGGTTATTAATCATATTGAAAAACTCTTTGTTACCAACGATGCCGCGTCGATTCTTCGCGAAATTGATGTTGTTCATCCGGCAGCAAAAATCTTAATGCTAGCCAGTGACATGCAAGAAAAAGAGATTGGTGATGGTACAAACTATGTCATATTGTTTGGTGCGAAATTACTTGAAAATGCTGAAAGTCTCCTTCGAATGGGCTTATCACCAAGTGAAATCATCGATGGATACAATTTAGCTTTAAAAAAAACTTCAGAATTGCTACCAACATTCGAAATCAAAATGAATTTAACAAAAGAAAATTTACGTGATAATCAAGCCATTGTTTCTAAAGTTCTTCAAACAGCTATTGGAAGCAAATTATTTGGCTACCATGAATTTTTAGGTGATTTAGTAACAAAAGCATGTCTAACAGTAACTGGAAGTGATGCTTCAAGTTCATTTAATGTCGATAATGTTCGTATTTGTAAAATCTTGGGTGGTGGTTTACTTCAATCAACAGTGGTTCCGGGCATGGTGTTAAAACGTGAAATCGAATCGGAAATAACGAAAACCAATCAAGCACGCATTGCTGTTTTCAGTTGCCCGATTGATATTCAAGTAACTGAAACCAAAGGAACAGTTCTCTTGAAATCGGCTGATGAATTATTGGCATTCTCAAAAGATGAAGAAGCAAGCATCGAAAGTCAAATTAAATCATTGGCTGACGCTGGTATCAATGTGATTGTTAGTGGCGGTAAAGTCGGTGAAATGGCCCTTCATTTCTTGAATAAGTATAAAATCATGGCTGTCCGTTTATTATCGAAATTTGATTTACGTCGTGTCGCGAAAACCATTGACGCTGTTGTTTTACCCAAACTTCGCACACCTACACATGACGAAATGGGAGCTTGTGATTCGATCTATATTGATGAAATCGGTGAAACACAAGTCGTCATCTTCAAACATGCCAAGTCACACATTTCGACATTGGTTCTTCGTGGCTCAACTGATCAAGTAAGACAGAAATACGATATCTTTGGCGTCACGCATAAGATAATCTTTAATGTAGATTCTCGACGATTGTGAACGTGCTATCGATGATGCCGTTAACAACTTCAAAGCATTGACACGCGATCCAATGTTATTACCAGGTGGTGGTGCAACTGAAATCGAACTAGCTTCGAAGCTTTCTGAATACGCTCGTACATGTCCTGGTATTGAGCAGTATGCTATTCAACGTTATGCTGAAACATTCGAATTCATCCCGAAGATTCTTGCTGAAAATTCTGGTGTTAAAAGCACAGAAATCTTAGCTAAACTTTACGTCGGTCATCGTGATAATCCAAACTTGGGCTTTGTCATCGGACCGACACAATCGGATGCAACACAACCAAATGACGTTACATATGATACAGCTGATGTGAAATTACATGAATTATACGATTTGTTCATAACGAAGAAATGGGCAATTTTATTTGCAACTAAAGCTGCTTGTACAGTTTTAAGTGTTGATGAAATTATTTGTGCTAAGCCAGCTGGTGGACCAAAACCAAAAGAAAACAAGGGATGGGACAATGATGATTAGATGATGATGAACAAAAACCTAAAGAACAAATGTGTGTGCGTGTGCGTGTGTGCATATGATGCCCTTCAACTTGATGAATGACATTGTTATCGTTATTGTTGTGTTTTTAACGTTATTACATTTCTCTTTCTCGTTTTCTTCTTTTCTATTAATCTTTTGCACTGTTCTAGGACATCATGTCATATCATCGATCATCTTGTTTTCTTTTTGGTTTGTTCTAGAGAATACTCTTTTAAAAAAAACATCGTCGAAATAAAAAAAAAGAATCCTTTCATTTTATAAACGAGAAATCCATCGGTAAGCTCATCCAATATTGTTACGAGAGTTGTGACAGATGAAGAAAAGATTCTATTTCGTTGTCAAGTGAAAAATTTCATTTGTTTTGTTTGATTAGAAAGACATACCATGTCAACAACTGAAAAAAGTGGTGAAGAGATCGTTACATACAGCGAACTACTCGAACAAATCGATGATGAAGAAGCGGAATTAGATCGAGAACGAGCACTGTATGGAAATTGCGATACGGATACATGTACATACTCTCAAGTAAATCAGATTGAATTCAAATGAAAAGAAATTCATTTTATGAACAGGGATATGTGAAACGGCAAGCCTTATTTGTTTGTATAACATGTTATAAAAATGGAAATGAACAGTTCGCTGGTATTTGTGCAGCATGTGCGTATCATTGCCATCAAAATCATGAAGTTAATGAATTGTACACACGAAGGTAAGATGAAGTTTTTCTCGAAATAAAACTTCACTGTTTTGTATACAGATTCTTTCGTTGTGACTGTGGAAATTCGAAGTTTCCGAACCAACCATGTAAAATTTGTCCTGTAAGCTCAATGTTTTCCCTTCTTATCTCTCCATCGCGTTCTATCCTCTCTGTATTAGAACAAAGATCCGGAAAATACTGCCAATAAATACGATGACAATTTCCGTGGTTTGTATTGCACATGTAAACGTCCGTATCCAGACAAGGAATCACCGGTAAATGATCCTATCAGTCTTGACGAAAAAGGAAAAATGAAGCTTTTGTGTTTATAGACCGATGAAGATACCATGCTTCAATGTATGATTTGCGAAGATTGGTTTCATAGTCAAGTAAATGAATGTTTCATACTGATGTTTATGTTCACTTTCAATATCTTCTCAAGCATTTGGGCGTTCCATTGCCAATGGAAGAAAATGAAAGTGATCAAATGGATATGATCTGTCAAACATGTGTAAATAAACATCCGTTTTTAAGTCACTATGATGGTAAGGATAGTAAAGGATAGCTATTGTCATTTTCTCTGCGTAATCATTTAGAATCTCGTGCAGTCACTTCGCCTCCGGTGGAAAATAATGCTGGTACCCATTCTCTTTTTCAGAATAACAAAAATTTATTTGTTTGCTGTAGTTGCTAGTAGTACTCCATTGTGCCTACTCAGTTCCAACAGTGGCAACGTAAACAGTAACGAACTTCATACAATTTTCTTGCGTGATGGTTGGCGAAAACGGTTATGTCGCTGTGATCAATGTTGTGTAAGTCAGGCCGCTCTAAAACTAATCTATAGAACTAGTTTCTTTCGTAGAAATTATATGATGATGTTAATTTAACAGTTGTATTTAATGACGATGATGCTGTACAAGAATATGAGAAACAAGCATTGGCAAAGAGTGAAAATCTCGATGGCGACAAGCTACTGGCCGATTCATTGAAAGGACTTGATCATGTAAAAAAACTAGAAGTACTCCAAGGTATTAACGATTTCAAGAAGTCACTAGGCGACTTTCTTCGAGGAAAAGCCAATGGCGATGGAGTATTAACCGCTGGTGATGTCACAACCTTCTTTGCCGGCTTGCAAGAAAAACGCAAAGAACAACAACGAACGACATTTATGCCACCAGATAGTTGTAAATTTTAATTAATCGATGTCTTTTTCTTTCTTGTTGCTATGACTTTGTCAAATAACAATTCTACAATCTTGACTGATGGAAATGTTTCATTTCGAATGGAAGAAACCGCAAATCGAAAACTTAGTCTAGTTGAGAATAAGTTTCATGTTTATGATATATAGTTAGACAGGCAACAAAAATAGATAGAAGACCAAATGATAAAGTAGAGAACCGTGACAAAAACATACTATTTGAGAGAGAAAAGAAAAAAGCTGTATGTTCTTCTCTGTCTCAGAAGTTTGCTGTTGTTGGTTTGAACACATAGTGTACAAATAAAGATAAGAGGATGTTTGATGCAATACAATAGACGAATGTTCGTCGAAAAGAAGAAAAAAGAAAAGAAAAATGGCAACAAAGTTCATATCAACAGAACATCAAAGCTTTTGAGAGCTGACCAAAAAAAAGAAAGAAAGAGCATTATGGAATAGAAGAAAGGAAACAAAACCATCTGACGTTATACAGAAATTCTATGTGTATGTTTGTCTTTTCATCTCAAGTTCATTGGAACTTGTTGGAGCAAGCATTCTCGTGGAGAATAATCAACTAAAATCCATGTGTTGATCATTAGTCACCGTTTCTAAAAATATCTCGAAAATATGCTTTCGAAAAATCATGTCGATATGTAATTACTTCCTAATGCAAGAATTTCTTTGGCCATATCTGAACCGATTAGCAGGCTATTATCAAATTGGCTACTGTTCTCTGAATGAGTATTCTAAAACAGAAAGAAAGATTGAGGTATGATGAAAAATAAAAAGATTACTTTTATATGGTTGAGTACTATTGATGAAGTACTCGAAGAATATGTTTGACAGTATGGACAATGATATCGACGATTTTTACCAAGAGTTTCTTTCTGTATCATTGACATTGCTAGCAGAAACAAAAATCACAAAATTTTGTTGAATTAAACGACGAAAACTTACATAGATGTTTCAGATTTTTTGTATCAGTATGCAAAGACAACAGCCGACTTGTTCTCGAGTGCAATAGATTATGTTGGTGCTAGGAACGAATCCATCGTCTTCTCGAACGAACATAAAGAAACACTTACTGTATATAATAAAGAATTCGATGCAAATGTGCAATGAGAACATTTGTATAAATTGGAAGGATTCGGTGCATGACAGGATTGATGATGATCATGTTCTAGTACAGATGTCGATATATGTGGACATGTCGAACAATAGAATATCGAGGATTTTTTCGTTTGATGCTTATCTAATTGATTTGCAATAAATGATCGACGTAGATTGATTTGTTTTATTGAAAAATCGGCATTCGTATTTGTCTAAATCGAATACATATGATCTAATTGGCATTGAACTTTACGTTTCAATACCTGACAAGACTTCGTTGTCGTCGACACATTTTCCATGGGATGCTGTCGAGCAATATGTACACTGATTAAACTTCGCTGTTGATGATTGTATCCACAGAATGAGCAGTAGTGAAATTTCGTTTGTTTCTTATCGCGCATTTGATGTAAATGAATATGTTTCCGTACGTAGTTTTTGTATATTGTTCGATATGAACATTTCGTGCAATGATAAAGTGAGATAAGAAACTTGCCGTTTGCTTTACGCTGATTAGACTGGAAAAGAAAGTAATGTGTTAAAACTGAATTTGGAAAAATGATGCAAAATTACCTTTTGGAATTGTGCACAAATATGTTTGTCTAATTCAATTAGTTTATATGAACGAAAAGCGCATTCCATGCAAGTAAACATTCGTTTGGATTTCATGGACAATGATAATGTTTTCATATTGATAGATGTATGTGCAATCGTCTGTTTACGGATCGTTGGACTAATACGTGTAATTTTGACATCATTATCTGGTCGAAGGCGATCATAAATTATCTGTTCGTAACCTTGTTTATCTTTGATTTTGTCCCAAATTGATCGTTGTAAATCCTTCCATTCCATATGACGAAAATCTGTGAAACGTCCTAAGACTTTCTTCGAAACAACGAAACCAAATGTTCGTTCGTATTCCGCATAAGTACTTTCCGCTTCTTCTGGTGTCATTTCATAGTATCCATCTTGCGTTGGTTCAATCTTATGTCGTGCACGAATATGTCGTAAGGAATCTGTACGCCAATTCGTTCGATAAAAGCAATATGGACAACGATATGGTTTAAAACCACTTGACGAACGATTTAAACTTTTCGATAAATCACCTGATTTATTCAAACTGGAACGATCGTCATCGAAAACAATGATTGATTCGTCGGCGTGATCAGTAATAAGCGATGAACTATTGTCGGACTTATGCGGCTCGATCATAAATAAAGCCGCTGCTTCGTCTTCTGTTATATCCACTGTGCGGCCATCAGCTATGTTTAATTTTAAATCACCATTCTGACTTCCTTCATCATCACTAGCATTATCTAATAATGTCTCATCGTCAAAACCGTTGCCTTGTTTCATCGGATATGGATTCTGATGACCGTGATGGCGAGCGTTGTGATTTGTCCGATGATGATGATGTTGCTGATTATTTACACTTGACATCGATGCTTGAATAAGCCCATCCAATTGTGGAACATATTCCAAATATCGGAAATTTCGATTGAATTCTTTATTTCGACGTTTGACAGATTTCGGACTCATGGATAACCCCATCGCAGCTTCGTCTTCAGGTGTTTCATGCATTGTTTTGTGGTGACGTTTCACATCGTATCGCCATCGGTAACCACGGTAGCATAACGCACAGTAGAATAAACGGTTTGAATTAAAATTTGCGTGTGATGAAAAATTCGGATAAACAATTTGAGATGGATCAGGTAAGATGACGGTTCCATCCGATTGTATTAGACTTGAACGATTGTAGAGCGCTTGAGAGGCTTGTTTATCTTCATGATAATCGCCGTTAAGTTTTTTAGTTGGTGGCTTTATCATGAATGTCGAATAGAGTTGGTCGTCATTCTGATTCGTTAATTTCATTGCGTGACCATTGATTGTTTGAGGTTTATTTAGCAATGGTTTGGAAAATGATCTATTCGGATGATTGGTAACGATGTGTTGTTCGAGGAATTTCGGATGGCTTGAACGAAATTGACAAAAGTTACATTGAAAACGACGTTTGGAATCGGGTGGTGCGCTCAGCTTCGAATCCATACCACGTTCCTTCATATATGCATTGATGGTTTGTTCAGCCTCTTCATGAGACAATTGTAAAACTTCGAAACTCATGTTTGGATGACGCTTTTTTGCATGACACTATCGTGAGAAGAGATAAGTTTTTCTCTGTGATATTCAATTGAATGTACATACTTGGATATACCAGCGAAGATTTGCCCTCCATCCGCAGATTGAACACATAAATGGTTTGATATTGATATGTGTTGCTACATGAAGTTTCAATTTAGTCAATGTCGGTGCTGAATGTTCACAATGTGGACAACGAAATTTCTTAAATTGTTTCGCAAATGAATAATTTAATTGATTGTTATTATTATTTGTAATCGTCAGATCTGATTCTGGTGTATCGTTGATTTCTTGTTGATATTTCCAAAGTCTTTACAGAAAATAAATAACGAAAATTCAGATGATCAAGTGAATGGGAGACTTACGCATCTTCTTCATCATCATCAACATCATGTTCGATTAATAATTCCTCATCTTGACATTCCATGTCTTCACAATCATTTTCATCGGTTGTTTCATTTGAATCAATAACTTCTCCAAACGCTCCGACTGGATCAACTATGAGCGCTGAATATCCTTCATCATTGTCATTATCATCGTCATCGTCATCATCATGCGTGCTGTTGTTGATCTCTTGATCGTCATTCGAATATTCTTGTTGCAAAATATGCGGTGGATGAGTGGGATGTACCAAACGTTGATGTTTACTGATTTCTTGTGACCAATGGCTTGTAAACGAACAATATTTACATTGAAACATTGTTTTCAAATCAGGTGTAAGTGAATTTCGTTTCGTTGTTAAGTTGTTCAGTTGCTGTTGTGGAGGTAAGGATTTAACTTTGACACGAAATTTGTAATTTCCAGTAGCTGAGGGAGGTAATGGCGCGTCGGTGTCTAGTTTTTCAACGTATTGCCCAGCTTGTGCATGACTAATTTCATGCTTTTTACGTATATGAGCTGTACAATCATGGAAGTTCTATGAGAAAACACGCAATTGTATTCGATTAGACAGGCGATGTTCAGTAACGTACTTTGTATGTCAAACGACACATTCGGCATTGAAAGTTTTTCCGATATGCTTGTATTGAATGATTTGTTGGTGAATAAAATGAATTATCTGTAGTTGGTGAAGAATTCATCAGTGGTGATGAGATAGGCGCGACTAGAAATATGGTTTTGTGAAAAAATATAAACTTTGTTGTATAGTTTACTTTTAGTTGCTGTTGGTGAACCATTTTTCGGAGCAATGGGTCGCTGTTGACTGAGAATCGAGTGGAGGACATTGGAATTACGTTTAGCAGAAGGAATGCAGTTCGGCAGAAGCTTAGAATTCATGTTTATATTCGTATTTTCATCACTAACAAAAGATATGGACGAATCATCTGTATTTGTTGACAGAAATGGTGGATCATTTCTATCTAATGTTGAAGTATGAGTCCAAAGCTCATTGGAGTCTATGCGGAAAGATAGTCAATTTTTAGAATGGAGAGTAACTTGATTAGTACCTGCTTCGATATTCAATGAATTACGTTGATTAAACAATGTTGATGAATCGCGTGACGCTTGAGAAATAATCTTGAAAAAAAGCGAAGGTGGTTGATAGACAAAAATGAAGTGGTGAAGTCTTACCTGATGACTAAAAGCTGGCTTACGTCTTGAACGTTTTTCTGGTTGTGTTACTGACGAAATATTTTTTGGTGGCGCCTCGCTTTTTGTCGCTGTTTCTACAGAAAGCAAATATGTCTAGTCATGGATATGAAAAATATTAAATAAACAAACCTTCACTGTGCGTGTCATTCAAATGGCTCATCAATTCTGGTAAACTTCTAGCGTTCCAATTGCATTCGGGACAAATGAATGCTGTACCGTCCGCGTCGACGGTGGTATCCATCATCATCTTGCTGAAAGTAAAGATTTATCTATCTAATCTGAAATATACGAACTACAATCTATCGGAGTGACAAGAGCGAAACGGAGTTGACCGTCGACGCGGTTGCCTTCGTTCTCTGCCTGTCTCTCTCTCTCTCTTCCGATACGATCACTATGCTTATGTACGTGTATATGTATGCATGCATGCCGCGTGTTTGCTTCTGCTGTCTGCCTTGTCGAAGAAGGAGAGAAAAGAAGAATAGACGCATGTGCGTATATGTGCGTCGAGCTGGCGCAGGCAGACTAAACGACAAGGCGAATGCAGTAGCAGAAGAATCTATATAGTTCGAATCGCCCTTCTCTATTTTATTCTAGAGAATAAAAGGCAAAGGCATAAAAGCATATATTTTAAATCAACACAAGTAGTTAATTCTCTTACAATATAAATACACATGCGCCTCTGTGCAGTTCTTGTTTCAAAGATAGCTTTTTCAATGGTAAATTACCTACTCTATTTGTATGTCTGCTCATATAATTCTGTGTGTGTGTGTGTATATATATATATGCTTGCTTTTTCGACATTTCAAACAAATAACAGAACACATACCTTCTTAGTTCCCTCTGCCGGTTTTCTTTTTTCTTCATTCTACGTAACACCAAACAGCACGTTTGGAGTATCTACCAAGGTTAGCTTGCAGTACGTTTTTTTGTGCCCGACAACCATCGCAGGCTTGCTTTGATGGAAAGCAAAGTCGTTGATTTCTTGTCTGTTCTTCTTTTCACAGTTGGGGAAGGATAGGCGCATGTGCACAAACAAGGACATTTACGGCAGTTAGCTGTAGACGCCGCCAGTGCGATTGTAAGCACAACGTCCGATTCTGCACAATGATGATGATAGTAATAACGGAGATAAGTTTCACGGCCAGCAATGATGTTACTCATAGTAAAAAAAAGTGATTGACGAGACTATTATTGGACTTGGACAGTCATATGCAGTTACTACTATCTACCGGAAGCATACAAAGTACCGAGAGCGATGTAGATAAGACAATCGATTGGAGAGAATAAATACGAATGGTCATAATTCAAATGAAAAGAAATCAATTTTACAGAAATATCTAGTTTTGAGGAAAAAAGAAAATCTCTCTTGTGACTTCGAAACATTTCTGCTCGTTCTACTAAATCAATCATATAGATGCATGCCTGGACATATACAAAAAGCGGCTAGTGACAACAAGAAGAACATAACCAACAAACAAAAGCGATTACTACTTTGTAGAGTGTCACCTTCTCTATTTTGACCGTTCTCTTTCTTTTCTCCCTCATTTTATTTCGATTTCTACTCCCTTGTTATCGTATGTAGCATGTTGCTAAGTGCTAAATTAAGCAAAAAAAGCTTTTTCTTCTGCTAGAAATTTGCTGAAATCGTTTTTGATATTTGATCTTTGCTTTTCGCAAATTTCATCTCCTGACTTTAGCTTTCTAAATTAATAACAAAAAAAAATAACTCACTCGAATTAAATCCTATGTATAAGAATCAATTAATATTCTATAATACACTGACTCGTCATGTAATAACTAATATTACAAAAAAATATCTTCATTCATAGAAAATTACACGCAGAATATTTCACTGCCGCTCCTACAGTTGCCTATTAAATGTATTCTCTTTCTCTTTTCTATTTATTTCGTACGTTCGACATGCTTACAGATTGCTACTAATATTGCTACTGTTACTCCTTCTCTCATACTGGGATGCATACCGTCAAGCAAAAGAACACGTCGAGTTTGTTCGAAAGACTAAACAGCAACTGCAGATGTTTCGTCCATTCGTCGCACTACATTTATTCATATATATATGGACGGACGAACGAACGAATGAATATGATGAATAAAAGAAAAAAAAAGAGTATGCGAAACGAAAGTATAGATGAATAACTAGTAGTACCATCCTGTTTAATGCTTCCCAAATTCAATGGTCAGTAGGCTGGCTATGAATGCATATGGGGCATCAGCTTTTCTCTCTTTTGTCTATCCGTGTTCTCGAGTCAGGTAAATGTGCGAACGCATGTGCGTAGGAATATAAAAATGACTCGATGTGTACATGAAAGAGTATATGCTGTATGATGTGAATGAGAAGAACAGATGAATGTAGCATTGGTCGACTGTCGATTGGATGTGAAACATTGGGAGAAACAACAGAAGGCAGCTGCAACAGCATGTATATCGGCATTTACCTTGACAATGCTGTGATCAGGCAAAACTGATGTGCGAGATGCAATGCAAGTATTAAACGTAAAGTGTCACTTGATTTGATATGAAAACAATTATAACGCTATAAAAAGAAAAGCCTGGCAAATCGTGGTTTGATTTACTATAAGCATCTATTTTAGTATAACATACAAATCTAGAGTGTTGATTAGAAGAAGAAAAAGGCTTAATAAGAATATATTTGTTCTAGCGAAAAGTGAAAATCAGTTGTGTCAACTGGTCATTTCTCATTGAGATTATATTTGTTTTCTCGGATGATTAGCTAGATGAACTGGACACGGTGATCACTACTCAAAATTTCGTTCAGACCAATTGAGAATATCGATGCATCATTAGGATTAATGTTACAGAGTAGGTGAGATCATATTCAGATGTTAGTTTGATGAATGTGTTAATCAATTCGGAAAGTTTATCTGCATTGACATGTTAAACACAAAACAAACAAGAAAATTTACGATAGAGTATCAAAAAGAAATTGCCCTTGATGGAAATCAAATCCAGCATTGATCGATAACTTCATTCCAGCTCGCATTTTCAATGGTTTCAGTAGAAGATGCACACCCTGTTTCGAATAAGTGGCCCAGGAATCATTCTCCGTTTCAATACCAGTTGTTAGCCAAAGATCTTCTTCTAGTTGATAATCAATCCAGAATGCGATACCATTGCAAATACCATCGGCAGTGATTGGAATGTCAAAGTGATTTTTTTCGAGTTTGTCTTGATAATTTTTTCGAAAATCGATTTCGATTAGATCGATTATCGGAGAGAGAGTTGGTTTCTTCGATGAGTATTCGAACAATGATTGAGGTTCAACTATTGCATCAACATTTAACGAAGCTTCAAGAATTTGCTCATCGAACGGTGACAAATCCAGTTGACAGCATTGTTGTACCGGTGAACGAATCTTGTGTAAATGGTCGAATTCCAATGCAATGCAACGTATTCGAGCTTTTTGAGGAAATAATTTCATATTTAATGGTTGAGTTTGTTGGTGGAGAAGATAATAGAAATGAAGATTATCCCACGGTAAAATAGATTTCGTAAAGAATGGTTCGGAGAGAATCATATCAATCTTTTCCAAATCAACATGATCTTTTTCGAAAGTTGGAATGAGTCGATAGCTTAATTGACTGGACGAGTTTTCAAGAATAGCTTTCAATGTTTGAACTAAATGAACATTAGATGATTCTAAAATAATCAATTCAATCTGTGGATACATTTCGAGAACGAGCAGTGGTAATAATAAACCATCGCCGATGTATAAACAACGGTGAATCGACGAATTTGAGAAGGATTTCTGTAAACCTTCGACATATTTCTGTCGACGTTGGTCGTTATTAAATCCGGACATAGCTGATCGACTAAGAAATGCAGGTGTAAATGAACGAGGCGGAAATGGTGATGATCCCACATCGAAATACAAACTATATTCATCATGAAAACTATATAAATTTACCTAAAACAAAACAATTACGCATAGAAAGTTGTTCAGTAATCACTTTACATGTTCATTTGCTTTGACTGCTTTTGGTTTTTGAGGATAATAGATTCCATGGATCCAATGTTCTCTCCACTGGATATGTTGAGCTTTGTCTTTGTCGTCATAGCACCAACTTGGTATTGTACCCAGCTGAATTTCACCATCTTCGTCCATGTCTAAATTCCACCACATTACAAATGCGTCAATTTGTCCGTCGGATTCACATTGGATGTTTTCGAGAATCTTTTCCTCAGTGAAATTGTTTCTATCATCGACGGATTTAAAATTAAAATGAAATACCGGTATAGGTTTCGATAATGGTCGAAGACGATCACGAATTTCATTGGCATTTAAATCAAAAATGGTATCGCCAGCCAGATGTCGACAATCCAAAGGGATTCGAATTCGTTTTTCGTCTTTCGAAAGATTCTTCAACGTATGAAATTCCTGAAGAAACGGCGATTCTACCAATTGAATATAAATTATCGCACGCGATGGAACGATCCGAAGATTGTCATTATCGATCGTTAAATGTTTACACGCTTCGGAAAACGTCCGTAAAGCACCTTCACCGATTAATTCCGTATCGAAGACTTCCGCAACGATCATGTTGATTTGATCACCTTGTAAATCAGTTTCTAAATCGAGTTCAGTTGAACGCTTATCGATAACACGAATTCGGTCATGATAACCATTCTTTTCGATACATTTTTTTGCAATTTTAGCCATGGGTTGAAAGACTTCAACTGCAGTAATACGTGATGAACATGTTGTTTTCATCAGTGCTCGTGCAGCCATCATCGAAAGCAGACCTGTACCCGTTCCAATATCGAGCACATGAATTCTATTCAATGTTTTGGAAAGTGTGTCAATTGTTTTAATAATGGCCTTCTCATATTGAACGTTTCGTTCATGATCATGCAGCATATCTGCGAACGCTGAACGAGCTAATTCTTGTTGATAATCAAACTGCTCATCATCAACAAAGACCCATTCGTGATTTCCTGTAACGATATTTGTCCGAGAAGTGAATGTCGACATAGTTGACGTTTGTTTAGAAGAACGAAGAAGTTTTCTAGTAAAAAAAATAAGTCGTTTTAGAAACATAGGTTATTCATCGAAAGTCTGAAATTGAGATGAATGGAATCAGTTTCCTGGTCAATTCATTTTGCAAATCGCATTGTTTTCTCATGAAATTTTACTATCAAATATATTTCTTTCTTTAAAAACAAACAATTAACAAACGAAATCAATCAATAATTTATCAAATGAATAATCCGCGATTGCATAGTGTTCGTTTTACATAAAGGACAAGTCTGATTCTCGGCAACCCATGTATGAATACATTGCCAACAGAAAACATGGCCACATTCGGGTACTAGTGCAACATTTGAGTCGGCTGGTTCATAACATAATGGGCATTGAACGGAGACGATTGTTGCAGACGTGGAATCATCAGAGATGATCTTCTTCTCTTTGTTATCATTCGCTCGAGTTAATTCTTGTCGATGCTGACTAATCGACACGGCGATTTGTTTTAATTGATGATAAGATTCAACTAAATGTTGGCTACAAAGACATAGACAGAGTATTTTCATCGTACGGGTAAGTTTGTTTTCGATTGAAGTACTTTCGGCTGTTGAGCGAGTATAAATAAGATAACGAATACCTGTGAGCGTTTTACTTAGATCATAATACGAACCAGTTAAATAGAAGAATAGTTTATGTGTTCGTTCGACGAATGTTAGAACAAAGTTGAGAAGTAATTCAAGTGTTTGAGAGGACAATTTCGGATGGAAATATTCTTCTGCGAGCGGACGAATTATTAGTGATGAAAGAAGATATTTCGATATGAGATCGCCGAAAACTCGTAGAAAAACCATCGAAACCCGATGGAAGAGTGATGGAATCTGTTTTTTAGCTGGATCATATTGAATCAAACAAACGTATTCTTCGCCGATGGTTTGTCGACCCAATAGTGTCGTTGTTAGAAAATACAAAAGTTCACTTAAGCGATGTAAATATGATTGATAAATATGAAAATGATCTAAACCGAATAGCTTCGTGTAGAGTTCATCCAGTTGTTGCGATAACAAACTGATCATGTAACGATCTTTTTCTTCGCTACGAATGATTTCTAATTGATTAGCATGTCGAAGTTGTGCTGCAGACATTGCTACTCGAGGTTAATTAGCGAATCGCTCTAAAAATTCATCTAAAAGAAAATAAAGAGAAAAATTGAATTTCGTCTGAAATATCATGAAAAGAATTCATGGGATTCAAGTGAGAAAAAAACAACGAAAGTTTATTAATCTTCTCTCCAATTGACATAAACAGCATCAGTACGATATCGTTGTGAACACGATGTTTCTTCTAATGTCATACCTTTTCGTGTTTTATCTGCATTAAACATTTCATAACCCGCTTGAGCGATCATCGCACCATTATCAATACAGTATCGTTCATCGATAGCACAAACAGTTGCTTGTCTTTCTTTACACATAACACCCATCATTTCTTGTAAGCGTACATTACATCCAACTCCGCCGACGATGAGAACTTGATTGGAACCAACATGGGCTAAAGCACGTTCGGTGATTTCGACTAACATCGCGAATAAGGTTTCTTGTAATGAAAAACAGAGATCTTCGTTTGAGTAAGGATTGGTTGGTGTTTGGTTCGATGTCCTGCGCGTTTGTTTGTTTCCAACAATAATCGTTTTTATATGACTTAAAATTCCCGAGAAGGAAACATCCATACCTTTAACTGTATAAGGCAACGGAATGTATTTCTGACCCTTCTTTGCTAATTGTTCGATGTTATAACCAGGACTTGGATCATTTGATAATTTCAATAGTCGAGCAAAGCGATCTAAGCAATTGCCAACAGCAATGTCGATTGTTTCGCCGAATATTCGATATCGATGCTCAGAATAGGCGATAATTTGTGTATTTCCACCACTGACATATAGAACAACAGGATTTGTTGCACCAGTTATCAATCGACCCATTTCGATATGTCCAATACAGTGATTGACTCCAACAATCGGTTTATTATAGAGCTGAGCAAGTGTTCGAACAACCGTGGCAACGACAATCAACGGTGCACCCATACCTGGCCCTTTCGTAAAACAAAAAACATCAACGTCGGCCAGGGATGCGATATTTGCTTCTTTCAATGCTCTTTCTAATAGATCTAGTATAACCGATTGATGGTGTTTCGCAGTTAAATTCGGTCGGAATCCTTCACCCGGTGGTGTAATATAGGTATGACGTGGATTCGAAAGAACTACACCATCACGAATTACACCAATGCCGATCTTATTGGCACTACCTTCAAAGCCTATAGCTGTGATCGTCATTGATCTACAAAGAAATTGATGCGAGAATGAAAATGAAGAAATGTCTTTCTTTTGTTTTTTGTTGAGGATAAAAGTAGCGTCTTTAGTAAAGAAATAGTCTTGATGTAAGATAAGAATTTTTTACTTCGAACAAGAAAAAAAAACGAACAAATTGAAATAAAATATACGATAAAGAATGCTAAACACCCGAATGTTCTTTTTTTATTGTTTTGATCGTAAGAAACAACTAATTTTCAGTTTAAGATGGTACACTTGGTTGATAGTTACGAACCAGACGATCTAGTTCATTAGCCTAGAACAAGAGAAAAGCTCCAAATGAGGAAGGGTAAACTTGGTGTCATACTTTATTAGCTAAATCTTTGACAAACGAGTGATTGCCATGTGAATCTTTCATTTGAGATATATAACGATTGGAAACTTCTGTTGGTTTGCCGGTTAATTGAGAGAGAACAATTAAATTGATCAATGTTTGAGGATCATTGCTGTCCTAAAATAAATGACACTTCATTTGACGAATCATCACACAATGAAGAACATTTTACTCGGTCAAGAGCTTCTTGAAGTGCTGTTTGAGCATCTTCGTATTTTCCTTGTGCGATATGGCAAACAGCTTGACCATTCAAAAGCAATGGTGTTGCCGTATGCTTATCGGCTAATTCTTGAAAGATATAATAGGCCTCTTGTAGTTTTTCCGAACCCTATGACATAGGAAAGATGAATCATGAAAAATGTAGATTTCGATAACGTACGATACCAATATTGACCCAGGCAGTGGATAACTGAGTTAAAACGGAATCTTCATCGATTTCCGCCATTCGTTTTAATTCTTTTCTGAAAAACAACGAAGAATATCGAACACTGTTGGGGATACAGGACTTACTTGGCGAGATCCAGGCGTTCCATTTTCAATAAAGCTTGAATAGTTAACGCACAGCTAAAAAGCAAATCAAATATCAATCAATCTTCCCAATCGTGCAGTCATTTACCATTCTAAGGAATCAGCATTGTGTAAAACTTTCAAAGTATTTTCATAGTTCTACAAGACAACGAGCAGATACTATTTCAAGTAGAATTTTTTTGGTTAAATTACTTCGCTAAGGTAATACATATAAGCTGCCATCAATAAACAGAATGAGTTTTTGACATTTCCACCCATCTTGCCATCAAGTTCACGGAGAATAGTATCACTAAAAAAATCAGAAGGTGGAAATTATACTTGTTTCATACAACAATTAAATACCGTTTAGATTCGTTTGCAAGGTAATCAGCTAGTAATCGAACGGCGACTAGCTCTTCTTGAGAGGCATTCGGACGAATTTCGTCAAGAACTACACCAAATTTCTTCTGAGCGATGTAAGAACGATACATGAAAAGATCTTTTTCCGTTTGTAGATTTTGAGGAACCTAAATAACACGGATGCTCTCGTTAAGTAATAGATATCGGAAAACTATACTTTGAGTTTAGTTGCTTCATTGATGACCTGTTGGTAATTGCCTGTGTAGAAATTCGTGCGAATTTCAAACAATTCATCTGGTTCGCGGTCTTCACGTGACATTTTATGGAATTATTTCAAGTATTGATTAATGTAACTAGAGAAATCTACGATGAAAGTGACTAGTAAAATATGCAATGAACACGTTTTAGTCATTGCGTATTGATTAGTAGCAGGACCATTCATATATCAAGAATTTCATTAAACATGAATTATTAATATACTTGCAAATCATTTCAGTTCTTTCAATTCAATTCTAAACAATTTTCATCAATTTCGAAAATATCTACAGATAGATGTCGTTAATAGACACTGCCATCCCACGAATATAAAGCTACAGGTTTTTGTAGTGGGGTCATGAATGATTGCCAACCGATCAGAAATTTCTCTCTTGTTATAAATGTGTTGGCTACAATTAAGTATTGTGCACTACAGGTAGTGTCTCTGGCGTAGGGTTAGAAAACAAACGTGGTTATTAATTATAATCTCAGTACTAAACATGTACAAAACATCAGTGTACGAAGTACTTCCGATTGCAATGATCATTTATTTCATATCTTCATGGGAAAGGGAAAAATCTTGTAAACAAACTCAATGATGAACTTAGAGTCAGACATAATCCGGTTACTGAGAACTTTTATCTTTATATGATCTTTTTTATCCTATGGCTGTATATCGTTTTTCATATGCGTATTAAATATCGTCAAATACCGGTTTGCCACCGATACGACTTTTTTAAGGGCACTAAAATAAGCTCGGTGTATCTCGTAAAGATCAAAGTATTTTCTATTCATTTCTTCCAACTGTTTTTCAGTGATCATGTCACACACATGCACTGATCTATCCTGCTGAAAACATCAAATAAAAATATCTCGAGGACAAATTTGTGCGACAACAGTATCTGACGTGTTCGTAATTGAATACTGCATTAAAAAAAACAGTTACACCGTATACGTAGCAGCGGAAACAATTTCTAATGCAATTAATAAATTGTTTTTCAAACATGACTTTGCCAGGAGAGCTAAAAATAGATTTTTCAAAAACTTCGAAATTTTCGTCGGAATTTCAATTGCAAAGTATAACTGAAACTATTCAATGAGTAAAAGGAAAACAAGAGCTGGCGAATATATTGAATTACACAAATGAATAAAAGATGATCATACAAAAGAATATTTAATCATTCCAGATCAAATGACATCTTACTATAATTATTTGAAGGAAATATCGATCTTTGTAGGCGTGATCCTTCTAAGATTATATGTCATCTAAACAGAATCTTAAATAATCAATTTAGAACTGCGCCTGATGGTAGATTAGTTTTTGATGAAGTTCAATTAGTTTAAGTAGATGTTCACGATGAAGTTGTTCAGCTAAAGACCGCGGTGTTTGATTTCCATAAGTCATATAAACAATTCCGTCGTTTGTTGTACTTGCTTGATTGAGTAAATTCCAGAGTATATGGCCGCTGTCGTTTTTTTCGATTGTTTCAAATATTTGCCAGATTAGATCAGCTTTATCCGTCATGATCAATCGTCGAAAACGAATCCAGTGCAGTTTTTCAAATCGATTTCATATTCCTTCTCTCTCGTTTCTGTAAATCGTACTCTTGTCGTTTTTTTCTCTTGCTCTCCTTCTGTCCCATTACGTTTATTCATTTTATTATGCAATTCACTGATCATTTTATGTTACGCGGCGAGAGAAACAAGGACAAAATCGATGTTGTTGTTGAGCATATTTCATCTTAACAGTAAATCAAGGCTTTTTCGTCTAGTTTATACATTTATCCTTGGACATATAAATATTAAAAGAACGCGTTGATTAACAAACAGGATTTTCTTCAATGTCATCAACAGAAATTTTAATTAGAGATGAAGATTAGCGTTTTGAATCGAATTCCTTTATAAAAAGTTGAACAAGTCCAACATCAATATCCAAATCTTTCTTTCATTCATTCAGAGTTATCTCGCTAATCTTCTTTAACATTCAATGTTTATAGTTAATTTCGAATTTATTTCAACAATACAATCATACATAACATAGAGATTCACAACTAAAATTCTAACACACATCTTTCCAGTTATTCCGAAAATCCTTTAGCAAAGATGTTGTTAGTGAATGAAACAATTGTTTGCTAATGAGTCAGAGAATTATCTGTGATGTCTATCTGAGATAGAAGACTATCACGAAAATCATTAGCTAGAGTCGGCATCGTTTGATTGTCACTTGTTTGGCTTGCTGGAATGATCGTCGATGGATTGCAACTTGATGCTTGCGGATGGGTTTTCTGTTGGGCCTGTAGTGGAAGTTTTGGTGTTGAGGTTTGTTTACAGTGTGAAAGGATTCTCGCAAATGCATTATAAAATTCTTCTCGAAAACGTCGATTTGTTAGAACGTACAGAAAGAAATTCGTGGAAAAGAACGCCTGTTGCAATGTGTCGAGTAATAAACTCGTAAATCGTAATACGCATGGATCAGATGCTGATGAATAGATATATTTTGCAAATGTTTGATGAATGTTGAACGGTAAATTCAAGACTAAGTAGAGAATGTTCAGTCCAATTAACATTGCTGATAGATGTATATCACGTGATCGTCGAGTTCGTTGTTTTCTGTTCAGAACATTCGATGTTTTTCCAGACTGATTTCCATGCAGTGAACTTAATGATTTCTGTCTGTCATTAGTTTGATTTTCTTTATTGTACTTGTCCAAGCTTCGGTTGCGTCGTCCGATCTTCACGCGTAGACGTGTATGTCGTCGACACTGCATTTGAAAACAAAGACACGAGTGAATACTCGTTTTACTTGCTGTTTTAGGAAGGAAATATGAGAGGATTTGTCGCGATTGTTCGTTACTACTTGGATGGAATTTCTTCGCTGTACGCATTCGAATGCTCAAACTTCGCACGATCAGTATCGTACAAGACGTATTGATTAGTAAAGGAAGGCAAAAGAAGACAACTAGTTCGAATGGAGGGTAGATCGTTGTGAGAAGATAATAGTATACTGTGTTTGCTTGATTTTCATGAAAACCGCAGATTGCGAATATTGTTTTCCCATCAGACACTAAATCAAACGAAGAGAATGGGTTTGGAGATGTGTTGATGAACTGAAACAGTTGAAATTACCTTCAGAACCATACTTGACAATCCAATGAAAATGAAATATACATAAGAGAGATGCGACTAGCAATTCTTTGAATAAAACTAAGCGAAATTTTGATTTGGGATACTTTTGATTTGGACGGCTTTTTGTTACAGTTCGTGCTCGATCGATGTTCACACATATTAATGTAAATATACTAAATTGGGTTAGAAAATCCAAGAAAAATCGATGAAATCGACATGTTAAAAGAGAATTTTCCAGAAATAATTTAAAATAGTATTGAAGCATCCATTTGGAAAAATGTACTAACGATAACAAACCATTTGCCAATGATAAAAAGGCCAAATAAGCAAATGTTGAGTGACATCTTAAAGAACGTTGCATAAGAATGGCGAATGCGAGGAAATTCAAGATTGAACCAAAGAAAAATAACACATAATTGTGCACAAACAACAGCGGTCGAGTGATATGTCGTTGCCTAGGACAAGGGTTCAAGTCTGCGAATGATATTAACGAGTCGTTATCAAAGAAAGCCGTTTGGTTTGTCAAATTCATATTTTCGTTCACAATCTAAATTGAAAAGCAAATTTTAATTCTTCCTCTTTTGTTCAATGTAACGATTAGTTATGTTATACATTCACTAATATTCCACAAAAGGAAAAAGACCTCATATATATATGACGTGCTGGATAGAACTTGAGTAGCGCCGGAATAGAGCGAAAAAAGAAATTGAGAAGAAGAAAAGAGGAAAAGAGAAAGAAAAAGATTTCTATCGAAATTATATACTGTTCTCGAGATGATTTCTAAAAGTGAAGTTAGTCTCTCTTTATGTACTTGTCTACTCATCGTTATTGAAAGTGAAAAGACATAAAAGTAATGACGGATACGAGTATTACTTTGATCTTTCTCTCGTTTTGACAAAGAAATTTCAAAGAAAGAGAAAGTATATGGGAAATAATTGCTGATTAAATTAACAATTCTGCAAAGACACTTGAGAGAAAGAAAGCAGATGAAAGAATAATTTTTAATAAATATTTATACGAAGTTTTCTTGAATGATCTCATTTACTGATCATATGTAGTTACGCGAATATTTGTACTGAATAGTTTATATTACAAGGAATGTTTCTTCTCCGATATCGCCCTTCAACACACTTCAAGTCTAGTGTGAGATTAACTTAATCTAATATGCAAAAACGAGTGTAAGAAACAAGAGGAATATCTTTGGAGAATACAAACCTGTTTTTATGATATTATGCACGCTTTTCTTCTCTAAATAACTACTAAAAAGAGAACATTTTAGATAAGTTCCACTCATGCATGTATAGTGCTGCATCGAGTCTAGTTCAATCATTTATATATATATAATTCGTTTTATTACTAATGCATCATTAGAGGAAATGTCACTATGTCAAGAAGAAAGTTCCATTAGATATTCGATTGTTGAATCAAGTGTAAAAGAACTGAAAGGACACAGAAAAGGTTCGAGAAAACATCGAGTCTTCGTGAATCAGTCTGTGTCACGACTGCAGTCTTCGTTATTATAGAGTAATATAATAAAATTTAGCTTAGCTGGATTAATACAGCTTTTAGTTTTGTTTAACCAATGGTTAGAATGACCGTGTGCGTTGATACTATATGTTCTACTTCTCAAAAAAGATCTTGTTTCTTTCTGGTGGAAAAAAATAGTCTGCGTCATTTATTGAATAGAACTACATCGGCAGTTGAAACATGTTTATTTCAATATATATTCCCAGAATATTTGCACCTATTTCCAAATGAAACACATGCACGAAAGCATAATCATATAGTTGAATAAGAAAAGAAGAATAATTAGAGATAAACGGTTGCGTTTTCTTTTCAATGACTGAATACCAAACTCTTTAACCGATTTTCCTCAAAAAATGATCACTCTGTAATTATAATTTTGTCGACAGAAGTTACGCACCGATACAATGTATGATTTTAAACATACAACTCAACCGTATTTTTAATATTACTCATCATTCGGACTGATTATTCCTTCAGAAGATCAGAATCGACTTTTCAATTCCCTTCTTCCCCCGATGATACAAAGCAGATACAAGAAAGAAAACTCAGGAATTCTTAGCTCAGGGAATAGCTAAATTAACGTCATGAAATCATCTATGCCTACGATAAACATCACGTAAATTAATCAGATCCTGTCTGAAAAGATCATGTGTAGTTTTAGGCTAAGTGTAAAAATCGTTCTAACCCTTTTTTTGTCAAAGATAGAATACAATTCACAAACATGGAATAGGAAGCAGCAAATTAACGAGGGGTTTATCATCTTCTGCACGACCGGATCACGTACTCTGTATTAGAACGAATTCGAAAAATTAATTTCTCATCCTCACATACGTCAATCAAGATGCCAAGTGTGAAAATATAGTTGGCAAGTTTATGCCACTCATCAAGCGTAAAATATTTTAAAGAACATTTGACGTACTTCCTCTCAGATGATAAACCAAAAATATGCTCCTCTACATCCAAGTAATTGTCATCTAGAAGAGATCACATGGATACTGAATGTGAACTCAGATGTTTCTTTCCATTCATATCGGAATACTCTTCACACTAATTGTCACGAAGTATTCTTTGCCACTGATTATTGACGCTGTTCAGCAAGAAGTCAATAGATTTAATTCATACCGACAAACACAAAACTTCAGATAAATCTATTAGTAGAATCAAGATATTTAAGCAGCAATTACAATTGTAAGAAGATCACGGGAAGTAATAGACAAATGGATACACGCACATTCAGAAGATGAAGCAACACAATCATAGAGAAGACAAATCACAAATAAGGAAAGCATATAACAGAACAAAACTATCTATGTCAAAAAAAAATACAAATACATCTATTCACTACACATAACATTAGCATTATTATTTCCAACAGATAGATTTAATGGATGATATTTCTGACATTCATCCATATGTTCCTGTTTGACCGCATTACTCTGATGATTTGAGACAGGCGACGATGAACCAGTTGATGAGCCCGACGGTGAATGTTCTTGATGTTGTTGTCGAAGATTCGCATCTTTGTAGTCATTTGCTTCTGTCCATAAATGCATTAAACGATCGAGATCGTTCATCGTATTACTATTTCGACCTTGAGATATGTTGCTCATACTTAAATCGTCATCGCGTGGCACTCGCTTACGCTTATTTGGTTGACGACGTTTTAATTCAACTGGATACTTTTTGCGCTCGTTACAAAATTTATAATATAATTTTCTTACTAATAATTCTACACTGCCGATAACAGCTAAACTATTTGGATATCGATCAACTAGACGACTAACTATTGAACGTAATTCATCGGCATTTGGATAACTGAAAGAAAACAAAATAAGTGAACCAAATTCGCCATCGAAAGTTCCTTACAGTTCATATTTGACGATTTCTTGATACAGAGCTTGAACGAGTGCATTCAATTGGTTAGCATCTCCATTACCATTCAAGAATGCGGCAATGTGCGGTGGAAAACGTGGTATAGGTATACCGTCACTCGGTTTTGGTAAAAGATCATACATAAGTCCAGGATGTGAATGAGTTAAATTATCGACTTGTTGCATGGGTGAAGCTCTAAAAAATGCGTTGATCTCTAGTATTCGAATCCAAATCTTGCAGCACTTACGTATTCATCGAGTCATCGTAGGAGCATTTCGTTGGTAGTTCATCTTCATGAAGATTATCACCAGGAGTCGATTGTAATGGAATTGGCGTGATTGAACGAGTCATTCCTGTTGCTGCATTGGTAGACATCGGTGTTGTCGGACTTTTCGATACTACAGATGGTGAATTACCATTTGAGTTCAGATCTTTTTCACTGGAAAAAAAGGCAAAATCAGTTTATCATGACTTTTCTGTCAACGCTAAGAGAAGTTAAACCAGATCCTGTCATTGTGCACTGTAGACTCGTTTCCGTTAACTCTACCCATTAACTCCAATTTGGATGATTTCATTTGACAGTCTCTCTAATTATCCCGTATAAAAAACGCCCGAAATCAGCTCGTCACCGGAATTCTCATTGAGATAAAACTTACATTAACACTTGAATGCGTCCATCGAGAGGAATTTTCTTATATGATTCAATGTCGATGTATTCTTGATATTGTTCGCTCCAAATTTGTATAATTAAGGGGAGTTTGGGTATTTGAAATTCTTGAACTAAATGATAGTTAACGATGATACATGAAGATAAAGCAAATGAATATTTACTGATCAATTGTTTTAAATGTTCATGAGATATCCCATGTTGCTGGTTGAAAAATTCACTCGTTGATGGAACTTCAATCAAACGGTTGCGTTGATTAAAGCGACATAAATATGTTATTGAAATTGCTCTAAAAAGGATTAATATTTAAATTTCTTCTATCTTCAAGCTCAATTTTACCTTTTCGCAGAATTTTGTTGTTTCAAAACCGATAGATTATTTCCCAACGATGAGTTTTCGTTGACAGTTGAACTCGTTTGGCCATTACTAGGTAAATTAGGCTGATTATTACTTTGATTCGACAATGTCTGATACAATTGAAGTAGAGCTGCAACATTGTCTCGCTCGACAGGTTTCAATGCTGCAGCTAAACGAAGATTCAACGCTTTTTGCTGCTGAATTATATTCGGATCATTGGGTATGTTTTCTTTTATCGATGACGTCGATGGTGGTGGCGGTGGAACTGAATTATTATTATTATTATTGGCTAGCGCATTTAAAGTTTTCGTTGCTAGTAAATGATTCGTAATGGAACTTAATTCACGTATGGGTTTTTTATTATTGCTTGTCGATGATAATGGAAATGATGGTGGTGGTGGCGATGATGACATGATTGTTTATTGAATAAAAAAATAGATGTTACATATAGTAGAATGTGCGATGGAAGTGAGCGAAGGAAAATTTTGTCAAATGTGTATTATATGGACGGACGAAAAAGAAACATAACTGACGTAAACGGTCAACTTGCCTTGTGTATGTAACCGCACAGACAATGACGAGAAAACACCAATGATTGTATTGGCGTCTTTTGTGTGATATCACACAATGTGCGTTTAGTTTAGAAAAGGACAACATGAACGTTTGATAGTCTACCAATCTTTTCTATTTGATTGGTAGTGAATAGAGTTTAAAAGTTGAAGAAAGAAAAATGAAGAAAAGTGGCGTTAATCAGATTAGGGACAAAAGTGCGTGTTTAGGAATTTCACAGAGATAGTAGAGAAGATGTTAATCTATTGTATGAACGAATCAAACTTACATGGTATGACGAGTATTGATGTAACAAGTTTGTTTGTTGGGAAAGGAATGTGTCGATGACATTCGATTGTACGAAGGAACAAAGACTGTTTGTAGAAATGCACTGTGATGTTTATTCATTATAATGTAGTGTTGAATAGAGCAAGAATAAGGGACAGACTGGTTCCCTCTCTCTCTCTCTCTTTTCGAGATAAAAACGAGTGATACATTCGAAATAACAAACAAAGTATCTTTTATCCGTTCGACTATGTATTATTGACATTACTCGTGTCGTTAACAGATATCTAATACCTAAAAAATATCACCGATGATGTATACACATATATCAGCATCCAGGTAGAATAGTGTGCCAGAATGTAACCACAATCAATGATGAGTGGAGAACAGAAAGACTAAATAGACCATTACATCATGTTCGAATAGTACTGCTGTTCTCAAGACTTTCTCATAATGATTTTTAATCTACCGATGGTCATTCCTTGTCTGATCTGTAAACATGAAGTGCAAGAGTATATGGAGGAGAAATAGTTGCCTTCATAGTCAGTGCGTTCGTGGAATTCGGTCGTGAAACTATCATTTATAGTTTGTCTAAATATGACTCCACGCGTCGCATTGAAGTACTTGAAAAATAAACGAATGAGATATTATACATAATCAAATTGTATTATTCCACAATATGAACACATAAGATATTCACTGTTATGCAAAGAACGTCAGCGATATAAACTTCTTTTTTGTTCCATAGTGCAATATGCACGATCTGATGTATTGTGCAAATCTTGTTCCCAAAAAAAGTTATTCCTACGATTTCATTTGATTATTTATTCCATAAAGTTTCACGTCTTCGAAAAAAACTTTTCTTTCATGTGTAAAACTATTGAATAATCATTTCTTTCGATGAAAAAAAAAACGTTAAATAAATACCATAAGGATTTCAACTGATACATATCTTGTATTGATTAAACTTATTCATTTGTTTGTTTTTATCCATTGAATAATTATTTCATAGTATCTTAATTCAATGACAATCCTATTCGGATTAAAATAAATACGATATTATTCATTTTTTTTTCGAATAGTGCAACACGGTCAGAGCGAAGAAAGAAAAAAGTGCGAGTGTTTTCATCATAACGAGCATCTTTAATTTGATCGATCACAAACTTCGTCGCTCCTCGAACTATAATCATGCCGAGATGAATGATGATTGATTATTAATTTGTGACTCACCTTTAACCATGAGAATACGCTCGAAGATCGATAACAGATGAAAGATGACATTTTCTCGCATGTTTACATTTGAAGAAAACTATCGAGTTTGATTTGATGTTGATGATAAATCAAATGGTAGGACGTGTATTCAAATCGATCAGGAGACTCAAGGCTAACCGAACGACAACGCTTGTCAGTAGCTGAATATTTTCTTAATCTCACCATGAAGAGTACATTGTTCGAAAATGAATTATCTACACTGAAAGAAAATCCTTGAGTGTCTCTGTGCATTGGATTGTCTTCAACCAGTAAGACAAATTCTATTGAAAATCCGAAAGATTTCTTCGTCGGTAAAATTGAGAAGTCTTATGATCGACGCTTGCGACTATTTGATCACTGTCTTCTTTCTTCCGTCTAATTGTCTGTTACTCCGACAGACTTTATGACAATGTTTATAATATGATCATACAAACACCCATCGAAACGGTACGCATTAGTCTTAAGCTTTTTGCGTCAGGATTACTGTCTGTCTCACTCTCTTTCGTTCGTTTGATTTCTCTATATTTTCGAAATCACTTGCAAACAGATATACACATACGTGAAATCAAGCGGCGACAGTTATACTATCCGTGATATTCATACAGGTTAGTATAAAAAGCTGCTGCATGCATATAAAACTGTTTTTTGCTTTGCATGATATGTATAATTATCTCGATGATTGGAATCAAATCGATACGTTTGTTAAAGAGTGAAGATTGTTCGTTGAGAATAAGTTTTATAGTTGTAAGTGGCAAGACAAGGACGAACGAATGTTATCAATTTATCATAGAATATATATATAAATTATGTTTTAAATTATATAACAATGAGTTTAGTAGTGATTCTGTATCTATTGTTCATTTAAACACATTTTTTATATGATAGTTCATATGTCTTGACAGTTTGATCATACACATATATTTGAAAACTTCATCGATATCATTTTTTTTTGTTCAATGCAATTCGATTACTTCATAAAAGTGTCAGATTGCTAAGAAAAACGAGGCCAATTCTCTCATTCTAAACTTTCAGTTCTGTTCATAATCAATATTTACCCAGATATTCACGTATTGTCTCTCTGACTAAGTTACAACCGACCTTGAATGTTAAATGGCGCATTAACAATGCATATTAACTTTCTTAAAGATATTCTTGTCTAATGATCCATAAAAGGATGTAGCAATAAAATTCGAAGGTAAATTCAAACAGCTGCTACTTATGTTCAGAAATTTCTTTTTTTTTGCTCTCTTGAAAATTTTTTTAATTCAAAAGTGGCCTTTTTCTTTCTTCTTATATAATTTATAAATCTTTGACCTCAGCTGATTTTCGTCTCTCTTCACTTTCATTGTGCAAGGTCTGCAAGAGCATATATAATTATTTGCCATGGTCTTTCTCTTTTTTCTTCTGACAATTTTAATATTTATACGTACATTCGACAGGTTTTTTTTAATAAAAAAATTGCCTGTTTTGTTTTCGTCATTTCAATCTTTAATCAATAAGTCCAATACTCGTCCCTCTTTCTTCTACATCGACTCAGCATGAGGTTATCGAACGGAAATCGTCAAATAGTAAATGTCTGCACGAATGAATGAAAAAAACGAGTTCGATCTCACACTTATGATGTCCCGAAAGAAGAACTGTTTCTCAGCCAAGTAAACAGAAAGTTTGCTTTCTATCCTTTTACTGATGCTGCTGCTACTTATGTATAAAATTCGTCTCTTTTGCTTCCATGTTTCGAATGAATCATTTATTCACTTTGCATCCACATACAAAAAAAACTGCAGGTGAAGAGAACAAAAAAATTACAATTCTCTAACGAACAAAAGAGAGAAAAGATGGATTTTTGACAAATAACAATGATAGCCATGTAACCAATATGAATTCTCTTTTCTCTCTCTCTCTCTTCTCGTCCCTTTCTCCTCTTATTTGTTCTCTATTATATTCACATNGTTCGCACAACAATCAATTAAACTTTGAGATATAAACACACACTTCCTCTTTTTCTTATCTATTCAGAATGGCATTTATCCTTTAAAGCAACGTCTTAATCAAACATTCAAAGAAAGCGATTCATCCAAGTACGAAACCGAACGAATCGAACGGCAATTATCATCCATTGATGGAGATATTCTTATGTATAAACGTCGTCTTGCCCATCAAGAAGATGAACATACCCAATGGAAGCAATTAATCACCCATATTCAACGCTTGTTATTACAAGCGAAAAACGAAACACAGAATGAAACTATCACGCGCACGTCGTGTGAGAAAGCGACCCAACAACTACGTTCCGATATAAATAAATTACGTGAACAACAGCAATCGAAACTAAAAGATCTCAAACAGTCCGCCTTGTTATTAGCACCAAGTTCAACAAATGATCGTGCACATATCTTCAAATCCGAATTGTCAAGTGCGATTAGGAAGATTCGACAAGACTTTGAACGACAAAATGATTCTCAACGTAATGAACTGTACGGGCAATTTACACGTGCATATGAAGATATTGCACGAGACTATCCCGAGCTTGGTCATTTGTTTTTGAACGAACGTGAACAGGAACGTACGAAACAAGAAGAAGATCGTACACGTGCAGATATTCAACGTGTTAAAACAGAAACGAATATGTTGAAACAGAAAGCTGCCGAACTGAAACTGCGTACACGTGAATTACAAATCAATCTGGAAATGAGCATTGAAGAAAACGCCCGTTTCGAACAACTACAACAAAACGAAATCGATCAATTAAAATCTAAACAGGAAAGAATAGCAAGGGATTACGACGATGTCATTACTAAACAAACATCATTAGAAAAAGAAATAGAAACCTATAGAAATTTATTAGAAGGTACAATGAAATCAGTTGTTGATACAATCACAGAAGAATATAACACGACAACAGCGAATCAAACCACAACGACGACAACAACAACAACAACAACAAATCAACAGCAAACACAACAACAGCAATCGCAACAACAACCGATAAGAAACGGTTTGTCAAGTCGTTCATCACGTTCATCGAGTGCTGATCGTTATTCATCAACACCGTACTATCCATCGTCCAGACTCAACGGTCATACAAATGCATATTCTCGTTTCATGGGATACAAACAAAATGGTGTCGATTCAACGAATACTTCACCAGCAGTCGATATTCCAGCGACAATCACAGAAAATGGCCTATCGACAAGTAAAAGTGTCGATGATCTAAGTGCGAAAAATGGTGTCAATCCTTCTGAAGTCAATGGAACAACAAATGGTTCATCTTCACCAAGTCGTCCTCCAACTATTCTTCAAACTCGACGAAGTTAATACTCATTTGAAAAAAATCCCATCTTTCTTCTTCTTTCTTTAATTTCGAATGTTATTATTCTTATTATTCTTTTTATCTATATTCTCTTGGATTTCATATGTAAAGAGATGACGTTTTCGTTTTTTTTTCATATGAGAGATGAACATTAAAAAAAAAGAACAAGAAAAAGAATATTTGTTCACACAAGCGCAGAGGAAGAACAACTTGTACACACTCGATATACAATCTCCACATGTTTACTTAGGTTTTTTTCACGAAATGTTTCATCTAAAGGAATAACATACTTAGCGAAACTTAAAAGTGTATTGTGAACGATGTCAACATCGGAATACAAAAGAATCTGATGTTATTATTAGAAAATACGTGATTGCTTTTCATATAAAGCATATCATCGACTTGCTTTGAATAGAAAAACAAGGATAGCATTTCTTTGCGTATAATTAAACGAATACTTAGAACATTGATCGAATAGGGTTTCGATTTCCATGTACTTTCCTATTAGAATAACAGCAGGTGATCGGGTTGATTTAACACAAATCGTATTCGTTCTTTCCTCGCCATGCAAATCTTCATTTTCAATCAAATGTCATTAGAAATGACAAGTATTTGATGTACGAAATCGAATGTTTAAAAGCGAACTATTCTTTTCTTGACTTGTATAATCCAAATGTAGTTCGAATTGATTGAATCATTGTGTCAATAAAATTTTATCGGATTAGTTCATTTCATTTTTGATCAATGAATAACACTTTCTACATTTGTATGTCAAGTATGTCTATAGACATCGGAACATAGCCGAGTTGTATCTAGTAGTTATTTGATATTTGTTCAATGTTCGCAAGTAGACAGACGCAAAGTGTTATTCGCATCTTTTGCTATCAAATGAACTTTGCGTAATGTTCTAATTGAATTTGAGCATATTTCAACAAAGTAAAACATTTCAATGAGGAGAAAATTCTTCTTTTCTCTTTCGTTTACCTTCATCCCGGTAGATCGGTCACCCTTTCTCCTTCTCTCTCTCTCTTTTCGTTCGATAGCATAAGAGAACACAAATACATTCGGTCACCCATCGATCGAAAAGTGTATTATCGTTGACCGTAGTGTTCATACATTTTCAATCCTTGTCATATTAAAGAAAACATCATCTACAAGTGACCTTGACAAACGACAAGATCACTCGTCTTAAACTTCCTTCTAATCAAGTATAATCATCATGGACGAATATAATTCGTATGTATACGAACAGTCGATTTAATCAGCAGCAAGAATCTTATCTTATTTCATTTAGTTGAAATGGGCACATGTTATAGTAAACGTTCCGCATGTTATAATTTAAAAGGATATCCACACACAATAACCAAACCCGAAATCTACGAAGTCAATCCGCCTGAAACGCCGGCAACATTACGACGTTTTAGCAGTTTACGACATAGTGTTAAATCGTTTACATCATTGGCACATCAGCGACGAAGTCTACGTTATAAGCCTATAACAGTCGTCATGAGTCCGACTAAGCATGCAACTGTTAGCGGTGGACATAGTCACTCAAGAAAGAAACATCGCTGCATTATTCATTATAATCAAACGAAAGAAGCACTTGTTTGATGAAGACAAAACACCTGCACGTTAATCTTCCGGTTCGTTGGCATATTTTCGAGCATTGCCATGTTTGTTCACATCATCTTATTGTTGTTGTTATTGTTTGTATCATCACTTGAAAGAATATAAGAAGATCTACTTATTGAGAGAAAGAAAACATCTCATCAACTGTTTTATTGTTTGTACTTGAATTCGCATGAGGAGGAAGAAAATTGAACAGGACAAATCTGTTAGAAAACAAAAGCTTATCGAAAAAAAAAACTGATTAAAATAATTGAAAAGAAAAAAAGACGAACACATCATTTTTGTAAAGCGAGAAAATGAAGAAAAGATGATAAATGCCTTCTCAATCAATGGTTGACAATGTCAAAAACTTAACGCCGGTAGCCTGAGAGAATAAATAAAGGATGAAAAAATAATAAAACTGATCTCCTCGTCAGAAAACACGTTCGAGGAGGTTTATATTATTCTAATCCTTTGAAGCAAAATTCAAAAAGAAGACAAGCTCTTCTTTCATGTGTATCAAAGGAATGCTAATGAAGATCAGATAATTTCATTTTAGACTTTCACTATCTTTGAATTTGTGAATGTATCTCGTAATGATAGAAGATTATTTGCTAATAGATAACCAAAAACATTTTCATACCATTGCGACGATCGTCCACTAGAAAAGAAAAACACGAAAATGATCGGTCGAACTTCGTCAATTTCATTACCTAAAATCAACACATGCTACTTGAGTAACTGTTGTATGTCCAGGTTGTGTTGCTGATGGTGTAATGTAATAATGCATGTCTTTTGTTATACCAATACTACCTGGTAAGAAGTGATTTTGTAAATGGTCAATAGACACCGCACCGATCAGCATTGCAGTTGTATCTGAGAGCGAACGTGAAGTGATTTTCTTTGAAAAACTGTGCAAGAAATAATCGCGAATTTTGAAAATGAAAAAAAAAGGAGTTTTTCGTTACCGAAATTCACAAAATGATCGAACGGGTACAAGATCAAGGAAATTAAGTACATATTGCACAATTTCTTTATCATCATCGATTTTCTCCACTGTTCGACTTTCAGCAAAATGGTTGTCCCACAAATATCTTTCATGTTGAATTCTTTGACACACTTGTTTCACATTGCTATTGGGAATATCGATCGAGCATTTCCATGTGGGTAAAGTTATCTCATCTTTATCACAATTTGTTAGTGTTGGTTTATGTATGGATAAATCCACGCCATTCAGATTGGTTTGAACATGTTTGAATTTTGTATTGGATAAGCGCTGAAAGAGATCAACACGAAATCGATCGAATTTTGAAGTCAAAAACTGTGTGTTTACTTGAAGAAATTGTTCACTGTCTTTTGTAATATATTTTTTCATATGAAATTCGCCGTTGCATGCGCTGCGAACAAGATCATCGAGATGTTTGGTTTTTCTTAATGTGGGCAATTTAAGTTCGTCAGAAAGCGAACTAGGAACCTAGAGATACACATATGTAATTAATAGAGAATCATTAGATAGAGAAAAGATCTTACTCGGCAAAGTAAATCAACGTTAAGTATCATTGTCATTAGGCATAGTTCAAGTGTTAAACGTTCACTTTCTTGTTGTATTGCATCTAATTTATCTTTCTTCCATTTCCACCAAAGAACTTTTGATGATGTATTATGCATATCATGATAAGATTGAAAAACAGATGGGACAAATATACGTGCTAAACTACGGCAAGTTATCTGAGAAAGACAAAGAAAGCAAGATAAGCATAGATCGATCAGATGATAAATGAGTCGATTTCGTACCTGACTATTACCAGATCGGATAGAAACATCAAGTAGAAATCGAAGGATGGTTTCCAATACATCACGAGTCTCATCCGGTAATAATAGAAAAGCGTAACGTATGGCTAATAATTGTTCTTCTTGTGTTGCACCTAGACGAAAAGGAAGATTTGATTTTGAATTTCATGGATATTCGATTAACTTAATTTACATTTTATTAAATCACATAGTAGACGTGTTATTGATGGTGGTATAAGACATTCAGGTAATTCGCGAAAATACTGTCGAATGACATCAGCAACAACAAATGGTTGATATTCGTCAAATTTAATTGCTTCTAATGATGATTCACTGTGAAGATCATCGATGGCCTCGATTTGCGAACGTAAACGGTCAATTTTAGATTTGACACCTGGCTTACGAAATAATCCTTCACATTTACCAGCGTTCATACGGACATATTGTAGTGCATTTGTAATCGCCACAGGAAGAATTTGGCCTGTGGTTTGTTGATATATACGAAGAGGAACACCAAACACACGTTTGCCTTTCCATGTTGTTGGTTTGGGCAGTTTATTCAATTTGGCTAAAGTTCTAATCAATTCGAGAGATGATGCATATTTCTCATCGAAAAAAGATGAAACTCACATCGTATCATGGTTATGCATACTATCATGGGTACAATTTTGTTGGGTTAATTTCAATAGTTTTGACAAGGCTATATGAAAAAGAAAAGAGGAAGTTGATCAGTGAATGCATTGATAAATTCCGGATAAATAGAACAATGTGAATTTATGATATTAACCTGCTTCTCTTAAACGATTTATGTCGTTTGATAACAGAAGATGAATATTAATTTCGTTTGTATTTGTTCGCATTGTTATTACTTCGTTTGATTGAGGATTTGTCTGATCAGTTTCGTCTCTAAAATAATATATATACATATATACTTCGATAATATACATTCATGATGACATATCGATATTCAACGAAACCAACAGGTTCACTGGATGGATTAACATCGATTATGTGCATGTGTAGGGAGTGTGCGTGAGCGAACGATAGGGCGTATATAGTGTATAACGTTGTATGAGTCTCGAGGCTCGAAATTGATTTATGTATGGATAGGAAAGAAGGGACATGGGGGAGAGAGAGAGAGGAAAAGAATGAGAGAGTAACTAACGATGAATAGTTTTGTGTGTGTATTCTTTATTAATGTATGTGAGAAAAAAGAGAAGATGAACATTGATCGATAACCTTCCTTTTGTTAGTTGTTCTATGATACATTTTCTTCGATATTTACTTCAATTTCAATTGAAAATTCAAATTTCTTTTAAAGAAAATCTATTTAATACATACGTTGACCTTGTTCATTACAGGATATACGCAGAATAGAAAGAGAAACCTCTAGATTGCTGAGAGATATCTACATATAGGTACGCGAGAAAAATGATATGTAGGTAGTCACATCTTTTGAAAAAAAATCTGTCGAAGGTTAATTTAACAAAGAAGAACAAATAAAGCGAAGGGTAAAAAAAAGAAACTTTTCCTCAGCTCAAAAAAATCTGCACAGTCCTAATAGATAGAACAGAATTATATCACTCCCTCCAGTTATATTACTATGATGATAGTGTTCATGAATGTCGAGCAAAGAGAGAAAGCGAGTGCAAGAGGAGAAAATTTGTTCCATCTTGCTATGTGGATTGACGACAGATCATTATGATGCAACTATTGCGTCCGCATGCCCGATCGACGTCATCAGCACTGAGGAGAAAAAACATAGAGAGCCACTAATCGATCTATACATACATATGTATATATATATATATATGGGCACACATACACGCGTTGTATTTTATCAGACTGTATCGATTTACGTTATTGTCTGAGGCATATCACCTTCGAATTCGTCGTTTATCGATCTGCACGACAGTAACAATAGAAGAAAAGATTAGATTGATTGGTATGCAAAAAAAGAAAATGCATACATAATAGTTATACAACTGATTTCGAACGATTGTTCAATAAATATAAATTTTTTATTATAGATGTGTGTGTTTTTTCCTCTTCTTTCCATTACCGTCATCGATATCGTTCAATACGCATAAAAAATTCGAATAGGTTCAATGAAAACTGTCTGTTGCTTTTTTCTCACATAGATTCTATTAAATTTATGTAATAATATGTGTGATTGAACTCATTTATTGTCGATTAAAAAGAACGAGGGAAAGTCGAACATTGTCATAACACAGAACATTTCGATTTGTATCAAAATATCGAAGAAACAAGAATTCTTGTGAAAGATAGTTGTACAAATTGTCACAAGGACGTGTAGGCTAATGTGATCGAAGTTTAAGTCAACAGTACAGTTCAGATATCTCAATGATCGATGAACTGTTTCAATCAATAAAACGAAAGAAAATAGAAAACTTAGAGGTATTCGATCAAAATTTTTTCAAGATCTTTAGCCTTCAGTTTCGAGTACCTTCTTCTAATCAATAGTCAGTTAAGGATTTACCTGTTGATAGTACAACACTCATCGGTGGTGTTATTTATCGAGAATTTACTTGCTGAACAATCGCTACCAGTGTGATTAGAACTTTTTCTTCAGTTTAACAAATAAACTAATATTTATTTAACAGATGGTAGTTTACTTTGTTTGAATAAGATGTTTTTATATGAACAATGAGTGTATAGGATCAAGTAGCATAAATATATATATACTTTTTTCTCCCTCCCTCTCCCTCTCTTGTGTATTTTCTCGATTCATCGACAATACAGAAATGGCTAAGTAGTATCTAAATATTGCTGAGAAACAACGAAAGTAATAATCAACTAGTGTGATTAGACTATGAGATTCTCTCGAGAAATTTATTGAGTAAAGCATGCAAATCATTCGGTGTACGCAGACAATGTTAGTTTCATCTTTAGACTAAACTCCATCGACTCGTTCAGAAGAGTGAAAAGAACTAGCAAATGTTTGGAAACACTCATCTCTCTATCGCTCAACACACACGCGCGTGATATTACCAGGATAACAATTGAGTTAGACAGATAAGAGAAGAAAAATGATAAATCGATGAAAACCTACCGATCATCAATTTGTGGACTAGCAGCAAGGCCAGAATCATCACTTGGATAGATCGTTGTTTGTTGAATAAGATTTTTTAAATCATCTAATTTCGAGATGGTGCTTCCTTGATCATTATCATCTAATAACGCTTGAGTGCTCGTTGAATCTCGTCGATAGTTGTGCTCCGCCGAAGGATTTATTGACGGACCATTTCCATTTTCCATTTCAAGACGTGACAAAATTAGATCAATATCATTATTGAAACGAACTAATTCTTTAAGTACATTATCTTCATCAGCATACAAATTAAATCTTGAACTATCTGTTGACATATTATCATAAAGACTACGTTGCTTGCGACGCCCTTTTCTACTTGATTCGTTAGAATGATGACCATGGAGAAATGTCCGTGGCGTAGCACCTGCTCGTCCAAGTAGAGAATTTGTCGATGTTGATGACGAACGTTTCGTTGAAGATGATGATGAGCGTTGATGCGGTGCTTTATTACAAACATCATTGTAGTATTCATTCAAGACTTGAGCTTTGTCAATTAATCGTCGAAGTAGACTTTGAGTGGAATAAGCAGATAGATTTGTTGTTCCAGATGAAAAGTCTCGCGAAGTAAAACTTTTCGGTGTTGCTGTTTGCAAGTCATCATCTTGTTGACGATCGATATCGATAGACATTGATTGATCATTGGTTGTAATCGGTTTCTGGTACGACTTTTGCCGGCTTTGAGCATCATCGGTGATGGATGATGCGACTTCGATATCGGTAAACGAATACGAATCTAGACCATTATTTAAACCGCCAATACCGTGTGGTATAGATGTTAAACGTGTAGTGATATTGTCGTATCGATTAAGCAATGGATTCGACTGTGAATTACGTATGGGTCGGTGTGTGTACGGATTGCGAAAAAGCTCATTTCCATGTTGACATGATGATGGAGGACTTAGTGTTGAAGATTGATCGTCATTCTCATTGAATAAGGTCTCATTTTCAAGTCGAATTTGACCTTTTGACATGCCTGTACGTGACGCGGCAGCAGCCACTGCTGCCAACTGTTGTTTACGAGCGGTGCTTTGTCTTTTTTGCGCTAAATTATAAAAAATAGTAGAAAATGAGTTTTGATTTTGATTTTCTTTCTCTTTTATACCTTTAAAACATCGAATTCGTTCGAAAAATCCCGTGTGTACATCGGGTTTTGCATCTTCTGTATTCGTCGCTGCTTGTATCGAATGATCCACATGAAATGTTTTTTTATAAGCGCGAGAACACGTACAACACGATAATAAAAACGAATTGGTTTTATGTTTATTATTGATCATAGCCGGTGACGTCGAATGTGTATATGGAATCGAACGTAACAAGTCTTTATTTACAGTATTCGATGCCATGATCGTACCGAAATGGGTTTAAATGTTTGTAATGGACGTGAAACAAGAGAGAGGGAGAGAGTAAGGAAGCGAGAGATTCGAACGTGATTCTTATGGCAGGTTATTATGCAAGCTGATGCCAAGTTACATTGTACTACATAAAAATCTGAAAAATAGAGAAGAAAAATGAAAGATGAATGAATGAACATTCGGAACAATTATCATATTTTAAAAATGACCTACCACCCATTGGTCTGCTAATGTCGACATAGAAGACAAGTGCTATTAGGTATGTTTAGAGAACAGATGAGAAAAAGAAAAATAAAGAATGTCACATAATTTTTTCGCCTTATGCCTTGTCGATCGATTGGTATGTCACTCGATGTCGTTTGATGTTGAAAAGAGAAACAGAAAATGTAAGGGAGAGCGGAGAGAGATGGAGAAAAGAAACTGAGCAAGAGTCTCTTGCTCTGAAAAAAGTGCCATAAAAACATTGTCAAGAACGAACCTGTTGTGTCATACATCCCTGTGGTTAATTTAACATGAAAAGACAGCCCATCTTCTTACCCTTCTTTTGTGCTCATATTACCTGAAGTAATCGATGATATATTTTCTCTCACTCTCGTTTGCTCGGTTTTCTTTCGATGGGAACAGACGGACAAAGAGAGAACAAAATGAGATAGATGTATTGAATGAAAATATGAGTGACATTGAGCGACAATTAAAAAGAGTGATATGAATAAAATTCGAGTTAATTGCTCGATCATTACTTAGTTCAAGAACTTTTCTTTCTTCTTTACCGTTTGTCTTAGTCCGCGTTTGCTCTTAGTCTTACTTCTTTCGATTCAATGTTTGTCAACTAACAAGAAACCGAAAAAAGAAAATGAATGAAAAAACTTCTTTTTTTTTTCTATTCTACTTTTGTTAATATACATACCGATGTGGAAAGGTGATGAACCGAGATAAATTGCAAGGTTTCGTCATTTGAAAAGGTTTCAACGTCGGCGTCATTGTACGAATACAACTGCTTCTCCTCTCTCGACATAACGTACGTGTCATATGTCTCTGTACATTTCTCCACTCGAGCACCAACAGGTACAATCATATTTGTGTATACATACAAAATTCGCATCAAGTAACAAGAGTCATCGTCATCGTTTTCAGTCTATACATGTCTCTTGTTACCGTACGCATGTAGTTACTCGTGTCTAGTCGTAGACATATAGATGTTTAAATGAATGCGTTCAAATGACGAACGTGAAAATGTCACAGCTGCTACACGCATAAACGCACTTGAGTTGATAGAGTGAAGAAAGACGAACGAACGAAACTCTGCTGTATGAAATTGCTACAAAATAAAGGTGACTGACAATTTGCCTTTCTGATCATTTGTCTTCTTTCATGTATATGTTTGGAGAAGATCTCCGTAAATGAAAACATCTGTCAACGTTTTCTTTTGGTCTTCGATACTTGAAGTTATCTATTAGAGATCGATGTTTCTTCTCTCGCTCGCTTTCTCAACTCATTTGTCAAATACTTCTTGTCTCGTATGTCTCTCTAGACATTACTCAATATATGAGATTATTTCTGACCAACCTTATTAGCTTTACAAAAGTACACATAGGGACAATTGAATCAAATCATTATAATTAAATAAACTTGAATAAGACGAACACAGACAGGTAGTGAAATAGGACATCGACCTCACAATGGGTTAGCAATTGAATCACTTAGTCTCTATAACAATGGTGTCTGTTAATCTTGCCTCTACTAATAATGATGATTAAGCTAATAATCATAACATTACTGTAAGCATCGATGGATGTAAGAGAACGAAGAGAAAAAAACTTAAGGAAAAGTAATATGAATAATAATAATAATAAAACTGGCGAAAGAAAAAGAAGAAGAAAAGAATCAAATAATCTTCTTGTATCCGATCGGTCGATTGATTGAAATGAAAAGAAATCAAGTTGATGTTGCCGATACTATTTTGAACAAGTGTTGTTTATCAGACTGAAACTCGATCATTGACACGCCTATAAAGATTAGAGATCATTAAATATCAACGCGCCTGTTCTCTTTAGACACCAATATTACCTAATCAATCGTAGATGTGAAGTGTATCGTTGTTCATCATCAAAGATAAATACTTTCGCTTTCTTACAAACACTTTCAATAAGTCTTTTTTTTTTCAATGTGAGAAAATCTCAATAAATACGAGCACGCTTCTTCTTCTCCTTCTTTTTTTCTTAATGTTTTTATTCTCCTATGCTAATAATGATGTTCGTGCATAATCCATTGAAGAAGTCCATGTATACACAAAGTAAATATGCATACATAGTGTATCTTGTTCGTCTTCTTCTTTAATGTTTTCTCTTCTCGTTTCTTTTCTTTTGAGGGATTAGTTCAAGTAGTAGTTCAGAGTACATATGTAAAATTTGGTCATATTAAGATAAAGAGGAGAAGAAGAAGAATAGAAGAAAGGCGATTAACTTTGTTGTTTCTTCTTCTTTGTTTGACTGTCTCTTGTTCTTCTGTGCGGTAAACTCTTTTCATATGATTAGAGCGGAAATGAGAGAACATTAGTGAATGGAAATCTGCAAATGCACAGATTTCCTTCTTACTTACCATTTAGAAAATTAGCTCGTGTCGGATTTTCCTATTCTTCTTGTTGTGGGTGTCCATTAAATATGAGCTGTTTGAATTCGATAGCAGAACGGGAGAAAGCGAACATCGAACGAAGAAGAACAATGTTTATCGTCATTAAGTAAAGAACTAGTCTATTCTCGTTTTTTTTTTCATCGAGGTTTTCTGTTTGTACGAGCTATTAAATATTTGCTCTTTGAAAAAGAATGGCGGGACGATAATGATAAAGTAGTAAAATTTGCCTTTTCATTATTGAGCAAATGGAAGAATACATTGATCGATGATCGGCAACGTCGACGTGAAAGAAAAAGGGCCCAAATGACAGCCATACTAACATCATTCATCATAGACACACACACACAAACACACAGACGAGAGAAATATACAGAAATAGAGAGAAACCGAATGAGGACTAGATCCATGTTATTCGAGAACTGCATACATGTATTAACGCTATATCTCAAGATATATTTGGAAACACGACTTTTGTAGGCGGAAATGATAACGATATTTTTATCATGTATATTCAAAAAGAAAACCATACGTCGTCGCTTTTTTTTCAATACTTACCGTCCGATCGTTGATAGCCGCTGCGTATGTTTAAGGATCATTAAGGAGCCCTTCGTTATGAGGTGTGTGACGTACACATACGTTTACATAACGGACCGGAAGGTGTGTATATAAATGAGCAGCTTCGTTTTTTTTTTCTTCATTCTATCTAGTTTGACCCTTTCATCAAATTCTAATTAGAAGGAAAAAAACCCGAGAAGAAAAAGAGAAGGAGCGAGTAGGAAAAAAGAAGGAGCTATGAAAATAGAGCATATATTTCTAACGATTAGATAGATCTCTAGTCATCGAATGAATAGAAAACAACAGCCAGAGAGATTTCTTTCTCAAATATCATAACAAATCTAGACGTGCGTATGTGCGCGTGTCAATGAAACAAATGAATTTGTTTTCTTTCAGTGGCTTCATTGTTGTTCTTGTTTCTCTTACTTTCTTTAATCATATACTTCTCTCGACTTCTTCTTCTGTTTTTTCGTCAACAATACACTGCCATTCAAATAGACACTCTCAAGCATATCCGACTAACACATCGAGACTCGTAAAAAAGTGACTGACCTCTATGAAGTCAAGTATCCGTTGACCACTTGATAATCAACTCACATAGACATACATCACGGCACTTTGACAGTATGAATTAAAAAACAACATATCATCCAGCACGTCTAGATTTCATATACTTTCTCGGATGGTTTTGTCTTTTATTTTTTTTTCTCTTAGTTGATCAGAAGAATGTTAATACAATAACAAAGAGCAAAACAAATGAAAATGTACTAAATAGATATTTCTTCTTGTTGTTGTTATTTGCCATTGTTTGATTTCGATTCGAAAATGATTTCTCTTAGAAGAAAAATCCAAGCACTTTACCACCTGTATGCTTTCGTCGAGCTTCTTCGTGATCTAGAATGCCATGTGATGTTGTTAAAACAACATATCTAAACGACCAACAGATAGATTTGTTCATTTTAAATATTTTCACTTACCCAAACTGACGTGATGGTAGAAGATTCTTTGTCCAATTTTCAATATCACGAATGGGACAATCAAAACGCGGACTGATCACACCGCACTGTAACACGAAATGTTCTAATCGAGTACAAATCAATATTTTGTCGTCTACTTACTTTATTCAAGCGACCATTCAAGTTAACGACAATTTTACCACTACGATGATCATCAACAACTTCGAATTCGCCAATGTAACCTTGAACACAAAAGCGGACATGTCTTTATGTAAAAAAAAATCATTGAGGTTTACCATGTTTCATCATCACAGTAAGAAATTTGATGATGACTTTTGAACATGGTCGGATAATGACTTGACGTTTGTGGCGTTTTTCAGCATTATTGATTGATTTGAGCGCGTCGGCAAGGACATTCATGTGCACCATGGTGGATGTTGCAGTAGATAGTAGTGTGTTAAGACACGCAAATCTAAAACAAGCGATTCATTTCAAAATGATTAATTGTACGCGAACGATGCTGCTGATGTTGATTGAATCTCATCAATTATCTAAAGAAAGTATATGAAACATCGATTGAAAAGAGAGATGAATCTTAATGTAAAGACATAGATCGTTCCTAGTTAGAAATCAGAGAATGTAAATACAAAATAACAATTTGTATTAAAATGACAACAAAACCGAAAAGAAAACGAAAACGACTAAACATAAAAAGACATATTTTTCTTATTGCTATTATTCTGTTTTTTCGTGTTGTTCATTTGATGTATCTACTGGAGATTGTTCGACAGCTGGTACAACGGCAGAATCCGTCTCACCAGTTGTACCATATTCATTAAGACGCGTACGATCAACTGGATAGATGTACCGTTGATAAAGATAGATGAAAAATATGATATCTAAATGAACAAAAGCTACACAAAGAAAACATTTGTACGAGTTTTACCATCACGAAGGCATCCAAGTCGATACATGGTCGGCATTTTAATAACAAAAGCAAATAAATCATCAATAAATGTATTTAATGCTTTGTATGTCATCATACGCCATGGTAGATGTGAAACAGATTTCAATTTATAGTTAATAAATAATTGAGGGGTCATCATAATGAAACCTTTTAAAAAAAAAGACGCTGTTACATATGGAGATTCATACAATAGTGCTACTTTTACCGAATGTTAATAGAAATCCATAGATTGTACCTAAACAGAAGGAGTACCAACTTTTTTGTTCATGATACATCAGTAGATAGCATGCATAGCCAAGTACTAATGGAAATAATGCCCATGACAGATATTTAAAAGCCATCTGAACGGAAAAAGAACGATTAGAGAAAGCAGATGTGGTAGAATGTACGAACTCGATCGTATTCGGATGTAGACGTTTCTGTGTACGATTCTTTATAAATGTATTTGTATTTTGGAATAAAACCGAGATATGTTTCGTTTGGCACACGCTTAAAAAGAGTCGATCGAATGATAAATTTTTAAAAAATGAACTTTATTTTTACTTGAAAGTTGAGAATCTTTGGTACTTTCCATAATTCAATAAGAATACCGATACAAACACTAATACGAACCATGGTATTCGTATCATTGTCAAAGACGTAGAGTAAAACGATTAGACTTTGGAATATATTGAAGAAAACACTTCGAACAGATAGACCTTCGAGAGATTTTCGTGTACGCCAAAATTGAATATCTAAATCGCGAAAAGAACTACTCAATTTGAAGGAAATTACAAATAGAAATTTACCATTTTTAAATGCTAGGATTTCAAAAACTGTATGAACTATTGATACGACGATGGTAATAACGAGCAGATATGGATTTGTTTCGATGAATGTACGCTAAAAAGCACAGATTATTCTATATATTAAATGAATAAGTTCATTTACTTTCATTGCATCTTGATCTTCTTCATTTTCTTCCTCACCCAACAAATTTCCATACCATGATTGCCGTAAATTTTGTGATATATACATTTGCCATTTCCACAATTGTATTGGTGCCAAAGTGACTGTTAGATTAAGTGCACTAAAACCGAACAAAGCAATGCGTAAGTTCAAATGACACAATTCAATCATTTCTTTACTTGATTGTATCGTTAACTGGATAATAATCCGAAAGAAGATTCCAATAGTCATTCAAATAAATTACCGGATAGTATTTGCCTGTATATGGTTCAAATTCAACAACTAAAACAACAAAGTTGAACCTTAAACATTCGAAAACTCATTAATCGAAATATCACTGAAATAAATTAGTCTTTATTCATAACATTTCTCTAATTTCCTTGAACTTTTTTGACCTTATACTCGTTACGCTGATCTCCTTGTCTGAACTTTAGATTTCGATAAGTATTTCGACTAACATTTATCCATTGGCGATGGAATACTGCCTCTGACCCATCCCGTATGATCATCGAGTAAATTGATCGTCATATTCGGATGCCAATGAGATAAGAGTTCAACAATTTTGTCATCAGCTTTCTAAAAGCAAAGTAAACTTCGTCATATCGATGAGGATTAGATTTGAAAAAGACCTTTTGATATTCTTCGTCTTGTTCCGTGCTTCCTGTGAGAAGATTCTTTGTTTTTTTATAAACTTTCTTCTTATACTTGTTCAAACCTAAACGAAAACCAATAAGAGTAATTACTCGATTAGAAAACACGTCTCTTCTCCCTACGTTTGCTTTTAGAGAATACATATTGCGGTGTATGAGGTTCTCGCTCGGTCGGATCAATTGAATATCCATGTTTCGTTGCTACAACGTGTAAATAAAGCGATCCATTATTTTGTACATTCTACAATACAAAATTCTGTAATTCACTAGAAAATAATTAAAGGAAAGTTTTACTTTTGATATCGGAAATTCAATAAATTTCGTATAAGTGCCATTTGATGACCAATCTCCATATTTTAATCCATCAACTTCCCACTGAGGTCTTCTCAATGGGTCGTGTGTATAGATTTCTTCTTCGTTAATGAACAGGTATATATCCTTGAGACAAACAGTCGATAGATGAACTCGAAAGGAAATATACTTACGAGTAAATCTCCATTGGCGAAGAGATTTCCTGGTGGAAATCCAGTATTAGGATGTGCTGGTGCTGGTGTTTGTCCAGTTGTGTTATTTGTTGCTGAACGACGAAAGAAACTTGTAATAAAATAGAACACCAACATTTGAAAAGCGAATGATTTGATCACTTCCCATGCTGATGGTCGTGGCCGAGCTGGAGGATTATTATTTTGTTCAGCTACTGGTGTCACATTATTCTGTGCTTGTTCGATCTAATAAAAAAAAGTGTTCGGAATTCAAATATTCCGGAAATATTTTTATAACTTACACTATTCTCTGCACTTCGTTCTCGTGATTGATTCGAATTTGCGTTCGACATGATCTGAAAGTCAGAAGAGAAGCAATTGTACAAAAATCATGTTTTTTTTGAGTAATTTAGATTTCCAGTAGCCATACTGTAAATTAATTTATTCTCGTCTGTTTTATGGACCTCCGAATGACATCGAGCAGCGAATAGGAAAATTTGTTCTCGAAAATTCATTTCTTTGCTAAAATCAACATTTTTTCTTATGTTTAAAAAAGTCGATTATTTTTCCGATATCTTTTATTGATTGTAGCGCTTGCGCTATTGATTGGTGCTTGCAGAACAGCTGCCTATGAGTCATTACAGGATGAGATAAAGTCAATTTCAAGAGAAACATGTTGTGGAAAACTCTGGTTTTTTATTTATTTATTCAATTAATTCATGGAAATTACAATGATCCAATCTATCCAGTACAAAATCCATGTTTAGCCATTCTTGATCGTCTATCAGACATGTCGTCAGCGTTTCTTAATTGTGCTGTGAGTCGAGCTCGACCATTTAAATTATGTGAAGGTTGTGTGGATAATTATGCACGGTTACAAGATCTCATTGGTTTGCTTGAAAACGTTCGTCATCGTGACATGTGTTTGTTTCATGTTTTCATACGATAAATTTGATTTTTAGACGTATTCGGATGTTGATAAGAAGATAACATGCAAACAGTTTCTCGAAAGTTATGATTCGATACAAGTCGTTGCTCAATTGATTGCATTCGTACAGAATATTTGGTCTTCCTCGTTTTGTGATAGTAAGTTTAGCAAAATACTTGACGGAAGTGAATCATTATAAAAAAATCTCTCTATAGGTTGTATTACAGGTTATAATGATACGAATGGTACAATTCAGTACAGTTTAACAGATAGTACAATACAATTTATTCAGAAAAAGATGATGTTTGACATGTGTATATTCAATGCAACTGGTGTAAGTTTTCTTTTTTTGTTATCTGTCGTCAATTTTATATGCTTATGAAATGTGAATAGCGTATTGTTCCGATCATTCCGATCGACCTCAATGTTACATTGAATACAAATGTGTGTACAATATGTCTAGCATCGTATAACGATATCAATGACTTCTTTCTACAACTAACACATGGAAACCAACCTGGTGTTTGTATGGATATTGTTGACACAGTAAGAATCGAAAGGAAATGTCATGTTCTTCTACCTTACTTTTACTTCTTCAAAGATGAACTATACTCGACTGTTGTGGAGTAAAATCTATGAATGTAGAAGGCATGATCCAGATTATATGGCGGTGTTTGGAATATCGTTCTTTATTCCGACCATTGTTTTGGTTTTTTATGTTAGTGCATTATTCAAAGGTAAGATTTTCTACTCTGATAATTACTGAATTCTCCTGTTAATATTCGTCTTTTTCTATCATAGGTGAACGACAGCAGAAGAAGTTATCACGACGTAAGTTAATTTCAAATTTTCTTCTTGTGCTTCTTACTTATTTTTTTTCTTCTTTAGAAAAACGTCTTCCAGTACATTCCACTACGGCTGCACTCGCTGGCACGAGAACATGGCTATGGTCCAATCCGAATGATTAAAACACACGAATTATTTTTCTACACATGCATTTTTTTGTTGTAATAATAAATCGAACAAAGATTTATTGGATTGAAGCAATAAACTCTAGTTTTTCAAAAAAGACCAATTCTATTTGCTGCTTCTTTTGCACAATCAACAACATATTCTTTCTTCACTTGTCAATTCGTTTCGTATATATAGAGAAAGACACAATCGATCGATCGATACACCAAAATCAGCCAATAGGAAATCAATTAGAACGCGTTTCGATTGGTTCGTAAAAGTTGTCATTGAGATGGTCTATATAAGCACAGAAAGATGCCCACATATCCTCTCATATCTACACATACTTCTTTCGTTCATTTCGATTGATCTAAACTCGCTATGGCACCAAAAGCTCAAACTCCATCAAAAGGTTCAAAAAAGGCTGTTACCAAAACCAGCAAAGGTTCAGCCGGACCAAAAAGTGACAAGAAACAAAAACGTCGACGAAAAGAAACCTACTCCATCTACATCTACAAAGTTCTTAAACAAGTTCATCCGGATACTGGTATTTCGTCAAAAGCTATGTCGATCATGTAAGTTTCATCTCTTGTAGAAAAACATCTTATACAATGATTTTCTCTATTTCTTAGGAACTCCTTCGTGAACGATATCTTCGAACGTATTGCAGCTGAATCATCACGTTTGTCACACTACAACAAACGATCAACAATTTCATCACGTGAAATTCAAACAGCTGTTCGTCTCTTGTTACCTGGTGAATTAGCTAAACATGCTGTATCAGAAGGTACAAAAGCTGTTACCAAATACACCAGCGCTAAGTAAATTGATGGTCAATTTATTGAGATGAATAACAACACTCTCAATTAATATCATGAAAATCTAAAAACCCAACAGCCCTCTTTAGGGCTATTATATCTTATATTTAAAAGATATGGACTCGCGTATAACTATTTGAATTTGTTGCTCTTGCTGTGTGGTAGTTGTATAAATATAAAACACTTGCTATTCATTGACTGAAATTCACTTTCTCACTGCACTCATCCTATGTTTGTTTCTGGAAATGAATCTCATTGGTGGACACACAAAGAAAATAGTCTCTTGTCCATTTTCTTTGTTATTTAACAATGACGCAAACATAACATTCCACTCGGATGTTTATTGATCAATGCATATAGAACATTAACACTGAAATTTTTGACTTTTGATTGAATTTTTTTTTTGTTTTTTTGTTGCATCAGAAAATGACACTAGAACAACAATGACGTGTAACACACACATACGTCAACCAATACCCATCGAATATTTTTCAATGGGCAAAGAACTTCTCGCTTCAGGAGTGCGTTGAAATTTTACGTCACTTTCAAACATGTTCAAACACCATTCAATTTATATGACATTTCATATAACAATTGACATATTTATAATTATTTTTCCCTTCAATTCGAAATCAAATCAAAATACTTTATATTCAGTTATGTATATAATAACACGATGTCATAGATTTTTGAATTTAAAGTGTAGGATGTTATAGCCCTAAAGAGGGCTGTTGGGTTTTGGTTAATTAGGTTTTTTCAAGAGAGTGATGTTGTTCATCTCATATTTGTTTTCATCGTTGATGTTATTTAAGCGCGTTCACCACGAATGCGGCGGGCCAATTGGATGTCCTTTGGCATGATGGTGACACGTTTAGCATGAATTGCACATAAGTTAGTGTCTTCGAAAAGACCGACTAAGTATGACTAAAAGAAAGGAAGAATGATTTAGTTATTTTGTTTCGTTGTGAATCAATTTGATGAACATACTTCACACGCTTCTTGTAAAGCCATAACAGCGGATGATTGAAATCGAAGATCTGTTTTGAAATCTTGAGCGATTTCACGAACCAAACGTTGAAATGGTAATTTACGGATAAGTAATTCAGTCGATTTTTGATAACGACGAATTTCCCGAAGAGCTACGGTACCTGGACGAAAGCGGTGAGGCTTTTTGATTCCACCTGTAGCTGGTGCAGATTTTCGGGCAGCTTTTGTTGCTAATTGTTTTCGTGGAGCTTTGCCACCAGTTGATTTACGAGCGGTTTGTTTTGTACGAGCCATTGTTTATAGAATGGGTTTAATAGACGTGTGAATGAGGGCGATGAAATTTGTCGATGACGAATATAGAAACGAAAGGAAACGAACGCTTTTTATATAACGAAGACGAGCATGCATGTGTCATTGGTTCGCTAATCTGATCATTAGTTGACCAATGGACAGCGTGAGTCTTTGTTTTCTTAATGAGCCAATGAATATGTTTGCGATGGAGGACTATAAAAACACTTGTGTAACTTGTTTCATGTTCATATTCATCAAGCCGTCTTCTTCGTATTAATTCACATTTAATCAAATTCTACAATGTCCGGACGTGGAAAAGGTGGTAAAGGTCTTGGCAAAGGTGGTGCTAAACGCCATCGTAAAGTTTTACGTGATAACATCCAAGGTACATTTATTATTATTTAGTTATGAACTTGTTTATCTATCATTCTCTTTTTGTATAGGTATCACAAAACCAGCTATTCGCCGTCTTGCTCGTCGAGGTGGTGTCAAACGTATCTCTGGTTTGATCTATGAAGAAGTTCGTGGTGTTCTCAAAATTTTTCTTGAAAACGTTATCCGTGACGCTGTTACATATACAGAACACGCTAAACGTAAAACTGTTACAGCCATGGACGTCGTCTATGCCCTCAAACGACAAGGTCGTACACTCTACGGTTTCGGCTCATAAGTGGTTACATCTACTGCTCTACATGCAATGAGATGAATAACATCGCTCTCATATCATAAAAACCCAACAGCCCTCTTTAGGGCTAATATTTCTTTAAATTCAAATCTATGATATCGTTGATAAACATATACACTGATTCAGTGGGATATTGAATGCAGGAGTGGAATGTGTGGATGAAGATTTCATGTTATCGCAGCTTTTGAATTTGTAAAAAATACATCAACAATGCACCCAAATTGATACGTTTTTAGGATACAGGTTACCAGTACTTGGAACGAGCGTAAAAGTATGAGAAAATCTGCCGCTTGCTTATATAAAAAAAAGTGACGAATTTCAAAATATAAACCAAAGTTCTGAGTTAGATACGCCTAAGGTGATATTCAAAAGTGTTTTGCTTTATACAAGTTGTTTTATCGACGAGTTGTTCCACCGTAACCTATTGAACACAAAAGAAAAAAGAGACAATCTTTTAAAAAGCGATATAGTTTCTTACCGGTGCTAGTGTGAGTGCCACCTGATGAAGCCGAAGGGCTCTGACGATATGTATCTGTTGTAGTTGTTCCTGTACCAAACCAACCAGTGTTTCCTGTGTTAGCCGTGTTCTGAGTATTTGGTCTAGAAAAATATTTTCTTGAGTAATGACCTAAAATTTAATTTTAATACAATAATTTACCTTCGGTTACGTGCACCAAAAACATAACCACCTAAAGCACCAAGTGCGGCTCCTGTTAGAAAATTGCCAGCTCCGCCACCAGCAGCTGCATTCTGTTGTTGATTAGCATGACAATCTAGATTATAAGATAATTTGAACGCTTGCTATGATTCAAGACTTTTTATACCTGCTCCAGTATTTCCAAAATTGGTAAAGTCGTCTCGGAAACCTGCTGGTGGTGGTCTTCGTCGAGCGTCGCCTGAGCCTGGCGCACCACCTAAACCACCAAGGCCACCGAATCCGCCTGGAAAGAAGTTTGAAAACCAACCACCACCGCCGCCACCCCCACCTGTATATTCAAACGAAATACAACTGGTAAACGAACAAGAAAGATTTACCTGGAGGGCGACGATCGGGTCCAGCGGACATATGTGTGGCACCACCCGTTCGGTTTCCACCAGAAATAAATGATTTAAGTACGAAAAATACTACAACAATCAATGCAACTTTGAATAAAAATGGCCAAAATCTTGATTCAGATCTAAAGAAGATTCGAATGTGATCATCAAAGTATCTATGGCAAATAATTCTTTTATCACTTACGAATGGCGAACTTTCGAATCATAGAAATCTTTATCGGTATATTCTAAATTGTACTCCAACTAAAGATCCAAATGTTAACCTTCTGCATTAACATTACAAATATACGACTTACTCCACATGAATCTGCTAATATGTACGGATCTTCGGGATAGTTATATCCTTCGCATGAGACACTCAATTTGCCAAATTTAAATTTTTTTGGCATTTCAGCTGAACATTCCCACTAGAAAAGAAATGCCAATTTTTTATTTTATGTATCAGATGACTGGATCTCGAGTCTTACTTGAATATCGATGCCATTCGAGCCACGATTATAACATTGTACAACATCAGGTTCGAAAGCTCCTCTCGCTGAACCACCGATGCATTTGAGCTGTGGAACAGCGGAGACTCGTCTTGCCTGGGTCCGTTGGCCTTTATAGAGCGTCAAAGTTTGAACATTTTGAAGTAAAACACTTTGCTGATTTCCACCTAAACAATATCATTGAATATTGTGCCCTTTTCCAAAATTAAAACTAGCAGATTTACCTTGAACAAGATGAATTGTCAAATATGTGATAATTGCTATGAGAAATACAAGCTTCATACTACGCATATACACTCAGTATGTTTTCCTCGTAGTAGTAAACGTAAAAAGGGAAAAAATCCATAAAATGAGTAAGAATACGTCATCGTTATCTGGACCAGTTAAAAAGTGACCTTGCACCTCTTCGTTGATGTTTGCAGCAATTTGATTGGTTCGAAGAAGCCAATATTTTTCTGTTCATCAAGCGTCATTTTTTTTTTGAAAGATGTCGAAATCCCAAGAAGGTATGCCATAATATTTCTCGGAAAAAATCATTCTATTCGCCATTCTCTACTAAGGTTGGCTAAGAATTAAATTAGCAAGTCAAAACAAATGGCATCGCCGATACTGTACTATCGATTGGGATAAATCTATCTTATTCATCTCGTCAAGAGCAGATGCACGATTTCGAGATTGGATCAAACTTCCACCAAATGTCATCATTCACGATTCCGAAAGCTCATTTAATACCGAACCAAATAATCTAAATCTGCTAATAACAATCAACGAAACGCAACCGAATAGTAAGACAAGATATGCTTTTTCTATTCGGTCTTTTCATTGACATTTTTCAAGACAGTACGCTGACACATTTGCTACAAGCAGAGAATAAACATGATTTTGATATATGGCTATTAGTATTGAAACAAACAGCTTATAGTCGAATCGGAGGTGGTAAGTTAAACCTCATTACATCGAACAAACTACGCAAATTGAAAAAAACTCGATTGATTTCGTACGAGTTGACTCATATGTGACAAAAACTTAATGGAATACATGGATGATTCATAGAATGTCAAACATAACAAGCATAACATTTGACGCAAGAAAAGCGAAGTTTTGAAAATGTATACGTTACCGTGATATTCGGAAACGTCGTCTATATTAGTATGCGAGATTGAGTACAAAAATGAACATTTAAGGGACAGTGAAATACTTGTGGATTGAATTCTAATTTCTCTTTCTTTCAGCTATCTTCGGACAATCACTAGAAACAACCTATACTTATGCTCAAGACAAATCGTCCTTTGTACCATTACTTGTTCGGCAATGTTGTGAATATCTACTCGAACACGGCTCAACATTTGTTGGCTTATTTCGGTATGTAAAACAAAAATATTTTCGAATACAAATCAATCACTTCGTTCTAAATACACGTCTTTAGAGTACCAGGTAAACAATCTTCAATAAGGGAATTACGTGATAGATACGATCGTGGTTTATCTGTTGAATTGCATCAATCATATTCTCCGGCGACCATCTCATCTTTGCTGAAAATCTATCTCCAATCTTTACCGGAACCAATAATTCCCACGAAATATTTCGATGATTTCCTCGAAATCGGTTCGCGTTTCAAATACAGTCAAACAAATGATTTAAATACATTAAAACATTTGATTGAAAGCAAATTATCCAGTCATATCAACTATGCGGTCTTAGCCTATCTATGTTTATTTCTAAGAAAAATCACCGAACATGTACAAATCACAAAAATGGATGCCGATAACTTAGCTGTTGTTTTTGGAAATAATCTTATTCGACCTGTTGAAGAACTTGATCTCAATATGATTAAAGGACATAGGTAATTGAGTTCATCTGTTTTTTCTCGAGAGGTAAATTGTCAAATCGAACGATCTTTAGTTATAATTTACTTCCATTAATTAAAGTCTTGATCGATCAAAGTGAATATCTGTTTTCGGTAATGAATTTATGAAAACTTAACTTATGAATTTGTTGCTTGTTTTCTTCATTAGAGTCAGAATTCATCCAATCAATTTCATGATTCTTATGAAGCAACAAACGAATCCATTACAAAATCAAGTGGATTCTCTTCGTTTTCCTCATTATTATCTACTAATGATCATCATCCGGTCACGGCCAGTTCGCGTTCGAAATCGATGCCATCGATATGTATCGAGACATTTTCATCATTGGATAGTACAAACTCGAGTTTTGAAAATCAAATCGATTCCGACGCTGTCGCTCAAGAAACAACAACGAATCGACAGAAATCAGTCGACAAAACTCGAAAAATATCCAAAACGAATTCCACCGGATTCTTTCAAGACAGTCGACCGAAAAGATATGGAAGTATTGATTTATTAGACACGAAAACAGACTACAACAGTATGTCATCAATGCCAGCAACAATCAGTGATCCTGTAGTACAACAAAGACAGCATGAAGGTAAAATTTTTTCCATTATCTATTTTCGATAATCGAAAACTGAACTAACTTTAAAACGAAAGCATCTTGAAATCGAATCGACTGTCATTATGTGAATATCACATGATGTTTTAATCCTAAAAAAGCCTTTTCTAATTGAATCGATATTTCGTTTCAATCATCAAATTCGCTGACAATTTTCTGCCTTTAGACTACCGTCCTCATCCCAAATCGACAATCGAAGTTCCAATGACGATTCGTAAAATGGAGAAATATCCACCAAAGAAAGGTCTAGCTAATAAATTTGGCAAATCATTCTCAAGCTTTAAGTCTAGTATGTCAAAAGCCATGCAATCGCATAAATCATCGAATGAAACTGAATCTCAGATGAACGAGATATTTTCATCGAGTCAATCGAACGATGCTCAAATGATAATCAAGCAATTGCAAAACGAAATTGTTCGTTTGAAAGAATTAGTAGAAGACAGAGATTTGATGATAAATGATTTAAAGAAAAGTTCTCATGACGAACGGAACAAATTCGAGAAAGAAAGATTAAAATTGAACCAAAAAGTCGAACAATTACAACAGGAAAATATTCAATTACAAAAACAAATACATATGCAATAATTTTACTTCTCTCCATGTGTATAAACGTTTTCTTTTTTCTTTCCACAAATCAGTTTTATATATACATATAGCAATATTTTCTTTTTCTTTTGCCTGGTGAATATATCTGTCTGTGATTTTTATGCTCAAAATTCGTATTTTAGATTAAATGAACATGTCGATCAATGGTTTTCAATTCGATCGGAATGATAGCATATCCGATGATCTCTACACAACACCAATTAGTCCATTATCACCCTTAGAAAAATCTCCGCCGCCTCCGTTGCCAGCACTAGTGATGCCATTGTTGCCATCGGTCGTTATATCATTTCCAATGAATGTTAATGGAGAGAGAGAAGATGTGAATAATGTGAATGAAAGTGAAATGCCGAGTAATATCACATATCCATTGCAAGATTCGTGGACGTTTTGGTTCTTTAAAAATGATCGCAGTTCGGATTGGAAAGATAATTTAATTGAACTAGCGACGATTTCAACTGTGGAAAGTTTTTGGTCAGTCTTTGATCGACTAAAACCAGCAAGTGGACTTAATCAAGGATGTGATTATCTCCTATTCAAGAAGAATATTGTAAGTTGTAAACTTAATAGACAATTAGTATATATTCGAGAGTTTGTTCTGTATTTTTTTCAGCAACCAATGTGGGAAGATCAACACAATCGTTCTGGCGGTCGATGGTGTTTGAACACGCATCGTAATCAACGCTTATCCGATCTTGATAACTATTGGTTAAATACCGTAGGATTGAAAAGTATTTAACGCGATCGAATGATTTCGAGTGTTTGATTATAGTTATTGTCACTGATTGGCGATCAATATGGCGATGATGCTTATAGTGTCAATGGTTGTGTTGTATCCGTTCGAAATAAAGGTGATCGGATATGTTTATGGACGCGCGATTGGAGAAATACCGAAGTTACTCGATGGATTGGGTAGAAACAATTCGGACAACACAATTCATAATTAGATTATCTTTTTCTTGTTTAGAAATCGTTTTCGTGAAGTTGCTGACATTCCTCGATCGTTACAGCTCACATTCGAAGTACGTATGCACTTCTTACGACAATTGCTCGCATTCTATCTTGCACAGATCATAGTGAAGATAATAGATCGAGTTCTAATTGTTTATCGAGCTCATTCGGTGTATGTTATGTCGTTATCATAAATAGCTCTTTTGCACTCATGTTGATTTTTCTCTCGAGGATGGGAAAGTGTTATCTTGCAATGAAAACAGTCATCGGACGAGCTTCTTTTCTATGTTTGTTAAAAAAAAAGTTTAATCGTGAGATAAATGACAATGACGTGAGAATACACTAAAGCATCTTTCATTGAAATACGATAAGACATGAAATAGAATAAAACGACGTAGATAAAATGAAATGTATGAAAATTTTCTTTTTTTCAGAGCCATGATGATCAAGAATCGAAACGTGGCGCAGCTGCAAAAGTTCTTTTTCGTGCATAGATTTCCTTTTTCGTTCTTCTCAATTGTATTTCGTAAGTCATTTTTGACTAGTATTTCTGAATGATCTTTTCATTTTTAATGTTATAACTCTCATTGTTGTTCTTGTAAACGTGCTTTTAGTCATTTGGTGTTCAGTTATTTATTTTCTTGTTATTTATTGATGTTTAATCAGTGAATGAATCTATCTAGTCATTCCTACGACTATGTTGTTGTTAATATACAGATTAATAAAAATAAAATTAATCGAATCAATATGATTGTTGTAGAGCACGGCAACGACACAGTGTAAATATGAAAAATACCTAGAGAAGCATTCTGTTTTTCTTTTCTTTTCTTTTCTTTCCATTCGTAAACTTTAACTGCAGAGATAAAAATTTTTTCGTTCTTCTTCAAACAAAACTAAGTCTATATATATATACACTGGTATACCCTTGCTGCATACACACCTTTCGTTTAAAACGCCGAAAACACGATTCTATTGTAAAACAAATGCCAGCTGTAGATAAAGCTGAAAATGGACTTTTATCGAAAGATCCGCCGGATATCGAAGTAAATATGTACTTTCAATAAATAGAATCGAACGAATTTCATTTGTGTGTAGAGTCTTCTTGCATTGAACCCCAAAACCAAACAGTTCGCTAATTCAAGACCGTCAGCACAAACAGTGAAAGATAAAAAACACTGGAAACGAAATGATGAACATACATGTGCTAGTGTTTGTATTTGATTTGTTGTTTGAATACTTTTCAGCTATGAGAAGAATATTTCTAGGGATGTATTAAAGATTTAGATCGAAACTTTCTGGATGTGAAACATACAACATTAAGCGAACGAGGTGCTCTACGTGAAGCGGCCAGGTAATGAAAATTATGAATCGATAAGAATGTCATTTAAGTACTCTTTTACATGTGCGAACACATAAACTGTATCTCCTAATGTAAATTAGTATATATGAGAATTCATGATTAATCATTCTTAATACATTCTTGAAACGTGACATCTATTTCGTATGTTTAGATGTCTCAAATGCGGTAAACAATGACGAGCTGAAAGAAAGGAGTTTTTCTCAATTCCGTATTACTTTTAGCTGATGCACCATGTCAAAAATCATGTCCCACATCGATTGATATCAAATCATTTATAACATCCATTGCCAATAAAAACTACTACGGAGCTGCGAAAGCAATTCTCTCAGATAATCCACTAGGTCTTACATGTGGTAAATTGATCTCTCGTCAAAGCTTCTTTCTTTCATATATTGATTTCAATTTTATTCAGGAATGGTTTGTCCAACAAGTGATCTTTGCGTTGGCGGTTGTAATCTATACGCTAGTGAAGAAGGTCCCATCAATATCGGCGGTTTACAACAATTTGCTGTTGATGTATGAGAATCGAAACTGAACGTGATCATATTGCTTGACTTTGTTTTCTGAATTTAGATATTCAAATCGATGCGTATACCAGCAATACGCGATCCATGTGATGACGGGACGGAACTTAATGAAAAATATTCAAGCAAAATTGCATTAATCGGCTGTGGACCTGCGTCGATTTCATGCGCAACATTCCTCGCTCGACTTGGTTATAAAGATTTAACCGTGTACGAAAAACAAGACTACCTCGGTGGTCTGAGTTCAGCAGAAATTCCTCAATATCGTTTACCTTATGATGCTGTAAACTTTGAAATCCAATTAATGAAAGATTTAGGTGTGAAAATTGTACCGAATAAAGCATTGACCACAGAAAAAGATGGTTTAACAGTCGCCAGTCTTCTTGATGAACATGGATACAAAGCTGTCTTTCTTGGTATTGGCCTTCCTAATCCAAATATCGATCCGATATTTGAAAAGTTGTCGACAGCTGAAGGCTTTTTTACTTCGAAAAACTTTTTACCATTAGTTTCGAGATCAAGCAAAGCAGGTAAAATCAAATATACATTTTTTTTTCGGAAGATTCAAAATTTGTAACCTCTTTCTCAAAAGGTATGTGCGCTTGCAAATCAGCATTACCTGCTCTCAGCGGTAACGTTGTTGTACTTGGTGCTGGAGATACAGCAATGGACTGTGCAACATCAGCAATTCGTTGTGGAGCAACAAAAGTTTTCGTATGTTTCCGAAAAGGATTCAATCAAATGCGTGCTGTGCCGGAAGAAGTAAGAATGAGACTTTAAGATTATTTGGTTTTGGAGTGCTTTGAGATATGTAATGAATAGGTTGATGTTGCGATTGAAGAACGATGTGAATTTTTACCATTCTGCTCTCCAAAGGAAGTTTTTGTGAAAAATGGAAAAATTACTTCGATACAATTCGTGAAAACTGAACAAACAGAATCAGGTTTGATGAGATCTATTGTACATGACTTTCGAGCGTTACTTTTCTCTATTTGCAGGCGATTGGATCGAAGATGAAGAACAGATAATTCGCTTAAAGTGTAATTATGTCATCTCCGCATTCGGTTCAACATTGAATGAACTTCCTGGTCAGTTTAATTAAAACAACGATTCAATAAATCCAGTTCTTTTTCATATCTGAATAGTTATTCAAGCACTTGCACCCGTTTCATTGGATAAATACAATTATCCCGTTGTCGATTTAACTAGAATGTCCACAAGTGTACCAGGAGTGTTCTGTGGTGGCGATCTAGCTAAAATAGCTAGTACAACAGTCGAAAGTGTCAACGATGGAAAAACAGCTGCTTGGCATATACATCGATATATTCAAGTAAGATCGAAAACTGATTTCATTCTTCTGAAAATGTGTTCTCTTCTTTGAGGGTGATGATACGATCCCTATTGAACCTCGGTTACCTAAATTCTACACACCCATCGATAAAGTTGATGTTAGTATTGAAATATGTGGTTTGAAATTTCCAAATCCATTCGGTCTTGGTAAGGAATTGACTTTTCTGCTCAAGTCAACATCTTTTGTTTATCGGAATTCGTTTCAGCTAGTGCACCACCTGTTACATCAGGTCCAATGATTCGACGAAGTTTTGAAGCTGGTTGGGGTTTTGTTGTTACGAAGACTTTCTCGCTTGAAAAAGATTTGATTACAAATGTTAGTCCACGTATGGCTCGTGGAACAACATCGGGTCATATCTATGGTCCTGGACAAGGTTCATTTATCAATATTGAACTTATTTCTGAGAAAACATGTGCTTACTGGCTTCAATGTATCTCGGAATTGAAAAAAGATTTCCCAGACCGTGTAAGCTTCATTCTTTCATAAAAATTCCATCCCTATGCGCAATCATTTCGTTTGCAGATCGTTATTGCATCGATTATGTGTAGTTACAATGAACAAGATTGGACCGAATTAGCTAAGATAACAGAAGCATCAGGTGCTGATGCACTGGAGGTTAGTTAGTAAAATTTAGTATTTTGATTCGATTGATTATGGTCTACTTGGTTTGTTTCAGCTCAATCTTTCTTGTCCACACGGAATGGGTTCGTACACAATTTACATATGAAGACGAAATCAACCGTCCTTTCTGTTTCTTCGTAGGTGAAAAGGGTATGGGTTTAGCCTGTGGTCAAAAGGCTGATTTAGTCTATGACATTTGTAAATGGGTTCGTGCAGCTATAAAGATCCCATTTTTTGCTAAAATGACACCAAATATCACCGATATTGTTGACATTGCTCGAGCAGCTAAAGAAGGTAAGACGACTTGTCTCATGCCTAAGCATAATCTTTATGTTAACTAGGTGGAGCTAACGGAGTGACAGCAACAAACACTGTTAGCGGTTTGATGGGCATTCGACACGACACTACAGCATGGCCAAATGTAGGCAAATCTAAAAAGACAACGTATGGTGGTGTTTCAGGCAATGCCATTCGACCAATTGCTTTAAGAGCGGTGTCAGCAATCGGGTTAGTAGGACTATTTAATCTTTCTTATCATATTGATCTTTATCTTTTTCAGTCGTGCTCTTCCTGGCTTTCCAATTCTTGCCACTGGTAAATAATATAAAACTACCATCGAATATATGAACACATATATTATTTTAGGTGGTATTGATTCAGCTGATGCTGGTATGCAGTTTTTATATGCTGGTGCATCGGCACTCCAAGTATGATGGATTAATCTACTTATATCAAATGGGGAAAAAACTTTCTTTATTTATAGGTTTGTAGCGCTGTTCAAAATCAGGACTTTACCTTAATTGATGACTATATAACTGGCCTACAAGCATTGCTCTATCTGAAATCACTTGGCCTGGAAGGCTGGGATGGCCAATCACCTCCAACCCCAAAACATCAAAAGGGTAAACCGATACTTGTTAAAGATCTTATTGGCTCAGTAAGTTATACTTGTAAAGTCGATCATCTCTTAAACTGATTTTGTTCTATCTAGCATTTGCCACTTTTTGGTAAATATCGCAAACAACGTGACGAAATCACCCAAAAATATCTTCACGAAGTTGATCTACTTGATGAACAATTTCAACCTGAACAAGTTCGTCCTGCACGCGAACCTCAGACAGCTATTCCACGTTTAACTGATGTCCGTGGTACAGCACTTAATAAAATTACAGAGTTTAAACAGTTAGATCCACGAGAACCAGCTGTCGCTATCATCGATGACGTAAGAACGCTTACATTTCCCTTACAAATCAAATTCTCATTCTATTCTTTTCATTTCAAGGATTTATGTGTTAACTGTGGCAAATGCTATATGACTTGCAACGATTCAGGTTATCAAGCAATTACATTCGATCCAGTTACACATATGCCGCATATCACGGAAGATTGTACTGGCTGTACTTTATGTGCGTCTGTGTGTCCAATCATCGACTGTATTAAAATGGTGCCACGCACATCAGTTTACGACATAAAACGCGGTTTTACCAAGCAGCGAATGAATGAAAATACATCATCCCTTGGTGTTGTTCAATGAGACTGAGAGAAAATGAAAAACCTAAAAAGAACATTTTTTTACGGATCCATTGTTTTATCCCGATTGTCAAACTTCATAAACTTAGTTTCCGAAAAAAAAATATAACCTAGATCGTTTTATTCTCCCATCAAAGAAATTTATTGTATTGCATCTAGCCTTATCAAGGTACAATCTTTCTGATGGATCAGAATTCGATAGATGTCGTTATACACCATTCGTTGGCTCTTGAACTGCTCAATAATTTTTAAATATCTAAAAATCTTAAGTAAATTTGTTAAGTTGAAAGTTTAAATAATTGGTTCCAATTTGAAAAATAATGCTTATTTAGATGCGATATTTTCAATAAAGACCAAACGCAATTTATTCATGGCGATCGTTGACCAATCCAATTGCCGATCTAATGTCTAACATCACAACAGAACAACACAATAAACTACTTTCTCTCATATGTGTAAGCATGCATAAATATCTGACTGATCTTCGCGTTTTTTACTCTCGTGTTGTTTTAGTTTCGGCTTTTTCTTTCTTCTAATCCATTTCGGATATCTTTTCAAAGCATATTCACGCGTCCTCAATCTGTTTTCAATGCCATTTTTATCATGGTTTAGATTGCGAAAAAAAAAATCGATGACCTCAGTTTTTTAACAAGCTGTTTTCATTCTCATGAAGAACAATGAGAAAAATTTGGTTTATACTCACTCATGGAAGTAAGAAATCTTCAGAATTGATCGACAATATCTGCAATTGTTCATGTATGAAGGTCAGAAAGACATATAGTGACCTCTTTACATTCTATGCTAGGGTCAATTACGAATGAAAATGATTGACATGCGATAATCAACGAGAAACTAATCGCTATGTTGAATAGTGGACGAATGGTTTAGAATTTCTCAAACAGAATGTATATATGAATATCTTTTTATTTTTCAGATAATGTCAAGTGAATCACCTAACAAAAGATTAGAGTTTGTGACGAAGGATTTAAGTGAAGAATGCAACTGAAAATCAATTATACTTTAGTGATGGAGTGATATTTGGTATTGGAAATCCATTACTTGATATCAGCGCTGAAGTGCCATTATCATTTCTCGAAGGGTATGTTTCTCTATCAATTCGATTCTATCTTTGAAATTTGCAATCGATGAGGTCAAAGATTAGCCTTAACTATGCGTGAATTTACCTTCTAACACCTTGTTTTATTATTGCAAACCTTGATCGAACGACGAGTTTTACCTTCGGAGGATCAATATAAATATTTTGATACGATTGACGAAACTGAATGAATTACAGGGTCAGATAATTTGATAAATCGATTTATTGACATTATTTTCTGGATCAATCACTATTTGCTTTTCTATTGCTGCTATATTTACAGACATTGATCATTCTAAACATACAATCATTAAGAATTATTAATTTATTTGTTTTTCTTTCATTATTGATTAGGTACAATCTTAAAGCGAATGATGCCATTCTTGCTGGCGAGCAGCACAAAGATTTGTAAGTGGATTATTTCTCTCTGTGAATAACTCTGTTTGAAATAAGTGGTTTGTTTTGCGTAGAAATGAAACATTACTTCGAGATTATCCAAATCATCAATTTGTTGCTGGTGGTTCGACACAGAATACCATGCGCGCCGCTACGGTAAACTATTTCCTAAGAATGCTTGATAAGATATGTTCTGTTTTTAACAGTGGATACTCCAACAGCCAGGTGTTTGCGTATATATGGGTTGTGTAGGTCAAGATAAATATAATCAATTGTTAAACGATGCGGCGACGAAAGCAGGTCTAACATTATCTTACCAAATTTATCATGATCCTGAAGGACATGTACAAACTGGTACTTGCGCTGTTCTGATCACTGGAAATAATCGGTAAGTTTGGAAGGAAATAGTCTTTTCAATACTGTTTTTGTTTCATAGTTCATTAGTAGCGAACCTTGGTGCTGCCAATTGTTTTACAATCGATCATTTAGATGATCCAAAGAGTCAAGAATTGATTGAAAAAGCAAAATTATTTTATACCGCTGTAGGTCATCATTTATTCGAGATTTCGACGACTAAATTCAACTCTTGTCTTCTAGGGATTCTTTTATACAGTGTGTCCCGATGCTGTGATGCGCCTATGTGAGCATGCGGATAAGAATAATAAATTATTCTGCACGAATTTATCCGCACCATTTATTTGTGAAATCTTTGGTGATCGGTTGATGAAGGCGATGCCCTATGTCGATTATTTATTCGGCAATGAAACTGTAAGAGAGATTTCGATAAGATAAATGCGTGAAAAACAGACATTTTAATAGGAAGCAAGAAGTTTTGCAAAACATCAACTAAAATTAGATGTAAGTTTAGTTAATTTAGTTAGTATGATTCGAAGAGACTTTGTTTATTGAAGACGATAGATGTGAAAGAAATTGCAAAAGCTCTGAGTGAACTTCCGAAGAAAAATGCTCAACGTCCACGTGTTGTTGTAATAACACAAGGTGCTGATCCAACGGTATTAGCTATCGGTAAGAGATAGACATCTTTCTTTCGCATAAGTTTCTCCAATTTTTCACGTTTTGTTTTAGCTGGAAAAAATACTGAAGAATTTTTGGTTAAAAAGCCGTTGGATATTGTCGATACTAATGGTGCTGGTGATTCTTTCGTCGGAGGTACGTTAACACATTCTATATTTACATTTGAATGAATGATCATGTATTTCAGGTTTTCTTGCTTACTTGGCACTTAGTAAAAGTCATGCCGAAGCCGTTCAAGCTGGTGCTTATTGTGCGTTCGAGTGTATTCAACAATCTGGTTGTACTTACCCAGATAAACCGAATTTTGATCCCGCAACGTTCATTGTTTAAGGAAGTCTTTCCATGAGAAAAAATTAATAATTTTTGTTTTAATGCAATAGCTATCACAATCTTTAGTTTTCTCAAACGAATAGTGAAAATTTGTTTTAGATATTTTCTTTGTTTTCTTTCGATTACAACATGTAATTCCGGACATTTGAAGTACGAAAACAAAGGATTATCAGTAGTTTCTTTCGAAGTAATGAATGTGAAACGAAACTTGATGACATATTTGATTTCTTTTTATTATTTTATATAGAATGGATAACAACAGTAACAACAATAATCGAACGTCAGTCACTGCAAACACGTCTTCCAATACAAACGCTAGTACAACGTCATCGTCAACAACAACAGCAGCAGCGACAAACTCATCAGCGTCAACATCCTCGTCATCATCTGGTGCGACATCATCAATACGACAAAGTCACAAACGAACATTTTCAGAATCTGATTCATCGTCACGCACAGAACGACATTTATGTTCGTTTTCACATTTATGGATTATTAAGTAAGTCGAATACTAACATGATTCACATTACAGTCAGACATAGAATGTGAATTTCATGATTGCAATCTATTGATATATTTTCTTTTTTTCAGCTATCTTTCATCGTACATTGATGATGCAAACTCCACGTGTTTACAATCTGAATCATTTTCACCCGTGAATACACCCTATTCCAGTACACGTTGGAGTTTGAAATTATATCCACGTGGTCTAAATGAAAAACAGCATACAAATAATAATATAGCGATATTTCTCAAATATGTCAGTGGAACAATGCCGACGATAAAAGCTAAAGCTGAATTTAGTGTTGTCAGTCGTAACAATGAACTCGTCATGTTACGATCGACAAATTTTCATACATTTTCGTCAGGAAATGATTGGGGTTATTCAGGTAAGACCTATTTGTTCGTATTAATTATTTCATTTATTCAATGTAACTCTACATAGAATTTCTCGATGGAAACTACTTAAATTCTCGTCGGAATGATCTAATAACAGATGATCGTCTTCGAGTCTACGTTCGTGTTGTATTAGTCGATGAGAAAGAAACAGTTACAGGTGATCTTATTCGTCATCCACATCCTGCTCATCACCATCATCATCATCACGGATCATCAATATTACCACCACCGCCACCGCCACCTTTACCCTCGTCACAACATTCAGCTCAATCGCAGCAAACCAGCACGGCGCCCAAAACTCAAGCATCAACATCATCTTCGTCGGCGTCATCTTCGTCAGCCACATCGTTGAACAATACGAATTCATCAAGCGCGTCAACAACGTCTTCAACAGCAATCTCGGGTTTATTTACAGATGACAAAGAGCGTTTTAAATCTCTAGAGCTTTTATCCAGCCAAATAAAAACACTTTTAGATGACGAACGTTTTGCTGATGTACATATTCATGTTATACCTAGACAGCAACCAGTTCAACAGCCTCAACCGCAACTAGCAGTCGTTGCTGATGACCACCGAAAATCGACTCGTATAAAACACCAACGAACATCTCTTAAACAGCAATATCCATCATGTTCATCATGTCACTGTACAACTGAAAAGAACAAATCCAATAGTACAATCAACGATCAAATATCCGATCATCATGAACAGTCATCGTCAGGTAAGAGTACGTTGAAATTGAGTGGACGATCATTGCACATTGTTTCATCTATACAAATAACTTTCTCTTAGCTCTTTGCAAAGATTCTGAGTCGGATAATCTCGATTCTCGTCATTCAACAAATCTCCCAACGCAAAGTCATATATCTCCATCAGCGTCGTCCACAACTCCGACAACACGGCGAACAACGCGTTCAACTTCGTTGCTCTCACGTATTGCTCAAAGTTCATCATTCGTATCGGAAAGCAATCCTTCATCCTCAAACTGTTCGACATCATCTGCTGAATTTTCCTCATCGTCGGAATTATGTTCATCGTCTTCCATTTTATCCTTACCATCAAATATCAAGCGTTGTTCATGCATTTGTCATCATCAAGATCATACCGAACAAGATTTACATATAGATATTTCACAATCTCATCTAAAATATTCGAATATAACACCGTTGGCAACATTTCATGCACATAAAGCTGTACTAATATCTCGTTCTTCTTCGTTCGCAACACAAATCCGTAGCAGTACGAACTATAATACAACAAATTCGAAATTACCATCCATTGATCTGTACATCGATGATCTCGATCCTTCAACTGTCCGTACCATGCTGATTTATATCTATACAGGTCGTTTGATAAGATCAAACGACGAATTGAAAAGCAATCTAAACGCCATTGATCTATTTCGTGCTGCAGTTAAATACGACTTACATGAACTGCGTCAATTAGCGAAATCGACGATGTTAGATGTTCTGAAAATCGATAATGCTATTGAAATGCTCGAAGTTAGCGATCAAGCCAATGATGCTTCACTCAAACAACAAGTCTTAGCTTTTATCCGCTCCAATGCTTTAGCCGTATCGAAAACAAACAATTGGATACAATTTACCAAACGTCACCCAAATTTGATCATTGATGCATTTCGTTCACTTGTGACACCGCCGTCAACAACAAATACTAAACCGAATACCGCTAATAATAATAGTTTTCAATCAACATCATTAACTACGACGAGTAAACAATATTCGAAATACGATTAATAATTTTACAAATTAATTGAAGAAAAAAATGTCTTTTTCTCTCCTTTCTCTTGATTCTCTCATACTTGTACAGTCATATCGGATGCATAACAAGAATTTGTTGTCCTGTTCGTATATTTGTTTGCTTGTTTTTTTTTCTTCTTTCTCGCTCTTTGTCTTGATATATCTACTTGCAAAAAATAAAAGATAAAAATATAAACAAAAAACGTGTTCTTTTCCAATTTTATCATATGATAATTTTCGTTTCTCTTCTGCTCTAGATTAGAATTCAATTTTCTTATTCATTTCCTTGTCGCAATGAGCGAAGTAAGTTTATAAATAAGCGATGCAACACATTTTCAAGGTTAAACATTTTATCTAGAATTTTCATATTTAATGTTATAAAAATGCGTAATGAAAAAAAAGCACTTGAAATGAATTCGTCTAGAATTAATCCGATCTTGATTGAATCTCTTTTAAAAACGTTCATTTTGCATCCATATTGATTTCATTCTAACCTTACATACCTTTCATCCCTGTTGTCTACAATATTAGTTAAATAAAATATCGAGACTCGTCGCAAGGAAATAACAGCAAGACATAATTATACCCTACGCGTTTCTTTTCATTATTAATCATACGAGTTTTCGTATAATTTGCCGCTCTGTTCTAATTATGACCCATCTTAGATGACATTTGAATAATCTTTTTTCCTCTCGATCAATCCGTTGACGTAAGTTGACAAAACAGAGACCATGTCTAATTACATATACACAATATTTTTAGATGTTCTTTACCGTTGTTGTTTTCTTAATCATCATTGTATCATAACCACTCAAAAGAAACTATTCTATTTGTCCTACTTCAGTCAATTTCGAGTCAAAATCATGGAAACTATGACGACAAACTCAAGTAATGGAATGAACAATGAAGAACATTCACCAATGATGACATCGTCGTCGTCGTCGAACTGTTTAGTCACCTCAGTGAACGCATATTCCAATAAGATTTGCACACCTGAGTATGAAAAAACAAGTGAACATTTCGTGGCAACATTTTCGACATGGGATGATCGAGAACAGTTGATCTTTGTGGAAAGTCTTCTCAAGCGAATGCACAGTCATCAACATGGACAAATTAATACGTTTTTATTACCGATGTTGCAACGAGATTTTATTGGACAATTGTCATCGCGTGGTCTAGAACATATCGCGGAGAAAATTCTCGGTTATTTGGATCATAAATCTCTTGTATCATCCGAACTCGTCTGTCAAGATTGGTTTCATGCTGTCTCAGCAGGTAATTTCCAAAGATCAAATCGATGAACATATTGAACTGTTGATATTTTTTGTTTTAGGAATGCTCTGGAAAAAGTTAATTGAAAGGAAAGTTTTGTCAGATACTCTATGGAATGGTTTAGCAAAACATCGTGGTTGGATGAAATATCTTTTTCGCCAAATACTAGCTGCATCTCAAACATTGAAATCTCATGAATTCTATCGTCAGTTATATCCGAAAATCCTTCATGATATTCAACAAATCGAAACAAATTGGCGAACAGGAAATTTTCAATTGGAAAAGATTCAATGCCGATCACAAAATAGTAAAGGTGTTTATTGTTTACAATACGACGACGAAAAGATCATCAGTGGCTTACGTGATAATACCATTAAAATTTGGGATAGAAAAACACGTGAATGCACTAAAGTTCTAACCGGACATAATGGAAGTGTTTTATGTTTACAATATGATGAAAAAGTGATCGTCACTGGTTCATCCGATTCGACTATACGTGTATGGAATGTGAAAACAGGAGAATTGATAAATACATTGTTGCATCACTGCGAGGCTGTTTTACACCTTCGATTTTCCGATGGAATTATGGTTACATGTTCAAAAGATCGTTCGATAGCCGTTTGGCAAATGAATTCACCTACGGATATTACTATTCGACGCGTACTTGTTGGACATCGTGCAGCTGTTAATGTCGTCGATTTCGATGAGAAGTATATTGTTAGTGCGAGCGGTGATCGAACAATTAAAGTTTGGGTTCGTTATCGAAGATATTTCTGTAAATATTAACAACAAAAGTCATGTTATTTTTAGGATACGACAACATGTGAATTTGTTCGTACATTACTTGGACATAAGCGTGGCATTGCTTGTTTGCAATATCGTGATAAAATTGTTGTTAGTGGATCATCAGATAATACGATTCGTATATGGGACATTGAATGTGGTGTATGTCTACGTATACTCGAAGGACATGATGAACTTGTTCGTTGTATTCGTTTTGATTCGAAACGAATTGTTTCAGGAGCGTATGATGGTAAGAAATCTGACAGGACTTCGTTGTTTTCGAACTATTTTTTCTTGATTCGAATAGGTAAAATCAAAGTTTGGGATCTGATTGCTGCTCTTGATCCTCGTTCGCAATCCTCCTTATGTATTCGTACATTAACTGAACATACCGGACGAGTATTTCGTCTTCAATTCGACGAATTTCAGATCATATCAAGTTCGCACGACGACACGATACTTTGTTTTAATTTTCTCAACGATTCAACTCTCACAGATAATTCAAACGAAATATCCACGTCGTAATGTTTCATGATGTATAGATTTTGATTCTCATCTCATTTTCTTTTTGGCTGTGTCTTTTATTGAATTATATCATTTACTTTTCTTTTCTGTCACATATTTCTTTGTACATCGTCGTTTTTCTAACGTGCAATTTCTTCTCGTTTTCATCAGTGTACATTTGCTCGAGAGATATTAATCAGACGAACTATCAGAGGCCTGTTAACAACAGTTTCGGACAATTTTCTTCCTGGTTTTTAAATTTTGTCATATGAATACTAATGAAAACAGAATAATAAACTAGAACAAGTAAATTTCGCTGTGACATTTGCAACAGGTTCTTCGGAATCCGTATCTTTCATGTTTTACATGAATGAAAGTAAACGATCAAAGGAGATGTGAAGGAAACATTTTTGACGGTGATAAACCCTACGTGACAAGAGACAACAAGCTGAATCTATTTATATCTGCGACTGACAAAGTCAATCGGAAGGAATTTTTTGAAAAATTCTAAAATGTTCTTATGTTTGAATAAATGTCATCGACGATTACTTGTTTTACCAAGTGCAATCCTAATAACACAAAAAGTACTCTTAATTAGCGAAAATTCTTGACATTCGTTGAATTGCTCGAAATGATTATTCAATAGAAAGTCCTTCACATGTGTTTTCTTTCAATGGTGTAACACTTATGAATCATCCTCAAGTAAATTCCATATCAAGTGACCTTTCGAATTCTTTGCTTCACTGATGATACATAGAAATACAATTCTAGCGGATATTCATCCCCCGAAAAACACTTCCGCCAGCTGAATTTACCATATAAACAAGCTTATTCGATCTCAAATGTCCTTCCTATTTATCTTGAATGCTTAGTTTATTTATATTGGAAGTCAATAATATCCTCGCATGAATATTTCTCGACAGCCACTCGTCTCATCGAAATGGAACAAAGATAGATGATCATCAAATATTTTTGACACGATTTCAGCGTGTGAAACAAAGTTTTGAAGAAAAATCTTGATTATCAATGCATCATTGCTTGTGAAAAGAACTCCATATGCTAATGAGGTTTGTTGTTCATTGGAATTTCAATCAATGAATAATTTAGCTGATGCAATAGAGAATTCCATTAGTTAATTACTGTCTTCTTGTTGCTTCTTTGAGATAAATCATTTCAATTGGATTCTGTGAAACAAAGACAACTTTTCAATGGAATTTGTCGCGAAGAAAGAAAATGAAGTTAATGGCAACTTCTCTTAGAATCAGCCAGTCGAATTGATTTATCACGCATCTGTGTCTGATCCAGCTCACGTCGTGTAACTAATTCGTCATCAATACAAGATTGTCATTTCCTAGAATTTATTGCTTGATTAGTCAGAGTAATGTTAAACATCGTTGATGAGAGAGAGAGAGAGAGAGAGTCAGACATGCTTCCAATTTCAAGTAGATAGTACCAATGAATCTATTTGTCCAACTGAATTAACACGAAAGAATATTTGTTCGTTCTTTTTCTTACGATTATGATGAATGGATTTCTTATCGAACGACTAATTTGATTTGCTCGAATTGATTGAAAAATAAAAGGCCAACTACTTTCCGGCGTTGTCTGTGATCTCTTATGAGATTTTATGTGGAATATGACAATTATAATGCGTCCTGCTGTTTACTACGATGTTTTTTTTTTCTTGGATCTTGTTAACAATCGTTACATGGATTAAATTTGAACGAGAGTATCTGCGAAATGTAAAGAAAGAGTGCTGAATTTGTTATTCTAATGATGAAAAAAATGTGTTTGCTTCTAAGTTACGTAATTAAGATTGTCTATCGAAATAGAAAGAGATATTTCGTTGTTCGACGGCAAGCCGAAATGAAACCAGGTGAAGTGATGAAATTTCGAAAATGTTTCATGATATTATTGACAACTTGATGATAGACCATTTGGAGAGAAATATATTGAAAAACATCCAATGTCTTTCCCCCTCGACTTTTTTCTCGTTTTCTCTTTCTCTCTCTCTCTCTACTTCCCTCCGCTCTCCTTGACACTTTCTTTACTCGTCTGAAGGACATTCGAAGGAGAGAAAAAAAGCAACACTTCAATTCTGGAGACAAACGTCGCACCATGTCGAAGCAGCAGAAGAGAAAAAAAATGACATGCCGATTATTTTCAATTCCATATGTTACTACGATATAGTTTCTCTGCATTTCAGAACAAATTTCCATCCGACCAAGCAGCGTTCGGTGTCCATCGATTAGAAAATTTGTTCACACAACAAGGAAATGTACAAGAAGCATCTCGTCGATTAATAGTACTATTGAGTAACAATAATAAGCGAAAGAGAACTCGCAATACGACACACGATATTACATTTGATATCTGCCCATCTCAATTCTTTTCTGGCTACTGAAACCGGCAGAAAAACATGCTTTAACTGTCATAGAAGTAATCAGTTTTTTATTAATATTACTTTTTATTGATTCTGTATTATGATGAATACTCCTCCAATACCTATTGTAAGTTGCTCAGAGAAATAATTACTTTTCTTTTTCTTTTTCATCGAATTGACCTTGAATGTTGTTTAAGGTTGCCGTTGAATACACCAAACCGATTCCCGAATCGACTGCCAACGAAACAAGTTCAGCGTTAATCAATAGTCGTGACTCACTTATTATTCAATTCTTAAGTATCTACGCGCTCATACTTATCATTGTGGGAACCGTGGGAAATTTATTGACAGTTGTCGTTTTATTACGACGTAATCTTCGTCGTCTAGTAACAATTCGTTATTTAATCGTTGTTAGTATTTGTGATACAATCTCTCTGTACGGATGGAATTTGAACAGTTTCTATAAATTCAATATCAATCGAAATAATGGCAATTTAGAAGAGATTTCAATCATCCATTGCCGAGTGATTTCGTTTATGACATTCGTTAGTTTACAGTTGTCAAGTTGGTGTTTAACTGCAGTTAGTTTCGGTAAGAAATCGCTTTCATCTCCTTCTACACTAATTCGAGAATGGATTGCTATTCTGTTTCTATGGGAATGTAATAGAGTAGAATAACAAATACAAACTTCCGATTTCTATCGTAATGATTATATAGTTGAAATATTGACATATTTCATTTCATTAAGCAAATAATAGATTTCAACAATGATTTTTGTTTCTGTGTTCATTTATATTTAAGATCGTGCTTTGAATCTCTATTGGTTTCACTGGAGACAATCCTTCGGAAATTTGAAATACACGAAATTTTACATCATCATCTTAACCTTAGTTTGTATTGGATTAAATAGTCATATATTATTTCTAAATGGTTATCAAACATCCACTGGGAGTATCAAATGTTATTCCACACGTGATAATCCGGGCTATATTTATCCTCAATGGGAACGTGTTCATTTAGTTGTATATAATCTATGTCCATTCGCTATCATGTGCATCTGTAATACATATATTATTGTCGTTACAGTTCGATCGAGTCGCGCGCAGATTGAATCGACCCCACCGATGGTCCAACGGAAAACTATCGAGCGTTATCGACAATTGACCGCTTTATTAATCATTGTTACCTTTGCATTTGTTCTATTGACACTTCCAGCATGTATTTATTTCGTCTTTTTTCGTCATAATCTCGAAGCGAAAACCGAACGTACGCATCGTTATATGATCCAGATCTCGTTGAATTCTGTTCAATTTACTTCTCATGCAATAAATTTCTTTCTCTACTGTTTTTCGGGGAAGAGTTTTCTCAACGAATTACGTGATATGTTCAATGAAATTATCCTTTACTGTCAAGGCAATGATGAAGAATGGGCAATCAACGATGTCAGACCACCCAACATTGAACAATATCAGGAATCAACATTAGAAAATCACCGCACCGATCCGGAAAGAGAAATGCATGTGAAAAATTACAAATTTGACTTCTTTCCCGAATTTCAATCGGGCACTGAACATCAATCGACTTGGAATTAAGATGATGCTCTTTTTCTATTCGATTTCTTTCCATTTTCCTCGTACAATCATATGTTTTCATTTTTCTATAAGTAATGACTAGCCATTGATTTTGCTTTCTTTTTATTACTCATATGATCAATTAATTTTTATCTTACATAATCGATCAAAGTATATTACCACACATGGGTTGACGTTAGTTTCGAATTGTTTTCTCAACAGGCAGTTTTTGAAACCTTGAGAAGTATGTTCTTTTTTGCGCCAGTCATTATGCATCCTAATAAGTTTTTGTCAAAGAAGAATTGAGTAATCATCGCTTATGTATTGATAACATACGTGTGCTTGTCAAAATACGTCTGAAAAACTAGTTTATCTTGTTATCTTGAATTCTCTTACGAGGCAAGGTTATGTAGACGTTGAAAGACATCATCATGTACAACGATATGATGAATGTGAAAATGAATAGATTTATCACATATGGAGGAAAAGTAGCATTACAAATATAGAAATAAGAGGAGTACTTCAACGTTTTATTATTAATCGAATATAAAAACAGGAAAGAAATCATCTGCGCGAAAAGACTGTTTAAATTAATCAACCAGAAGGAATGGTTAAATGAGATTCGATGTGGATATCATGCGTCGACGTACTCTCTGTTCATTGAAAATTTTATCTGTTGGTACGAAGAAAAAGTTGAAATTTATCGTGTTATTTTCACGGTAAACTTGGTATATTTCGAGTTATTGTATCGTTCTGTTTTGATCTGTTCGTAACGCTCTCGACAACTTGCTCCATCTGTGTTGAGTTTTGATATGAAAATCTTTTTTTCTAAGATAAAATTAAACAAGCAATGCCATTGGCTGAGAGTTGAAGGTAGAATACCGAATCCATCGGACGTGGACAGATATTTCTCGTCATGTTGGCTTGTTTACGTGTACCGTTTTTGAATCTAATTTAATATATCTTTGGAATTCTTTTCAACATTATCATTCTAGATCATTTCCATTTGATCATTTTATTTTCCATTCAAATATGGTAAAATCCGATGAAAATACCTGACTAGTTCGTCTATTGTTTGTTTTTTCATTGTCTCTTCTAGCCTTTGCGGCTTGATGTTAAACGTAAATTGTCAGTTCGATCGGATCGTGTGAAATGTGTCGATATTCATCCAAATGAACCATGGATTTTAGTGACACTCTATAATGGTCATGCACATATTTATAATCATGATACACAAGTATGTTAAAGAAGCTCTGTTACTCTTTTTATTGTTTGATATGCATAATTTAGCAATTGATTAAAACGTTTGAAATATGCGATGTACCTGTCCGTGCAGGCAAATTCGTGGTGCGAAAAAACTGGGCAGTGACAGCATCGGTATGTTACTCTTGTGTTTTCATTACGCGAATGATCAATTACTTTTCTTTTGCATCACTTTAATCAAGGATGATATGCTTGTTCGTGTTTATAATTATAATACACTTGAACGAATTCATCAATTCGAAGCACATAGTGACTACATTCGTTCCGTTGTTGTTCATCCAACTCAATCCTACATTCTTACTAGCAGTGGTATGTGTTCGATAGGATTTTGATGGAAAGAAATTGAGTTTCTTCCGTTTTTCTAGACGATATGACCATTAAATTGTGGGATTGGGATGCGAAATGGGCATTGAAACAAACTTTCGAAGGACATATTCATTATGTTATGCAAATAGCTATTAATCCTAAAGATAACAATACTTTTGCATCAGCGTCACTTGATCGCACCGTCAAAGTAAGACGAAAAAAGAAAGAAATGAGCAGTGATAGAATGAATTGCTTTTAGGTATGGCAGTTAGGATCAACTCAGCCGAATTTCACACTGGAAGGCCATGAGAAAGGTGTTAATTGCGTTGATTATTATTCAGGTGGTGATAAGCCATACCTTGTGTCAGGAGGCGATGATCGTTTAGTGAAAATTTGGGATTATCAAGTAAATGACCTCAGTATATTCGAAAAATTTTAATGAAAAAAATTTTTTTTTCAGAATAAAACATGTGTACAAACATTAGAGGGACATTCACAGAATGTTGGCTGTGTTTCATTCCATCCTGAACTGCCTATTGTCTTGAGTGGCTCAGAAGACGGTACTGTTAAATTATGGCATTCGAATACCTATCGTCTTGAATCAACACTCAATTACGGTTTGGAACGATGTTGGGCAATATCATGTTTGAAAGGATCGAATAATGTGGCACTTGGTTACGATGAAGGAACGATGATGATTAAAGTAAGTTATATCGAATATAGAAATATGAGTGAAGAAAAGCAACCTTTGCATTCTTAGTTGGGCCGCGAAGAACCAGCCATGTCTATGGATGCATCTACTGGTAAAATCGTATGGGCAAAACATTGTGAAATTCAACAAGTTAACTTGAAACAATTAACTACTGATCAACCATTGAAAGACGGAGAAAAAGTTCCTTTGAATGTCAAAGAAATGGGCAGTTGCGAAATCTATCCTCAAACGTTATCGCACTCACCCAATGGAAGGTATGAAGATGCAAGCTAATTAGTCTTTTCATACAGTTTCATATGATCTAGATTTGTCGTTGTTTGTGGTGATGGTGAATATATCATTTATACCGCTATTACATTACGTAATAAAAGTTATGGCAGTGCCATGGAATTCGTCTGGTCACAAGACTCCTCGGAATATGCTATACGTGATGGCAATATGGTGAAAATATTTAAAAACTTTAAAGAAAAGAAAACCTTCAAACCAGAATCTGGCGCTGAAGGTATCCATGGTGGATCCCTACTCGGTGTTCGATCATATTCAGGTCTCACATTTTATGATTGGGATACGTTAAGTTTAGTTCGACGAATCGAAATTGTGCCAAAAACTGTATGTTTGATACGTAATCACGAATGAAAAGTAATCGCCAACATGTTGTTCTCTATTCAATTTAGATTTATTGGAGTCAAAATGGTGAATTAGTTTGTATTGCAACAGAAGAGTCATTCTACATCCTTCGATATAGTGCTGAAGCAGTTGCAGCTGCAGCTTCAAACAAAGACCTCGTGTCGGAGGATGGAATCGAAGATGCATTTGATGTACGTTAAATTACATTCGTTTAAAATGATTAGTTTTGTTCTTGGTAGGCGCTTAGCGAGATTGCAGAAGTCGTTAAAACAGGTATATGGGTTGGTGACTGCTTTATCTATACAAATTCTCTTAATCGTATCAATTATTATGTCGGCGGTGAAATAGTAACAATTTCCCATCTAGATAGGTTTGTGCAATTCTTTTCTACTTCGTTTGATGATAGCAATCTTTGTTTCTTTTAGAGTGATGTATCTATTAGGCTATGTTTCCAACGAAAATCGTTTATATTTGGGCGATAAAGAAATGGCGATCGTTTCATTTGAATTATCATTGTCAGTTCTGGAATATCAGACAGCGGTCATGCGTAAAGATTTCGCAACAGCTGATCAAGTACTTCCGACAATACCAAAGGAACAACGTACTCGAGTCGCACATTTTCTTGAGAAACAGGTATGTTTGTTTATTTATCGAATACGAAGACTATGCCTTACCGTATTTCCATGCTTTAGGGCTACCGTCAACAAGCTTTGTCTGTGACGATGGATAATGAGCATAAATTTGATTTAGCACTTCAATTAGGAAATTTACCCATCTGTTATGAACTTGCACTGGAAATGGAAAACGAACAAAAATGGTTACAATTATCGGACGTGGCAACCAAACGTGGCGATTTGAATTTGGTTAAAGAATGTTTGACACGTGCTCAGTCGTTTGGTTCATTGATTCTGCTAGCTAGTGCATCAAGCGATAAACAATTAATGTCGACAATTGGCGACCATTCGAGAAAAAATGGACAGTTCAACATTGCCTTCTTATCAAGTTTCACTCTGGGAAATTTAGAACAATGTTTAGATATTCTTATTGAAAATCAACGCATACCTGAAGCAGCCTTCTTCTGTCGAACATATTTACCATCCCAAACTGGCCGTATTGTTGGCTTATGGAGAGATAAATTAAAATCAATGAATATGGAACGCGCTGCACAATCATTAGCGAATCCAACTGATTACGAAAATCTTTTCCCGGGACTTGTCGACGCATACAAAACAGAACAATTCTTGCAGCAAACAACCAAACCACGATTGGCTCGTGATTACCAAACAATTACTGTAAGGGAAATAAAAACGAATTCTGTTGTGAAATGTTTGTATCTATTGTTTTAGCCAAATTGGGAACGACATCCGATGGACGATATGAAGCAAGCTGAAGATAATGAACAATTTTCTTATAATCCTGTGCAATTGAACAAACATACACGTGAAAATGATGACGACGATGATGAGGAACAGTTTGCTGATGCTGATAGCGTACCAAAACAACCAATAATAACAACAACCCAAGCAAAACCATCACCCATTGTTCCTCCTGTGAAAACAAACAAGGTACTAAAGGACAACCTGGTTTTATTTACTGATTCTTTTTTTTTAAAGCCAACATCGGAACCATCAACAACTAGTAAATTAGTTCCACCTGTTCTTGCATCAACAGCTAGCTCATCGGATCGTTCTCGTTCTCAATCTCCAATGAACACAGCAACTCCATCACCACCATTGAAGAAACCAACACCTCCACCAGCGGTACCACCAACAAAAGCATCTTCATCAGCAGTACCGAAAGCAACTACAACAACAACTGCAAAGGCTGCGCCAACACCAATGAGCGATCTTGAAAAAGAACTTGAAGAATTCGATATAGATCTCGATAAAGATGATGTAAGCGATGTTGAAACTGGACAATCAACAGGATTAAATAAAAACTTCGGTGATGAGGATGAGGTAAACCCGTCAAAGTAGACAAAAAAAATTTCGAATCGATACGAAAAATTTCTTTAACATATCATCGCACGTCGGTTAACAAAACGCATGCACTGTTTTCTTTACTCATATTTATCGGGACTAGGTGTAGCATGCTAATATCATTTCATTTACCAAAAACTTCCCAAATTCATCTCTTATTCTTCTTTCTTCTAGGATCTACAATTTGACGATGATGATGTTGATGAATTTCTCAAAGATACTTAAATTTCGTGGAATATCATCATGTGATATATATGTGTATCAAGTTGTCTATTTATATGCCATACATACAGGCACATGAAAAAAAGACTATATCATTCTTTTTCGTCTCGCTTCTTTCTTTTCTTTGTAACTTAACGCCAATACTATTGTTTTTACCAACATTGTTGTTTTTCTTCTCTTTTTTTAGCACTCTATAGATACATATGGTTATTACTTTTCTTTGCATTGATTTCTTGTTCGATCTGAAATAAGCAAAACACACGTATTTACTTCGAATCGCTTTATTTAAGTCTTTTTTTCTTCGTTTTTTATCATGCGGAGCATAAGTCTAATTTAAGTTGTCTCTCGTTCCTTTTTCTGTTTGTTCATTTCATTCTTGTTATTATTATTATTAAAAGCAACTACAAGTGTTTGTCTGTATACATACAGTATCTAGTAAGATGGTCTACATTCGAGTTCTATCTCGACGGGCGGACTGCAAGTGACATCTTGACGAGAAAAACCGAAGATTGGTGATCAAAAGGAGTCTTTGTTTGATTTTGAAAACTTTCGATAAACAAAATCAAAATAGATAAGATAACGATGTATCGGTTACTGAAGATATTTCTTTTTATCCTACTAATTACTCTCACGAACGGTTCCAATAGTCTATTGTCAGAAGGTGTTCAACCATGTGTATCTCGATCAGTAGGGCAACTTCTTCTCGATAATCAACAAGAGAAATTTGATTGTTCATCGTTACCAGTCCAAATTCAAACAACGCTCGCTCTTCATTTGACTTTCTGTCATCTAAATTCAACTGGTCTTGATCCTTCTACGATTTGTTCCTTATCGTCAGTTGACGGAAACATAAATGAATGTTTGCAAAACATCACGAAGAACTCACTGGCTTTTTTAACTTATACAAACTTTGTTCCACACATTCAGAGCATCTGCTATGCTCTAGAAACACAACAATGGCATCATCAAGCTCGAAATACGATTTGGCAATTGAATACACATTCAAATCAAGTGGAAAACGAAGCGAAAAAGTTGCTAATTGAACAGGAATCAATGCAAAATAGTCTCGACCAAGCGTTGATTATCAATCAACATTCTGTTGATGATGCATTGAACGTTGATCGCCTCCTTCAAGTTGCTCAATCGGATGTTGATGAACTACGTGGACATTTATATGTCAAAGACAAAGCACAAATTGAATTGATACAACAAGTAAATTCACATGACTTGAAAGTTCCTATACGCTCTTGTTCAGATATTAGAAACACTCTTCAATATTCAATCATCTTTGTTCGTTGATGCATTTGGTCTAAGTTCGTATTTCTTCTATGCATTGTCACTTCTTGCTATCCATCTGTTGACAATACCTGAACGAACAAATGAGTCAAAGTAAGTCGGTGGTTGTTCTACGCGATATTTCTCTTTACAAAAAGAAAACAATTTCCATTTAGATTCTGGTTAATACTCTTATGGTTCAGTTTAATCAGCGTGGAACGGTATATGCTCTTTTTCTCTTCGTATGACCAAGTAAATGAAACATTTAATTACGCGTTCGAGCATTTCAAAGATCTTTTAGATGAGTTTGTATGAAATATTGTGGCGCTTTCGTCAACTATGGTTTTTACTGTCTTGTATTACAATGGCATATTATGCTGTGCGTTACAAAAACTTTCACAAAGAAAATCAAAGACTAATTGATGAAATTGATCGAAAACACAAACAGCTCGAAATAGCAGCAAGAAAATGTAAATGAATACTACACATATTCTCAAATTCAGTATGTTTCGTTTATTATTATTATTCAGGTTTAACTGTTCTTAACCAGTTCGATATGATGAACGGTATGTAGAGATTTGAATTGCAACTCACTCACTTGATTTTATTCGGTAGATTCAGTGTCTGACAACTCGATGGACTTTTCGTCAGATAACAATGATACATCAACATCGGATGGTTTTACTGGTAATGAAGAAAACTAAAGTATTTTCGTAGAAATTTCTTGTCTTCTAATGAATTGAAATGTGACTTTTTCTCAATGAAAATATATTATTGATATCTCATAGGTTGATGTGAAGTGTAAATAAATACCTCAATTTTCTATTCACAGATTTTATTTTACGTATTTTAATGTCTTTCTTTCGGAAGTATGAATTTCATCGAAGTCATTCTACATAGGCGCCGAGCTCCATGAGAGATTGCCATCGTCCGCATCATTTTCTGGTTTACATAATAATGAAGTTCTTCTTTTAACATCAGATACAACAGGTGATGTTTGTATCCCTTGAAGAGATTTGTCCAGTTCTTGAATGTTTTCACAAAGAAAATTTGTTGCAACCTAAAATAAGAACAAAATCGAACTTGTTTGCCCCAACAACAAAGATGTGGAAACAATTACAGCTGTAGCTAAGAGATTCACCATAGGAACCGTATTTTGATATGTTAAATTAAAAAATCGGTCAACTAACATAACCAATTCAGGATCGATAACATTCATTGTCGACGGTGATTTACCCACAAGATTTTGTCTTTGTGAATTTGATGTGATTTTCAGTTGATTGTATAATTTGCGCGAAAGAATCTCATCGATTTCGTTCGGTGAGAATGCATATTCAGGTATCGCTGATGAGTTTTGAAAATAACGACTAGCATCATTCAATGATGGATGATTTCCTTTCCAACAAGGAGATTGAAAAAGATAGTCAGTCGCATGTGAAATCGAAGGCATTCTCAGCGAAGTTGGTTAATCGATATAATGAGTGTTTAGAAGAGAAGAAAAAACTGTGCTGTCACATGGCGTTCGATTTGATTTGTACAGGAGAATCGCTTCTCTCGATGTCTTGTTTCAGAAAAATCTCGAGTCATTTTTTATATCGAATTTTTTCCTCTTGAAAAATTTCTACACAAAAATATGCTGGTGACATCTAGCGCCATCTATTCTCTAATTGTTGATAGAATGATAGAACCGAACAATGAAATCATTTCTCTTTTTTTCCAGAGAAATTTCTCAAATCGTTTCATTTCATTGTTCGATTCAAATCAGATCAACTGAAGTTCTTCGTCTTGCTACAATCATGTTCAAAAAGTTCAATGAAAAAGATAGTGTATCAAGTGTTACACAACTCCGGAATACGGACGTAAAGCGGCTCAAGCAACGTCTTCAACAAGATTTTCCTAATATTGAATCTGTCCTAGACGAAATTCTGCCGAAGAAAGATACGCCAAAGCTAGTCAAATGTCAAGATCATATTGAATTAATCACCGATTCGGCAGGCCAAGCTTTATTTTTTCGTTTTCGCGATTCTCAATCGTATATTCCATTATTACGCTTATTACATAAATATCCATTCATTTTACGACCCGAGCAAGTCGACAAAGGTGCGATTCGCTTTGTCCTTTCAGGAGCGAATATAATGTGTCCAGGTTTAACATCTCCCGGTGCAAAATTATGCGACGCACCTAAAGATACCATCTGCGCTGTGATGGCCGAGGGTAAAGAACATGCATTAGCCATTGGCTTGCTGAAAATGTCAACTCAAGATATACAACAAATCAATAAAGGTATTGGAATTGAAACATTACATTACTTGAATGACGGTCTATGGACTGTTAAGCAAGGATTTAAATGATTGTTACTTTCTTTTTCAATTATTTTTTTCAAAGCAAAACATTAAATATAAGAACAGATCGATAAAACGATGTTGAGAGAAGATTGCATGATGTTTGCTTTTTTATGATTTATGCGTTTCAGATAATGACAAACAATGTAGTAGTTGATGTACATCATACAACAACAGCAATGAATCGTTCGACAACATCAGCAGATTCTGAGACATACCAACAATGTAATTATCAACAATTTCAAATGTTGGTTCATTCAGTCGTCAATACATTAAATAGTACGTTCATTTTTCTATCAAACACGACAGAAGAATGTAGCTGTTTTTCTTTTGTCTAGCCGATGAAGTACGGTTGAAACATCTACAAAATATATCTGATAATATAGAAGTAAGAAATCGCATTATGTCTGAAGAAGAATCTCGTACTCATGCTCGATTTTAGGTTCTCTCAACATTACAAAATTACCCATCATGTATCGATCTATTAGTAAAAAACTTCCTCAAGTCATTGATGGAGACCAATACGGTATTTATCATCCCTAGTAATGCTCAGGTATGCATTCAGTTGTACTCGAAGCGTGCCTCAAAGATTTCCATTTGTTTCTATAGACAATTCGCAAACAAATGATTGAAGTTTTTCACCGGTTACCAGCAGGAGAAATTCTTCGACCGTTTGTCAAAGATATTCTCTCCCCTGTATTTAAATTATTAACCAAAGAAAATGAGGAAAACGCTTTGCTATTACTACGCATCGTTGTCGAGTATATGAAACAACTTCGACCTCAAATGATAAACGAAGTTCGCGAATTTCTGCAGTTTGTCCATAATGTTTATCGACAGAAAGCATCAGCGCTCGATCAAATATTTCTCACGAAAACCTTCTCCGATCCAACACTGACTATCAACGAAGTTGATGTTTCAAATATCATCGAACAAATATGTTCTTCTGTACAATTAACAGTAAAAAAAGTTCAAGCGCTCCCATCACAATCATCGATAACCACCGACGAAACAACGAGCCAGCCCGTACTCGATACAGTAAAATGTCTTTGTTAACTTTTGATTTGTATAGTTGTTTGCAAAACGTTTAGTTCACTGTTCTCGCTCGTGCATCACATTCCGTGAAATTGTTAGCAGAATTTCCTGTTGCTATCGTTCTTCTCTATCAACTTTGTCGACAAGCATTGCAAACGGAGTTCGGAGAATTAGTGCCACTGTTCCTACGATATTTAACATTACAACCAACAAAAGAACAAAAGTTTGTTTCTCCATTCTTCTCGGAGAATTCATCTCTTCGTCTGGTTTTAGAAATGATCCAAAATTCAACATGGAAATTTACATTGAATTCCTCACAACACAAGCGAAAACATTATCTTTTCTTGCCTTTGTGGGCAAAACATATCAAGTACAACTTATCTTCAATAATCAGTATTTTTGTCTATTTTGAACATTCGTAATTTCTGTAGGAGCAATTAGCATCACATAGTGATTTACTAGTCATAGCCCTTCTCCAGTTACTTGATGGTTGTCCACCGGAAAATGTCCAATTACGAAAAGATATCATCGTTGCAGCTCGTCATTTTCTCTCGTCAGAGTTTCGAACGTGTAAGTTTTTCGACGGTATCAATCGTTCGATAATCGACATCAATTTCAGTATTCATTCCACATGTCAAACGATTCTTCGATGAAAATTTACTACTCAGTACCGGTTACACTGCACGTGAAACACTAAAGTTTGTTTTGTTTGATTTCTGATCCGATCTTGGGATTTATCTTTGAAATAATCTTTAGACCATTGGCTTATAATACCTTCGGAGATTTCTTTCATCATATTCGTTCCAACTTAGCTATCGAAGATCTGCAAAGTGTACTCTATATGTATTCGAAGATGATCCATGATTCAAGTTTACCACCAACGATTCAAGTGATGAGTCTGAAGTTTTTAACAAATATTGCGGAAGCAATTCGTCAGAAAGGAACTGAAAAAGTAAATGACTTCAAATAGAAATTAATTCTCTCGACGCTTTCTTCTGATCTTAGTCTCGCGATTTGCTGATACGTGTGATCGAAATTCTTGTATTTAAATGCAAAAGTTTAGCTAAACAATGCGCGCATTCATCATCAAATTCCAATGAGAAACCGTATGTTACTTTTGTGTAGTCATCTATTCGATCTACCACTTTTACTCTTCAGCAGTATTCCAAACGTTCCACCAATTGCTGAGGCTGACCTAACAACAAGTTCGCTAGGTGATCTTGTTCAGAATATGAATGACGTCACTAATCGCGAAAAAGAAGTGCAACGTCAACAGGTGAATATGTCAAACAACAAATTCACTCAGAAAAATCTTACAGAAATGCCTTTTTTTTCTATTTTCTTAGCTCCTTTCAATTCGTTTTCAAGCATCATCTCCATTAGTATTCACACTGACACCCAGTGATTGTCGTACATTATTGAAAGTTCTTGTCGGCAGTCTACGTCATATAACTTGGATCCTCGCCGATGTGAAAATCTCCTCGGAAAATCACGTTTCCCAACCGAAACAATTTCCTCCATCCATATCGATTCTCTACATCAAATTTTTCAAATACATCCTCCAATGTTTAATTCTCTTCTTCGATTCAACGACGCCAACGAATTCAAATGGCAATTCTTCGACAATAACCAATCCAAGTAATCTAACCCGAAATAAGGAAGAAAAGGAGATCATGGACATAATTGCCAGTGTATTCATCGTTCTGCATAAGCAAAATTACCGTGAAATCTTCGAGAATAACCTTCTGTATTTCTATCAATGCGCAAACAAAAATCCCAATATAACATTGATAATGAACACTTTACTACAACAATCACCATCGTCGACCATTCTTGTGGAATTATTACTTGAATTTCTTCTACCACGAATACACGAAATCGGTGAAACGAATAATACAAATAATGCCTGTTTGAAGTTGTTTAAATTAGTGATTAATAGTGTTGTTACAACAACGTTAGCTAATGAAAACGAGAAAATCCTTCAACCTTACTTGAAACAGATTATCTTACGTTCAATCGAATGCGCACAATTAACCACAGATCCATACAACTATTTCATTTTATTACGTGCACTTTTTCGCAGCATCGGGGTCGGAAACCACGAATTGTTAAATCAAGAATTTTTAACTTTATTACATTTTCTTCTTCAACGACTAAATGAATACCAATCATGCAAACATCGACAGCACTTACGAGAATTATTCATTGAATTATGCTTAACAGTACCTGTACGTCTAAGCGTACTATTACCGTACTTACCTTTACTCATGGAACCATTAGTCAATGCACTGAATGGTTCATCAACATTGATCTTACAAGGTTTACGTACATTAGAACTATGTGTCGATAATTTACAACCGGATTTTCTTTATAATCATATTTTACCTGTTCGAAGCAGTTTAATGATGTCGTTGTACCGTTTATTGAGTCATATTAATAATGATATTGCACAAAATACGTTTCGAATTTTGGGCAAATTGGGAGGAAATAACCGGCGTATTTTAAATGAACCACAACAGATAAAATATGACAATGAGGGTTTCGATCCTGATCATCAGAATGAAATATATGTGCAAATGTTTTTCGAAAATGAATCGAAAACAATCGGAATACCTTTGTTAGAGGTAAGACATGAGTTTTTACTATTGAATTCCTTTATTAATTTATGTTTAGATTCTTCGAGCGTGTTCTCAACAACTAAGATCCTCTTCTACTGATCAGCAGAGTATTAAACGTCAGGCATGGCTAATAGTTCGTAGTTTTCTCTCGGTTTTGATTGCTAAAGACGATGATCACGATCTTGTCACACATCTATTGAATCATTCGAGGTAATCTACTAATGTTTTTATTCTTATCACATTTCCAAGCGAATTTTTCATTTCTAGTTTTTTGAATGGTAAGATATCCGATTCTCCCACAACATGGAGTGCTCATATCGAAGTCAAATCTCGCCATGGCCATGATTTACTCCTTCAATGCTTACACCAAGCTGCAACCTGTAAAAATCTAGCTGATGAAGTCCTTCCAATATTGAAATCAACTATCCAACATTATACACTCGTCGCAGCTGCACAACAAGCAGGTAAAGTTAATCTAATCAGTAATGATAAAGCTGTCTCATTGGAATGCATCGTTGATATTGAAAAGAGTTATGCTGAACAGTATTCTTCTTTATTCTAGGTCCTCTATCATCTGATATTTATAATAAAAATGAAACTGCTGATTGTTCGATAATTCTCATCGATAGTATTATATCTTGTTACATTGATATCGATGACGATTTGAACTCCATTGGTCGTATATCCTTCGAAAAGCTATTTGATACTTTATTAATTCTTTTCAACCATGATTATCAGCGCATTGCTCAATTACCAATGATAAAATACCTTGTCGATGCATTATACAGCCACAGTCATGATCGTATGTGGTTTGCGAAACAAGGCACATGTCGTTTTCTTTCCGAAATCTGTTTGAATTACTTTTCGAAAGAGAACCAATGGTTTATCGACAATTTCAATCAAATTCTTCATGTGTTTTTCCATGTTATCATATCCTTAACGGATGAAATCTCCTCCGGAACACTGGACATCATATCGAACATGATTAAAGAATTTCTAACGAAATACTCGGCAATAAAATCGCACGAGAATCTAATTGAATTATTACTCAGTTACATCTTCTGCCCGATAAGCTACGTTCGAAGTTTAGTATACGACTGCCTTCGTCAATCAAGCCAATCTTATCAACAGCCAATCGTGCGTTTAATCGAACCGTTCAAAAACGATTTGATCAAAAGATTTGCCTCGTCAAATATATTACCATTGAAAAACCATTCCTTAGTCTATCAAATCACCTACTTAGACGTGTATGTTTTCTTTCGTACATTGGAACCGAAAGTGACTTACATACAACTGTTCGATAATGAGCTGTTCAAAGAATTAAAGACATTAATTTTCGAAGATAATGATAATCTTAGCAAACTATCATCCTATCGTGCATTAACTCAACAGCAATTGATTCTCAATCTGATTTTATTGAAGAAATTAGCTATACGAACCATTGCCGAGTACTACGAACAGATCGATTATCGCGAACGTGTTCATTTATTTTATAAAATCTTGATCACAATCCAATCGAATGAATTACAATTAGTCGCCTACGAATCGATCGAAAAGATCTTCAGTGGTTATCAAAACGATCAACTACGCTCGCGCTTTGTTGAATCATCAATACAACAAATCTCGTTCAATGAAAACGAAAAACTAAATATCACACCTCAAATTGCTCAAACATTATTCTATTTAGCGAAATTATCGCCCAATTCATTCGGTGATCGTCTTTGCGAACAGATCCTGACTGCCATACGAAAGTTAATTCTGATGATCGCTCAAACATTTCGAACGGCATTCGATGCACAAAATCAACATTACAAAAGCTGCTTAACTTTATTGGAATTATTAGCGACATTACCGAATTCATCGAAGAAAGTCATTGAAACATTGACGATCTTAATTTTAAAATTCGATAAACATCTACTGATCGAAGTAAGTCAAAAATCTTTAAAAAAAACAACTTCCATCGACTTGGTCCTTTGTATTTCAGTCGAGCAGTGCATGTCGTAAGCATTTAATCGAATTACTAGCTCGTCATCCTCAACTCAGTCTTGATCAATTCATAATTGATGAGAATCGCTTAAAAGATTTACAATGGAGTCGTTTATTTCTCGATCTGTTAAAAAGTCCTTCATCGTCGAATATTCAAACGTTTGTTCGCACGAATTGGTTGGATCGTTTTCGTCAAATCCTCAGTGATAATATTGTTCTGATCGAAAAAACACAAAACATTCCTCCGATCATTTGTATCACCATTCGTTCGTTGGCAATCTTAGCTCGCACAGATGAAGTCTGGTGGTCGCGACAACACGAACTCGTCTCGCTTTTATTACGTCTCTGGCGTTCGAATACATTTCAACAGCATTCGTTCATCTCTTCGGAACATTTCGACTTGTTTTGTTGCAAAGAACTAAACAACGTTCTCAATCTCGGTTTGATCTATTACCAACATCAACCGGATCGAATTCGTCTTTTACTTGAATTAACACGTATCTACTCTTGTACAGAAAAATTGTTCTATCCGAAGAAATTTCTTCATTTCATCCAAGAAACAGTCATTAAAACTTATTCAACAAAATGGAAACGCGATACGTTGGTGACATTTATATCTTTACGTAAGGATGAAACTTACACATTGGAATGCAAAGCGTTATTTTTCGAATATATCATCTTACCATCATTTACGTACGAATTTGAAAATAATAAAACTCAATTGACAAATGAATTATGTCAAACAGTTGACAAGACAGATGAAACGGTCATGGATTATTTTATTCGAATAATGATCGAAACGAAATATCTTCAACAAATCAACGATAAATACCGTATTTGTCTTCTGAGATTCTTGTGTTTGTTTCTTGAATATAATCCTCAAATCATTTGCGAGACAAACTCTACAGCAACGAACAAACGTGACAGTGAAAAGATTCGTCGTTTAATGGAATGTGCGTATGGAACATTGTTGATGAATAACATCGACCCAACGTATAAATGTCAAGCACATTTACTTCTTTGTTATATCATCTCCAAGTATTCCATTGTCAAAAAGATTATTATGCATGTTCTTAATAGTTTGCTGAAATCGTATATCATCGACGCGAAGTATTTAGTTCGACAAGCCACCGATTTGTTAATACCAGCGATACCAGCAAGAATGGAGGATGGATATGAAATCCTAGCGTACTGTACGAAGAAGATTCTCTCGGATGATGCACATGGAAATTTGCAATTGATGCACATCATGTCGATTATCGTTCGACATCAGACGATCTATTTTCATGTTCGATATCCACTGGCTAATTTGATGGTTCAATCCGCACAGAAGATATCTGGCCAACAAAGCAATTCGAACGAACAAAAGAAATTAGCTATTGACATTATTGAAGTGATTATTAAATGGGAATTGAGAAAACATCACGAACAGATCAACGATCAACGAACATTTCCTCGATCATTGATCGATTCGCTATTCGTGTTTCTTATTCGACATGCTTGTCAAGTTAATATGCAAAATATGATACCGTTATCACAGCAATGCATTCGGTTGTTTAAAATCGCGAGAAAATTTGCTTGGCCGAACGTGGAAGTGAAACTGACAACTTTTGAAAGAATTATACATCAAATCGTAAGTACAAACACGTGTTTACACAGTGAGATTTCATTCGGTTACATTTCAGGAGTCTCCAAATGCAACGGCGCATAACTCCATCGCTATTGCCATCGATCTACTTGCATTTTTGATATCCACATTTACTGCTATTCAAATCAAATACACGATGCGCACATTGAAACGTTGGCTGATCACATGTGTTTCTATAGCAAATAATCCACGTTTAGTCGAATCAATGCAAAACCTCTTCAGCAAATTAATCGTACAAATTCCGATTGAACCACCAACTGCAATTCTCCCACCAACTACACCAAATAATCAGTCCACCCTGCCATCACAACTTGCCCAAGCAACACTCGCTTCATTAGCAACGGCTGCTACGCCAACTAACAATTTACATTTGTCCCCATCTTCACTCAACAAAAGCGAAGATATCGAACAATTTTATACAGTCATAACCAAGACTATTATTGATAATATGAACAGTTCATCGACATCGATCGTTAATACAACAGATAGGTATGAATGATTTTATTCTCTACAAAATTGATAAGTAAGAAAAGCACACAGAAAACAGAAGAAAATGGCTAGGTTGAGAAATGTTTGATTTTCTAAATTGAACTTCATGAAAAAAAAAGAAAGAACGTGGCTCAAGACGTATCAACTAATTGTCGGGATCCGTTTCACCATGTGAGAAATTCTTTCGAGTGCATATATCAATAGTGCTACCAGCGAAGAACATGCCAACGGATAGAATGAGAAATAACATGCAGCACATTGATAAGCACACAATAGCTAAATCTCTGTCGATGCGTGTGTAACGTGTCATAGAATCTCCGTCACTTGTTCCATAGATGCTCTTCCATCCGGCTATGATCGTCGAGTACGAGGCGATTAAAAATATCAATAAACATATTGATAATAACGAACAAACGAAGAACGCTAAGATTGTTGAGTAACTTTCCCGTAGACCACTGACAAGTCCTAAGGCACCTGTAACAAAAAAGACAATGCTAAATAGTAATGCAGCTGTTGACCATGGCCACATCCAGCGGTTTTCGACTTTGGGATTATAATAATAACCATTGATGTCAACCGTTCTGGATGGATACATTAAATATGCATATGTTACATTAGAGTCAACTCGGCCACGATTGTTCGAACCGCAGTAGAGTCGTCCCAGTTCGGTGGAGAATAAGGCAAGGGTGAAGAATAGAACTAAGCAACCAAGGATAATACCAAGTGTACGAAATGAATATGCATATTCAGATGGAGACATCAGAGTACGATCGCCTCCATATTTACCCACACGAGGTTGAACGTTGGGTGCAGCATGGAAATATTGAGTTGTGTTATGATGATAAAATGATGGACCTTGAGTGTATGTGGTATACATTGACATAAGTATTTGTCGAATGCCTGTTCACTTGAGATGATATTCAAATGTTTGACCGATTGTATGACGAGACAAAAAGTACAATGAATAGAAATGAGAAAGATATGAATGGTTTATAAATCAGAGATATACAGAGAAAGAGAAGAAGAAGAAGAAGAACAAAATGTGTTGACGAGTTCAGACAGAGTAAGGACATTTTCATAACCGTCCATGCATGACCATTGTCCGATAGATCACCTATGAAACCATAAACTATCAATAAACGAAATGAATATTTATCTCAAATTTTTATCTGTACATATTAACAATCTGTAAACTAAGAAATGACTTAAATAAAATACTAATTAAGAAAAAACGAGAGAATCTCGAAAACTAGATCAAGATAACAAAGAGAAGGACTTAGAATGCGAATGATTCTTTTTGTAGTGCTCGAACAACGATTGGAGCCAGTGCAACAAATACTTCTACATCAGGATTCGGTTCCATACACACACTTCCTGTTGCATTTGGTTATTTGAAAATAATCGAAAAACACCAACCGAAATATGTGGATAAATTGACACCATATATCACGAAATTGCTACAAAAACTGATCAAGGATCATACAAGTGCTGGCGCCGATTACAATTCCGGTAAATACAGTCACACAGTTATACCAGCAAAATATCTATTTTGTCCTTGCATTTACTAGCGTTTACTGAATATATTGTCGAATGTCTTACATTACTTAAATATCGTATTGCTCAATTAACAAATGATCTTCGGAAACAATTTATGAATAATTTTTTACCGGTAAGTAAATCCGAGATGTAATAGTTTTCCCCTCATTCGATTCGTACAGATCATATCTCATACTTTCTCTGCCCATGAAAAACCTGTCTAAAACGAGTTCACCTAGTACATTTCGTCGATGATATCACAAAGGAAAATTTTGATTTTAGTGTTTAATCGAAAAATCTCACGATATCAATCTCGTTCGCGCTATCATTCGTCTTGTTTACGATTGGCTTAAATGGCGTGGAGATGTACAATTAGTTCCATCGATAAAAGAAAAATCTCAGTTGCTTCTGAGACTTTTGCAATGCATCGACAAAAGCGGACGTTTTCAACAGCATCAACAGCAAGCGAATGATAATGATTTGACCAATAGTTTCCTCGAACTAATCCTACATGTTTATCAAGAATCAAACTATCGAGAATTGTGTATTAAACTGGAAGCTGCATTCATTCTTGGTTTAAAATCGACAAATCAGCAATTACGAAAGCAATTCTTCCTGATCTTAGACAAGAATTTGCGAAAAACTTTGCACGATCGATTGTTATTCATATTTCTATCACAAAACTGGGAATATCTCGGGCAACACTATTGGATTAAACAATGTTTAGAAGTAATTCATTAGACTTTTCTTTTATCATCGAATTTCATATGATTTTCGATTGTTTTTCATAGTTATTTTATACGTGCGTCTCGTCGATAATTCCGTTGTCATGTGTGGACGATCGTATATCAGTTCTTCCATCATTAACAGCAGAAGTCAAATCGGCTGAATTCTATGATCGATACGATTTTCTTATTGATTATGTTAAAACAAACAATCCATCGTCGTTAGAAAGTGTCACGACAAAAGTTGAATCGAATCTTGAAACATCAGTTAAAATGGAAGTGAATGACGAAGCAACAGCAACAACAACACAGAACCCTGCCTATTCGATCATCTCCAATGCTCTTGGTGTTACAGCAATGAGTACACTTGTGACAAAGTAAGGCTTACTCCTTTCGATAAAAGACAAACAAGACAATTCATTTTAACACGAGTTCATCTTCGTTTAGAAAACAACGGACGTCGTCTATTTCAGTGAACGAACCTAAAGTGAAACATTTTAAACGAATGTTATCGTCCGAAAATATACGTCGATTCCCAAGTGAAAAACCTCCGAATAGTGTTACACGTGAACCTGCGAATAGAATCCAACTAGCTGAGTTGATTAATAGCGAACTCAATTTCCTGAAAATCCTCACATCGATACAATCAAAACCGAATGACCTATTCGATTCAATCATCCAGTTTCTACATACAAATAATTCAGTGCTTATCGACAAGTTAACGCATCATCTATTCGTCGATCTCCTACCGAAAATTCTTCGTCTTGTACCTGAAAAATATCGCATCATCTTATTTCAGCAAATTGTTCAACCATTTTTTGTCAGTGGAACTCATTTACAACAACGCGACTTGTATCCATACAGTTCACTGAACACTATACTCGAAGCTTTCTATGCCATGTTCAAAACCAGCGATAGTATATCAGAATTTGTACCCATCATACGGCCAATTATACTTAAATATATCGGCAAAACACACAATACTTGGCACAGAAGTATTTTACTCCTAGAGCAATATATCATTGATCAATATCCAAATCATGGTATGTATCTATGTGGAAGATAAGGAAAAGCTTCACCGGTATGATTGTTATGTGTTTGTTTAGAATCTTTATCAAACGATGAAACATATCAAGAATCATTCAATTCTCTTTTTGAGTTATATGAACATCTCAACGAGGATGATTATAACATAAGCCTTTGGTTACATCGTCAGTTTTCTCCAAATATCAATTCGTTAATTTCAAACGCTTTACAATACGAACAACTCGGTCTCTTCCAACAAGCACTGGAATATTACACACAATCGATAAAACTCTTGGAAACGGAGTCGACTCCTTCGTCGGGAACGACAAATCCGTTCTTTGAATTAGATGAATATTCCTTCCTTGAACAACATTGGATCAAATGCACCAAGGAATTAAATCAATGGGATACATTACTATCGTACTGTAAACAACAGAGTAACCGGGATCATTTGCTTTATCTTGACTGTACATGGAGATCGTCGAATTGGGCATTGATGAAAGAAACTCTCGGTCAACTAGACGCAATGTGTAACGGAACAAATATGAATTTAACGAACTCTTCGATTCAAACATTTCAATTTCTCAATCAAAATCCAACGTTAGCGCAATCAACAATTATCTCAAATATCTTAACAATCAAAGATTTTCAATGGAAATTTGCTTTGTATCGCTGCTATCTAACATTATGTTCAACAATTACGAATACCGATGATCCAACAATTTATCAAACAACAATGAATATCACCGAACGTCTAATTGATTACTGTTCCTTGAACGCTCTGAAAGAATGGAAACATTTACCGAACTATATCTCAAATTCACATTTGAATTTACTGCAAGCATCTCAGCGTATCATTGAACTACAAGAATCAGCACAGATTCTCTTAAACATCCAGACAAATTCATCGAACAATAACACATCAACGTCAATCATATCTACCACAACGAATGGTAATACATCAACAACAACCAACATTCGACAAACGACGAATATTCATGAACTGAAAACAATCGTCAAGACGTGGAAAAGTCGTTTGCCATTAATCAACGATTCATTAAGTTTCTGGAATGATATATTCACTTGGCGTGAACTTCAATACAGTACGATAAGTTCACAGTTCGACAAAGATTTCAATGGCACGAATGGATCATTGGCGAATAACGGCGGTAATAACGTGAACACCGGACAAGTTCTGCTCGGCATTCATGCAATTGCTCAATCAATAACACAATTAGGAAAAATTGCACGGAAACATCATATGCCTAACATCTGTATGGAAATTCTCTCGAGGTAAATTTCAATGATTACTTATTAGAAACAAAAATCAACTTCATTTTTAGAATTGGTACTGTTATTCCGAGTGTACCTGTTGTCGATAGTTTCCAGAAAATCAAACAGATCATAAAATGTTATTTGATTTTACTTCCAACACTATCGAGAAGCGAAGTTCAAGATATATTTGATCTGATCGAACAAGCCAATACGAAATATTTTAATAAAGATATGATGAGCGAATTTTACTGTTTGAAAGCAGTTGCTTACTCAAAATTAGATCTCAATGAAGAAGCACACAAATTGTTCAGTTGTTCAGCACAACTATCGGATTCGAATTTGACTCGAACATGGATCAATTGGGGAGATTTTCTTCTAAAACAAACCTCGAACCTTCATGATGATGAATCAATTATGGTTTGCTATCTCAATGCTTGTAAAGATCTAAATGAAACCAAAGCTCGTTCCGTTCTATCGAAGATATTCTATCTACTCGCTCGGGAAAATGAGAATGCTAAATTGTCAACATGTATCGAGCGCTATTCATCCTTAATACCAGTGCAACATTGGCTCTTTTGGTTACCACAAATTCTGAATAAACTAATCCGTAACGAATCAAGTCAATGTATGTTTGCCATTTTGAACGAATTGATTCGTTTATATCCGCAAGCTGTTTATACTCAAATCAAGAAACATTCGAGAAAGTTAATTGAAAATGCTCAAGAGGAGAGACTCGCTCCGTTAACCCCAACGACGCCAACAATTGAAAATACTCTTAATCTACCTACGATATCTCGTCGACAGCAAGCAATGAGTGATTTAAAGCATTTAGAACAGATTTTACTTGAACAACATCCAACAGTCGTACGCACATTGGATATTCTTGTGGAACAATTGAACATGATCAATGAAAGCTTTCTGGAATATATGATCCGACGTTTATATGAATGTCAGCGAAGGATTTATCAAGATCTATTTGAAAATAAGAAAATCTTATCAAATGACGTGAAATTAATTATTCAACATTTGAAAGATCTTCTGAATAATGATGAAAAGGAATTCGATCACCTTAAACAATTGAAGATACAATTCTGGAATGATTTCAATGAAAGGTCAGTTTCATGATAAAATAAAATTCATTTCATTTGTTTTTCATCTTCATAGTGTACTGAACAATGATGTTATATGTCGATCATTTATCCTTTTGATTAGTAAATGGATAGGCTTAGTCGAGCGTCGCCTTGAACAAACCGAGGAACGCACGAAATATCTCTGTCAAACAAAATATCTTCACTTACTCTCATTCAATTCACAAATTACGAACGATATCAATATGCCGGGTGAATTATGGCACGCGCCTGAAGCGAATTTCTTCTTTCGTATCAACAAATTCTTTCCAACAATCGAACGAGTTTATAAACAAGAACGGTATTTCAATCGTTTAACAATTCGTGCACATAATGGCAAAATCATGTATTATCTCGTATCGAATAATTATCAATCAATACCAATCGATAAATTCGAATCGCAGTGGGAATTAGAAGAAAATACATTACAATTTCTCAAAATGATCAATAATGTGTGCATACGAAAAGAAAAAGAACTACTAAAACGACATTTACAAATATTCTTTCCACATTTATGCACTTATTTATCATCATTACGTTTAATCGAAGATAATCGCTCGGTGATTAATCTAATTGACATATATAATGACAAATTGATGGTATCGATAAAGAAGCACTATGAATTAATTGACGATAATAATGAAAACTTAGTAGAGATTTTCCAATCAATACAAAATGAGTATTTTCCTAATAAACGGTTATTACACCAATGGACATTAAATGAATATTCAACTGCGACAGGATACTTTGCATTTCGAAAGATCTTTACAATATCATTGGCTTTTTATTCGACATTAAATTATTTTTTCGGTTTTAATATGTACGCTAATAATCAATTAAATATTCAACGTTCAATAGGAAGTATCAATCCATTGTACCTAAAATTAGAAGATGATCTCAATAGAAAAGATGGCAATCTTTATTTGACACCAAATATCAACGCATTCATCAACCAATTTGGCAAAATGGGTCCACTGACAGCAACAATTACAGCAACATTAATGTCATTAGCACAACCGAAATATCAAATTATCGAATACTTGAAGATCTTCTACAAAGAAGATATTCATATAAAAGTAAGTTCAGTTCCAAGGAGTAAAATTTGCATTTCAAGCATCGTTTGTCATTTAGCATCCTGAATTAACACAGAAAGAATGTGTTCAATTGGTCGAAAATCTTGCAAGCCAATTGGAAACGAAATTGAATGGTATGTCTATACGAAAATATTTGTGTTTGATTATCAATGGCTTTCGATTTAGAATTCACGGATTTCAATGCGTCGCGAAAAGTAGTCTCCCAATTGATCAAAAACTCTACAGATATTAATCAACTAGCACGTGTGAATCCACTCTATTATCCTTGGTTATGAGACGTAGGCAAATCAACCGGTTTTTATCATCGATGAGTTTTCACGTGAATATCTGTGTTTGTGTGTATGAGTTTGTATATAAAGCACATGTTATAATGTGTTGAGCATGACGTTCGATAGTTTCTTTTTCTGTTCACTCGTTGTTATATTCTGTATAGGATAAAGAAAAGTGCTGAGAGTTACGAAGCAATGAGGTCAGTCATCATGACTTTCATATTTTTTTCTTCAGATTTTCATCATGACTTCGAACGATCTTGTTAAAAGTATCCTACAACGAGATGTTGATGAACAAGATAGAATATTGAAATCAACTGAAGTTACCAAACCATGTCCAGTTGATGTCGATCTTGGTAATCTACTAGTTTGGGATCCTAACGTAGTCGATCAACAAGCATACAAGTATGTGATAATTCAATGAAAACAATGCCGAAACATTTCGTACAATGTAAACAAAATCTATTCTATTTAGAGAAAATCGAGAAGAATATATTAAAAACACAATGCGTGACAATATGCAATTGTTCGTCAATGCGTTGTGGCAGGTAAGCTAATCAGACATTTCATACCGAATATTTTATTTTCATTGTAGGTACCTATCGAACGACATGATAATACGGTAGTGGCCAAATTACCCGATGCAAAGACGGTTGTACCACGAGAAAAACCGGTTAGATATAATGCTGTGCACTGTTACAAATAATGATTTATTCTCATTTAGGTTCCTAAACCGAAACCTCTAACTAAATGGCAAAAATTTGCTCAGAGTAAAGGCATTGTCAAACGAAATAAGAGCAAATTTGTTTGGGATGAAACGAAACAGGAATGGGGCCGTCGTTATGGCTACAAAAAGGCAAATGACGATACGAAACCATGGCTCATCGAAGTACCTGGCAGTGCTGGTATACCTAGCAATAAAATTATATCTCTGTTCCTATAGATTTTTGTTTTTAGATCCGAATGAAGATCAATTTGCTAAACGGCTAGCAGCCAAAAAGGAACGTGTAGCCAAAAATGAATTTCAGCGCTTAAAAAATATCGCTCGTGCAAATAAAATAAATGGTAAATTGAAAGGCTTTGATTATTTCATGGAAATCGAGCGTTTAGTATTAAAGTTGACTTCACAGAGATCGCGTATATTTCAGGAGTTCTTGATCGATGCTCGAGAGGAGCTTAGACTTTATACAATGTATATATCGAACGTTAAAATCGAAGTAATTGCTTAAGAAGTTGCATACGGTAGAGAGGAGTGGCTTGACTACCTCTTTCTTTGAGGAAAATAACGAATTGATCCTAATTTAGTTCGAAACGATGGTGCTATTATCAATAAAAAGTCGTCGACCAATGATGTAAGTTGAAAGCCTAGCATAGAAAAATACTAATCAACGTGTCCTTATTGATTTAGGTGAAAAAAGCTTTAGCAACAGCGAAATATTCTGATGCTAGTATGGGTCAATTTTCTGAACAGGCAGCGCCTGATGAAGCACGACAAACACGTGGATTCAGCAAGAAAAGAAAATTCGAATCTAATTTAGGAAGCTTGAAAAGTGAAAAAAATAAACAATTGAAACTGTTCGAACAAATGAATTCATCAACAGCGAAATGAAGTTGATTTCAGTTCCTTTTTTTTGTTGTTATCTGTTTTCAAGAAATATTTTCATTTCTTGTCATTGATATCTTAATAAAATAAGATTTCTCTTGGTGACAAATCATTTTGGCAGCTCTTCTTTTATTTCAAAATCAACATAAAATCTGCTCGGTACTTTTGCTCATAGTACATTCACACAGATGTAATGGTGAGGAAACTACCGTATATAAAATAGATATCAACTAAAAATGAGTTATATTCTGATAGATCCTAAAATATGTGAAAATATCAAAGAATAATGAAACAATCGTTTGAAAGTTTTTCTTAACTTATAATACCAGGCTCAGTACACGAGAATATGAAGAGAGTGAGTTATTACACAAAAAAAATTTTTACTGTGGATTATATTTGTACACCTTTAGATTGTTGTCGACTTGCGTATAAATAATATGGCCAATAGATAAAATTGAATAGGAAGAAAGCTAATGGGTACAGTGTACGTGCTAGAACGTCGATTCGACTTTCACTGTTTGCGTAAAAAATGTTTTTTAGTGCTCGTCCTTGAAATTTTGAATAAGCTGGTTTACAATGAAAATTTCGCCAAAACCGACATGACTTTTTGCCCGATGTTGTACTGCTCGTCGATGATGTACCAGCTACTGATGCACGATAAAGTAAATGAATGTCACTGTTTGGTTCGTCATGCTCATTTGTATTGGTTTTATCGCTCTGAGAAAAGAAAAGGACGCCATGGAAATATTTCCACGAAGAAAACAAAATTTTTGGGTTTCTATTACTCGGATAACGTAATCTTCCAAGTCGCGCATATTTTCATTCAAGTCACCGGTTCGTGCTTTCGTGTAATAATGTACAAGTGCAAATTCGAACAATGTGGAAAACACGAAGATAAAGCAAACAGCAAGAAATAAATCCAGCGCAGTCGCATAGGAAACTTTTGGTAAATCTTTTTTTCCTTCAATAATCACAAATATAAGTGTTAGTACAGTTGTTACGCCTAAATTAATTCGATCGTTTGTTGCTTCACGATTTAACCAGAGACCGACCCATGACAGGAAGACAATAAGTATACAGGGAATATATAATTGCAATAGAAAATAGCCGACATGACGACGAAATGCAAATACAACGTAAACTATGGATCGAGTTCCTAAGCAAAAAAAGAGCGTATAATATATGAAACTTTGCATGGCTTTATAGATAAGGATTAATAGACATTCATGTATATTCGATTCAGATAAGAGTGTTTTCCAGTAAATCTAATTTAAACCGAGGAAGACGATCGAAAAATGACAAACGCATTGGCCAAATGCAAATGAGCAAAGGATAAAAGAAATCTATCAATCATTGTCTGTCGGCACAATCTTTGCGTTCAAGCTTGTCATAATTGAGTACTGATTAAACTTTAAGACTTGATATTTATAGATGTTCAGCATGTATGACGTAGTCTGCTGGAATATCCAAAGATTGAAAGATCATTTCAACTTACGATTGTCTCTAATAAGGATTCGTTGGCCTACAGTTGCATCAATTAGGGAAAATTGATTCATAACCAAATTGTTCTGAAGATCAACAGCACTATTATTATTCCATTCATAGACAGTTTCTTCACTATTGTACGCAAAACTTCCGATCAGCAAGGTACAATATTGTGCGTCAAGTGGTAAATTTCGTAGATCCATTACACATGAGGCTCGAATAGTTAAACTAAACATAAATGAACTTGAGCAATTCCACCGAGTAAAGGACATACCGTTGAGAATATAGAATAGTGCCATCATTCGCGATGCGAAAAAATCGATTAACATGAGGTACAGAATGAATATATGAACGTCGACCATTGTAAAAATATGTGTCAGGCTTCCAGATTTTTGAAAACATCTGAAAACTGACGGGCAATGACGTGTAATTCATTACCGATGTTTGGTTATATGTCAAACGTGTATCCGTCCATCGTTGTCGAAAAAAACAGTCGAAAGAATATTCCATATCAAGTTCACTGATGCCACTCATACTACGAACATAAATATCCACAATAACTTTATCCGGTTCGCCTTCATAAGTGAAGCAAATCAAAATGAATATCTTCAATGAAAAACGGTCAGTACATACCTCCATAAGTGGGTCGATGATGTCGATCATAAGATTTTAAGAGATCATTTAAAACTGACGAAACATTCCTTAAATCTGATGAGGCTTGTATAAGAAATATTTGACTGAATTGGAACAAAAATATTACTGTTATACGAGTTAAACGTACCATCTCAATCATTGCTCTTTTTCATTTCTCCGATCAATCAACTAACGTCATGTTCGGCTGATGGTTTTATGATGTTGTGTTTTCTAAGCTCGTCTTCTTCTTTTTCTGCTTTTTTCTGCGCGAATGATTAGATTTGTGAGCTAAGAATCGGATGTTGACAATAATTTTCATCAATTGTATGAACATACACGAACGTTCAAGTCGGAAAAGAATAGAATATATCCGGAAATAATCTATTACGAAGTATTACTTTTAGAGATGAAAAAATAGGCAAATCTTGTCATGAGTAATTAAATCTTCGAAGAAACTGAATGTAAATGAATGCTTCAGAGAGTGCTTACGGCCATACCACGTTGAATACACCAGTTCTCGTCCGATCACTGAAGTTAAGCAACGTCGGGCTCGGTTAGTACTTGGATGGGTGACCGCCTGGGAATACCGAGTGTCGTAAGCTTTTTATTTTATTGCTCATTCTTAGTTTTTGATATTAAAATGATAAGCAGAACTAATTTTCAATAAGAATCATACTATAAGCATAGAATATTCCTTGAATACTAGTATCAAGGAACGGCTAATTGATCTGAGCTTGGTAGAGAGCGAAAGTTATTCGGAACGATAATATCGAATGAAAAAGTATCCGAAAAAGTGCACATAGTGAGGATGTGGATGAGAGTGAGGATATCGTTACGCATCCAGATGTGAGCATATATGAACGTTTCTTCAAGTCAACAGGTACGCGATTTTGGCTTTACAACATTTTTAATCTCTACATTTGAATTTGTCTATATTTTATATTTGACGTTATTTAGTTGAATAGAGTCAGTGACTTGCTGATCAATCGTCATTACCCAAGTTTTGTTTTCACTTGAGTCGGAATGACCATCATATTCATATTCACTTCGAAAACTATTTGTGATTCGTAATATTGTTAAAAGTAACATCGAAAAGAGAGATAGACGCTTACGGCCATACCACGTTGAATACACCAGTTCTCGTCCGATCACTGAAGTTAAGCAACGTCGGGCTCGGTTAGTACTTGGATGGGTGACCGCCTGGGAATACCGAGTGTCGTAAGCTTTTTGTTTTTCGACTTCATCATTCTTCTTTGACATCTACGTTATTTAGCGTAATTCATCTTCGCGATCAAATTATTGAATATAATCGATATTGTCATTTTAAATTTCTCTTGATAATTACTTTTTCGTTTCTCTTGGTTTCGATTTATGGAGAAGATTTTATAGTTACATATAAAACACTACAGACATCTATCGTATCAGGTAACAATGGAAACATATTCGAATGAAAGAAACCTAGAGGTCTTCGCTAGTGAACAAACCGTCGAAATGACTGTTAAATAAAATTGTTTGTCTCCTATCTCAACAGTAGATCTTCTGATAAATTCGAATTGTAATGAGTAATACACGTTTCAATAATAATAATAATAACAAACAACTTCCGTATGATCCAAATCGTTTATTACCCGATGATACGAATATTCTAGTACTTGATGAAGAAGGTAACCTTAGCCGCCGATCAACTGACAGTGTACCGATTTCATCTTTGAATCGTCGTCAACAATATTCAAAATATGATATATCGGAAGATGATCGAGGAGGCGCTGGTGTGCTATCAACTGCTCGTGGAGATGAATCATATTATGACATACCATCCGTTGGAAACAACCTTGCTGAGGGTGTACTTGACGCCGAAACAGTTACTAAACATGTTTCCAAAATTGGTAAAACAGCTGTTGGATCCAGTGTGGCTTTTCTTACATTAACATTACCTGTGAATAATCACTCCTCTCCATTGTTCTTTGTACGAACAAGTTTTTTCTTTGTTTTGCCAGGGTTATGGTTTACGCGATATATCGATATTAAGTAATTACAATCATTTGCAAAGAATTGAATTACCGTATAACACCATATCTGGTAAGAATGAGGCTGTTTTTTACTTTATGTATTGACTTTTCCCTAGATTTATCACCATTAAATAACTTGAGTTATTTACTTGAATTGGATGTATCAAATAATAAAATTCGCAAATTGTTCGACTTCTGGCCACCGCGGAACCTCAAAGAAGCTGATTTTTCTTTCAATCTTATCGAAAAAATAGAAAATCTCGAAAATTTTCATTACCTACAAAAACTTATTCTTGATAGTAAGTTTGTTATATTGTTGCCTCGCTAGTCTAACAAGGCCCTAATTTTATTTTCAGACAATCAAATTTCGAAAATCGAAGGTTTGAAACATTGCTATCGATTGCAACATTTAAGCTTAGCACACAATCGTATCAGCCGAATCGAAGAATTAGAAGGACTGCCGCTTAAATATTTAAATTTAGTACGTGTGATAATCTAGACGAGAACTTCATTTTACTTTTCTTGATTTTCAGAGATCCAATCAAATTCAAAAAATTGAAAATCTTGATACGCTTCAATATTTACAACAGTTGAATTTATCTTGTAATAAACTGAATTCCCTAGAAGGCGTACCAGAACGATTAGGGTTTCTCGAAGTGATCGACCTTGCTGATAATCAAGTAAATGAACGTTGGTATAGAATGATGAATTATTCGATTGTCTAATTCTCTAGCTTTATAATTTATCTGATATCGATCGTCTGAGTGAATATCGTCTCTTGAGAGATTTAAATTTACGCGGAAACAAAATAACTGAAATTGATGATTATCGTCTTTCAGTTATTTTTAAATTACAACATTTAACTATTCTTGATCGACGAAAAGTGGATGTAACCGAGAAAGTATGTCCGAATAGTGTTTTACGCTGTAGAAATCTTAATTCGAATTCATCTTCTTTATCAAATCAGATTGAATCCAAACAAATGTTTAATCCATCATCGGAATATTTTGCATCACGAGATCATATGACAAATGTTGTCTTCGCATTTTTACAAGATCATCGAGTACAGGAAAGGTACAGAAGTGACTTTGAAAAAACGTACAATGATATTTACTTTTATCCAAAATCTAGTACTCTGCCGAATATCGAAACACCGTACCCCATGTTGATCCTATCAGGACCAGAAGGTTGTGGACGAATTGAATTGGCTCATCGATTAATCGAAGAATTTAGTGAATTCTTTGGTTATGGGTAAGTGGAGGATCGTTTCGAGTTGACTTTTCTTTGAGATACAATGTCAATGTTTTGTGCTTTTAGATCCTTACATACAACACGTGACAAACGTAACAATGAAAAAGATGGTGTCGACTATGTATTTGTCAAGCATGAACAATATGAAGAAGATGTTACAAAAGTTTGTTGAACCATTTCAGTAAAAAATGAAATATGCTTGTTCTTCACTACGACTGTTTTAGGGTGAATTTCTCTGCTGTTATGAATACTATGGCGATTGGAATGGACTGCAACGTTCATCCATTGAAAACGTCGCTCGTGGTGGTTTAGCTTGCGTTATACAAATCGAACTTGAGGTACTACTAAGCAAAGTTTTCAAAATAAACGTCTTCGTTTTCATAAATACGATTCAATAGGGACTTCTATCAATAAAACAATCTCATTTTGAACCTCGATGCGTTCTCTTGCTACCGATGGATCGGCAAATTCATGAACGTCGTTTGCAATTACAGGGTTTTGATGAAGGTGAAATTAATATGGCATTAAATCGTGTCGAACTTTATGCTGAATACAATCGTACACATCCAGGCTTTTTCGATGCCTTTATTTTAACAAGTATAAATATTTCTCCTTCTCATTACATGCTCATTTCCTCTTGGTACAAATCTAGATAGTCTTGATGATGGTTATGATCAATTGCGCGATCTCGTCATAAGTTATTTAGGTTTAGAAGACGAACGATTCGATGCTCCACGACCAAACACATCCGACGAAATCAAACGTTTCGATGATTTCGATATTCAACGTTCAGGTATACTTGATTTCTCGCATCGGTGACATTGCTAAAATCTTAATATGTTCTCATTCAAAGATTCATTCCTCCCATCAACGAATGCAACAGGTTGTCGTAATTCATCGCATCCATCTGTTGATTCGCCAATCAATCAAGGAGTAAATTCGAATCTGCGATTGAGATATGGTGGATCAGCACCACCGGCAATGATGTCTTCGGAATTTGCTCTACGTGCATCAGCTAAACTACGTATTAAAGAGTTGTTCGATGCTAAAACTGCAAACATACAAAATCAATTACGCCGAGAAATTTCCAAAACATTTCCGCTCTCTCTTCGCCTTGACAGTGCCGACGCACCAAACAGTCGATTGAGTGACCGTCGCGATCGAAAATCCGCACCAACGAATGATCTTCAGATTGATCCAATCAGTCAAACTCCTGACTCAAGTATTGGTAATGACGCCGACCAAGACGATGTCCTACTTATTGATCAAAATCTCTCTCACGATATTCACGGAGATATTGATGATAATATTTCAGTTCGAAGCTAAATTGAATAAACCTAAATGTTCTATTTTTCATTGAATTTCATATTTATATTAAACTACTTCGTTCTTTTCCTGATAAAAAGATTTCTTCATCATAAATTGATGTTGATGAAGATCACAAAACATAAACAGTTTAAGCTTTGGCATTTTCGACAAGCTTTATTCAAAAGTCTGAGATACATCCTATCGTATTTCAAAGACAATTCCTTTCCTTTCATGCGTACATGTCATCTTTAGCGATTTGCTTAAACAGCGGCGATATGACATGTGTATTTGAAATTGACAATCAAAAGTTAGGTAAGCCTATAATGTCTAGCTTATTTTCGAAGAAAACGGATGACAGACAGAATCGATTTCAAACATGACCGACAATTGATCCGTAGATGAAAATATCTCGCGTATACAGCATATTATATAAAAAAGAAAAGGAAGGGAAAGCGAGAGAGAGAAGAGAGAACTTCTTGTTTGTTTTCTTTTCTTCTCGATTCAATCAAGAACCAATAAATATAATCGAATGTTGCTTGTACTCTTCTCATTGGACATAGTCTTCAATATTTTTCTTCGTGTCGGAACTATTGAATACATCAACTAGAAGATTGATTGCATGAAATCGAGTCAATATTTACTCAGTTTTACTTTCGATAGAAATTTCTTCATTAATAATTATTTCGAGAAAGATCAACGATGCCTTTGACTCGAACGAAGACAATTGCACTTGTTGACATCATCATTTCGTGATTTATTTATCTAATACGACAAAAAAAAACAAAGAATTTCATTCTCCATCTTCAGTTATCTTTGCTTGATACTCATCGATTTGAAAATCGAAGCAATACATCGTCTGTCTCTATTCTAATCTTTGAATAGAACAAATTGACTGATAGTATAAGTGTATGGGAATACAATGCAAGCATCATCACTGTTGTCGTTGAGTGACTCGTCACTTATCAACAGAACGTACTATTATTTTGTTATAAAACACACCCTCACATCAGCAAATCTTATCTTTTAAGACAATGTTTGAATAAACATCAACATTATCGAGCACTGTCCAGAGAAAACAAGACGTTCATACTCAGTTTGACCTAATCATTAGATGTGTATGTGCGATATTTGCTTACTAACTGGCAAACACAACATATGTCCCTGCCGTGCGGCACTATGTTCAGAAGATCAATTGTGCGATTAGAGAGAAAACTAGGAGGTAAAGACAGCAAATCAGTCTAATTGATCATGACTGTACATATGTGAAGGCATGAACTATTTTCCTTGNCAGAGAAAACAAGACGTTCATACTCAGTTTGACCTAATCATTAGATGTGTATGTGCGATATTTGCTTACTAACTGGCAAACACAACATATGTCCCTGCCGTGCGGCACTATGTTCAGAAGATCAATTGTGCGATTAGAGAGAAAACTAGGAGGTAAAGACAGCAAATCAGTCTAATTGATCATGACTGTACATATGTGAAGGCATGAACTATTTTCCTTGGCCAGTCTTCTCTTTTTTTTAAACAAAGTTTAGATTTCATAAATATGTATATATTTGTTTACAGAGCATTTAATTCGACACACACATCTGTCCCAGATTTTGTTGAAAACGATGAACACATGACAGAAAAATATCTTTGAACGGTCGAATGGGAAAATTAAATCAATAAACACTGAATGCGAGAATGATTGGCCTATCCTGAAATCGTGAACATCTTCTTGTTGTAAAAATTTTACTAATTCTTTGTCTCTTTGTTTTATGAGAACGTGTGCAGGCGCTTTTCGTAACATTATCTTTGTCGCCTTTTTTGCTTTTTTTGCTCGTTTACTTCTTTGTTTCAATACGGCCTCCTGTAGCCCACACATACATCAATATTAATATCCACACCCGAAAGGGAAGAGAACATAGAAAATTGCAATCCATCTCAATGCATTAAATGGCACGTATTGCTTTTTTGCTTATCCATCGTCGTCTCTCTTCTGCTCTGATTGTCGACAAGTCAAAGGCAAGAGCGAGAAAGAAAAGAGAAAAAATGAATCGAGAGAGATACTAGTCGAGAGGGATATATTCTTTCGCTTATACAATTGGCTGTAGCCATCGATGAGAACCAATGGCAAACAGGAGCCAATAAGAAAAGAAAGAGTATCGAGAAAAGTAATACGACAAAAAGAAAAAAAAAGAACACAACAAGCTAAAACGATACCATCATATATCGGACCGGCTTCCCGTTGGAGAAAAGGGCAACTGACGAACTAATCATATATTCTTTTTCTCTTCAGTTATTCTCTTCGCTGTATCTAACCTTGTGTCGAATGCACATATGAATATCGTTGGTTTGATGTCAACATCCTCGTCTACTACAAATTCCGTAACACCAGTTACTTATCAATTAAGTGAGCAACGTGGTGTACGTCGTCCCAAATGCGCACGTTGTCGAAATCACGGAATGATCTCATGGTTGAAGGGACATAAACGTCATTGTAAATTTCGCGATTGTGCTTGTGCCAAATGTATTCTGATTGCTGAACGACAACGCGTGATGGCTGCGCAAGTTGCTTTAAAACGACAACAAGCAAGTGAAGATGCAATCGCTTTACGTGTTCGTTGTCT